TCTGTGCTGAATGGCGGCTGTCCTTTGCTTAAAAAAATAATTGGCAGTTGTCCAAATCACTCTGACGAATTTCTTGCTCTCACTCCTACTAAATATCTCCCACTCTGGGTAACCGCAGTACAACTTTCCGCTTTATGTACACCCAAATCTCTTGATCTGATTGAGCTCGCTGTTGAACTGAACAAACTTCAATTAGATTTAACCATAATTTATTTCTCTACAAAGTGGATAAGCGGGGAAAGGGTTAATGAGTGAGACGCAAAATCGGAGAAAATCGTGGAATGAAAAGTAGCGGTTGAAAAAAAAACGGTATAGCATTTGTTTTATTCTGCATACGTACTTAAATAATAGCGTGTGTACTTCAAAATGTAGCTAGTGAAGCAAAACAGTAAAACTTGTTGGATGTGCAACTACTACTGGCTGACATTCAGACCATTCAGATGTGTTATGAAGATAGACTCGGGTGATGTATGGAAATGACATGGGGAAATGAGGTTTCATTCTCCGACTGTTGCTGGTGGTGGTGACGAGAAGATGAGTTTCTCATGTTGAGCAGAGAATACAATAAAATGTGATTCCAACTGCAATTCCTTTTCCTTAATAGAATGTCAAGTCATTTCATTTCCTCTCACACAAGCAGACGAGCGAATGTTTATATTCTTGTCTATGGACGGCTGTTGCAGGTGCCTAGAAAATTTTTAAATCAGATTTGGGCCAAATTCCAAATAAGTTATATTCTCTCCAATCACTCAGTCACTCGGAGAATGCATGTCAACATGTGTTTCTATTTCGTTCTCCATCTTTCCCCCATGCAGACACGGCAGTTGATATTGCTTTCCCACGTGGTGCTTCTATGGCGTGATTGGGTTCTGGTTAATATATTGCAACCATTCCTGCTAATTTCCTGGCTTCCCTTTACAACCAACAGTTTTTTAGGCTGCGCATGATCTTCGTTTTGTCATTAAATTACAAATACTAGGAAGTAGGATGGATGGACTAGCTTTGACTGGGTGTACGTGTAGGATTCTCAGCCAGCATGGAAACTCAACAGTCAACAGTGTGTTGACGATGGTTACTGTAGCCGTGTTTTATGTAAATAGATTTGGTTTAGATTCACTATTAAGAACTTTCCTGCGCATGAGATACAAACCGAGGGCCGACTTTCTCCACTTGTTTCCATTTAGATATGATACAAATGAGTTGGTAAACAGTAAACTTTCCAGGAAACCATTTTTGCAACATTATGTCAGTCGCGAGTATGCATGTGGTATCATCATCTCTTTTGTCGTATATTACTCATGGATATGGATCGGACCGACTTTTCCGAGTTCGGGCAGCGTGCTGATGACGCTGATGATGACGAGCGGATGATGTGCCACGTTTCATGACGATCCGATCCTCCAATAGTTTTTCTCCATTTGTGCCGAGTTATTACGGCCAGGGCGTTGCGTTGCGTTGCGTTGTTCCCTGAACGAGGGAAAGAGAGAGAGAGAGATCTTTCCTTGCTTACCTTCCACCGTGAGTGTAGTAGTCGACGATGTGCAGCTTTTTGATATATATTTTATATGGAATGGACGGGCTACACCTCGAAGATCTCGCTTTCTTCCACCTTTCCTCTCCCACACGTACATGCACAGATACTGCTTTCACCTCACCTGCTATTTCCCCATCCATACTCGCTACATGACCCGATCGGCCCTGCTTTGTAATCAGAATTCGCTCCTCTGATATTGGTTCTGTGTGGATCGAACAATGATCTTATAACTCGGACATGGCTGTAATTCGAATTTGTAGCACCCGAGATTTGTCGTGGAAATAAGGATGCAGGAGAGGTGGATTCTCTCCACAAGTCCCAGCAGCTAGACGACGTCGGTCATGGTTCGGAGATCGTTATTCGACTTGACTTGACTCTAACTAATGTTTATATGTGAAGTGCTAGTAGGGCTGCTGTCTGTTTTATGTGGGAGATTGAGCCTCACTCTCTGCTCGCAGCAGTTTCGCTCGTCGTCTGCTCTTATTATGTAGTACTTTCCTCTCTGTCTCTCCTACTATCTTGCTTGTCATAGGTGGATGGATTGGTGCGAGCGAGGAGTACATAAATCAATAGAAAGTGGTATTATTATTGTGCTACTGCTTGCTCCTGCTGGTCACACACATCGGTGTCGTTCCAGTAGCACTATTCCTCAAATTGTCCGTTTTCACTCTCTCTTGGATACAAAAAAAACTGTTGAGGAGATCTGACAGCCGGCCAACAAGAGTAACAAATGTATCTTTTGAACTGCGAGAGTTCGTGATATTTGCGGTGAATCGTCGTATCCATTTTCGGAAAAAAATCCTGTGATGTGATAGTAAACAAACAAATACGTGGAGTTTTGTATTTTTTCTAAAGTGAAACCCTGAGAGAGAAACTGAAACTGAATCGTGCACTCAACGTGTTCTTGTTGTCCATTATTGCTTACATAAGGCTGTGTCCGTCTCCACTAGCATTAGCTGCATCATCGTCACATTACTATACGCAAGAAATTCTGTAGCTAAAAGTTACCAAACTCAATAAATCGTTGGGACAATAATACATACTCGAACATTGAGATTTATATATATATAGTTTTGATGAGAATTTGCTGCGTTGACGAAGGTTCTCATTTATGAGAAATCTCAATCTAATCGTACGTACTTTCATGGTGAGACTTATTTTACTGTGTATTTCATTAGTATTGTTATGTATTTCTTGGTTTATTGGAGTTTATAAAATATTTTTTGTCTCGTATTTACTTTTTGGTCAATTGGTCCCTAATTGTAAAATGAGAAAGTATTGCGACTTCCGAGAAGTTTAGTGTACCGGATGCTAAAGTTTTTCCTGCCAGTAATGAACGATTTGAGCAATTTGTACAAAGTGAGCTGCAGAGCTATTCATTTATGCATGATTGTGTTACACACTTCTACCTGCAACTTGACAGATTTCTTTAATGACTTCATCACATGCGATAATTATGAGAGTGTGGCATACGTACTATTTTTACCAGGTTCGTGCAATGACGAGTGTTTTTTATTTACATATACCGTCAAATTGACAACTCACAACTCGTCTATGAATTGGTGTAGGAACTAAGCCAGACGTATTTAGATACTAGGTTACGTGCTACTCACATGAAAGTTAAACACATGTGTTTTTAAACTAATATGATTATGCAATGATCAAAATTAGGTCGGAGCATGCAAATGTTTAAAAAACTTTCGGTTGACATAAGATCTGCATTTGTATGCATGCATGTATGTAGTAAAGTAATAACTAGTAATAAAATGCAAACGCACTCGCAGACAATCACGTTCCAGACCATTACCTTTGCAATCTGATTTAAAAAGCTTTTTTCCATTCTTCCCCCAACTCTCTCACTCTTTTGTTTTGCTGGCATGTTTTATGTCATTTTAGACAAGAGTTCCCGTGGCTTTTTGAATAATTGCCAACTTCTGAATGCCGTTCATCTTCCCAACTGTGAGTTAGATTGGATTGGCAGCAGGAAAATAGAATGGTTGTGGTGTATGTGTAGAATATAAGGTATCCAACGGATGCAACGAAGAAGCGCAACCACGTGATGGGTTTCGCTGGTGAACGTTTTCTCTCCAGCGATTTTGGCATTCGACCACACCCCCAGGGTCACGGATAGGTCTTTCATCCGCATATCTTGAGCAATTCATTTATTGAACCAGACATTCACCATAAGACATATGATAACTTTTGATCAGCCCCCTCGAGGATGTGATCGCAAAGTCTGGTAACGAAATTAGGATTAGCCTTGCGTTCACAGTTAGATCTTAGATCTACATTATCTGAAAAACTTAAACGTTCCGAATCCGAACTTATATGAGACGGACAGAACTTTCCCATAAATTGGCTTCACCTAATAATACATAATGTGGAGCATTTCGGGTTGTGTTTTTTCTGCAAAATATTCATGAACGGTTTAGCACCATCAAGTCAAAGACAACCCGATGGTGGTAGGTAGGTAACACCATGAAGAAAATGCCAAAAGGGAAATGATGGGTGTGCACAAAGAAAAGATTTAGGGGGAGGACGCTAATTGTCAAATTGGTGTGGAGAGTCGCAACCCTAAAAGTTGTGCTTGAATACAGATTTATGACAAGGTTCGAGGAAGACACTTTAATTTGTGAGTTATTGCCATACTCAACGACTCCATAATAATAAGTAAGTGCAGTCTAGTAAAGTCAAGAAGCAGGGAGTTTTTGCTATAGTTTTCAAACAACAAGTAACAAGAATGTGATAATAGTGCTTCTAAGTTTGCTGGAGAAAGCAGGGAAAGTTACGGGACGTGGGAACGTGTTTGCTTCATCTACTCATTATTTACAGACTAGAAGGTGTCGTGCATATGCCAGTTAGAAATCTAATAAAGAAAGTAACATTTTCTCAATTTTCGCATGAGAGATCCAACTGCGTATATTAAGCTCGGAAGGAATATTTTACAATTACCACTAGTAGTTTAGTACTCATTTTAGCAGCAATTTTATTTTATAAGCCTCGGCCAATTAATAGTGACCAATCTCAATCGGCCTCCAGTGGTAGAGCGATTATAGAACTCTCTGCGCGGGGTGAAAATCTCGTCCAAAAAAGCACACACAGCATCATTTCATGTGGCGCCGCCACAGTGGCGGTGAAATCGTGAAACGGATGATGATAAGCTTCTTGCTCTGTCTTGAAAAGAACAATTTTCTCAATTTGTTCCTTGTCAATGAGGCTCTAAAACTCTAGAATAGTACGCTTGTATGCACACTCGCTTTTGTTATCAGTGGGACAAAACCAGAAACTGACATTAACCAAATTATACGTACAAGTAAACAACACGACCAAGTTACAAGTAGAATATAAACAAGTAATTCTCGGTAATAATTCAATTCATCACCACCATTCGCGCTAGAATACAATTTTTCACATGTCATCCAACTTGTCTATACTAAACTAATTTGCCGTCATTTTGTTTTTCTAGGTTGCTGTTTTGTGACTTTCTACACGAGGAAATCTGCCCTAGACGTAAGTAACTGTTTAATTCATATTTAAATTCTATACTTTAAATTTTCACGGCCCAACCTTATGGTACATAGTAGTACATACATATCCAATCAGTGTAATTGTGACAATTAATGTAACTTTTTTTTACTTTATTACAGGCTCAGAACGCTCTTCATAACGTCAAAACTTTACCTGGTGTAAGTACCACCTTTTTATCCTTCCCCACAGCTAAATGTGCATAATAAGTAATGAATCGCATGCTAAATATTATTACTAGTGAATTGGAGTAAATTATGTATTTAGTAGAACGAATAAGTAATTAGGACAAGACATGACACAACAGCTGTGTGCATGTCATGCATATCTCTGCATTGACATCGAAAAGGTGTCTTGTCGAAAGGAAAATTATAATATTAAATCAACATTATTTTCCATGAGTGGTGGCAATGTGGTTCTTCCGACTACTCGAATCCATAATAATATCGAAGCTTGGAGAACAATTGGGTCTTTGGTTGGATCTGAATTTGATAGGATTAATTACCTCTGGGGACTACTGAACTAAAGGACATTCTATTCTACCTACGTGGCTATTGTATCATATTCAACTCATCCGACTACACAAACGTTGTATATTTGGAAGTAGTACACGCTTAATTAATGAGTCGTTGATGCTGTCGGATAATTATTATCATTCTCCTTCTCCTCAAATATCTAATAGTGACTAGAGGAAGCAGTTAATAGCAACCAATGCACTTCATTTCTCATCAGTAGAGTTCAAGTTCCTCTTGTAATAACAGTCTGCAAGCTATCACTTCTCATTATCAAGTTATGTGATTGAGTGAAAGATACTCTTCTGCCATTATCCTGGCTGCCACTTCTGCTCTCCATTTCCTAAAGACTCTCTAAATAGTTTGAGACTTGGAGCTGACTCAAACCAAGATTGTTTGGGGATAGGTAGGTAGAGAAAGCACCGAGTGAACCGTTTTTTTGCGTTGAGGAGTGGAAGTTGAAAATTGAGAAGTGATCATCATCATAATGATGTCAGCAGGAGGAGATGATGGAGGAATCGCATTGTTTACTCGTCGTCTGCAAAGGGAGACTGTTGCTGGCGAGGAGGAGGAGGATTTAAGTTACTTCCTGAGTCGGAGAAGTAACGATGTTGGAAACGGGAGCCACTTTTTCAATAACTCGCAGTCTGATGACTTCTTCTGTCGTGGTGAAAGGACAAGGATGAGCACAGCAACGTCTCGGCTTCCTCTTGGACAAGCTGTAGAAATGGAGGAGGAAGCAAACTCCTCAGAATTTCAAGTAATTGCCCAACTTGAATTGATTCATGGTGGGAGGACGATAAACGACAAAGAAGACTTTTACGTATCTTTAGAAAATTGAGGGCATTTATTTAGCCTAATTTTCGATTTCCTGAAGTACATTTAGTTTTTTGATATCACCCCAAAGTTGTGCTGTTTAAGAATGATAGGAACACTGACTAATGTGCAAACATTATTTTGCAAATAAGAAAAGTGGATTGCGCACCTGCAACAAATTTTGCTATAGAGAGATATAATGTATACATGAATGCATGTAGTTTGGCTCTTCGTGCATCTTGTTCACTAGTGTTTGTTCACCAAATATTTCAGATAGCCAAACCCAGACGCAACTTGAGATTAGATTGTAAATGGAAACTGAAATTGGATTCGATAAGATTTGATGGGATGGAAATGTGATCGCATCGGACGAAGCAAATTGAACGTTGCCTTTGCTTACACAGTAAAATATTATCTGACCAAGTATGTGTGCATGTGCCTACCTACCTACCTACATGCGTACCTAAATTGCCATGTTGTTTGTAACAAATCGTAAACTTTGCCCTATAAATACCCTTTCCGATCTGTATTCCCGTCTGAATTTGACACTCGAATTTCCTCCTCCGTTTTTCTTCCATCTTTTGCTCGTTATTGATTTCTCTTGTCGCTTTCAGTTCACTCTTCTTTTTTTGGTCGCTAATACAACAGGACAAAATTCAAGTTCCAATTCAAGTTTTTTTTGTCTCTGGTATTCCGTGGGGAAAGTAGAGTCGTAGGCATCTGTGCATCTTGGGGTCTAAAATTGAATTGGAAACAAACTAGGCAACATAATGCGTAAAAGTATACATATGTAGCTTAAAATTGTGAGTATGTGACCGCAACTGCGCGTTGGGTGACGCAAGTGTTTCAATATTTCAATAACCACTTGTTTCGGATGTTTTGTCTCATGATTGACTGGCCTATGAGCATTAGTGAGCACAAGCTGGAAGCCCTAAACTGTTCGAATAATATTCAAACTTTGGCAGATATGTACTTGTTGTACTTGTTGTACACAGAGTTTCTGTCATTACAAAAACAGCCAGTCGGATTTATATTCAATTTAAAATCTTGGCATATAAGGTCTAAGCTGTGAATGGGATGAATCTGCTTGCTGGTGGTAGGACGGTGGGACCTCGATGGAGAATGATAGTGAGTTATTTACAATGGAGATTTCTGTGACCTTATGACACCTCAGTATAGATGAGTGAGATGAATCTCCAGGTCGGTGAAGGGTTGAGTAAATTTCAAGGTGGGATTGAGTTTTAAGTGGCTAACTCTTTCGCTTTGGATCCAACAGGACTTTTATCGACTAAAGCTCCTCGATGGTTTCGTTATTTTAAACGGTATTTAATTTACATATTCAATTCAAGCTTGAAACTTCATCAGCCAAACGAAACAACCTCACACTAGTTGAACTCTAAACGAGCTTCCTCTACACGGTGCAGGCAGAGGATGAATTGTGTTGTCTCCCTCAGAATCAGTCAGAGCCCAAGAAGACTATAAATCTCATCCGTCTCATCTGTTTATCAGACCAGGCGTACTCACTTGCTCGTATGTCTGGCACATAAAATTGTGTTTCCTTTGTAATAATTACAAAGGAATTTGAATTATTTAAATTTTGGGTAGTCAATATTGAGCAATAGCATATCAACCCTTGCACTACTAGTCCTGTCGAATCTAACAGCTCTGCCGCCACCGTGCTCGGTACAACGCATCGATCTCCATCGATTGATTTCATTAAAACTTTTAAAATGAATGTAAACTGTTATGGATTATATTTCACACGCTAACAGCAAACTCTACAAAAGTTGAGTACGACATAAACGTATCGTTTTTCATTGCATAAAAAAACTTTATATATTATCGCTCATTTACAAACATAGAATAGTCTAGATTCGTAAAATGAAATTGAAAAATGAGCTGGAAAACTTTTCCATTTCTGAGAAGAAGAGCAGAAAGTTTGACAATTTAAAATTGCTTAACTTCAAATAGTGATGAGTAGGAAGATTTGGGTGTCATCGAAAACGCTATAGTTATACTTTGTACATACTTATTTGTGAACCTCCAGTCCTGGAGATCCTTACTGATTGTTTCGCCACAGAGTGAGTGAAGGGTCGATGTTGACACTTTGTTAGAAACTTGAAAGTTGTGACACATCCTAAGCCAGCCAGTCAGTCAGTCACTTTATTTCATAAAAGTTTGTCTGTGGGCGTTGGTGGTGGGGTGGTTTACTCTAAAGTAAGTTTTCAGACTAAATGAATGAGCGAGTGAGTGAAGGACAAGGGAAATTGACAGAGTGTGTGCAGCGGTGGTAGTTGAGTGGTGGTAGTCGGATTTAATATGATGAAAGCGTCAAGTTGTAATATATTGGAGAAGATTGAACATGTTTTAAAACTCATTTCTCTTTCGCATTGAATTTCAGATGAATCATCCTTTACAGATGAAGCCAGCAGATAACGAGAACCGATACGGTATGTTATTGTGTCAACCACTATTTCCTTCCTATTTCATGCACTTTCAACCCGAACACAATTTAAATCAGAGAGAGCGACAGAGTTTGCTTAAAAACTGTTGGGGATGTGGACTGGTTTACATAAATGCTGATTTCGAAACGGATTGCATTTCAGAGTCCCCCTGATTTCTGTAATTCACTTTGTTTACCCACGCTGTATTGGACGAGTCTCTTTCTCTATATGTAGGAACCACTACGGATCATACCGAGGTATCAAATGGAGGAAAAGATTACAATTCCAAAATGTGTACAGTAACAGTACACATACATGACTTTTTTAAACGGCACAATTTTGTCCAGTTGTGTGACGACCAGAGAATAAACCTTGGTCGGGCAAGGGTATCGTGTGCCCGGGCAAGAAACATTGCGAGATAGGCGAATGCCCGACCTAGGTTTAAAGCCTGGTGACGACATTAGCAACGAAGCATGCGGTCCGCAATGGTCGTACGTGATCGTTACTAATATCGTCACAAATAAATGGACAGAACTACTTCACTCACTGTGCCTAAAACTAACGTTACCTCATTTGACATCTCGGTAATATACACTCAGAGATTTATTTATTTATACACGGCCTCAAATATTTAACCAACCAGTGATACCTATCCTTAGTCCAGTGCTTTGACTTGAACTTTGTTTGTAATAATTGAATTTTGTCCTAGTAGGGTTGGTTTGAGATGAGGAAGGGAGGGTGTAATTTTATTGTTTGTACTGCAATTTCAGAGAGGAAGTTGTTCGTGGGGATGATATCTCGGAAGTGCAATGAAGCCGAAGTGAGGAACATGTTTTCGAGGTTTGGAGTGATTGACGAATGTACCGTCCTTCGTGATAATAATCAGCAGAGCAAAGGTAAGCATTCACAGTTTTACTTCAATATACCTACTCATTTCGAGTCATACAATGTCGACTAAAGTCAACGAAGGTCTAAAATCTGAAAACTGCACGACCATATATGCACATATTTATATACGTTCATGTGTCTGCTATGCTATTTAGCGTAACTATATACTTCTCCATATGTACATTCCATTATATCGGGAAATTGCTGAAATATGCCAAAACAATAGACAAAAGAACCGGATTGTAACAGAATAAGTGGATTGTGTCATACTTGTAGTGTCGATGTGGAGATGTCAGCTTTATAAGTAGGTCGAGTGAATGGATGAGTGAAAAGCGCTGACACTTAATTGTCATTTGGTATGACGCAGTGAAAATTGCTTGAAAGTGAATTCGTGTTTTCTCCTTGAACTCCAAAGAGAAAGTATCGCCCAGGGATCTCAGAGTGGACAGTTTTTCTTAGTCAGCTGATGATTACTGGTGGATAGTGCTAGATGGTATCAGGCATGACGACCAAGAGTGGCAGTGGCAAGTGCAGTTGAGTGGATGTGTGTGTAATAATGTGTCTGACGCAAAAACATGTTTTGACTTTCTCCAGGCTATAATACACAAGGATGTCGAGTGAACTGTACATACATATGTGCATGCACATAGTTATTTACAAGCGTGCTCTCTCATACGTATCGCTCAGTCTTTGTTTTATAAATCGCACACAATCTGCATTTTTGCCTATTTGCACTCACACTTTCTCACCATGTTACGCTAAATGCTTTCTCCAAATCAATTTGTGGCCCGAGTAAATGTTTGTAGGCATTTCGCTTTGCCTCCTCCAAGAATATTCAATTCCATTTGAGTCATTGTGTGCATAGCGCACATAACGCATTTGAGGATTTTATCCTGCAAGTTGCGAGTTAAATGACTCGTTGATCGCCATCTAAAAGAAGGGATGAGATGCCTGTGGGGGGTTCCCTCCTCTCTATCAGTCAGTTCCCACAAAGTTGGTCCGCTCCAGTAATCTAGTGGGTTTGTTTGAAGATGAAATTTGGTTTGTTTAGCTTCAGGGAAACGAGTTGCTTGGAGTAGTGGTTTGAGGAGAAAGTCATGTAAGTGAAAGCGCCGGAAGGTCCAACTCATTGCCTCGTTGAGCAGTAATGTGCTAGTGAGCCGGTAATAATACGCTTAGACAGATATAGATGGCTGGACGACAGGTCTGAAATTGTGTGCTGCTGGGTTGTCTGCCATTAATCTGTGTGAAGATTTAAGGATCGACACACCTCTCCCGTCAACTTTGATTAAACTGCCGATGACTCTCCAACTCATGACTAATTAACTCTTCTTCTACACCAATGGGCAATTCCTTTTAAGCTTTTCCTCGCACATGCACAAACTCCAGTTTTCACCTGATTTCGGCACATGACCTCTTGTTTGGTAATGAACAGTTGAAAAAATGTGTGCATACAATTCTTTCCTGCCATAAATGTTGAGTGTTTTATTCATTTGCCTTGAATTGTAACTGGTCGATCCAATTTTGACACTTGCTCTCCGTTAAATAAAGTACTAGAGCATACATATTGTAGCCCAGTTGTTCGAAATTATTTTTCCGTATTTTTTTCGTATATGTACAACCATGTATATATTTATTAGCAGTAGTGTTTGTCTCATTTTAGTTTTTGGCCCTCCACATGTTTAGTTGACTGAATATGTTGCTCTAAAGTCCATCCCTAAATATCAGTAAATGTGCACGACCGGTCTGTATGGTGGTGCCTCGTGTATTCATTAGTACCACAACCATTACCTATGTACATATATAAATAGGTAGTCGTGTGATTAGTGTAATTGATGGATGTGAAATGTGTTATATGTTTTAATGTATGTAATGTCTTTATTGTTGTGCCAGGGTGTGCATTCGTGACATTTGCGTCCAAACAAAGCGCTCAGAATAGTATCAAAGCGATTCACCACAGTATTACGATGGAGGTAAGTTAACTTGTCTGCTACCACTAGTTTTATACCCTTCGTCATCACTTCGCATTTACCTCATCTCCAGCTTGCCACACAGGCGAGTAATTCATCAATTTTCCCATTTTTTCTTATATGTTTCACCACATCACTTTCCCTCCCACTTGCCATCACCACGACACTCTAGGCTTCTTTACGGCTGTCAACCATGTCACCCCAATTATCCACTTGCTGATGATGATTGATTTACTTTTAGAGGAGAGATTTGCCAACTCAGCTCAGCCGTGTTTTCAGCCACCATTTATCTCACCCAGTGTACGAGTAAATGATTTATAGCTTGCTTCAAATAGCAGTCAAGTCTTGGCAGAAACTTGAATATTTAAATTCATGACCTTGATTTTATGTGTTTGTTGTCAGTATAAAAGAGGAGTTTGAGCCCCTTTAAATCTGTTATTTGCTTATCAAATTTAGCTTGAAATTGACTAACTCCAGGAACGACCAGATTTTACTGATTGATATGTGTTTCTTTCTTTTCGTTGTGTTTTATGTTATGTGGTGACAAATTGAGATTACGTACACTCGCTCGATCAAATGCAGCTAATCCCGTTAATTAGTAAATGGGGAATGAATAGACTCGATAGTTTCTCAAGTAATCAGAATCTGATCACTCATCTTTTGTTTCCCATCACTTTGACATATTGCATTGTATACTTGTTGCACGTACTTATGTGAATAAATTGTGCTTTCAGGGCTGCTCTTCCCCTATCGTAGTCAAGTTCGCCGACACCCAAAAAGATAAGGTGAGCTAAATACTTATTAGATGCTCATTTGAAGTCATTATTATACTTTTGGTATTTATTTACAACAATTTATTCCAGGATCAGAAGCGCCAACAAACCATTCAATCCACGCTTATGGGAAATCTTTCTGCTACTGCGGTTGCTCCCATGTCCCAACCACAACCATTCTTCTCGGTAATTGCTCTCATTATATTTTATGCTGGCCAATAATTTCTGCACTTTCTGGTAGTTTTTTGTTCAAAATTGATTATTTCTAATGCTGAGTTGAACTGCAGCACCGTTTTATTCTTAAAATGCATGCCCAGCCCATCGAGTAGTACTTACTTACTTCCGATACACACAGTAAATTTGTAATGCCAATTATTTCGTGCTGTTTATGTATAGCTCATTTTTTTGCATGATAAACATCATCAGTTAGTTTGTAACATTAGCGTTTACTGTATACTACATTACGATTTCTTATACTATAATCAACCATAAAGAGAAAATATTGGCAAGCGTGGGGTTTGGTTGACTTGTACACAGGGGCTTTTGAAATTGGAACAGATCATTCAGCAACTGCAACAGCCCACACAATCCCAAGCACAGAGCTACTACTCTCAACTGAGCCCCCTTGGCGTGGGTGGACTTGGGGGAATTGGGTCGCTGGGATCGGGGGGTGCAAGTGGAATCGCGGGTTTGGGGTCGTCGGCATCCCAATCGGACTTGGCCACTATCGCTGCTCTCGCCCTTAGTTCCAATCTGAACCCCAACAATCAGCACCATCTCGTCAATCTGGCGACTCTTGCGGCTTTAGGCAATCACGCTTCACTTTCTCCTTCAGGTGAGTACCCCTAATTCTTCTTGCGTATGTTAATCAATCCATAGGTGCGTATTTATGTGGGTTATTGACGTGTTTTGTGTTGTGTTTGTACATTGTATTTGAATAATCCTACATAAATAAGTAACTGTATTATATGTAACAAAAAATCAAGTTGTTTGCTCCTTGTTTCTCATGATAACTTTTCCTGTATTTGATTAACACGTTTCTTTTTTGTTTTTTTTGTGTTTATGTTCTGGTTGGTTTTGTCCTTGCGTTGACTTCAACCTCATTTTTCGAATGCAATTTCTCCTTGGATTGGATGTGACCAGAATTCACTTATGCAGGTGCTAACGGATGTTCATTGGGGTCGACTAGCGGGCTTACAATTGGTAATGGACTTCAGTCAGGTGTGAACATTATTATGTTAATATCTTGTCTTGTTCATTTTGCTCAATACATGTTGCCCAATGGATTTATGTTTTTATGTCAATTGTGCTCTTCTGTTAATAAGTTTGCCTGGCAAGAGTCGGGTGTTATATAATTAGTTTGAACCACTTATGCAACATGTGCATATGAATAACTTGTTGTTTTTATTATGCAGGACTGAGTTCTTTTTCGGGTGGTGCTATTCGAAGTCAGCCCGTCGCCAATAAACAAGTAAGAATCTTCACTGTACGTTGACTCACACAAATTGTAACCCACTTATTTTTATTGATTTATTTATTGGTCAGTCAATTAATTACCTTATTTTTCTGACGAAATTCAGAGCGAAGGGCCCGATGGCAGTAACCTTTTCGTGTATCATTTAACCCCAGAGTGTGGTAGGTTTCTACGTTGTAGTAGTGTTTCCTGATTTTATTCTATTGTCGAAAAATTAATAAAATTGCAAAATATAGGCGATCTGGACTTGGCTCAGATGTTTCAAGGTAAGTTTTTTTAAGTTTTCACCTCTCATTGTTGCAAACTCCTTTGCCAGGAAAAGAATATGTGTAGTGAATATCTACACCATTAAGAAGACTCAAACACTATACGTTCGCTAACAAGTCTTATTTTTTTCAGCTTATGGAAACGTGATTTCTGCCAAAGTATTTGTGGATAAGCAAACCAATCTTTCCAAATGTTTCGGTAAGTATTGGCACGCATCAATCAGCACAGTCGTGCTTAAAAACATTTCTTGTTTTCTCTCGAGTGTCTGCTCCTTGCACGAGGATTAATGGCGATGTGTGTCTACGTGATTTGTTATACATAAGCTTGGCTTTGACTTGGGAAGCAGAAGAAAAAACGTCCCAGGTGTTAGAAATGTCTCCAATTTTCACGGTGTAAATTCTCAATTTGCAGGTTTCGTGTCGTACGACAGCCCAGTGTCAGCCCAGCTGGCTATTCAACAGATGAATGGCTTCCAAATTGGTATGAAGCGTTTGAAAGTCCAATTAAAGCGTCCCAAGGACGCTGCCAAACCTTACTAAAGTGCAGTGATGATGACGATGACGTTGCGAAAAGCCAATCAAAATGAAACAAGTCAATATAAGAATTAAATCTAACCAAAAACGCCAAGTTTCACAATTAATATAATTATTTCATTATCATTGATCCAACTGGACGGATGGATCGCAGATCTTTCTAGTATTTGTAAACAACCAGTTCAGGTCAATTTACGAGTTACCAATTACAAACTATTTTACAAAGAGAAAATATTATTTTTCAACGTATTCCTACCGAGAAAGAGAAAGTCGAAAAGTGAAAACAACTTTTATACCCTTCCATTTACACTGATGACACCACAATTATTCTTCAAATTTCCTCACAAACTACAAGAATTCTGAGCTATCGAAAAAGTGTTGTCAAAGTCAAATCAATCAATCACCAATTGGATCAATACTAACGAAAAGTCTTCAACCATTATCAACAAAATCCCGACCCTGATGACGAATTCTTCCGCTATGAACCAAGAACCAAACCAACCAACAATAGACTGTGTAAGGATAAAACAATTAAATTCATGGCTTTCACTTGCTTTTCATTTAGTTGACAAGTATACTATAATTCTTAGCTGTGTAGCTCTCTATCCATTGACTACTTCTTGACCCTAGTTGAAAAGAAGGAACTTTATAATTTTATGTAAAACAGGATATTCCGTTCTTCGTATAAATAGTCATCGCCTCTCCAATTATTTAAAACTTTAGACGGACCTGTCAATTTTTCTAATACTGACGATGGTACAAAACTTGATTTTGTAATTGACTTAACCATTTAAAAATGCCATGATAAAGTTAATTTTAATTATTTAAAGCTTATTCTACAACTATTCAACACTTGCTTACTATTCCCATAGACTGTTATTTATACAACTATAAAATGTGTTATTCAATTTATTTATTATACCAGATGATGATAAATTGATTTTTTCAGTGTATTTTTTTTTGCTTTGCCATAATATTGCATTATTGCAAAAAACTCGAGCCATTTTACAAGTGCCAAATTAGTTTGCATTGAGTTTGTTTATGTTCTTATATATCTTAGTACGTATTCCAGAGGTGAAATGACAATTGAAACTTTTACTTGCCAAGAACTACGCAAATTATCACAAATTACTATAATTTAGTTATACATATAATCTAGTCCGTCTAGTTTGAGAAGGCGAGACAAAGGAAACAATGATATCATGAATCAGTCAATAGTATCACAAACGGTGAAGTACTTAACCATCACCCGAATTACTTATTTATTCAATTGTTTAAGTTTACTTCTAGTTACGCAAGTCTACTTTTCAGCAAGTTTAGATTAAATCCAGTTCTAGGTTTAAAGGTAAAATTTTAGGGAGTAGCTAAAAGTAAGTATACATAACTGATTGACATCATGTGATGAACTGTGACAATTTTCACCTTAACCAAAAGTAGATTCAGATTTGGACCAATTAACTATTTGCGAATAGTTGATTTGTTTTCGAACATGTTTAGTATCGGGCAAAAATTGGAAGCAAGCTAATCTTAATTATATGTATGTGTGAATATATGTACGTGTACGCAGGGTGTCAGGTTATATTAGCGCATATATGGATACGTATTATCGTGGTTTATAACTTAGCCATAGATTCATTCGCAATTGGATCGTTTTCTTAATACACAGGGTTTTTACGTAATACTTTACATACATATATTCAATGGTAGCTGTTCCTAACGAAATTGCAATTTTGGAATCCAATGCTTATTTCTTTTCAATTTGCGCGATACATTAATATCAACTTGCAGAATTATTACTATATATTGTCTACAGAACTGACCTCGAGCTTCTACGAATTGTAGAGTACGATAGAAAGTGTAATGAGTAATAACGTCGTTTGTTCACTACGATATGCAAACTCGTTTTTCAAACAGCACTCCACTGACCTTCATTCCCTCATTATCAGTATTTCTACATAAGTATGCTTTTCATGCGGTCCATTGTACTTTCATGCATTTCAGTACCAAAGCTATATTAAACTTGCAGTATTCCCTATTTTCGGATGATGGAGAAAGTCAGGAGAAAGGCACGATACTTATTTGAAGATTTATAATTCGGCACCACACTCTTAATATCTGTTGCTACATATTTATTATATATTGCTATTGCTCGCTGGCAGCTTCTGCTCCATATGCTTAACACATGCTTCAGAGGCATATCTATTCGTATTACTTATTATTTATGTATGTTAGTGAGACATATTTGTGTCAATCATGTATCCTCTGTCAATGCAATGTAATGTAAAGTGTAAAATGCAACCGCAAATTAATGTTCGTTTTGTTTACTTGTTTGTTTCAGTGTCACTGAATTGATATGATCGTTCATTCTTTGAAGCAAATCTTCGTCCATATTTTGATTGGCTTGACATGCAAAACTTTCGTTCTTCTCTTCTGCGACCCATCACACAAAAAAATAACCAGACCAAATTCGAACCTGCAAATCCTCTTCCATCCAACACCACTTTCAAATTCATTTGTGAATTATGGTCGAAATTAATGTTGTAATTATGTTATAAATCTGCTACAAATGGTGTCGCTCTCCCTCTCTTTCGTGCCGTTTTGTTAGTTACCTACGCCCGTCCCGTTATTTTATACGTTATTATTATCTCTGTGCATGTTGTGGTGTGCCCATCCACCCCTCATTGTTCCTTTCCTACTTGTTCTGTCCCCTGTTTTATGTCACGTCGTTATTACCGAGTTACAATGTACACTGTCGTTTAATGTACCAGTCGTTTAGCATACCTTCAGCCGTGGCAAATACCTTTGGTGTTTACTTTAATATTATATTTGGATTCCTCTATATTCGCCATCCACGATACGATATATACTTATTTCGTTCGAGCTACCGTTTACTTTAGCAGCACTCTCGTCCTTGTAGTTTAGTTTAGTATCAGTAAAAGCGGACAACCTTTTACTTTGTGTTTCCAGAGTTTATTCACTAGCCAGCATATTATAGTCTAGCTAGATTTTAGATCCCATTGTGGACTGGCAGGGTTAATGGTCATGGTCATATTATTATTATTATCCATTACGGAATTATGGAAATGCACCATCGTGTTTCACAAAGTAGGAGAGAAGTCTTTTGTCTCTTTTGTTCAGCTACCGTTCAGAATAATGGGCGAAAGTAAAGTTGAATGCAAACAAAACAAAATTTATTCCCTGTGTCCTCACACCAGTTAACAACGCGTGTACTCATTCCTGTACGTACACTCTCGCTTACTCGAAAATGTTCAAAATTCGGCACAAAAGAAATTCCCTCTTAATTTGTAATAAACTGCAACTTTTCCTGGACTCAAATTGGTGTTTCCGTACTAATTAATTTATCAATTTGCTAAATGTTGAACAAAAGAGAGAAACGAATCCTGTTTACTTATCTTCTATACTGATGTACATTTTTAGGGCTACCTTAAATATTTATTATTTGAGTCAGCAGCATCTACTATTTATTAGTTACAATGGTAATTCCATCCGTGTAGGTATACTTATTGTTACTACATATTATTCTTGTCGTACTTGTATGTAGTGTATATTTATGTATTGTAATTTGCATATATGTACTGTGCCATAAGTTTGCATTGCACGCGCCGGCAACCCGTGTACGTACGTAATGTCATGTTTTTTTACAAAGCAGAACAGCTACGCACAGGTGAGTCAATTTGATGAGTTTATCTAGCCAAGTCAATTGGAATAATTTTTGCACTGAGGGTGACCGGCTTTAACAGTCGCACTCACGTGTGGGCATAGTCATTCTTGTTAAATATGTGTTACCAAAAATTTAAATGAGATCCAAATCCTTGCTTATTATATCATTTAAGTAAATAAATAAATAAATACGCTAGGAAATGTAGGTTATTTATTTAGAAGGAGCTTTAATTTTCGACTTACTTACTCTTGACTTTCACTTTTATGTTACCAAAATGTGGAGCTGAAACTACAAATTATTTAAAAATATATACATATATATATCTTTGTTCCTTTGATTTTAGGTATGTAAAAATGTGTGTGCTTAAAAGCCGTGCTATTATAATGTGTATGTATATGTTTATGCGTCATAAGTCCGTACATAATTCTTTGGGAAACTTGAGTCAACGGATAAGTAGATTAATTTGCTAGAGTTACATATTGAACTAATGTGTAAGAGTGTCTGCAACTAAATATATCCTTGCTGTTGTTTATTTAAGTTGTCGTTAAGTTATGCATGTCACCAGTTTCTATTAAGTCGAACGTTAACAAGTACCAGTGAAGCTATGACTTTCACCATACAAACTAATCAATGGATATACGCTGTGAACAATCTAAATTAGTAGAATGTAGGGCAGCATTTCACTGTTGCATATATTCTACAGATATCAATTATTATAAACGCAAACAAATTAAATGAACCACTTATAGAGTAGAAGACTTGCTGTTAACGTAATAATAATAATAAAATCGCTATAACGGGGTAATATTATTATAGCCGATAAGTGATATAAAAATATTACGTGTCATATTTCACTTAACGACTTGAATACATGTTCTACAAGATATAATGGGTAGGTAACTGTAACATTGTGTACGTGGTAAATTATTACAGTGGACAATGTCTGCTGATCAAAAACATGGACCGATGATAAAAATTGGGTAAATATACGAGTAAGTAGTTAAATACTATTCTTACGATAAATGTATTATTATAAATATGACTATTATGAACTGAAAGAGCTTTCTATTAATTAATAAAAAGGATATTCAAATATTTCTCAAGGATTTTGGCCTAATTTAATAACCTCGCGACATTAATGGTGAGAGAGAAGTTTGCTCTCACCCAATCTGCAATTTCTGCATTATATTTTATTCTCAAAGTCGCATGCATAGATTCTCCACAAGAACACGGTTGACTTTCCCATGAAAACTTACGGCATTGACTAACTCATTTAGAGAGAGAGAAGAGACAGTAAATCGCAGTTTAGTTTAGCAAGTTAGTTTAGTGGTCCGGCCGCAAAACGCTCCACTGGGAACACTTTCCTTGGACGAGACCAAGGAGAAAACGATGTGATTTCATCTAATCCAACTTGCCGCATATTTCCATTCCAACACTTGGTCTGTGAGCATTGAAATGTGATTATATCATGCTTCTGCACAAATTGTTTAGTTAAATAAAGTTCATCCGCTGCTCCTCAGTCTCTCCGTACACTCCGACTCTTGAGAGTGAAAGCAGGGTCGGGTAATGTGTGATACATGATACGGTCGCCCTGATCGTGACACACAGCTTTGTCCTTCCACCATCACCATTCCATCCAACGCAAGTAATCTGGTGGAGCATAAAGTCTGGGCTGCGTTGTGCATTGCAAATCCCTGATTTTTAATCACGCATTAGAATTATTCAGATATTTTAACATTTAGTTTGTCCTGGGCAGATTAATCTCAGCCTTGGTCGATATCCCCTTTTCTCGTATGTTTTGATATTTATAAGATATTAAACTTTTGACATGTTTGGTTTACCTCATCTCACCTGATTTATGAACCGTCTATGCAGAGAATAGTGCTACTAGGTTATTTGACGCCATGCATAAATTCCGAACCAAGTAAGTAACAACATGTTTGGCTAATTCCTTGGACAAAAGGAGAAAACAAAGGCTCAGAAAATGAAAATGAAGTTTACTCTTCCGCTCCGCCTGGTTCCCTCATTACCATCTCCATTATCATTACCCCGTCATTAAATCTCTTCTCCTTAACTTTTATACATCCATAGCGCTCTTTCTCTCTCTCTCTCTCCATCCAGGGCAAGATTAGCCTCTTATGCAATTTGTGGGACGGAAAACATGTACATGGAGCGAATAGGTCGTGTGTTATTATGTTACATTGAGCACATACTCCTCAGCCCAACGTGGAGAGCAGACTAATAATAATGATCATTAAACTTGATACGCTGAGCTGATGATTCTTTTTGGTGAAAGCAAACCTACACTTTTAGCAGAAGGAGTAGTAACAGGGGGCTAGCTTCAACCCAGCAGTGGAAGCAGTATAATAAAATAATAATGATGAGGGCTATTAACAAAGTTAGGCTTCCGAACCAGAAATGTGCTGCTTGCCCACAGACCGTGCGTGCAAAGGAAAAGCCGGAAGCGGCATTGAACCGAGTACAACATAAATTCTGGGAGGATTTGCAATTAATGAAGATACATTTATGGAGCTAAATCGAAGCAAATATTATATATTACAAATTACCTGGATAAATTTGAATAATCTTTTTTTGCTCATCTCTGTATGGTCACCTATGCATCAATCTACATAAGTAGGTACGCATGCACGTATCCGTCTTCTCCGTCGTAATAATTCATGCATTTTTATATTTTTGAAATGATCAAAGTACATCATAAAAAGTCGTTCTCATTTGAGCTCTTGAAATTGGAAATTTTCAGACCAGCCTTTCATGTTCGCTAGGATTCGCGGAATATCTCTCGACGAGTGAGCATGGGGTTGCGAAGAAGAATGATTAGATGTTCGGTTCAGTATGTTAAAAAATAATTTAATATTATTGCTTCAATCCAACTCAATTTAAGTTTCTTATTCCTTCCTCGTCCATGCTCCTCGATCTTTCACAATGATTGTGCATTGACTTATGTATTTCACCAGCTCTCATGCCAAGTCTCAACTCTGCCTGATGTGGTAAAATTGAGTCATGAATTGCAAAAAGGATTTTCTTCTTTCATTTTACCTCTTTTGTCCCAAAAAGAGTTTTATTCAATTTCGTCTCCCATTGCTACAATGGCATTGGCATTATTGGTCGACTCTTTTATTTCCTTTCAGATTACAGAGAAAATGGGTGGATTGCCTTCAGTTGTCGAACGTCTGGCTAGGATTTATAGGTAATAATATGAATAATGTCTCCAGAAATGGGCAGATGAAGAGAATGGCTTTGCTACATTAAGTATATTAAGTAAGGACACGTGGGGTTTACTTTGTTCTCTGTAGAACGAATGAATCTCATTCGGCCGGAGCTCCAATCGGATGTGCTTCTTCCATTCCGTGAGCCGAGATGAAGAAAATAATAATAAGCTCAACTTGTGTTGCAGCAACTGACACAAAGGACGCGTTAATTTGACATCAAGGAAGTCGTAAGGCGATAAAATTATCAAAGCAGCCGGTGCTAACGTAATAAGAATCATTTTTGACGCTCCTAATCAAATTCTTCCTCCAGCATTGCTTGCGTCAAGTTAATTATCGGATGTTCATTTCCTCCTCGCTTTCCACTACTTAATTAAATGGCACTTTGGCATCTGCATTATGAGAAGAACTTATGAAGTGATATTTCCTTCTGCTCCTTGTCAAAGGTTCCACTCACGTCGAATCTAATTTAATAATAAATCTGCTCGCAGAGTGAATAGTTTGGCATACATTCAGCACCCTTGATTTGTACTCTTCAAATGTAATAGAAGACATTCTAGTCAATAAAAATTCCCTTTTGCTCGTAGTTGAGGGCTGAATTATTTAAAAAGTACTGTCTGCCAACGACAAGCCAAATGTCGCAATATGTTGGTATATAGACCTCTGGTATTTATTCATTTGAAAGTTAATTTTCTTTGAAAATTGAGCAGAGATCTGTAATTCTCAGCTATAGATTGTCTAGTTTCGTTTAATCAGCCTGTGCCTGTAGCAGCTCTGCGAAGATTGTGTGCAGTAAATCTCGACTCCTGTTGTGACCTAAATACATGGGCGTGAGATTACGGGGAACATGGAGGAAGAGATCCTTTGAAAAATCAAGGCTTTCAATGCAATCCATTTGAAGTAGCAAGTGACTGGCGACTCATTAACGTAATGAAAGTCAATGTTGTCCTTTCCCAATTCATTTCTTATGTCGTCATGCTCCTCAGCTCGACGCCAAGATGCTCGGAGAAAAGAAAGTCGGATGGTGACAAACTAACTTGCCTCTTGGATTGGATATAGAAAACAAATGGGCAAATGAGAGAACGTGGAGATGAGATTAATTGAGAGGGGAGCGAGCGACGCGTCAACAAACGAATCAGTGGATCCTCTTTCTCATTTGTTTGCCACTTGGCTCTTATTAAAGTTCTTCACTCTTGTCCATTTTCTTACCCGGAGTAGTTTTCTCATCGACACTTGGGCTCGTTTGATGGGAAATATAATCAAACAGATTTTGAGAATCAACTACATTCAGGAATTACATCAAAGACGAGTTTACTTTCAGTAGACATGATTAAATATACACGCAGCAAAGGTTGCAATTTTCAATGCCAAGTAAATACACGTAAAGTTTAGGAAAGCGGTTTAAAGCTCGTAGTACTTGGTCATATAGGCTGTAAAATGCAAAATTCTACACTGAGCGATTACAATGGAGGACCCAATATTTATTTCAAGATTGTAAATCACTGCAAAGAAAATGACTGTCAAGAGGTCCACCCCTTCGTCCAATTATTTCCTGGGTGCACAATCTCCATGCGTATCTAGGACGGATGGGAAATGCAGGGAGAGAAGCAATTATTAGATGCAATGGCCTCGTTTGATATATTTGCTGGAAGGAGGAGGAGGAGGAGGAAAAGGAAGATGATAAACGGTCCTCAAAGTTATTGGAGATATCTCATTCCCTCCCTTTTTATTGACCTCTGAAGAGTGTGCTCCCACTCCCAAAACTTTATCTACTCGCAGTTTCTTCCTCCTCAGTTTTATCCAGTGAGTGCCATTCAATCGGATGAATGGCAATCTAGAGATTAAAATGATGCTCGGAATATTTATATCCAATTCAGAAATTATCAAGTGAAATGTGAGACAAAACCCTAAATTTGAACGCATCTATCCAATTAATTAAATTCATAAGTAGTTGCGCAACTCTTAGATGAGGATTGACTAATTTTGTTCTAAAAATGGAATATTTATAGTGCTTAAAAGGAAGTGGGTTAAAACCGCAAGTATCAAAATGCATATCGTCACACAAATGCAATGTCTGTCTCTGTCGGGTTGTCGGTTCGTTATTGGGCTAATGGCACTTTAAATGTGCACGCTGTTGGGACGTGGACATTTTCAACCATTTTCTCAACCTCAAATTCCTTTACTTTTTTTTCTCTCTTTCTCTCTTGACGACTTCAACTCTGGGAGAAGATTTTCTGGGGTGGGTCGAGAGATCCTTTTCATCAGAGAAAGTGTGTGTGTATATAGCGTTGAGTATCGTGATCATCGCCATATCACTCTCTCTGTTTTCTACGCCTTCTCTTCTTCTGTCCCGTGTGTGTGTGACTCTTTACCTTGACTGGTCTGGCGGTGAAAGCCACAAAATTGCGGTGTCTCAGTCCACTCATCCGTGTGAGATTGTGATTAGTCTTTTCCGCCCTTTGCTTTCTCCATCGGGCATTCTCTCAGAAAAAAAAAATCCCGCAGCTTCACATTCCCATCCTCTCCTCCCCCCACTTCTCCTCGCTGGTCACTCATCCAATATCCTCCCAAAGTCCAGACCAGCCACCACCAAATTCTTTTCTCAGGCCTAAGTGAAAGAAGGCTCAAGGGATATCCTCCCAGAATTTTTTGTGCTGATTTTCATTTCGTTTTAATGGTTTTACCCTATTCAAAAAAGCCGAAGATTAGGATTCACATGGCTTAAATACAGATAGATGTTTGCGATAGATGACTGTATAATGATCATCATTGTGGATATTTTTTTTATATTTCGTGAAAAACCTGAATTGATGGACCTACTTGAAAAAAAGTATTTTCTTTGTGGGATTATAAGCTTCGTCAAAAATCAGTCGGTGCAGGAATTGCTTACTCAAAGTACTTTTTCATGGTGGAAGAAGCGACATTTTGCTATTGACCTGTAAAGCAAAGCGTTGCTGTAGGCTCACGTTGCAAACGTGTCATGTTTTCTTTTATCAAAATTCCTCAGGGAACCGACTTGGGACCAAATCGTCCAAGTTTCGAGTAAGCATTAGTTATAGTTGGCTTTGTTACAGTTTCCGTGCTACCGAATTCTTTTGCACCACTCGGGGGAAAAGGATTCAATACATTTCTGTGCACACAAGATAAATACATAACGAATTTCTGACTATACAACATATTAGAATACAATAAATAATTGAGGGTGAAAAATAATGATGGACAGCTTACACGAATTTAATGTGTCATTAGAGAAACTTTTATATAAAATGGACGCCTTCCTCTTATACAAACAGACTGACAAAAATTGGAAACAGTTAAGCATTTTGTGATAATTTGAATCAATAATATGACAGTCGGAGAGATCTTTGGTCAACAAACATGCCCTCCAAACACACACTGGAGCAACCACTAATGGCAATGCCTCCAAAATACTTGAGATAATAATGTAGTAATAGCAATATCAGGGAATATAAAAGTGCTCAATTTATTCCCCCGTATTTGCAATGGTGTGAAATGGTGGGTGCACTTCCACTTCCTCGTTCTTGGAGCCGTGCATACTTACCGAGAGCTTGGGGCTGGCTACAGGGAAGGAGAAAACTAAAACAGACCATTCATATGTATTATATAAACTCCACCTCTCCTCGAATTAATCCATTGGGAATCATTTATTCTCCTCGGCTGATACTTTCACTCTGTTGTGTCAGTGTTGAATAAATAGAAGAAATAAAACGACCCTCGCATTGTTCCTTCTCCTTCCAACGCACTCCTCACCTTTTATTCATTTCTTTCCACAACAAGTATGGGCTGCCTTTCTTTTCAAATGGGGACGCTTCAAATATCGGTGAAAGTAGGAGTTGGGCTGGTCGGACTCGGATCTGGTTATTTCTACTGAAAATGCTCACAAAGTTATGTTTGGAGTACAACTCGCTGGAAAAGCTTGCACTTGACGTGCAAGTGACAATTGCAATTTGCCACATCAGTGTGAAAAATAGATTTATTTAATTTCGAGAGTTAAATTATTGCACTTTCGAAAATTTGTGATATATCACAAAGACGACAGCTCGAATGGACCACCCACCGGCTATTTGTTTGATGCTGCTGGTACAGGTTTGGAAATGGAGAAAGAAAAAGCAGTCGTAACCGTCAGTGGATCGCATGGTTGTGTGTCATTTCGTTTAGCAGAGGAGGGCCGAAAACACATAAAAGTGGCTGTAGTGTGGTCTTGTGAGATATATGCCCCTCATAAAAGTAAGACCAAATGCATTCCCCGACACTAGGCTATCACTTATGGCGAATAATGAAGAAAAAGTGCCAATGAAATGCACCCCTCTTCAAATAAAATTATCCAGTCGTCTTCTTAAGTCAATAGTCATCCTTCCTTCCTCATCATCCCAGCTCGCCCCCGCTTCCTCCCAGCCCAGCCACGGGCCAACCCATCGCTTCGTTCTCATTTCGACTTGATATCCCCACAGTCAAATAATTAGATACGCCATTTATTTTCATGAACTGATGGTGGAGCTGCAGAATTAACCACAAGAAGACTCGGATTTTTTAGTACTTTCTCTCCCTCTCGCTCCCCGGTTCATTCAAGTCCCTTGCCATCAAACTAACTTTTCTAGTTAACAATTGTGTTTGGGAGGACCAACTTCCGAATTATGTTTGTGAGATATGCACAAGTATCCGTCACATTCAGATCTTATCCCTTCTTTTCTTGACTCTTTTCTCTTACCAGAAAAGTCACTAGAAATCTTCTGTCCGTAATTTATGCAAATCCGCGATCAGCATATTTGTTGGTACATAGACAAACCTGATGCGATATTGTAATAAGGCTGGGATCGGATGATGCACTGGTGATACGACGAATGAGTGGGCGTCGTCGTGGACGAGGACCATGGGATGCACCGCAAGCTACTTAATGTTGGTTGCTGCTGCTGATAGTTGATGATGATGCCACAGAAGAGATGATCAGCATGGAATGGAAATGGTAGATTTGTTGAAATAGGATGATCGTAAGGGCCGATTGGCTCCCAAGATAGGGACGACTTTATAGTTGCTGATATGTCCGTTTGGTCGTAAACATGAGTTCTCCTTCGCAATCTTCCTTTTCTGCCACTTTCTTTCTCCTCCCTCGCTCACTACCCATCCAGTCTGACTCAGCTCGCAAGAAATTATTCCAATCCCTCCAACATTATTCGACTCGATCTACTTTTTTCGCCAATTTTTCCCCCAAATATAGACACACACATACAAGGAATGAAAATAGTGAAAAAGCAGCAGTTTTCCTCTCTATAATGGACTCATATAATTTGAAATGTGTACCCAAATCCGGTCCTGGGAAGGCTCCACAGCTTTCTCCCGTTATATGCATTTGGTCTTTATGCCCATTCAGATAATACATTGAGTTTCCTGCTACAAAGGTACATGGATCAGGTGGACGAGACCTTTTTACACAACTGGAGAGACATGTATGTAAAATAGCACCACTGGTTCTTTGAAAGGACGAGCCTTTTGTCACATTTGTCTTTAAAGTATCTTTCGCCAATTGAGATCATTTCAAAAGGAGAGAATCCATTTGCAAATTGGGTCGTACTCATATTGAGAAATAAACTGAAACCTTTGAAACCGTGCATGCGTTGCGTTGAAATCTTGCCTCACACCGAAAAGCAAAAATCACAAATCCGACTATAGCTTGATGTTTGCATAAATAGTGAAAAGTCAACGTTAACCGATTGCGGGAGAGAGATCTCATAATACATAAATCAAATTTCTATTTGAATATGCCATCCACATGCTGCATGATTTCACAGCCAAATTTTCGGTGCCCCGTTTGGTTGAAAGGCTTGACCACTCCTTACGCAGGTCATACCACACGTTACAACTATGCAGCCAACCTTTCCTCCTTGGGGCAGTTTGTCCTGTAAATAAATATACAGCGGATGAAAGAGGAAGAAAGGGGGCTGAAAAGTCAAGTCATGGAATGGACATGGGTGCAGCATTTGCTGTTGGAAGGAAGTGGAGTCAAGTGAATACAAGAACCGTTCAAGTAAGTAATCCGAATCCATTCAAGTCCATTCAATTTCCAATTGTTTATGCATGATTTGATCTCACGAGAGGAGGGCGCATAGGAAGAAGAAGGGCTCTGGAGACTCCACTTTCTCCTCTACTACATATGAACATACACTGCATATCCTTCCTGACCAAGGTATTCTGACTCAGGGTTTTATTGAGTTGGGTTTTTTGGGCATACAACCCATTGGGTTTTACCATGCGAAGTGGGTTTTATTTGAGTTTTATTGGATTTTATTGGGTTTTAACTGGGATTTACAGTAAAACTACATTCTAAAAGTTTGAAACATCTCTCAAAATTTAGTCGAAGTTATTTCAATACGGATTAGAATTTCATTTCGTCAATATTATAATTTCGGAAGCCCCGAATAAATTGACCATTGACAATTTCCTTTGCCATCACAGTTTTCATTTGATACAAATAATAAAATTTTTGAACAGAAACAAATTCTAACAAGGAGAATTTGTATGATTTAATTTGCATTTGCAACCCATCAATACCCATGGGTCGTTACTTTTTTGATTAAAACCCTGTTTTTCCGAACCCTGTTTCTGACTGGCTTAAGCCGGAGTGCACGGCGGACCATCACGTTCGGATTTGCTAATGTAATGGATATTCATTCCAAGCCGAGTCTTATGCTTTACTTGCAGTAACATTTTTTTTTACTCACTGTTGTGAAAATTCTTTGAAAAGATTTACTCCAAACTGGGTAACGCCCTGTTTTAAGGACACTTGTAAATTTTGAAGATAAATGATGAAAAGTTTACAACAGGAAGAGGAACGATGTTACACACATAGAAGGATTGAAAATGGGAACGCCATTCACGAGACCCTTATGGGTGATGGCAATGGTGGTGAATGACTACAAATTGGTTTTTCTATGAATCACTGAGCTTCAAGAGAGAGGTTCAAAATACCCATTTTCTTCCTTGTTTTCATGTGGATATAAAATTGAATTCAATTTCTAAACCAGTCCAGCAATTCTCTCCTTTCGAAAAAGGTTTTGGAAATTTTGTAGCTATGATAAGTATGTACCCAAGGGTTAAGTCCCAGCTATACAAATTCTGGAAAGGTCTGAAAAGTACGAATAGGAATAAATACATGATTGGCTTTGTTTGTCTCAAATACACGCATCTACCTGCTACGACAGGAGAAATTTGTAAACATGACTATAAAGGAATTTTAATACGAATCTCACAAACAGCTTTCCCCACAGCCGGAGATGACTTATTACTTTTGTTTGGAGTTTTGCATCTGCACAAAATGACTGCACTATTTTGAGTTGCCGATCATGAATCATGTAGGGACGATTCAGGGTTGGGGGAAAATTGAAGGAAAATCCCGGCGGAATGAAAGCAATTTACTAGTTCAGTCAGTAGTAGCTGCCTAAAACTGTTTAACCCTTTTTTCTATAGTTCTCTTTAAGCGTTCGTTCGAGAAAAATGACAAAGCAAAATGGCAGAAGTTTAGGATCGAGGGTAATCATTTACTAATGCATCAGAAAGCTCTTTATTTGCTACACTTCTCAAATATTTATTTGCGCTTCAATTATTTTTTCTCCTAAAACTGCCTCATTTTCTTGTGAATGTTACATGATAAAATTTTAATCTTCTTGTCTATCATAAAAATAATACATGTAATGCTTATGTGTACGCACGATTTATAAAGTGAAATAAAACTTTTAATTAAAATAAAATGGATAAAATATTATATTAATTGATGAAAAAATGATAAAAGTCTTAACTCGTAAGTAATCTTGGTGAAATTAATCTATAATCTTGACTGTTCCACCTGAAATGCATTCGTATTGTGAAGGCCAACGCTGACGACCCCGCTTTTGTAATTGTACTGAGCATTTTGATGATTCCCATTGTTGGAGCCCATTCCAAATTGGATGTTCCCAAACTGAATCTGACTGCTTTGACTCATCCCTTTGACATCCTCCACATGCTCGTAACAACTGGTTGTTAATTAAAAAAGATGTTCCTTTGTAGGTCCAATTGTCCTGTTGCTAATTTAGTACGAGTAATAACCTTACCTAATCCCATGTTCTGCTTGGTCAAGGCCAGCCCTTTCCACCTCAATGTCAACGCGGAGGCTAAGTCCGGGGATTTTGTTCATAATCCACAAGATTATGAAAGTCACTACGAAGCTCCATGCAAGTCCGGCAGCAGTATCCGCCAACTGGTGTACTACATGGCATTACATGTAAATATTCTATTTCTATGTATCACATATTATTGTATTTGTTTGTATTATTTGTTTTACCAATTTGCATGTAGTGCCCATCAAGGAAACCACCTTCGATGGTGTCGAATGCGTAGCTCTTTTGTGCAAATATGCCAGTCAAAAGGTTTCCTACAATCCCACCCACGCCTGCAGACATCCATTTTAATTAATTCCCAAGTCAGCGTGGGATAGAGATTAACGTAAATACCGTGCACAGCAAAAACATCGAGAGCGTCATCGTAAGGCAAGAACCGCTTGAAATTTAAGGCCTGGAATAAGTATTATAAATAGATTTCGATGTCCGTAATGTTATTTTTTCAAGTTTCGTACCAAGTTGCATGCCATAGCGCCACACACTCCGAATGCGATGCTGTAAAAAGTAATTAATTGAAAATATTTTGATCCATAATTTTGTACTTTTATATTTTTACCTGCTTCCAGGTCCAACGTATCCACAGGCAGGAGTTATGCACACTAATCCAGCTAAATAAATGTGCATACACCTTTATTATGATCATCTTAAAGGGACGCCTTTGAAATTGGTAACAAGTTTTTTTCTACGTACCAACGGCTCCAGCACAAAATCCGAGAGCAGAATACTTTTTCTCATGCCTACAAAGTTTAAAAACTTGTTCATTCGATTCCTTGACCATTTTTGCAATGTCAATTTGATTTCTAAGTTTTAGATACCTGTAGTCCAGCAGGACCCAGGTGATACCTCCTACACATGCAGACAAGTTCGTCACAAAGCAGGCCATCACTGCTTGAATATTTGGTTGCAGTGCTGGAAAATAATAGGTACGTAAACTCATGAAATATTTGTTTTCCATTGAATGTGTAAACTTGAACTTAAATTATAAAGATTTAAATGTGTAAACTTTATTTGTAAGAAAAGGGAAAAGTTTCACTGAGTTACAAATAGCATTACGAACCTGAGCCACCGTTGAAACCGAACCTAAAAATAAGTTTATTTATTCTAAATATTTAAATAGTAAGCAGTGCAAACTGTAAATTCCTGGATCCGTACCAACCAAACCAAAGGAAAGCCGTCCCCAGAAAGACATTCCTGAGTACAATTACATAAAGTCAGACTGGATATGACCTCAGAATTTAAAGCAACAAAATAAGGCACAGAAAAAGACTCACGACATGTTATGCGGTTTGAACTCTTCTTTTTCATGAGCCCTCTCGCGATGACCCAAAATCACCGCGTACGCCAGAGCCGCAGCGCCACTCGACACATGCACTGGCGTTCCCCCAGCAAAGTCGAGACCACCCTAACCCAAGTAATTCGTTTAGTTTATATATTTCATAGTGCGTATAAAATACAAATAAGAACGACAAAAGACATTTAAGGTACCATTTTTGCGCCCCAGCCGTTCTATGCCACGTCATAGAAAGATTTTCAAGAAATAAATTTAGAACATATTTCAGTTTTCAAGAAGCAAAGAGTGAAATTACTTGGTTCCAGGTCCAGTATGCTAACACATCGTATACGCATGAAGTCCTTTTTCAAAATTAATATGTCATAATAATGAGTCATAATAAATCCAAATGTCTTCTTGAGGTCATAATGAGGAATACGTACGCCCTTTACAATGTCAGATCTTGATGCCCTTTGGATATGTTGCAGGTCTACACGAATGTAGAAAAAGTGAAGCAGGATTAAGGTCCATGGGCCCTAGTTCGTTCGCCACACCCCTTTGAAGGCGCGCCCGATGCGAAACTAGCCGTACGAAAAAATTCACCAAAAATCCAATTCTGCTTGGATCTGCATAATTTTAGCATATTCTTCATCCCAGATAGTTGCTTTATCATATACAATAGTAAAATCAGCTTTTTGGAAACTTTGAATATTTTCGAATATTTCCTGAATGGCTCGAAAGAATACAAAATTTCAAAATACTTGGGATAGCTATTGGATATGATAAAGCAACTATTTGGGATGAAGAATATGCAAAAATTATGCAGATCCAAGCAGAATTGAATTTTTGGTGAATTTTTTCGTACGGCTAGTTTCGCATCGGGCGCGCCTTCAAAGCCGGGCGAAGTAGGGCCCATGTACCCTTATCCTTCACTTTTCTACACTCGTATAGATCTGCAACATATCCAAAGGGCATCAAGATCTGGCATTGAAAAGGTCGTACGTATTCCTCCTAAGTTAGGTTAGATTAGGTCAATTTACCATAAAAATATGAAAATTGTCGTCGGTAAAAATCTTCCTCGCTCCGCAGCAGCACCAATAGCCAAGGCCGGCGTTATCGCTGATTACAAAGTAACAAGTATAAGTACAAACTTACAATGTAATGGACATTATTAAAGTTATTAACCTGCAAACATTCCTTGATAAATGCAAAATGCTAAATCTGGTATCGCATTATTCACCACGTTCGGCTCGTTGTAAACCTATTGATGAGAAGAAGCGAGTTCATTGTTGAGTCGTTAATTTTCATCGAATTAAAAGGATGACAATGTTTTACGTCGTTGAGAAGTGCATGGTCGAAATTCCCCACAAAAAAGGACCCGGTCTTGCTAAAAGTGAGAGAAAATCCAAACAGGAACCACTGTAATGGAGCACAACAGGAAATAAGAGGACATTATTTTCCAGGAATAAAGCAAGGGTCGTGGAGGGGGTTGAGATGAAGAGCTTAATAACACGGACACCAAAGACGCAGCCCAGTTTATGGCCAATCACGGCGACGGAAAAGTGTTGATAATTGGACTCTTGGTAATACAGACGCCCATGAATGTACGTAATTACTGAACGGATATGTTCTATATGTCTACTAAAATACAGGCAACTCGCATGTACTGCATTTCCTTTTACTTTTCTGAACAGGGATTACACCTCCAAATTCCATGAGCTCATTTTGAGAGTCGCATCAAACTTTAATTATTTACTTGGAGATCATTTTGAGAGTCGCATCAAACTTTAATTATTTACTTGGAGATCATTTTGAGAGTCGCATCAAACTTTAATTATTTACTTGGAGATCATTTTGTGCAAAAGAGAGGAATGCAAACTAATTTACCTGCACTGAGACAACAGCAATGGACCAACAGCTCAGCATGATAAGAGACAAGGCGCTTTTGGACCGTGCCATCCCAGAGTAAAAATATCCCACTCCTGGAATCATCAACCAGACCAGTGCCGTGGACGCGAGTACGAATCCAGTATCGCCAGGATTGTAGTTGTGATGCGGTGCTCCACCCGAAGTAGTGTCATTTGTCGAATGCTCCATAATGACGGCGGTCACTTAATTGGCGACGGTGTTTTTTTCTCCGAAAGGTGGACGGCTATTGCCCCAACGTGTCCCAATGTCTTAGGTGCCCAGTAAAACTGTTGCAATAACTGGCAATTTTGTCTCGAATTGAAGGGTATTAAAGGAAATTACGGTGTAGATTACGACTTTTCCCAATTACTGCCTCGGATTCTTTCATGCATGTGCTTGCCTGAAAGGAAATAAATCGACTTGAACGAACGGAACAAACATCAAAGTTGTCGAAAACAAATGTCATGAATTTTAGGGTGCAATACAATACGCATTGCATAACATAATCCAACACGACATGAACTACTGGACGTTAACACCTGCACTCTCATAACACTGATAAACAACAATATCCTGCACGTAGGTCAGAAACCACCTGAAATTGAAGTTAATTTAGTCGTCCTTAAGTTGAGTCAAGTTCCTTTACTTAAAGGTATTGCATACACCTAAATCATGTACACAAAATACACCTTCGACTGCTTTAATGATGGGTTTGAGGAATGAGGTCTGAGGTTCTCAGTAATGCAAGACATTGAGGGTTGACATTTTAAATATTCATACACTCACATACACTACACTGTTGTAGGCCATCTATCTCATTCCAGGCTGCTATTTGTGGAGTGAACCACAATTCGCTTCAACTCTGATAATATGAAGTAAGGATTTTTTAAAAGTTTTCTTCAGAGATCTACAGTTTGCATTTTCATGCCTTTGCTACTCAATGAAAATCGTTCTTCAATTCCAATGGGACTCAATCAAATATTTTGAACATAAAGGAATATTGATGGAGGTTAGTAATGCCCACGTATGTAAACACATACACTGAAATCTGGCTGTCGTTCCTTGCTATGCAATAATTTCTATAATCAAGGTAAGGTTTTCGCTATATTGGGACACTGCATGCATAAATGGCACTTGTCAAAACCACCTTAAAAACTGCATGACGTAAACGCTGTCTTAATAAAAAGTGCATTGGCTAGCCATCAAGAACGTAATTGGATAAAGTGATATCTCTGACAGTGAAGGATAGCAAGTTTAAGAATAATGTACCTATTATATGCATGTAGATGTATGTAATACACTTCTTATGGTTAGTATCATTTGCATAATATCATACGCATGAATATATATGTAACATTATAGGTGGTCACATACATTTTACACGATATAAATCAATTTTTTGCTCCAATTTAAAGCTAATGAAATTTAAATAGGAACGTGCAAAGCAATGAATCAGCCAATTCCATGCATTTGCTAGACTCATATTGCCACGCAATTATTTGTGTATTTGTATTAATGATGAGTGGCGATAACAATGGGAAATTTAACATGGAAATGCATTAATCCTTGTGTAAAGATAATCTCAAAAATAGAAACACTAATTACAGACACACTCCGAAGTATATTTTTTGTGCTTAAGTACACGGTAAATTTTTGCCTACGTGATGATGACAGAAAAAAATGAGTAGTGCTGTCCAGCAAGGTTTAGAATATTCATGCATTTAATAATGTAAAGCATGGTCATTTGAACGTAAATCTTGCTAATTTTGAATGGAAGGTGACATTGGTTTCTGTTTCTAATTATTCTCAGTGCCAATGAACACTTCATCATCATCGTCACGAACATTTGTAATTATTGTTTCGCCTGGCTCTAGTTTTTAGAGAAACAAATTTCTGTTGCCTCAAGCAATTGCTCCTCAAACTGCGTAATCTTTGGTTAATCCTAAACATCTTAAATTTAATTGACATTCAAGAAACGCTTAAAATTTAATCTAATCTTAATATACAGATTCTTCTATTTTGACATTTGACACCCTCAGTTTGTGGATTTATTACTTTTTTTATATATCTATTCTTAAAGAGCGCGATACAAATGCTATCTTGAACTGAATGAAAAATATTAATTATAGCAAATTAATCAAAAGTTGCACATACCTCAAATAGCTCACAAGTGAAAATAAAATGTTTCTCAGCCACTGGACAAAATAGTACTATTACATTTCATCACTTGCAATGAACAAATAAAGTTATGGGTAAAATGCATGTGTGAGTAAATAAAGTAGTATGTACCTGAATTTATGAAAATGCCACTTGCTCTACTACAGCTCAAACTGCATGCACCTACAATACACAGATTACTATGTGATAACTGATGTGGGTTCTTCTTCTTGGAATGGCTAGACGATTTACCACAAAAGTGTATTTATTCGTAGCTTCATTTGATGGTCAGTTTCTACTCATTATCCGCGTAGCACTAGTTTTTGGAGTAACAATAACATTATGAAAAGCACTGCCGTTTTTGAGTTCAGTGTCACCCAAGACTATTTCTATTACAAAAACTTGTGATGGAAATACCTGGTGGTCTAACAATAAGTTATTATGAGACATGCGACGAGACTCTGATTATCCAATAAGTCGGTTTATGATTCTGGAGACTTTTTCCTTCTTGGTACCACATTTTGTACTAATGATATTATTGCACTACTTACTTAGGAAGTATTACTTCTGTGCTGTATTATGCACTAATGTCCTTGTTTCTCTTAACTAACCTCATCCCACACAAACAAGTCCCATAATCACTCGTTCCTCCAACCTATCAACATTGACAGATTATAGAACCATCAAATCGATATGATATTTCGTAGTTTTTATAGCAAATCGTTAGAAAATGTCTCTCACACACCTCGAAAATAGCGATAAACGTATAGAACGCACCTGGCAATGAGTTACCTTCTTTGATGAGTAATGATTGATGAATATTGCAAAAACTCCTTGCGAATTGTCGGACTACTTTGCTTCATGAAACGCACTGCCTGAACTGTACTTATTCACCGCCCTCGTTGCATATGAAATTACGAACACAGTTTATTAGGTAGCATCATAAAGCAAACCAATATGTATAGATTGCAAACCAAGGTTTGATCAGTGAACGCCATACAATTTGCAGTATAAATTTGCCAACTTTATATTATACTACTCATCCCAAGCTAACTTTATCAGCAATTATTTAATATGATATGGGATAAAATCGGCCATTAATTCTTGCATGTTGTACTAAAAGCACAAGTCAAACAATGAAAATCAATCTTTAAATTCATGTGCAGAAAAAATACAAATGGATAAATTCCGTGAATTTACTTTGCTAATGGGTTGTCACTGTAAAAGTTGTAGCAATTTTTTGCATGGAAGTGTCCACTTATTTCTGTATGTTTGTATTTAAATTTGAATACCTGCTATTTTAGTGTCAGTTTTTACCAGTTTTTCAGATATTGGGAATGTAATCCCAATTTAGATACATTATTACATACTGGATAAAACTTGGAATTTCGAAATTCGTCCATGTATCTAGTAAATTGTTGGATAGAACGGAAAAACATTTCACTCAGGACGGAATAATACGTAATGTGGAACAAGTACTTGATTGCATGTTGCCAACCGAAGACAGTTACAGATTAAAGTTGCGTGTGTCGAGGTTATTCCGTGGACAGCGAGATAAATCTGGTTTTTCTCAAGTTGCCTTCTTCTTCGGACTCAATTTTACTGAAATTTTAAACCGTTTTGCTCAGATATGCGGTACTAACAACATTTGGGTCCAAGAGTTTTAGAAAACGTATCAAATTATCAACCGTTTGATTCAAAGCAATAAAATAAAATTAACTAAATGAATATGTACCTGAATTCATGGTGTACACAGTACATATGATGATGTGCACTTTCATACAGCATACTGTTAGATGAGATGCTACTAAAAATGCGAAATTTCCATGCATCCAACTGGGATAACAAGCCGTTTGCATTTAATTCTTATAAAAAGATTAAACAAAGAATAAAATTGCGTGTTTTTATCAACGTAAGCACTAATAAAGTGGGTTTAATAATTACATCCCTGCTTTGTAAAAATTTCAAGCCATTCTTTATTTGTACGCATTTATTCAGCAACAGTACAGGACAACAAGTTATCAGTCAATTGTCTTCGTACATATACCATGTCACGCTATAAATATGTACATTTCACAGCAGGCCATTTTTTAATCCTCTTGTCTCTCAAGGTCCAGGAATATGTCGCATTTTTTTATTTGACTGCGGATTCTCTGCCTTGATTAAAAAATTATAGTGCTGCCAGCAACAAGACATTTCTATCTTTCATCAAATTTGGTACATCCTGGAAGTTCCATAGCTTCCGAAGCCTTGAGAAAATTTATTTTAAAATGCAACCTGCTATTTACAATCGTCTACGTTATGCAACCACAAACAACAGCCCAATTTGGGAGACAATAACATTAGCATGCATAATATTCTTGTGCAACACTGGTAATAAGTGTATGGACTTCCGTTGATGTATGCAGCTCTAATGAATTGAAAATAATGAAATAGACCGCGACGCTTCATGAGTTTGTCCCCAGCAGAGGCATTGATGAAGGCAGCGACGAAGGCTGGAAAAATGGATTCATTTCTACCCACGTCACCGGAAATAAATACGGCGGATAAAAATTGGTCAGATAACCTTTGTCCCCATTTCCAATCCTGTGGACGGAAAGAGATGTGACAGACTGCTACTCCTCCTCGTCCAGTGTATTGCCCACTCGGGCGAAAAGTTGAGAAAACTGCCAAAGTTTACAAACTTTCACCCCATCTCGAGCAAGAGCAAGATCATCCGTATCTGTTATCACCATCGAAGGTGGTGCTTTTCTCAAACTCTAAATCCTTGCTATAAATTTTTTTCTCCAGGCCAGACAGTTTTCTTGACTTGGATGCAGCACGAATTTATTGGTCGTAGTTTATCAGTTCATGGGAAAAGTTTAAAAGTAGGGAGATTCTTATGTCAGTCGTGCAACGTTAATAATAATGCCAAAACTGAAATGCAGAGCAGGAGGAGAAGCCATCCTCCTAAAACTTATGTACACACATGATTCCATTGTGCACGCATAATATAGTATGCATAGACTGTGGCTTTTATTAGCCTGGGTGTACATATGTAAGTAAGTATAAGTATGTGCATGTAGATGAGTATCGGTAATAAATACATACATATCAATATCCAAAATCTTTGTATTCTTGCCTGATGAAGATGACAATGGTTCATTGAAAGTTAGCCATTTTCAAAAATAAATCAAGTAATGATCCCCGAAAACCCCAGAAATGCCCGATCATAAATATATTTATGTTTATGCATTAACACTTTGCAATGATTTTATTTCCCTATGTACGCAATCAAATTAACTGCACACAATCAATAGGTATACAATAGTAAACGATCAAGATTGTAATTGGTGTAAAAATTATTGGCTTTATTCTACTTCTATTCTCCTATAAGGGTTGGATTGGCCACGCTGTGTTCCCAAATTACAACCATCTTGCCAAGAATCATGTGTTGCGTAATGTGACAGTGAGCCAACCAAATTCCAGGATTGTTGGACTTAAATCTGAGGGCATACCAGCCGCAGGCCACCCCCGTCGAAGAGTTTCGAACCGTCTGATGTGGATATTGGACGAAAACGTCTCGGAATTCAAAATTTTTGTCGGATTCACGAACCATTTTGTCAATTAGTGGTAGGTCTCTCTCTTCCTCAAACTCGTCATAGCCATGCGCTACGACATGAAAAAATCTCCCGTGCAGGTGCCAAGGATGTTCCCCACAATCTGAGGAAAAGCCACCAGCCCTGTTCTGTAAAATAACTTGGATATTTTCTCCCTCGAGTATTTCAAACACTTGTGGCTCCTCTGTGATGTTGACATTCCTTCGCACTTGGGCCAAGTAAGGCTCGTCTGGATCCTGGAAGATGTGACCATTTATTGCAAATCTTGAAACGGGGGGTATAACTTTCAAGTGAAAGTCGATATAAATGTTTCTGTCCACCGACTCGGGAACTGGGTACACGCTTCTTTGCCTCAAGTCAAGATTGGGGCGAATCTTTGATGTTACCCATTCGTCCATGGGAATTGCTTCAATTGTTGCATCACGTGCTTGTGTCCGGAGCGGTGTTGGGTCAGAAGCTCCGATGTAATGAAGAATTGCTGCTCCATTTCCTGGCCCTGTGCCCTGGCCGATGCTTTTACTCTCCATCCAGTAATTGCCCACCGCTTGATTCATCGTCACGATGACGCTGTACCGTTGTGCAGCGTGGACGTTAAGATATTCAACTTCAATTGGGTCGATATAAATCCCATCTGCCTCAATTACTCGCATTTTGTGGTTGGTAATGTAAAACCGAAGAAATTTGTCGGACGATAAGTTCATTACGCGAAACCTGTAGGTTACCCCCCAAAGGACTTTTGTGACGTGATAACCTCCACAATCGATGAATTTATTGTTTGCCGCATCTGACCATTTTCCATAAGATTTTCCATTGATAAGAAGACTTGCCGTTGGCGGACGTGGGCCGCCGGTGACGAGCAGACGGTCCATAAGTTCAGACAATGGAATGTGGTATAATTGCTCCAAAATAATCACTCGTTCGTCTTGATATGTGTAGTCGGGAAGTCGTAGTAAATTGGCCAAGAGGACGGGAGGATCCACAATTATCAAGGCCCCATGAATCCAAATGATGTCGAGACGGGAGTGAGCGTGATAAGCATAAGTTCCCTCTTGGTTACCAATGTGCATGCAGTATGTGAAGGTGTTATTGGTTTGGATTTCATGCTGAGTGATCATTTCTGCCCCATCGGAGGCCAAGGTGTGTTCTTGGTGAAGGCCGTGCCAGTGGATTGACAACCCCACGGGCAACCTGTTTTCTACTTTGACCACCAAATATTCATGCGGAAAAACTCGGATAGTCGGTCCAGGGAACCGACCATTGATAACTTTTCCAGTTTGTACGTAATTGTCCGGAGATAACTCTTTTTCTTCGACAATCCAATAATGGAAATTAGGACCGTGGTCACACTGGTTGGCGCAATAATCACAAAAATTATGGTTAGCATGACCTAACTGATATAGAATTAATGGCAACAAAACCGTTGCAAATATTTTATTGCCTTTCATACTTCAGGTCTAGTAAAAAAAAATTAAGTAACACTTGAACTTTTATTTCTGTTTATTAAATTTTATAAAACTTTCTACTTAAAGTTCAGCCAACTGGTGTCAATACTTACTGGAACCTTCTTTGCAGCCACTTTTTTGGGGGTCCTTAAGTAGAAATAGTATTAAACATAGTATTAAACTATTCATATGTATTCTCGTAAGGTAAGAAAGGGTTAATCATTGAAGGTATAAATATCAAAACCATAGTTGTGTGCAACCCTTAAAGGCTCATTTAAAATCAAAAGCATCGCAAAGTGAGACTAGCATTCTAAAAAAATAGAAAGGAATGTTTCTCACCCTCAAACACATTAACGAAATTGTAGACTTTGTTACCAACTTGTGCTTACATTTATAAGTATAATTGAAAAGAGAAAAAACAACTTCTCGTATAAAACGGTTCCCAGGTAGCACTCAGGATCAGTCCCTTTGGTTTATAAAAATCCGATCCTTTTCTGGTGTGTGTTGGGCGATACAGTAATTTTGCAGGATTCATTGAGACAGTTGGAACTTGTACCGTCTTGTTGGTGGAGTGTGCTTCATTATTATTCGAAGGAGACGAGTGACAAGGAAAGTGGAAACTTTTCTCCAACCCACCGCACTTATCACATCAACGCGTCCGTCGATAAAACTTAACTCTCCACTTCGTACTTTGAATCCTCTCTTTCTTCGCTTCACAAGGAGTCGAAAGTGGAAAAGTTTCCAAGCCTTATAGCATCTTCTTCTCGTACACACCACATATTATGCATAGATAAATAGGGCTCCGTCTTCTCGCAACTTTCGTCTTTTCTCACAATAGTCATCGTGAAACTCATCTCATACATCGAGTCCTGTGTGGACCATGAAAATGCATGAAAAGAGCAAAGTGTAAATATAGCAAAGGTGTCTATTTTATACGTGCACATGAATCGAACCCTTCCGTTTGAACGTCAAAAGCGTGTAATAATTTTAAACTTGACTTTTTGTTCTGGAGGTAAAAAAAAGTCTAAAGTTGAAAAGTCCAATTTACAACCGAATCCTGATTTATCATGCAGGCCATGTCGATACGTAACAGAGTGTCAGATTTCATTAAATAGTCAAATTTTGAAGGGGGAAGTGTACCTCATTACAGTGACAGCATCGCATGAATACGAAAACAGGGGGTGTTTGCAGCTTAAATTTGAACAATGGGAGACACAGGTGTATCATGGGCGTAATAATAAGAAAAGGAATAATGATGCCGACTTTCTCCACAGATTGTCTTATTATAAAAATGATTTAAAGGAAGGAATCACATACATATCTCGGTCGTTATTGGTGCGTTTATTACATGGTCTGAGGAGGAGTGAGAATGGACATTTTTAGTATGCTGGTCTTAGAAAGAGGAAAATGAGGAGCCATGCAATCATGAAGACCCAGACGGTATAGAGTGTGGGCATATGCAGACCCACGACGCAATAGGTGACCACGAAAATCGACAGGGCTGAGATGAACATGATCACATTTAGTTTTTGAAGGCTTGAAAGTTAAAATTAAAATTGTTTTAGCTGAGGTAATAAATAAGATATACATGAGATGAACATGAGGTGGGCGATGTGCATCAATACTGGTATTAGCACGGCAGCCACGAAGACCACAATTACAAAAACCAGCATTGCGACGAGCTGTAGGACCAATTCCTCCATTGTCCCAATTCTGTGGTACCCATGATGTCGACGCATTTTCAGTACGACAAATCTTGGTTGATTCCTTAAAAAAATAGGTGAAAGTAGTTTAAACAAGGAATTTAGCACATTAAGCTTTTCCCTTACCTCTTTGATTCCTGCCTCAGTTGAGACGACCAGAATGAGGAGTGTCAGTATTGAGTTATTGTGTATTATGACAAATTAAATATTATTTTATGCAAGCAATTTTATTATTCGGATTTTCTCAATTTTAATGGAAATTCATATTTCTATAACTATTATAACTATCCAAAGATAACGTTCCTCATTGATGATGATCCACTAGTAGAACCAACGGTTTTCTGCTTTGATTGGTTATGTTCCATTGACTATTTAGTATTTTTTGACTGTATGCGTAAAACAAGGATAATTCAATTATTTTTGCATTTTCATATTTTTATTAGGCATCAACTACTACACAGTGTGTAAAAACAAGAATATCTAAACAGTAAAACCTAAAAATTAAACACAAATAATGTTAAATTAATAGTAACAAAATTAAGCAACTTATTATTATTAAGTGAAATTGGTTTTGCTGGTTTCGATACACATTAAGGAAGTTCCATAAATTATGTCACGCTGGCTAACATGGGGAGGATAAGGGAAAACCCTTATCTTGCCAATATTATCCAGCGTGACATAATTTATGGATCTTCCCTAAATAAATAATAACAATAGATACAGCTTTTCGTCTTAATTAAGTCTGCCATAATAATAATAATATTGACCACACACTTGCATATTATTTACCGGGAGATATAGCATACACACACGGATCTGTTACAACAATTAAATAGCATTCCACTGGCCGTTAATTTACTGAATCAAGTTCAACTGGCCAATCAGTAGATTTTTATGTAATCCGTAAAAAATAAAACTTAACTTAGCACAGCAGCAATAAGTGTGTAAATAAAGTTGGCCCTGCCCCATCATACTCCACATATTTAGAACACGTAGATAATAAATACAAAACCAAGAACAAATTCATCTCATCAAGAGAAATATTGTGATAGGAAACCCTGATAAATTACCAATTTCTTATAGATACGAGTTAAAATGAATCAGTCATACATTGTCACAATAATTTGTCAGCATGCAGTTTAACATTGCTGTTCTGGGTTGTCACATAATTTTATGACCTGCATCCTTTTGTAAAAGTAGAGAAATACTTTACTCTGAAAGTTTAATAAACACCGCTCGGATTATTAAAATTCGATTAAAATACAATGCGATACGATAAAATGCGATTTCGGTTTTTTGGGTTCCGTGTAGTTACGAGACTAGAATTCTGATCGTCTTTAGTTCAAATTTTTTGCAATTTTGTGATTGTAATTTTGTCACAAAGCATGGCGAATACAAAGTATCAGTAATAAATTGATATTAATAATAATTAATGAAAAGAGATAAACAGAAAGATGATAGTGATGCCAGCACAATCAACAATTATAGGAAAGCACATCTACTAATATACATATAGCTTACATATTTATGTTCTATTTAACTAAGCATCTTCTACAAGATTTCTACCATAACTTGTTATCCACATGCAATGAAATATTTGTCACTTGTCACAACAGACACAGGTTTCAATGTATTCACATGATAATAAGAATCCATGTAAGAATAGCTACAGTACAATTGAGAAGCAGAGATAACAATCCTACCTAAAAATACATGAGGTATGGTTATAACCAGCAGCAGGGTTAATAGAAACGTTATGTTTAAATCTCAGTCTGATTAATTACCACAGGCAAACATGTATACTCAAAATGCGTTTTCCACAACACACCTTGTCAGAATTTTCCATTTGAAATACTTTTGCGTTTATTTATCAACTACGGCCAAACTACTTTTGGGGATTCAAAAAACCACCATTTTTGAACTTTCACTATTTTGTTTGGTAATACTTTTTGTGATGTATGTAAGTTGCTCCTAAACTTTTACCTAAGTTTATGTATGTCTGCACACACTAATCATTTCCAAGATAAAAAATATATACACACCAAATAGCAGCCCAACCCTGAAGGGACATTCATTCATCTTTTTGTCAAATGCAAAACTAAATAATTTTTGACTCTCATATCTGGACGATTAGTAATTAATTCAAGTCATTTTGAACAACTATTAATTAGAGAAGAAGGCCTGTTACATTAAAGTTGATTAAAGACTAATTTGAGTGTGATGTGATGAGCGCAATCAGAGTCTTCTATTTTCCTGCTACAAAAATGAGACGACGAGACCTTAAATTCTCGAATCTATCGAATCGAATGCTTGGACTTTGGATGAAATGACCTTCTGATGTTTTGAGCACTATACTAAATATTGTAACATAGTGGTTATGTGTGTACGTACTAATTGTAAACCCTGATCCCTACACTACCCACACATATCTATGACATAAGTGAACGCAATATCTATGAGCACTAACAGCCTATGTACAAATATACATAATGCAAAATACATTTGGTATGACATGTTAATTTCTGTGCCAGTGTGGTTGAACATCAGTCGTCATGCTGTCTGCTGTCGTGCATACATATTTTTTCAGAGTAGCAAGTTTCCCTTGAGGAGTTTCACAACTTTCCTTGCAGAATATGAGACTCCCGAATATTCTACTAATCTTCTATATTGTTCTACTTGCACATAACGAAATAGATGAAATCTCACGTGTATACCCAGGACCTGTGCCTATATTATATTTGGCTGGACTTTATCGTCATATAGCCTCTTGCTCATCATAATTCCTTGATATTTACCCTTGTGATGAGAAAATGTTCTGCAGGCAAAGCGGACCTAAATGTGAAATGCAAATACTGCCAAGTTTATTCTGCTATATCCCCTCGAGGTTGCGTTTTATGGACTCTTAGGAGCATCTCCTAGAACAAATTAGCCACCACTTGGATGGAGCGAAAATGTACTGAAATAGAATCATATTTTTTTCGCCCACCGTTTACATGAAAAGGAAGAATTTTGGATAACTCTCCTACGGTTTCATGCTCCATAATCCGTATTCCGTTTTTTCACATTTTTTCATAACTTTATTTTCCCCTTCACCTCTATCCACACACAAAAAAGTATTTCTTGGCATACTTTACGCCGTCATAGTCATCGCATGCAAATCTGGACCATTCTGCAAGCAGAACAACATGGAAAACATGACGGCCAATCATTGAATCTCAAATTCAATGTTTAGCAATTACTTTGAACTTTTGAAGATCAGGAAGAAGGTCCATTTGTGGAGGAACCTTATTGAAATTTTCCGAATGGATTTCCAGCTATCGTAATAGTAATAGAGACTCTTCTCGTAGCGACGTTTTGTATTTGCTCAGTCTTTTTTATGAAATCAATCAGAATTATTGTAAATCTGCGTTGTTCTAATTTGCTTGTTCTACCTGGACACGCTCTGTCAACTTTAAATTCTCAGTTATTCCAAACTGAGAAAGCTATCAATGCATGATCAGCATGTACGTAACTCAATCACTCACTCATTCAATGCTCAGAATAAGGTTAAGATCAATGCATTATAAATATAACGATTTATGTACATTCAACCATCTATGTATTTACATAATTGCACAAGTACTTGACAAGCGCAGAAATAATTAATCTACTTTCGCCTTGAAAAACAAAAACTTTCGATAAGTTCTCATCCAGCGTTCTTTGTGATGAAAAAGTTTTAAAATGACCAATGAAAAAATCGTTTGGAATTATTCGAAACAAATATGTACACACCGCGTTGTGCGCTTGAAACGCTACGATCCATGCTCCGAACCACCATTTCTCCACTTTATGCTGCGATTCATCAGTTGTTGACTCCAGCAACTAGTTTGCATTAAACGGGAGAAATGGTGAAAGTGCGAAGAAAAACATACACTGTATGTTCCTGATATACGAGTTTAGAACCTTTCGACGCGTTTCCGTCCGTTGGATCATTAAATCCATTTTGGTAATTTTGTAACGAGTCTAATACTTGGTAAACGACCTACAACTAAGGATAAGTATATCCACGAACTATCCACAAACTACAAGATTAATAATTAAGGTGGTTTTCTAGCAATCATATTTTCTGAGACAATCACATTCATTCCTTATTACAACAGTCACGACCCCATATTGTGATGAGTTCTAACACGAGCGAGTGTCAAAATTTGACAGTCATGTTTTCATATGTTTACATATAAATATATTCACTAGGATGTTTTTTTTCATCCAATCATATGACTATAGATTCAAGTAGTCTATTGAGTTTAACAAAAGCCCTGCAATATTAACCCTTCAGTATAAGTAAACTTATGATAAAGCTAAAATAAGATTTCCTATACACATTCATCTTTGGTAAGCGAGCTGTTCTGATACAACCTACCGGCTCAAAAATTCATACCCTACTCTCCACCACGAATGATCAACGGTCCTTACACTAATTAGTCTTTAGTTTGTTTTGTAAGATCATTCTCGCACAGGGAAAAGGAAGGGTAGATACTCGCATGAAGTAAAACTGAGAAAGATAAACTACTATTCAATCTACCTGGGATCACTACAACTAACAATGAAGCAGCTCCTGTCATGCTAAAACACAATCCACGCAAAAACGTCCTCCTCTAACATGTTAACTTTTACTCGTGAAATTTTGGTTACGTTTCAACAACCCATCCCATTTAGATCTTTCCAACCTTCCGTTTTTTCCACTTTCAACTGCATATCAGTCACAAATGTTCCAACGGGACAACTCTCATCCTTACCCCCCCATAGACCCCACTGGTTGGCAATTGGTTGGTGATTTTGGTTGGTGGGTTTGGGGGTTTCGATCGGTTGGTTAAAGTCACAGTTCACTGATGGTGAAGATAAGGTGAGAAGTGATTCTAAACGAGAAGTAATATCCAAGGCGGATGATGGCTGATGCACATTACCGGTAGATGTTGGGTTTGTCCCGTCATTGTCAGCAGACAACCCCCCTCCTCCTCCCATATCGGTAGCAAAGTTGAGCCCAGCTAAAATATCGGACGGTGAGCCAAGAGAACCCAGCGTATCAAACATTGGTGGCGAAGATGACAGAGAGGCAAAGAAATTTGGTCCCACATGCCCTGCAACAGAATTTTTTAGTCTATGTTTGGAATCGATAAAACTGAACAATGTTTTAGTGCTGCTTAATAAACAATCGTTACTCACTGTCAAAATATTCAGCCGATTTGGTCCTTTGCACAGAGAGATGAGAATTCCTCACGGACTGTGGATAATGAGAATTATTGCAGGAGTTATATGTTTATGTTTAAAGTGTTACAATATATGTAAATATAGACATGTTTGAGACATACTTCCAAAATTGAATCTTGAAGACTCGGTCTTTTGGCTAGGGGAAGAAAAATAAAGAATTAATCGTATTTGAATTTATTCCATATTATACGTCGGAATTGAAATATTTTTTCTTACCCATGAACATTGCATGGATCGAATTTCCAGTGTTTGTCCAGTTTCCATTTCCAATGCCACTAGGCAAATTTAGCACACGTGGATTAAAATGGCGATTGTGCTTGTTATTCCCATTAGTGTTGCTCCCAGGACTTGAAGATGTACTGAAGGCAACCAAAATTTTAAAATTATTAATCAGTACAGTTATTTAAATACGGACAAAGATTCAACATACCGGTGATGATGGTTATGAAAATGTGGATGGTGACCATTTGAGTTTCTTCGCATTGCTGGGACCTGTTGTTGACGCCAAAGAGCAAGAAGACGTTTCTGCTTTGTTGTAAAAGCTTCATGAGATAAACATTTATCCAAAATTGACACCAATAGTCCTTCACATTCCGAATCTGGGTTCATTTCACAAGCTAAAATTCAAACAAAGTAAATAGCATTCGTCTTGGGATCTCTAAGGTTAAACTTTAAGAATCATCACAGGGTGAGAATGTTTTGTACCTTTCCTGATTACATTCATAATTTTCTCAGGAATGTCGTCATCGCTCTCTTTATTAAGATTTAAGGGTTGACCATCACTAGCAGCAGCAGGTGTGTCTTCCATCGACTGGAATCGGTTACTTCCAATGGCTCCTGGTCCTGGTAGATTTGGGTTGCTGGAAGTAATGTTATTCGTACCTCCTCCAGCAGACGCCGTCTCGCCAATCGACTCATCTTCCTTTGTAATTGGTTTGATTGGTGTCGTCAACATCCACTTGATCTCGGTAAGCTATTACAAAAGACAATACAAATCATGTCTACCATGCACAAAACCAAGTATGCATTTTATTTTATTAATATTTTAATTTTCAATAAATAATGTACAGCTTTAAGTATATAGTTGTCTCAGTCAACAAAATATATGTAGATTTATTCTTACCGCATTTCGGACACTTTCCTTGTCCTCTGTCATGTTCTCATAAATGTTTTTCAAGTGACTCGGACGTTCCTTCAACTTTGTGATGGAGAGAACAATCTTGTGTCGAGCTCCTTTGGTGACCCCTTGTTGACCAAGTAGCTCTTCATTCAAGCCCATCATCTCGTCAAATGTGATGTGAGCAAATAGAAAGGCGTACTTGTGGAGTCGCAAGCTTTTCAGCCAACATGGAATATCTGCAAATCATATATAGTCGTTACATATACATATATCATATCATGTCATAGCCATCACAAACTAATATATATGATTTCTTGTATGTATGTACATATACATATGAACACGTGGGGCAAATATATCCACAATGTTCGTTTTACGTTTTTTTGGTAGAAAAAAATATATACAGCGATAAGATGGAATATAATTGTTGGCAGGGTAACGACCCCCCTAAAAACAAGTCTGACACAGACTGTTGGAAATTTTTATTCTGTGGGTCGCCAAATCCAAAATTTATTTCCTTCTGTTGCGGTGGTGGTTGCGATTTGACGACTCCAAACACAAACCAACCACTCATCTTATACCAAATATTTTGTTGTAAAGCACATAAAGCAACTTTAGAAGAATTGAAGATGGGTTTGGACGTCAAATCTTTCCTGATGGACTTTGTGGCCGGTGGGGTCTCAGCTGCAGGTAAATTTTTAATTTAAATTCCCAGAGGGATTGCTTTATTTAATATGATAATACACATTATTCCAATTTGCAGTTTCAAAAACAGCAGTGGCTCCAATTGAACGAGTGAAACTTCTTCTACAAGTTCAGGCGGTATCGAAGCAAATTTCGAAGGAGAACCAGTACAAGGGAATGATTGACTGCTTCGTTCGTATCCCTAAAGAACAAGGATTCCTCAGCTTTTGGAGAGGAAATCTCGCTAACGTGATCCGATACTTTCCAACCCAAGCACTCAATTTTGCTTTCAAGGTACAGCATACATAAAAAGGCTAATATGTAGTCATCAATTAGCTACAAAAATGTGTATCCTTTTTTTAGGACAAGTTCAAAAATATTTTCCTCTCTGGAGTGGACAAGAAGACGCAGTTTTGGCGTTATTTCCTCGGAAATCTGGCATCCGGAGGAGCAGCCGGTGCATCATCGTTATGCTTTGTGTATCCATTGGATTACGCCCGAACGCGTTTGGCTGCCGACATTGGCAAGAAAGGTGGGAAAGGTGGGAAAGCAGAGCCTGGACCTGGCAAAGCGAGAGAATTTACCGGCATGGGTGACTGTATCAAGAAAACGGTCAAGTCGGACGGTTTATTAGGACTGTATCGAGGATTTGGTGTCTCTGTGCAAGGAATTATCATCTATCGAGCTTGCTATTTTGGATTTTACGACACTGCCAAAGGAATTCTCCCTGATCCCAAGAACACTCCAGTGAGACATGTCCCATGCTTGCATAATCCCATTATATTATGCATTTATGTAAATATTACATTTCGTATTATTTTTTAGCTCGTCGTGTCCTGGGCCATTGCTCAATGTGTCACCACAATCTCTGGAATTGTATCGTATCCATTTGATACGGTAAGAAGGAGTTGTACAAGCACCAACTTTATTATGAGAATGGACACATGATGTTGGTTTTATTAATTCATGACGACAGGTTCGACGACGAATGATGATGCAGTCAGGTCGTCCCGTGGCCGAGCGACCCTACAAGAGCACGATGGATTGCTGGAGAAAAGTTGCGGCTCAGGAAGGAACCGGAGCATTCTTCAAGGGAGCGTTCTCCAACGTTTTGCGAGGAACGGGAGGTGCATTTGTTTTGGTGTTGTACGATGAAGTGAAGGAGATTTTCTTCCCAGGCTCTACCTCAGGCTCCTCAGGCGAATGAAGGATAGTTTACTCAATCCCTTGCATTTTGTAATCTCAAAATCAACTGAATTCGACTAAAATGTTTCAAATTATTATGAACCAGAAATTAAGCACTTGTTAAATTCTCTGAGCGAATAAATCAATGGTTTAAAGCAAATAAAAATACTTTGTGCGTGTCCCAATTTATATTTACATATATTATGTTGATGTGCACATTGTGTAGTAATTAAATTATTTACCTTTCATTCCTTTTGCGGTGAAGGTGGGACGTGGGTCATCCAAATGAGACTCACTCCCAGACCCTGAAGATGCTAAGGATCCTTGTGGGCTGATTTCTGAGGAAAGTGATAAACTGCGAGGCTTGGGGCCACCACACAGCTCCTCCTGAAATATTTATTTAGTTAGTTATTAGTAATAAAGAGATATACGGAGAAAATCAATGCACTATTTTCAACCAAGAACAAACATGAAAATAAACATGTAGTAAGAAAAGGTGTACCACGGAAGCCCAGGCATCAGAATGCATCACGGGTGGAGTCAAAGAGTTACTGCGACGATACCGTTGCGAGTTGGAGGAACTACCAACAAAATTTGATGAGACGGATAACACACCTACGCAAAAATGAATTTCATTTGATGCCATATGAATCAATAAATAATCATTGTAGTGTAATAACGGAATTGTGCAATACTTTTTACTTACTTTGATTTGCAGGAGAACCTGAAAGACTTCCTCCTCCATTATTAGAAGGAGGAGAGTTATTTTGCTGCCATGAATTGCCAAAGTCATTCATCGGAGGACTTCCACTTAAACTTGGTGGATAATGATTGTTGTGATCATTATCTCTGTTGTTAATGTTCATCATGCTGACTTTTTCCTCAAACTGGTGCAGTAAATTAGAGAACAAGCTGAAATTTCAAGAACATAGTCGTCAAATAAACATGTTATGTTGGCTGGATGGATGAATGGATACATTATCATTTTTAAGCACATTGTATATATGGACGTGCAACGTGCTATGCACATATTTATCTAAACTTCACGTCCACTTACTGTCGATCTTCTGGAGCAAATGCAGGATGGATGAGGCTGTAGGAGAGCAATTGTCTTGCATCATCGTGCATTGTGCCGTGTTCCACTGGCAGGTGTGAAACGTATTTGAGAACTTTGGAAATGAGAGCTAAGTAAACAGGCTTCACATCCACATTTTTGGCATTCAATAAGGGCAAATACGCCAGTAAGTCCCTCATTAAGGTCTCATTTGATTCCGTATTAGCAAGAGATGCAACAAAGTCTGGAAATAAAGCATAAAATATACATATAATCAGTAAAAATGTATTATGATTAAATAATTCGGTATATTTTTTTACTGGGGTCGTTTGAAAGTATTTCTGTCCTTCGGAGTTCCGTGCACTCGTTGAGCTGGCGTTGAAGAATAGTTCCCACAAAACGTGCTTGCGTGGGATGTAAGCGTCGTAGCAGAGCAACCATTGCTACTGTCTATTTCATAACAATTCAAAAGATAATAATACACAAAATATTCAAGAAGCAAAGACTTTTGCTCTAATTATGAGATACATGCAAATTACCTGCTCACACATCGACCAGCGGTCAAACCAATTGGACACAGTTGACACCTGCTCCCGAAACATTGTTGATACTTCCTCAAGGGGGATGCTAAACTATCGGTCGACAATTTTGTATAATGCTTTGAGTTGCTGGAAGAAGATAGTGGTCATCTAGCTTCATCGGACGACAAATGCAAAGTGAGGGATCTATGACAAAAAAAAGGCTAAAATTAGGACAAATATTCATCTCAACATATCCAGTGTATCTGGATTAATATAAAACACAATCAGGAAAAATATTCGTCAACAATATTTAATCAACGTCCTTTTCTTTATTCTACGAACCGAATCTCTACTTTTTTGTAATCAAGCACATCAAAAGAAGGACTTTCTTTGACGAAACATTACAACTTTCGGCAAAAAAGAGTTCCGCAATAAAGCAAGGGAGCTAGCTAGTTATTATCCTAGCGAGAAGTGAGCAAAATTGTGTTTGGCTTCCTCCCTTCCTCCTACGCACACACCTCAGAAAAGGTTGACACATTTCACGACGGAAGAAAGTACAACTTGTATAACTCGGAAATTGGTAAAACTTCCTTGAGGAAGCAACACAAGTATTATCTGGCACCACTCACAATGACGACCATAGAAGATTATTTTTAGCCCTTCCTTTAATGTGTTTCTTCATCATGGACCACATCCCAGTTGCAGTTATATGCTTTCATTTTTGTTGTTTACGAGTCCTAATAATAAAACCTTTGCTTTCTCTCCATTTAAATATTACAGAAAATTACTTCCACCCACGAAGAATGTGTGTACAGCCAAATTAAACTTTTGTGTAACTACAAAAATAGCAACTAATTATTTTTCAGTCAGCGTGCGGATTTTACATTTACAGATCGCATTATTGTTGGTCCCCCAGGCATATCGATATTTATACTGCTAGGTAGCCGTGAAAGATTTTAAAACGTGAAATGCGTGTGAGTGGCAGGACCCAATGATAATAAATCATCCTTATCCATCTGTTCTTGATAATATCCAGATCTCTACACAAACAAATTCCCCTTCACTTGCACACCGCGTGGCTTGGCGTTGCTCGTGGGGGAAAGGTATTGATCCAGAGCTTTTTTGGGTGCAGTCATCCATCCAACTACATTTTTACCATTTCTCTCCCCTCCAACAACCAACCATCCATATTAGTCCACATCTATCCTCTGGTCGGATACAGAAATCCGACCCCACCACCACAATGCTGGATGGAGATTGGATCGACCGTGACATTGAAGTTGGTTGGCATTGCTCCACCTAACAAACCGACTTTCACTTGAACCAAAGTAGAGCTCTCTCTCTCTCTCGTCCTACTAGTAGATTGGATTTTCACCAAATTTCCTAGCTCTAGCTTCACAGTTGCCATAATATAATGCTCGTCGTCGTCCCACTCCAGCCAGAAGAGCAGAGATAGGATCACATGCTTGGCATTCATAACGAAATTCTACTGCTTCTCCAGAAACCCAGACTTGCCACCAACAACGACAACGCTTCCCCAAAACCACCACCACCTTCCTGCCAGTACCTTTGCAGTGGCTTTTTTATGCTCCCTTCTTGATTCTTGGAGTAGTGGTAGAATTCTAAACTCCTCAACTTGCACTATTGCTGGATGGCAACTGAATAGGCCGTAGTTTCTTCAACGCACAATATCCTTCTGAGAGTATGTACAATATGCTACTATCATTAACTACCAAGTACACACTACATCAACTAAAATTGTCTCACACCTGTCCACCCTTTCTTCCGTAGAACAACAGTATTTAACAAAATAGGCAAATGCAAGAGAAACATGAAATTATTCTAATAACTTGTGAAATGTCTAAACCATCAAAATCTAGGGACTGTAGGTTGAAGGGAAGAAGACGGCTTTCAGACTTGATAAGTAATTCTACATTCTCAACAATTGATTTTTCCTCTTTAGTTGTCCCTCCAACGAGAATTTGTCATTCGAGCAGAATTTTTAGCAGCTCTAATTCCAAAATTTCCAACTCAACTCATTATGTACATACATAGTTGGAAAATAATTTTTTGTACACTAGATTAAATAAGACGTCTGCTGCTTGCATTTTGGGCTGAAAATTGAGTTGATGGATGGATGGATTAATTTCCTCCAGCAAATACACCTGTAATAAGTAATCACCCTAAATCTCTTCTCTTTGACCAGGATGCTCTCCTACTATTTTGTGTTACCGACAAGTTCTAAATGAGTTGAGATTATACGAACAATAAAGTCACCACCCAGTGCAAAATTTTCTTTGAGCATTTTTTGGGGTGCAATAGTATCAAATAAATACAAAATTTGACAATTTTTGGCTCAACTTGTTTACTGCTCATTCACTGCTGGTTTATAGTCTAAAAATTAACAATCTTTGTATTTATTTGAAATTTATCATTTCATTTCAAATTGATCTGGAAATCCAGAAATTCTTAAACATTTGCACTACGTGGTGACTTGTTACGGTACGTCTGAGGCCAACTCATCTTCAACGCATTTAAATCTTGTAGAGAGTAATATACATACATACATACAATACACTTCTTTAAACTTTAAAGGTACGGTATATTTTAGGTACAAAAAATTACGTGTGTTGTGTGTGTGTAGGGAACGTGAGGATGAGTAGATAGAATGTGAAGCGGATCTAGTTGCACGATACCAGGAGAAATGACATAGCCAAGGTTTACATCAAGAGTCTTGATTCAAGACACACATCATGATCCAACAAACCAAGTTTAATGTAGGTTAATCTATAACATGTCCTCATCTGAACAACTGTTATCCTATTATTAATTTTTACGAAGATTAGCATCCCTGCTTTCTTTTCGTTTACAACCATTTCCTGATATGAATGTACATACTTACTAGGTATTTGCAATCCATTGAAAGATTTCTCATTTGCACATGTTTGAGTTAAAATTCACCGTTGACTGTACTTACTGTGCAACCAAGAAAATCATAAATGAATTGCGTAGTGAGTCAGAACGTGTCAACAAGCAACTGCAGAAAAGTTATAAATATGTATCCATGTTGTAATCTAGCAGTCAAATAACTTGTTATTGCTCGCTAATAATAACGTACCTTATTTATTTTATCGACTATCGTATTCCTCGAGGTATTCAATGCACTTACATAAAAGTCTCAGTAGCAAATACAAAATATTTCTTGAACGACACAGACAACACCTTCAGAAATTCATGATCCAACACCAGACACACACAAACACACTCATCAATGCATGTCGGGTCACACCGCTAAAAAATTCTCGACTTCCTCTCGTCGTCGTCTTGTTACCAACCAAACTGGAGCTGAGACAGCCTCTGAGACTGTGTTGATCTCACTCAATTTCCAGAGTCGTCAAGAACCAAAGTCGTCTTTGCCATATAATTATCCAAGACGAAAAAATGAACCCGCATGTCGACTAGTACGTACGTATAACCTGCAGCGGCCCTCAATGAGTAGGCATATCATACGAACATATGTAGAAGATGCAATATGCACAGTGAGTAATAGTAATAACATACTGAAGAAAAATAAGTAAACACGTGAGTCTGGCTGGATTGTAAGCAATGGGACGTACATATGTACATACATATACGAGCTTATAATTTCAAGTTGAGGGGATTTAAAGTCTTAAAGTTTCTCGCGTATACAGAAAAACGTGAGGTTTTCTTCGTACTGATTCCAGTCCAAGTGCAACGCAATGCACCAAAACCTCAAGTTACGCTACGTTACATAACAGCACGATGAAGGGTTGTTGCTTGCGTTGCTACCCTGAGGGTATCTCTCTGTTTAGATGCATCTTGCTACAAAAAGTACGTGCCCAAGAATGTTTGAGTCTTTCTTTGTTGTTATTATTATGGGACTGGATACGCTGCAATGTCCAAAGAAGATGCTCATGATGGACAATACAATCCAGCAGTGATTTTGGAACCACTCATAACCTTGACACGGCTGCCCCACTTACTGCTCACATAGATATTTATTTGGTGTTAGAAACACCTAGTCAACAAAGAAGTATTTACTACCACGCAGTATTTTGCTGAGGATTATTATGTTGAAACTTAAAAATAAATAAAATAAAATAAAATAAAAACAAGCATCACTACCTTGCTGCAATAAAATACGAGAAATATTTAACCCATTCCTTGATTAGATGAGATGGGAAATTTGTAAATAACGCACAATAATGCGAGTCAAGATATAGATATTGTGATGGTGTTTTAGGGCTTTCAATGTTCATACTTGCACTTAAAATTAAATCAATCCATTCAGACCAAGTTTCTATCTCATGTGTAGTGTATTATATACTGTGTATACCAAAGAAGCTGTATTGGTAATTCACAGATGCATTCGGTTAAAAAAATATACACGATTGTATTAGCGGATTGATTGATAAAACATAAAGAGCAAAGTAGTCATAAATTCACCTTATGTTCCTATTAACCAAGATCCCTACAGTTTACCAGCAAATTTATTACAGACTTGTAAGTATTCAAGTATCCACGTCGTTTTGAACGATGATAATATGTAAAAAAAAATATATTATGTGGTAATCTACGTAGTGATTCCAAAATATATTTTTTTAATCTCTAACTTTATCAATTGAACTTTATTTTGATACAAAATATCTTCTCGTGGTGCTGATATTCAATTATACCTCGTATGCCTCCTCCTATTTCTTTTCATTCTTATCAGCAAAACATTTTGCATAAGTCCAAAAATACCTCAAAAAGTGTTTAAAATAAAGCAAATCAATAGTTTTGCAACTAAATTAATGTGGTATATGAGTGATCTGGTGTACACAAGTAATTGAATGATGCATATTTATTGCGAGATGAGAAAACCATGCGAAAATTGACCTGTATAAATTATTAGGCGTAGGATTACCAGAGTTCTCAAGAAGCTGCCTGGTATACATAAGCCTTCTTATGAAAGTTCTTAATCTCGAGTATGCATGTACTTCCAGATCCTAAGCACCCAGCAACCTTTGATCACGTTTATCAATTTAGAGCAACAGCTACATCAATAACTAGTGACAAGCAGATCCATTTCATTCCGAGTAAAATATTAGTAAATCAGTATCATATTCGCTTGACGTCAATTATTTATATGTATTGCATGCATGTAGCTTGAGGTATAAATATCCAGTCAACACGAAACACGATGTCTGTTGATGGTGGTGTTTCTAAGTTTAGTCCAGCTGTGGAAGATTTCCACAGCTTATAACTGCTTTAAACTGGATGAATTTCTAAGATTATTGCCAACATGTTGAAAAACAAGATGAAACGTCAAGGATCAAATATATTTTTAAGTCTTGATCTCCCAACCAACACTAAAGTCAATAATGCATGAACGAAATAAAACCCATATACATTCATATTTATGTACATACTTCTCAATCTCCTCTCATATATCAACCAACCAGCTTCCTTCGTCAGTTAACTTTTTTTAGTACAAGTCATCATCGTATATATACACTGCCTCTTACATAAATAAAGCTAGCAAATAAAATAAAATGGTGATAATGCGTCTTCCTGCCACGTTTGGATATTTTTGCTAGCGATAACTCTTTACTTCGTCTCGCTCGTCGTCGTCTGGCAGGCAAGTTATCTTCTTCATGCGAGACGCCCGACCAATACTTTGGTAATAATGTAACCACTAAAACGTCCCTTGGGAAAATAATTCATTCAAGATTCGTCAAAATACAGCTTCAAACACTTATATTATATATGCTCCTATAAAGAGTGAGATTGTCTGACATTTTCTAAACGAGACCAACACGGAAGTACGGAAGAACAGACTCCAATTGAATTGCGATGAATTAATAGTTATTAATTGCAATTGTTTGGAGTCCTGAGAACAATAAAATACTTTATGAAGAAGAAGTAAGCTGAATGTCAAGGTTTTGGCTTTCACCTTGCCCAACAACTGAAAAGGGTTAACCACTTATTACTGTCGCCCCTTCTTAAGGACACCCACTGCCAGGACAAACTGGATATAACCACTTCACTCCAGAACTCTATGTCGCATTATCAGCCGCAGCAAGTCCCTCGAGTCACTTACTGAGTGCTATTTACATATGTGTAAGAGGGATACACAGTCATAGTCTCATAGTCACTGACATGAACTCACTGACCTTCATCTGCATTTCCTTTTCTACCTTTTCCATTCAAATTCAGATTTTGAGTTGTTTACTACGCGTCAGCATTTGGTGCATAAGGCGGATTGTAGGTCATGTACGTACATATGTATTTATGTTTGTTGCTGCTTCCCTTTAACGGAACGAATCACAAATTTCTTGTATACCCTGAATGCAATGCAGGTCATCGACAAGAAGGAAATATTTCCTTCGTATATGTGCATCCTTCTACAAGCTAATATATGGTCTTGCCCAAATACGAGTCAGAGAGTCACGGTCAAGGTTTCCCTATGAAAGCCTCATTTTCAAGGATTTCAAGAAATATTATACCCATGTGCTACTCGTGTTTGAAAAATTCAAAATAGATTGCAACTCAACTCACTCTATAAATGTGATGGAAAATAGTGGAAATCATTGGTACAAGAATCCTTACAGTGATTGCGTAATTCTATGAGAAATTATGTTATGCTATACCTATACTACGCCTCACCTAACCCACCTCGCAAAAAGCACGATTATATAGATGTATATATACCAATTTTCTATTTCGTAATAAACCGAGAAAGTTTTATGCGACATGCGACACAGTGATTAGCCAATTCCATAAATGATAGCATTTAAGCAAATTTTTATACTTGGCATCCGAACAATAATTCTCTTGTGTTATACAAGATAAAACAATATTTTAAGATTATATGTTGTATGGCAATGCAATGTATAATAGTTACATTCCTGATTCCACTATTAATTATCCTTGAGTATCTGGAATGTGATTCAAATTATTTTAAAGTGATAGGAGAATAGGTAGTACAAGCTATATACATACATAATTCGTGTGCAATTGCAATTAGAAAATAATGTAATAGCTGATATAAAACAAACCAGCAAGAAGTTTTCAAAAGGATAACAAAATTGGTATAGCTGCTGGTTTACAAAATTTTTGTAACTATCAAAAAAAAGATTTCGACTTTTCTTGCATAAAATACACTACTCCAACGGATAAAAATTATATCCCTGCTTTCACCTTTCTTTCCTCTTTGCATAATAATTAATTTGCTACACCAAGCGAACGAGTAGGATGAACTTATTGATAGGAATAGTACAGAAAAAATTTAGTTGAAAATCTGAGGCATGTAGTAATTATTAATTAATTTATATATATGCAACTATGCAGTAAAAGAGCTCACCTTGTTGAATTGCTTATTTTAATTGGATCAGCGCATTGGAGGACGATAAATAGATTTTGCTCGTCAATGTGACAATTTCAAGTATTGCACTACACAATTTTCTTTTAATTTTTAGTATAGTTAGTCTGGACAACTGACTATTTATTTATGAAAGACTAGACTCGTCCAGAAGTTCCACCTTCATTGAAGTAAATATTTTAGTTCTATCCTTTTCACAAAATTTCCTCACTACACGTAGAGTTTTTCTTTAATATTTTCACTCCCAGTTCACATTGCAAAATAATTTGTAGTTATTTTTTAAAGTGTAACATGTGATTTGTAAATTACAAATTGTAATTCATGTTAAGAGTGTGGCTCCAAACACGACTCTGATGTTTTGAAGCAGTCTGTTCTGTGAATGAAATGGTCGCTGCTACTCTCTCGCTCCAGCCCAAACAAAAGTTCTCTCTCTTTCCGAGAGCCCAACTTTACAAAATATTACGCCTTTACCATCTCGCTGTTTTTTAGCGAGGCTACGATGGCTGCAGCAAATGATACCATTTCACGATTATTGTATGGCTATGCATGCATGCATTCCTTACGTTAACTGGGCTGATGTGACTCTTTCTTCCTTTGCCGTTTAATGCCTGTGCAAAAGTGGATTATTTACTATGAGCGAAACAACAGGACGCCGAGTGATACACTTGATGCAAAACAAGATAATGTGCCGGGAGAGCATTTAGCATTATTATTCTGCTTTTGCTACCACGCACTTCCATGACCTTTGTGCAGAACAACATGACTAGCAAATACACTATGCGAATTAAAATATAGGGATTTCCTCCCGTTCTAGTAGATAGAATGTGCAACGCCATGAAACAAGAGAGGTATGTCTAGTGAGATTACTTTCTGCAGTGTAATAAATAATGGTTAGTTTGGCTTTGGTGGTTTGGTTTGGGAGCATGTTTTTTGAGATTGCAAATGTGTGAATTTAATTAGCGAAATGTTTGCATGTAATTTTTACTCGAATTAAAATGTCGTAAAATTAGCTTCGTATCATACATATTTTCTTGGGAAGTATAGAATAAAATACGTCACTTTGCTAAAGAGAAAGTCAACGTGGTCCAGAGACATTATTCCGCCAATTCACTCACTCGGACTTCCTATGAACCATTTACTTATCTCTCTTTCCCTCGCACAAAATGTTAAATTGATTCTCATTTTATAGGTCCAAACTATACTCGGAGGAGGATTTCATCGGAGAAAGTTCCAGAGCGTCTTATCAACCTCATTATATCCATTTCAGTGAATAAATGTCTCTTATACTTGCCCTTCCGCAATTATCTCAACCTCTAATTCATTCGATCTTCTCTCACATGGCATAACCAGCTCAAAAAGTCATTATCAAACTTTCTCCTTGTTCTTCTCCACCGCGATGAGAAGTAAATAATTGGGAAATCTCATTTAATTAAAGTGACCTCGGAAAATATTTCAAAATTGACGTCAGTCCGACGAGCAAGAATAAACTTTATCTTCAAAAGCAACCCCACGAGACTTTTGTACAGAGAGGAACTGGAGGCAGAAAATGTCAAAAAATGTGGCAAGTGGAAAGTGAAATGAAGGTTCCGCAGTCTTACAATTTAGAGAATGGAAGGGGGAGCGAGCTTTCGGAGAAAATGAAATGCAGAGGAAGAAAGGAAACGTGGGCAATATCAGAGGAACCAACCAAGATGATGATCATCATGAAAGTGACAACACAACTTTCCCCTCCTTTCTCTCTCCTCCTCCCTTCAACTTCACTGATTGCCCACGGCATCCACTCTTCCAGTCATCTCAGACTTCAAAATATTCTCGTCTATCGGTAATTATTACTCCAATTCAGAGTACGTAAGTACCCAAAGTGAATGTGAGTATGAGTTAGTTTAGCACAGTGTAAAGAAAAGCAATTCAGTGTCAATATCGAATGGGACCATTTGGCACTAACTGTTTTCCACCGAATTTGTGAATGAGGCGTTCACATTATTCGTGTCTGTGCTATTATTGTCCTGCTCCCGTGCCCTTGGCCCATCAGGATGAGGAAAGAAAGCCAACCCCAACCCAGCCCAACAACGTGCTCTCCCTTTCCTAAATATAAACACACACGTTCAGAAACTCATCAGAATTTTGAGCTTCCGTCCATTCTTCCCAAATACATAGCTTGGCGTTCTTCTTTCTCCGTCCGGTCATGCAGGAGCGGAATTCCATGTTATTATTGCTCGCATGTGTGTGGGCTTCACCAACTGCGGCATTTCCGTTCTCATTAATGAATGAACGCACCGTTGGTTGGGATAAGCAGGAAGGGGACGCAGAATTTTAGCAACTCCATACGAATGTACATATGTATGTTTGTGCATCTGTAGGTATACTAACGTGCCACGAAGGAAACCGATGAAGGGGAGGGAGAAAGAGAGTCTGGAAAAGAGATGAAGATGCATTTTACTTGCTTCATCTCATCTTCTTCAGTTGAACTTCCAACACGCAACATCAGCATTTTTAACTACAGAACCATATTCTTCCGCATCGCTATTAAAACAAACTTTGACATAAACCGAAATACGGAAGTTTGATTGTTGTTCTGAGCAAATTCAACCGAGCAAAGAATTGCCTAATAAAAAATAATTATGAGCAAAGTTTTAAATCAGTATGTAAAGATACTCTTCGAGTAATGTTTATAACCAGTATAAAATACATATGCTCACTAATTTGGATGTACCTTAATCTTAAAATGTTTTTTTTTGCTTTAATTTCCATCCACTAATCTTGTATATTTTCAGCACAAAATATTCGAGTATGTGCATGCACAAAACATGTCAAACCAGACGGTGTTTCCTTTCACTTGAGCACTTCAGAAAAAATTGGGATGATTAGAGGACGCAGAGGGGAGAGGAATAGAAGAGAATGCCCGAGCCGGGTATTACACATTACACCTTCTTATGCCTGGCAACAGTCCAACTGATCTGTGGTGGAAATACTGCTTCACTGTAAAATGAGGCTGCGTTGTACTTACAATTATGTAGTATTACCTGATTATATGCAATAAATTATTTTGATGCGATTTTTATTTTTTATTCATCATTAAAATTTGTTGTGTGTGATTTTATGTTAAATTCTTCTCAAATAAATTAATTTAGAATTTACAGCTCTTAGTTGGAATGTATTTGAATTAGATTTATTATTTTCATACACAAATGTTTTCGATACGAAGTAATTTAATGACAAATGTTTCTTAAGCTTAATACTGTGATGAGCTGAATAATACAAGTTTTTCATGTATTCATAACCCGGCATGAAATTACTAGAATATGTATATGTAGATTGGACGGTGGATGGATCACTTTGTAATCATACAGATTCAGTATCAATACGTTATGTACTATAACCTAACCTAAACAGCCAAATTTGCGTGGATCGCCGACAAATTGACACATAGTTTGTATTTGTGGTATTCTAATCACAGAAACACATGTATTACAATTTTTTAAGCTAAGTGTCTTAACTGAGCTCAGTAGACTAGACTACGTCGCATTAAGTATAAAACTAAATATAAATATGATAGAATTAAAACATGTGACTATTGCTTGTACTTGACATCATGCAGGCAGAAATTGACGAGAATTGCGACGAGGTCGACAGTGAAAGGCAGGCAAGCAGTGAAACCGAAAATCCACCAGTACAGCCAACAATCCCACATGTCCAAAATAAAGTAAGCATGCAACAAAGCTCCTGAAGCATGGGCCATGATAGCTGAAAAGGTTATTACATAATTGTAATTAAACTTTATAATTTCGAAACATTATGACATTAAACCAAACTGTTTTTCTTACAATATGCTCCCGTCAGACTACAGAACATGGTGAGCCCTGTCCCAAACGTGATAAGTTCCAAGAATAAGAAAGAGATGGTGAGAGCCACCCCCACAATCAGCTCCGTGTCTTTGGAGTGCAATTCCTCAGCAGTGTGATGAACAGGGAGGCTTGCTTTCACATTGGCTTCCTTCGATTTCAACCAGATTTAAATACATATATACATACATAAATTGTTTTTAATTTAAAAATAGCGTTTCTCTTACCCGAGCCATCAAACAGCTAATGGCGAGAATCAAATGAGCCATCAGCATCAGATATCGAGTGGATATCAAACCGTTCCTTCTGTCCATGAGGAATAAACCCGGCGAGTATTTGCTCAAGCTTGATGAACTTGACTGCAGTTTGTACTGGGAAAAGGATCACCGATTTATAAATGATTCGCCCAGTAATATTTACAAAGTTAAACCCGTAATAGGACAACTTACTTCGTATTACGTAGGGCTACCTTTTCAGGGGACTTTCCCGCTAGTGAAGTATTGATCTGGATAAAAATGTCCAGGTTACAGAACTGGGGAACACAAATCTCTTTGTTTACTAGCTCAAGTTTCCTTGCCTGCACTGCATACCCAAACCGGAAGTGACGAGTGACTGCCTGAGTATATGTGTGTGTGCAAACTCTCATTCCAAAATGATTGAAAGAATGGCTTTAAATATTAAATATTTCAAAGTTTATTATTCACTTGTTATATATTTATTTTGGATTAGTACATTCTACGAAATATCAATGGTTCCCGTTATTAGAACGGGAATGAATTTCTTCCTCCTTTATGATGTCGAGGTGGTGGAGGTGCCCCCAAGTCTCCACTGGACACCTTTCTATATTTCCACTCTGATATTAATTTATTATACAATTCGGCCTTTTTGTCGTCAACAGCTTCATCTTTTTTCGGTTCATGTAGTTTTGGAACCGCTTCGAGTCGCCTTGGACCAGGTGGGTGCTTTTGTCCGAGTCCCCTTGACACATCTGAATATCTATCTTTAACATCACAGTTTTTATTGGGGGTGCCCTTCCCCTTCTTGGACCTTAGTAATGCTGCGTCCATTTCTTGAGAAATATATCCATTCTGATCATCAGTTTCTGATTCGCATTCGTCCGTTGTGATACAAATGGTCATCGACGTATCGGAACAGATTGGGATTTCAATTTTCCTCTCTGGCTTTGATTTCTGACAGCGAGTTCGGCTCGGCTTTTTATTTTTGGCTTTTTTAACTATGCCTTTGAGCTCGTCGTCGTCGTCACTTTGAAGAAGAAAGGAATTCTCTGAATCCTGTTGAACTGGCTTCGAAGAACCCGTGAGATTTTGAAGGCTGTTTTTTGCACGGAGAATGATCTTCTGAATGCGGGACCATGTTTTTAGATCGGGACAGCAGAAAGGAAGCATGCAGCAGCAACAGCAACATCCGCCAATTATTAGGAACACTATTAGAAGTACAGATAAGACGCTCGAACTGGCGCTGGCGTACTGAGGATGAAAATCTGAAATTATTTTAGAACCATAATTACGTGGACAGTTGAAACACTTGGCATACCTACTTGCTCATCAACAATATCATTACGTTACCTGATTTCACTGGTTGCAATGAAGGATAGTACGGATCCTGCGGGTCAATATAATAGTCATCAGAAGTCAAGGACCCAGGAGGAGGTTTTTGCGCTAAATACATATTATCGCATACATATTATTATATATATATTTATAATATTTCAAAATACACTGATGTTTTTAACTCTTAAGCATGCATGTACTTTGGGTGGAGGGTTGGGTGCGTTTTTAACGACGATGAAGAAGTGCATAGTATTTGTTTGTATTGCTATGGTTTATTTTCAGACACTACATTTACAATTTTTCTACGATCTACGATTGAATTGTCGTTATTATTGGGGGCAGAAGGACCTTTGTGGCGGACTGTGTTGGGGTGATGACTAGGTTATTATTTGCATATTACTATTAGTACACAAGAAAAATAATGTACAACAACCCTGTGTAGCGTAGGAGTAATTGACACCGTTACGTGGTGCGGTGCCCCATATAGAATGATAAAGTGTCAAATAGTATTGGTTTTATAATTACATATTTCGAAAATACTTTTTGGCATTGGGAAAATCATGGGCAGTGTCATAGAGGTCAAAAAGGCCTTCGTCAATCCGAGATAAATGTTTCCCATTATTTCGATATATATTTTTCTGCTTGTTCTTGCGATAACTTTGAACGGCTTGCTTAACTATTTCATGTTCTTTCTGCTCTGCTAAAGACATTTTGTGAGGTGCAAAGGGAACGTGATCTGATATTTCAATTGGACTGAAGCTGACTACTTTGGGAGGATTATCAAGATGAGTCCCGTGAACCAAGTTAGGTAAAACTGCATGGGCTGCGTTTCGGATTTTTTCTACGGTCGAGTCAGCTAAAGCTTCTATGAAATTTTTCGCCTCTGGCACTTGTCCGAATTGCTTGTGCAGGATAAACTGTCGCATGTGAAGTGGTCGGATTTTCTTCGGATCTACTGGCAGAGGATGATGCGGATGTTGAGACTGCCATTGCTTGAGATGGTTGGATGAGCTTATTCCTGGGTGAAAATTTCCCTGGGGGATAAGAACACCATTTACATATTTTGGCTGAACATTCAAAGTTGCACTCAATTTGTCCCCTTCTACAAAAACGGAAATTGGTTCGTGTAGCTCGTTTTCATCAATTTCAACTTCGCCAACGATCTTGACCATCTTTTCCGCGTCCGGTTCTACGTTTTGCTGTTCTTGGTTTTCTTCTACATACTGATTTACAGGTTTTTTCTTTGGTTTTGGAGTGGTCGTCGTGGTGGTCGTCGTGGTGGTTGTTGTGGTTGTGGTAGGGAAAACGATAGGAGGAGGGGCAAGATAAGCCAAACGGTCAGATGGAAGTTGCACCACGTCCAATTTTGAAATCTCAAGGTTGTGCTTGCGGAAAACGTTGTCCATTTTGTCGTATAGAAGTTTCAATTCCTCATTGTACAGTATTTCATCAATCTCCTTGTCGGTTAGGCGTCGATTCAGCTTTCGTTTAACTGTCTCTCTTTGTTCATGATTATACGGTAATTTACCCGACATTTCTTCATTAACTTGTCGTCGATGACGAGATGGTACTCCATTTTTATCCATCTTGTGATTTTCAATCTGACTGGTTGATTCTACTTGCGTTGTTTTTGTGGTTGTGCCATTGTCAGTGATATCTTTGTGGAATATTTAGTACGCGATCAGTGGGATATGATTTCATGTATGGATTAAATTGCATGCCAAGTTATAACCCCTCTTATGGGTTGATGAAGCAATATTTAAATTAATGGGTACAAATCAATCATTGCACAATATATAGGTCACCAGTGTATAGTTATAACGGCCGCAGTTAGTACATGGTTCTTTAACTTTAAAATCACGGTTATTTATACTAATAAGATGATAAATAGATATCAGGCCATTAAAACTATACACCGTTTTAAAAAAAACATTGCATCAACCCTCTGAGGCCGTTATAACTTGTATGCGAATTTCTACAATAAAAAAAAACTTACCAAAGAGCAGACTGTGCTTGTATTTTTCAATTGAGATCCACAATTGCAATATCCTAGAAAATCCTGGTATGCACCTTGGACTTTGAATGACTTCAGGAATCAGCTACACAAATAAAAGATTGTATAAGGTTCTAATTGGTCATTCATTTGGGGTGTGTGAATGTTTTTAATTTAAAATCAATAGCTAGAAACAATTCATATTTACGACCTTTGCAGACATCCACTTTCCTACGGTTGACGAAAAGTTTCTTTTTGAAACGTTATTATCCAAACAGCTCACTCCAACGGAAAAATATCGAGAAAGTTCGCGTGTTACATTTTTGGTATAAATGTTGACAGCCACATCCACGGTGGGGATCCAGACCTGTCGAGATGCAAAGTCGGTCGAAGGCATATTGGCCATAATTGTCCCGTCTTTTACTGCAGATATCAAGAAAATAACACGTCGTCAAAGTCTCTCTAGTACTAGGAGTGAATATTAATTGAGAATTTGCCACCCACACGTCCAGAAAATCTTGTCGCAAGTAGACACTTGAGCATGAATAGATGTGTCTCTCAGGAAAGGCCTCGTGATAAAGGCCAAGTTCAATCGCTGCACGAGATCATTTGCCACCAACCCTCCAAACATGGCTTTCCTTCGGGACGATGAGGAAGGCCCTTTCTCCTTGCTTTCATAATTCAGAGACTCTGTCAAAGCTTCCAATTGTTTCATTGTGGTCATATCCGTAGCTCCAGAGTAGACAGAAATGCATCCCACAGGCACTCCAACTTCCGAGAGAAACTTGCCATACTCCGTCTTGAAGAACGTCAGCATCTGGTCGCGAAGACCTGCTGCACTGCTGCCCGACGATCGCTCAATTTCATTCAAGGCGAGGGTCGCATATTGAGTGAGGAAGGAGACGAAGGATGGGTTTGTCGGGGAAAGGGCTATTCTTTCATCTGGTATAATTTCAACAAATTCATTAAATATGAAATTACTTATTTTGGTCAGATTAGTACCAGTCTTAAATTGGACAGTGAAAGTGTTGGGGTTGAATTGAGGGATGAGTTTGACAAAGGAGGAGGCCACTGGATGGGGTGGCAGGATATCATTGTTCATGTCGTCGTCAGCTCCTCCAATTTGACCAATAAGCAAACAGAGCACATTGCCAATTATTAAGAGATAAATATTTCGCCCCGATCTACCAAGAGATTCCAGTTTTCTGGCCATAATAAGTTATGTATGTGCGAAATAATGAAGCGCTATAATTGTTGACCACGGTTGGTCTAACAATGCACAATATGGACGCGAAATTAACCTTATAAAAACTAATTAATTTTGACCTGGATACCATTTAAAAACGGAATTAAAAATGGTTTCTATTGCATTTGGAGGCGGATTTACTGGGGGGCAGAATACCATTGAGACCGACTTGTGGGGCGGTGATAAAATCAGTTGGGGACTGAATTAATGCAAACCGATTTTGAATATTCTACTGATGCAGTTATGATTTATTAGAGACCTGGAACTGATTCGACAACAAAAATTAGAACATAATACATTTTTAACATGAAATTGCAACTGAACCAAATGAACACACGATATTAATTTTGATAAAAAGATCGGATTTGATTTTGATAGTACTACAAAAATAAACTAAACGAATAAATCGTCATCATTCATGTCATCAATTTGATGACACTGATTTTGGGATGCATTTTATATTTTAAACAAGTTATTAGCTATAATTTTGTCCTTCAGTGTTCTGTGACTTGTTCCGATCGGTGGTGACACTATTGCGAATATATTAGCTAAAGAGAACGTTGTGATAATTTTAAAAAAATATGAACTGTATCATATTTACAACATGATACAGGTCAGAGGTCAACGCCGACCAATTTATTAGCGGCGCCAATGTTGGATAATTTTTCGGGGGCGCGGCGTGACCTCTGATGCACTTCCTCCGAGTTCCTCCCCCCACTACAACTACAACTCTAAACTCTAAAAAAATTAGTTCAGGCTTGAAGAAAAACCAACGACAAATAAGGAGGAAAGAATGGAACTGAGAAAATTTTCTCGGTCATTTTATTTTTATTTTTTCCTACACCTTATTGATGTAGCCCGGTCTCAACGGAATTCTGTAACCATACACCTTATTGGTGGAATCCGTCGCCAACGAGAAAAAGTTGGCCTACACCTTATTGGTGTAGTCCGTCGCTAAGGCGAAAAATTTGGCCTACACCTTATTGGTGTAGTCCGTCGCCAAGAGATCGAAATCGCCCTCCACCTTATTGGTGGAATCCGTTTTTAAAAGGTTAATTTACAGACACAAGGTTGCTTGACAACTTTAGTAATAATTACAAGGTTGCGACAATTGCTTCGACGCCTAAAAAACTTCAACTTTCGAAAACCCTGGTACCTTTTGGACCAGTGTGCGTCGCACAAACTGTCGCCCAGAAACAAACTGAACAAAAATTGTCACATTTCGTGCTCTCGATTCTCGAATTAATTTTTTAATCATGGATGTATTATGATAAATTGTCAAACGATTATCAAATTGTCAAAAGGTCAAGTTGTCTTTGATAGTTTAACTTTAACACTTTATCATAATGCTAAAAAATAATTCTTCAGTTTGTAACTGGAGTTAAACATCACCACTTCTTTTCTTTCTTATTTTAGGAACAACAACGACTACTGATTACTGAAATGTTGCGTGATAAGGATTTGGGCAGCCTCGAGTGGTGCTATCCGGATCGTCCATTGATGATCAAGAGGAAGTACTCGTACAAATTGCTCAATATGCACAGCCCGGACAATTTTTCAATCATCGTGGTGGATTAGACTTCCGTGGTGATTCAAAGGCAGATTAAGGAGGCAATGGTTCTTTATCTGCACAACATTTCCGGTTGTGCACCGGTTGACGTTGCTTGTCTGAAGGATAGACTTCATGAATGGGACCTTGCGACATGTCAACAACACCAATAACAAGCGTTGTGCCAAATTTCATGCAAATCGGACGAGGAATAGCGAAATTATGGCATGGCGACGAAATTTGGCGAAAACCAGGTGATGGCGATGAGTTTGACCTTGCGACATGTCGATAACACCAAAAAGAGGTGTTGTGCCTAATTTCATGCAAATCGGACGAGGAATAGCGAAATTATGGCATGGCGACGAAATTTGGCGAAAACAAGCTGATGGCGATGAGTTTGACCTTGCGACATGTCCATAACACCAAAAAGAAGTCTCTGTCGAAGTTTGATGGAAATCAGACGATAAATGGTGAAGTTATGGCATGGCGACGAAATTTGGCGGTGGTGGCGATGAGTTTGACCTTGCGATATGTCGATAACACCAAAGAGAAGTCTCTGTCGAAGTTTGATGGAAATCAGACGATAAATGGTGAAGTTATGGCATGGCGACGAAATTTGGCGAAAACAAGGTGGTGGCGATGAGTTTGACCTTGCGATATGTCCATAACACCAAAAAGAAGTCTCTGTCGAAGTTTGATGGAAATCAGACGATAAATGGTAAAGTTGGCGACGTGGCGACGAAATTTGGCGGTGGTGGCGATGAGTTTGATCTTGCGACATGTCGATAACACCAAGGAGAGGTGTTGTGCCAAATTTCATGCAAATCGGACGAGGAATGGCGAACTTATGGCGTGGCGACGAAATTTAGCGAAAACAAGGTGGTGGCGATGAATTTGACGTTGCGACATGTCGATAACACCAAAAAGAAGTCTCTGTCGAAGTTTGATGGAAATTAGACGAGAAATGGCGAAATTATGGCATGTCGAAATTTGGCATGTCGAAATTTGGCGAAAACAAGGGGGTGGCGGCGGGTGGGACCTTGCGACATATCGACAACACCAATAACAAGCGTTGTGCCAAATTTCATGCAAATCGGACGAGAAATGCTGAAATTATGGCATGGCGACGAAATTTGGCGAAAACAAGGGGGTGGCGACGGGTGGGACATTGCGACATGTCGACAAAACCAATAAGAAGCATTGTGCTCAATTTCATGCAAATCGGCCGAGAAATGGCGAAATTATGGCATGGCGACGAAATCTATCGAAAACAAGGGGGTGGCGGCGGGTGGAACCTTGCGACATATCGACAACACCAATAACAAGCGTTGTGCCAAATTTCATGCAAATCGGACGAGAAATGGTGAAATTATGGCATGGCGACGAAATTTGGCGAAAACAAGGGGCTGGCGACGGGTGGGACATTGCGACATGTCGACAAAACCAATAAGAAGCATTGTGCTCAATTTCATGCAAGTCGGCCGAGAAATGGCGAAATTATGGCATGGCGACGAAATTTGGCGAAAACAAGGAGGTGGCGGCGGGCGGGACCTTGCGACATGTCCATAACACCAATAAGAAGCATTGTGCTCAATTTCATGCAAATCGGTCGAGAAATGGCGAAATTATGGTATGGCGACGAAATTTGGCGAAAACAAGGAGGTGGCGGTAGGTGGAGCTTTGCGACATGTCGACTACACCAATAAGAAGTCTCTGTCGAAATTTGATGGAAATCGGACGAGAAATGGCGAAATTATGGCATGGCGACGTAATTTGGCGAAAACAAGGTGGTGGCGGTAGGTGGAGCATTGCGACATGTCGACAACACCAATGACAAGTCTCTGTCGAAATTTGATGGAAATCGGACGAGAAATGGCGAAATTATGGCATGGCGACGTAATTTGGCGAAAACAAGGTGGTGGCGGTAGGTGGAGCATTGCGACATGTCGACTACACCAATAAGAAGTCTCTGTCGAAATTAGATGGGAATCGGACGAGAAATGGCGAAATTATGGCATGGCGACAAAGGTTGTCGCCATGCCATGCATTTATAAGGGGGGAGCTGTTGGCCGCCCTGAGAAGGACGTTTCCAGAGCACACGACGAGGACGTCGCTCCCTTGTGCTCCACGCGGGTCGGCCCCCGCGGACGCCCGAATGCGTCCGCGGGGGTCTACCTCCACCGGCCGGGAAAGCCCTATCCACGTCACCGCCTCCGCGACCGCGTTCCCCCGGAGGGTCTCGTCTTACCCTCGCCTTACGAGGTGGGAGGTCCCCGTAAATCGACCCGCCATTAAGGTTTCGAACCCGGGAACCCGGCCGGCCCCAAGGGGAGGTATCGCTAAAGAGCGGCGTCACCCAAGGGTTGGAGGTAGAGAGCCCCTCTCACTTGCCAAGCGCCACCCGCACTTTTGGCAAGCCCCGCCGGCTCCCCACCCGGTGAGCCTGCTTGGTGGGAGGAGCATTGGAGGGGGGACCTTCCCGTAAGGCTCTCCCCTTGCAGCGTTGCTCCCCCGGACCACCCCTCCAACGGGAAGAGAGTCGGGGCTGTGGGACAAACCACGGGTGGACCCGACTCCCCAGAGAGGCAGGGCGGTCCAGGGGCGCAGCTGCAATGGGGAGCTCACCCAGGGACACGTCCCCCACGAGCGCCTCCCGCAGACTAAAAAAATTGCGGAACGGAACTTGTACTAGGCAACTTTGTCCCCCTAACCACAAACTGTGGTCACTTTTGCAAGGAAAAGTTTCAATGACCTGACTTGAAACTGGTCAAATCAGCCTATTTTTTAGTTGTAGGGCAGTATGATCTTGCATTTTGTGCATTAAAACGTTCAAAAAGGTCAGTGGGGGTTTTCAAAAGGAGGGGTGGCTTATGGCTGATATGCCAATATCTACAGGTCCACATGTTCCGTGTTTACAATTGTTACAAATAATTCAATTAATTATATCAACGTTGTTGGGGGTGGGAAAATATCGATTCTTATAGTTTTTTGGTCGCTGGTTTCGAATCTGAGGTCAGTTTTTCAGTTGCGACATCATGGGAAGGGACACAGGGCCAATTAATTATGACCCTCCATCCAACGCCACAGTCGGGAATACAAACAAAGTCGTGCTTTCAGCATTGATACATTCATCTCATTCAGCCCAAGAGATCTTTGCTGTTCTGTTGCGAAATAGTCGTCACCTGCTACACTCAAAGAAGAGTAGACCCGTTTTCTTGAAAGATAAATTTCAGTTTTCAATTAATTCAGTGCGAAGTTCACACGCAATTTAAGACTGGAAAGGGCATAATTAGTGGTAATTAAGAGTAATCACTTAAATAATTAATTAATCATTAGGGGTAAATTTAGCCAAGGTCAAGGTCCGTCGTTATAAAAAGCACCCAATTTTATTTATATCCTTAAGTTTCATTTCATTAATTTCCCAACGTTCATATTGTTTTCCCGTTGTACATTTTGCAGGGTCAATAATAAGCGAAGATGAGTGTATTTAGCAGGTTGTCGATAACCATGAGTCGATACCCCACATTAACGGCATCAACTCAAGCGGGTAAAATTTCCAGCAAAATTAATATACATATGCATTTAGAAATATTTGGAATCATTATAATAACTCATAACTGCATGCCGCTAAATCAATCGTAGGTCTGATAATGTGCTCTGGGGATCTCATTAGTCAGAAATTCGTCGAGAAAAAACAAACGAACGAAATTGATCTCATCAGAACTGTCCGTTTTGGTCTGGTGGGGTTTATCCTTGTGGTTAGTTAAATCAATTTAAGTTTTTATCTTTATTTCATTGTTTTAAAAGGGTGAGCTATAAATTATAAAATACCCAACAATTTCAGGGACCAGTTCTTAGAACCTGGTATGGGTTTTTGGAACGAAGGGTTGTAATGAAAACGCCTGCGTTATCAGCAGTCGCTAAAATGGCGACGGACCAACTTATCCTGGCTCCTACATTCATATTCAACTTTATGGGACTTATGGGAGTTTTAAATGGACAAACCTTTTCAGAAATTCAGACTGATATTAAGAACAACTATGTTGACATTATGCTAAAAAATTATCAGGTAACGTAGATGTGTGCTTTCATGATGTCTTCTAAATAAATGGAGTCTCTTACATTCTATTTATAGCTCTGGCCTGCAGCACAAATGATCAACTTTTGGCTTATTCCACTGAGGTATGTTATACTAATTTAAGAATAAAGTGACTGTAATTAATTTCCTAACATCCAAAACTGAATGTAATGGATATGATTTTTCAATAGGCATCGAGTATTGTTTGCCCAAAGTGTTGCTTTATTTTGGAACACGTACCTCTCGTTCAAGACCAATAATAAATCTTTTAAAGGCAAGGAATCTGATGTACCACAAATATCACTAGCTCTCTAGCTACATACAGGCTGCTAGGATTGTCATAGTCTCTAATCATTCTTATTACAAATGACTTTCAAATTGTTTCTAGCTTGATCAAAGATATAAGCAAGCAGCGAGAAATTCACAAAATTAGAAATAAAATATGCGGTGCTTCATATTTATTGTCAGTTAAGAATGAAATTCAAAGTCATGTGTTTGTAACAAAATAATTTATTTATATATCATTGTATTCTTCCCATGATAATTAATGAATAATAAACATTATGTATAAGACTGAAATATTAGGAAAGAGATATCGGATCGACTCCTTATTGAGAATCCATAAAGAGAATTTCAGATAAAATTAACAAAGTTTTCGGCAAGAGTTTGTCTTGTGGTGACAGAACCGTCATTCTTCCTTTTTCGTCATCTACTTCCGTTACACAGACATACCCTGCAACATTTGTTCTAACCACTTCATCACTACTTTCGTCAGTGGCAAAACTGACAGCTAAAAGTCGATGAAGAAGTGCAGTCTGATTTGGAGTAACCAAGACTGGTTTCGTTCTCATTTCTTCGCCTTTCATACCAAGTGGCATGCATGATTGTGAAACGGCTGGGACACCAATTTTATAAATTTTTGCCTAAAAATATACAGCGGGAAGGTATTTTATGATTAGAACACATTGTAAGTTTAGGACAAAAAGAGAACAACTTATGCGTACCTCTGTAAATTTTATTTGAAAGGAATAAGGATGCAAAAGATTAAGTGGGGGCCTCCCGTAAAAATATTCTCGAATTCTATTATCTCTGGCTTCCTGTCTTGCCTTGATAGTCCTCTCAACAACCTTAAAGTTAAAATACAATAACATGGCATTAATAAAACCATGTTGATATATTAAGGCGTGTCTATTCTATTATATTTGTATAATATATTCACTCACCCCTCCACTTTTAGGTAGAAATACAACTTTCACAAATGAGGGCATATCAGTTTTCATTTGCGTATATAAACGTTCAGTACCTAAAACTACGACGACATCAACCTATAGTAATAAATAAATCATTCCATTAGTCCATCATTAACGTAGTGATTATAATTTACATAGAAATATATACTTTGACCTCTGACCTCAAATGCTTGGGCAATGTGAGTAATAATCCCATAACCTTCTCCAATGATCCAACCACAAGTGTTAATAACCACACCAGAAGCTTTTGCTATACAGGCATCAAGATATAATTAATTAATTCTATGGTTCAATCATCTCATGTGTATACAAATAACAGTGACGCATGTGGAATTACATGGATTTGGATACCTTTTCTATTGCTCTCCATTCTTTCGTGAACAGTTTCGGCTAACTTTGAAACCAGTAAATTGTACAAAGGGATGTTCTCTTGAGGGGATTTGTGACCAAAAAAGTAGACCATGGGAGCTTGTTGAATGAAACCACCGTCCTCGATCGAGGCCGTGCGTTCTATTAGCATTGCACCAACTGTACCGGGAACTGAGATGATCCCTTGTCCGACATCTAAATCGACATAGATTGGACGCCTTCCTAATCGAACTGCGTAATTGATTAGAAGTCGGCTTAGCGTAGTTTTTCCAACATCTGTGGGGCCAACAATCATAACAATTGGACCTCGCTTTCCGTCTGTCTCAGCCGTTCTATAGAAAAAATAATAATTTCTTTAATTCACGTCACTTAACTATATAGAAACTTGTAGCCCAATTGAATTCGAACCTTCGTAGTGTTTCTAATCCTCCATGAGCATTAAGATACATGACCATTGGAGTTTCTTTTGCTACGTATGCTATTTCAGTTTTTCCTGTAATAAAAAACTCAATTTGATAGATTTTCTTCACCTTTCCTTTCGTCTCACACATAAGCTACCAAACTTAACTTACCCTTTAAATGAATAGTGCACCCATGATATGTGAAAATCGCTAACTTTGTCCCAGGACCAAATTGATATGATTTCCCCTTAATCATTTCCGTTCCGAATACCTCCGCCATTCCATCCACCATCTATCACGCCAATTAAAAAATAACAAATTATGACGTACCTACATTAATGTCATCTTTATAAATATATTGCACTTACCACTACACTAACCACTTGGCCTTTGCCTCCTTCCACTTCAAATCTAAGTTCTTCATCTTGTCCCACTTTAAATTCTCTAAATTCCGGAGGGGAGCCGGATGCTCCATCATTGTTATTTTTGCTGTCCATGTTATATCTAGGGAGTCAAGAGCTATCAAGAGCTTTCATCCACAGAAGCTGAAAATTAAACCGAGTTATAAGAACTATTCAAAATATTATGATTGTGAATGTTATTTTTGATATATATCACATTAATTTATGTGGTAAATTGTAAAAGTTTTTATTCACACAACTTTCGATAATTTACCAATGATAAAAAATGAAATACACTATAATCTTTCTATCACATTAAATTTGTTAACCATACCATAAACGATTAAATATGTCAATGCGAATTTATACTCAGAGTCGTCAAAGGTGTGTGAAATGTTTAATGTTACAACCTACTTAATTTTGTGTCTATGTTTTCATAATCGTACAAAAAACATGTGTATCGGTTGTTGTCGGTGTCGGCTTTTATTTGCATTTCCAGATTTCGTGTTGATGTTGACGATTTGGGTGAGATTCCGCCAGCTGGAGGAGGTCTGGGGACGGTGAGACGGGAGCGTCGTGGTGCAGGCCGTGCGACCACCATCTTGATAGAAGCCGGTGAGAGAGATTTCCCTGCCAACAACTCCACTGCATTGCTTCTGGGAGCGGGGAGGGAGAGACTCACTTTTCTTCACTCGCAGTCTCTCTCCACGACAACAACCTTACCACTTCCGCTCCTCGCACACGGAGAAAGTACGACAACAAGGACTTTTCCTTCCCTCTCTCCGCCTCCTCCTCGCCAATTCACCGCAATTAACTCACTTTTTAATTGTCCTTGCAGAGTTTGACTGATCGAAGGAAAACCAGTCCCACGCCGACTACTAGGGAGGAAATCAACCAGAATGGCAGAACGCAAGGCCGTCATCAAGAATGCGGACATGTCCGAGGAAATGCAGCAAGACGCTGTGGATTGTGCAACTCAGGCTCTGGAAAAGTACAACATCGAAAAGGTTAGTAGTTGAAAGAAACTATTTCTCATTCAGAGATTTGGTTTGCATTTTGCGGTTATTATGCCGTATGCATGTTGTGGGATAATTAGGTTTTTAATTACTTCATTCCGGTTTTTGTTTATTTCACTCAGGACATTGCTGCATTCATCAAGAAGGAATTCGACAAGAAGTACAACCCAACCTGGCATTGCATTGTTGGGCGGAATTTCGGCAGCTACGTCACACATGAGACTCGTCACTTCATCTACTTCTACCTTGGCCAGGTAGCAATTCTTCTGTTCAAGAGTGGATAACTTGTCAGCAGCGATCGTCGTCACCCAGAAAGAAGAAGACTCATTCCTCCTACTACTACTACCGCTAAACTTCCGACTTCATTTTTTTCTATTCTTTTAATTAAATTCCAAAAACAATGCACTTACTGGATATTTCAAATGAGTCATCAACATGTTTTCCCTTATGGTGAAGCATCATCAACATCACTACTGTCATTGTAATTTATGTATACAAATTCCTACCGAAGATCGGTATGCTAACAAAATCATTAATCTAAACTAATAAAATCCATAGTTAGATAAGTCAAAACGCTTTGGTGTTTGTACTTGTTCATTTTCCCCGTGTATCGGGTATTATTTATTGCCTCGTCTCATAACTTTCATACATAACTTGTATAATGAAGTATGTAAATATTAACTACTAGTAGACGTGGAGGAGAAGCCTGCAATTTTCAGGTCGGGGCTACAAGTCTTTAAAATGTTGGGTAGCAGAGACATTACATGAAATCGGGATCCCATTTCCTCCATAATCATCTTGTGGCCGCTAATTAGAGCTTCTTTTTCTTTTGGGAGCTTGCATTTATCAAGGAGCATCTGAAATATCATAACACAAATTGGATAAAATATGCGCTTTCTTCTTACTATTAGTTAAGTAATGAACATGAAAATAGTAGTTAGTTGGATTTCGTTTTCAGGTGAAAGTAAGGCTTAATAATATTTCCATGTCACTTTTACTTAGAATGCTGATTCTAGCATGTTCTCTTGTATAATTTGTAACATCATACCTGTAATCGATGCTCAATCCCTATTTGGCTGAGAAAATCACGTTGAGTCACAGGTCCGCAAATCACAGCACGGTGATTGAACAGCTTGCGGATTACGGAAAAGTCAACATCAGCCTGGAATCAAGCAATGTTGAATACACTAAAAGTCTGGATTTACATACATGCATAAATAGCAACAAACGAAAACTCACTGTGAGATCTACTTTCCCAGGGTCGCAAAGAGGGTCGTGCAATTTATGTTTGTAAAAAGCCCTGAATGTATCTTCTTTGGTTCCGTTGTGACCATAGTCAATGATTGTGGAGATTCCCCCGCATGTTGTTAATCGATTTGTTAAGTTATCCAAAATTCCCAAGGCGTCTATACTAATTTCTATATGTTGTCGAGGGTCTTGAAGTACGCTGCTGTAATTTTGTTGCAGCACTGCAAAATACATAAATTATGGCATACATATCCACAGATTACTACTAATAAGAAAAAGGTATTCGATTCAAAATCGATCAAACATGCAATGTTAGTAGATAGATTCGACTAGAAATTCAGTAGGTATAGACATAGAGAAAGGGGACGATGTCGCCTTATATTAGTGTATAGAGAAGAGGACAGGCAGAGAAAGTCAAGGTAATTCGATACATTTGATAACATTATGTATGTTGTGCTCGACTCACGTTTTATAACTGGCGTTTCATTTCTGGAAATAACATATCTAAAAGTGGATTCTTCCTCCTCTGGACTGATATCGACAAGCACCTCTCTCCATTTATTTTCAACTTTCTGAGAACATGCAAAATCCAATCATCAAACATGTATAAATGAGTTCATCATACTTACGGCAGTTTTGCTTTATATGGTTAGTTTCATATAAAAGATTTTCTCTACGCGTAGGCAAGCAACATTGCCACCACACCACGCGCTGCTACTGCTGCTAGGTGGGCAGTAGCAACATAAAACTAAGCAACCACCTCATTTTCTAGGCTTTCATCTCATTCCACCCACCTGAATTTTGTGTACAGGAAGAGCATCAAAGAACTCATGAGCAATGTAGAAGTGAAAGTCTTGAGGCAAATCTCGAATGTCTCTGTACCAATACACGGGAAACCCAGTCTCTTCTGCTATTGCGTGATGATAGAAAGCTGCTCGCCCATCATCACTTGAGATTTCCTTCATGGGATCCAGCAGTGGTTGTTCCTCTTCCTGTTGCTGTGATTCGGATTCTTCTGGTGCTTTCCTCGCTTTCTCTCTTTTTTGGCCTGCTTCGCCCACGTCCTTCGTTTCTTTTGTTTTTCTGCAAGTCAAGGAATCGCATTGGATAGTTGCCAGAAATGGGCTGATCTCCACCAAATGTAGGGTCACATTACTCCCAGTAATGTGATTAAATTGTTTGAATACCTACAACAAAGTTACAAAACTATGAGTAATTGGAACTGAAGTTTAATAATAGAATAGCATCATCATCAGAGCCATAGTAGAATCACGCATACTCACTCGTAAAATGTCTTTGGACAATGTTCCCCTGCCAGGGCCCAATTCCACAACGCTAAACTTTTTAGGTCCACCAATTTCCATCCACGTTTGAAGGCACCAGATTGCAATCATCTGCATATTGATTATATATATATATAAAGATATACAAAGAGCGATTATAACTATTTACATAGCAGACATGTGATATATTATTACCTCGCCAAATAACTGTGAAATTTCTGGAGATGTGATAAAATCCCCTTGTTGTCCAAAAACATCCCGTTTCATATAGTATCCGCCTCCACCTTGTAAATTTCTTGTTACCAAGTCTTTTGATATTGGTTGAGCAGTTAAGGCCAATCGCATGTAATCTGCGACTGGAATTGGACCAGAAAGAAGAATTCTGGACTTGATCAAATTATGTACTGTTGAGCGAGCTAATAAATTACTTACAGTAGACATATTTGAATTTCTGACTAAATAAGTTAGAATAGACTAAATTCGACCTTAACAAACTGTGAAAAACTTGACTACTGCTGAGGCTGACACGAATTACTTATAAATATTACTTATACATATATATTTTAATATAAGGTAGGAAAAAGTCTTTATCAGTGTGTATGTATGTACTTTCTTTTTCGTTCACTGCTATATACAAGTCTAGCTTCTATGTTTGCAGCTAATTGAGTTCATGCGTAAATGTTCATCAGATCCGTCGACGCAGTCACAAATTCTGCAATTTATTAAATACAATTACGAATAACTGACCAAGAGTTTCAACATTCTTTCTTACCCATCGTTCACAAAGGAAGAGGGAACATATTCAGGAAAGCCTTGTTTCACCGTTGAGCAAAAAAATCGCCCATTCATACAGGCTAAAATTTAAAATTTAAATTTAATTTAAAAAGCGGTGTTGACTGGCGTCTTTCCACGATAAGATAAATGTTTTTCTTTTTATTTTACTTACCTGCTGTGCTTGGTTCATCACTTCCGTCGGATGGACAATCGCAAAAATCGTCGTTCACTTTGTCCCACGTGATTTGTTTTCCTGAAGTTAAACAGCTAAAGAATCCTCTGTACTTTTGATTATGTCGCATATAATGTTTCTGTGCTTCTCGAGACACTCCTAATACATGTTCCGAAAAGATTGGTTTTCCTTTCCGGTTTGGTTTTCCGTCAGGTGCAACTAGTGGTCCCGTGTCCCCTTTGGTAGGTAAGGAGGAGGCCTGTTGATTTCCGTCCAAATGATTGTGCTTTCCCACTTCAAACTTTAGTGCAATATCTTTAAGTGATTGATAACCCCCACTTCCTGCCCCTCGATGTCTTGCGGCAAACCCAAAGTCAGATTTGTCCTTGTTTGCGGATAATAGCTTCTGATACTCTTGTGACTGGTAACTAGTAAGTGTAGAATAGTTGACAAACTGGTACGATAAAAATAGCACCGAGCAAACAAAAAGTAAAATTAGAATCGCTTTGACTTTTCTTTTGACAAGAATTTTAGATGCGAGGAACGTTGTAAGGCTATGTGTTTCTGTCATGACGTGTTTAATACGGGATATAATAATCAATCAAGGACCAGAAAGGAGTTTTTTCCTTATCTAAAGTTACTATCAGGAGCTGACGAAATTTTTGCATTTGGTTTTCGTATTTGAAATGTATAATAATTGAAGGAGAAAGGAGCGTTGGTCAAACAGATAGCCGATGGATCTATTTAAAAAACATTTAATTAAGCAACATTTAATCAAGCATAAACTTTATACTATAAACACAATATTAATCTAATACCTACCTACATGAAACTTTGAACCTTGTCAAGAAGTCGCAAGAGGAGTAAGTGTTAATCAAGAGAGCTTCAAATGATCTCGAACACTGGTCACTAAATACATAACAGGCGAACATCATAAATACCGTGATTAATTAAATATTTGCATTTCATTTTTACCAGCAATCAAATCAAGTCAACAAAATTATAGATATATCTTACCTTTTTACCAGTATTGTATGAACGTGCAACAAACGCCAGGGGTTTCAATATCTAAGTTAGTAATCACTAGCTAACTATTAATATTTTTAACATCCCCAAAAGAAAGCTATAATTGTTTAGAATTAATAGTTATGTAGTTAATTGCGAAGTACTGAGCCGTCATTGTCGGCTGTTGAACTTGATCCCGCTGGTATTCACAATGTGCGACGATGCATTTGCAAATCATGACCTTATCCTTATAGATTGTGATATAACATGGCAGTAGTGACAGAATAAACAGTTTTACATAAGTCAGCTTAATTTCAGATTTGTACTAATTCTGTCGTCTATTATTATTTCCATCCAGATTCCATCTCCGGTTGACGGCGATCGACAAGAAGCAGTTACATAGTTCTCCAGGATCGGAGGCAAGTTGAGATATGGATTTTTCATACTTAACAATCAGTCAAATATTAGTTAAAAACGTCTTCGTGTAGTTAAATATTCACTTTGGATTGACTTCATTGACAATCTTTACATAACACAAGATGCGTCATATCACAAACAAAAGCTGCACGCCTTTTTTACACCTTTTCATACAAGGGTTTAAAAGGTCAGAATGTTAGACCTGCAAGAAACTGCTCCGTAAACTATTCTTTCCTTTTCGCCTCGTTCATTGTGAGTGATAATTTTATGACAAAGAATCCAATCTATCCATAGCCATCTATATTATTACATGCAGCTTAATACATTTAACTCACACGATAAGAAATGTAGCTCTGTTAGATATCTTTTGTCGTATGCATTTAACTAACAGCACCATTGCTGTACATTCCTTAGTTCTTGTAGGGTTTGTTATCAGCTCAATCCTGATTTTACATGCATGCATGAATACCCGTTCATTTCTCCATTTGCTGCTCTATTTACATATCTAATATGACGAATAATAATAATAATAACTTGAGCGAGATTAAGTCAGCCTTCATTCAGACAGCAGTCTTCATAGCATATGAGTCTTCATAGTAGCCGTAGGAAAGAATTAAAATCTTCATCGTCAAGTTGACTCGGTTTCCAATTTCCGATTGGAATCAAATTCATTTAACAAGTTCGTCTTGCTGTCGGAATTTTTTCAGGGAGTACACAAAACAGAGCAAACTACTAATCTGATTGAGGTTTAGGATTAGGAACGTATACAAGTAGGTGGTCCGCTAAATTAATTTTCAAAAATTAGCCGATTAATTTAATCCAAACCAAAAGGTTCCAAAGGAGGAAAAATTGGAAATGGCTGGATCTGTGATGGCGTATTGCTGTTGCATATGTCATGAGGATATGGGAACTCAAGGCAAATCAAACGAATTAAAGCCATTGCTAACGACAAAGTGTGGCCACCTTTTCCACACTTGTTGTCTTCAGAAGTTCTTTTCTAGTTCCGGAGACAATCTTGGTAACTTTCCAGCTTATCAATAGTCTGTGATTTGATTACTACATGTCACCATTTCTTTAATCGTTTTTGTTCTTTAAACATGTTCCTTCTGCAGCGTGGGGTCCCAAAACTTGTCCGGCATGCAAAACTTCACTCACGATTGCCACTGACACTATCACAATTTTTCCATCAATCGTAACAATCCCGGAGACCGTAACTCGTCCATCATTCGAAGAACTGACTGCAAGGATCAGTCAGTTGAAAAATCAAATCGTGGAGCTGAGCACTAGATTAGAAATGTCATTTTTGAAAAATCGAGAATCTGAAAAAATTGCAACACGATGCCGGTATGCAACGTTCTTGTTTCACTCCATTTTAAGCATGCAATTTTAATTAGATTTTACCAGGGCCGACAACGAAGCATTGGTCGGAAAGTTGAATTTACAAATGAAAACTGCTTCCGAATATATTTCTCAATTGCACTGGTTGGCATCTTCAAACCTGCAGTTGCAGAACAGCGTTTTGTGAGTGATTGATTATACTTATATGTACAGGCAGATCTTACGCAGGATAATTTAGCCAGTTCCTATGTTCATCCTTCATAATGTGCATAGATCATTGTCCAATCGACTAGTGGAATGCAGCAATCCTCCATTTCCTCCATATTTTATGAGGCCAAACGGACCAATGATGAGACCCTATTTTCCCCCACTGATGAACAGTGCTGTGGGACCAAGACGTTCGTTTCCTCCCCCAATAACCAAAAGAGGGATTTTGGGGTCCCCTCCATCCAGGTCCATCAACACCATTCCACGTTTACGAGTGGACTTCAAAGCAACAACCACAGCGTTTGAGGAGGTTAAAGCGTTGTCAGCGAAATTTATGCAAGCTGTGGCTATTGGTTCAAGTGGTGGTGGGGATAAATACGAATCGGTGTTTACCAAATTCAATGGTCCCAAAAATGAAAATGGACCAGCAACTACTCTCCAAGATTTTCAAGATACCGTTATGATGAATGAGCCTTCGGATCCCAAGATTATTGAAAAGGACGGGAATGACAACCGTCCCAATGGAATTAATGATTCTCTTGACCAACAAAGTAAGCACATATGTATTTGCGATGAATATCAAACATATGCATACTTTTTTGATCCAAGGTATTAATTCCTTATATTTGTTGGACTGTTTACTTAAACTTCTAGAACTCTCGTGTGAAAAACAAAGCTTTTGGAAATATTGGTGTGACAAATGCAAAATTTCTTGGGAAAATCGTGGAGGACAAGATCCACCAAGGAATTTTTGTCACAGCTGCCATAAAACCGTCCTCCCGCATGCTCAGGTAATTAAATTACTTTTATAACCAATTTTAAGTGATTTTTAAACACGCTCTATTTTCAGATGGGGACTGAATAACACTGTACAAGTTCCATACATATATATCTTTTTAACGATTTCTGATGCATAGAATTTCTCGGATGTGCATTAATTTGGACTTATTTTCTAGAAAGTTGACTTATTTTTGTTAACGCGACTCTTGTACTTTTTATAGTTTTGTTAAAGCATATTTCTAATATTTAATCTAATATTTTTGTGAGGGGCCGAATGGTGATTTCGGACGCCTATCCGAATCAAGTAGAGGTTTTCCCAACCCACTAACATCGAGGTTTTCCTCTACTACCCAAACCAACTACTTTTGATTAGTGTATTTTATATTTTATAAAGTATTTGGATATACAAATATTCGAATATTTTTCAATATTTTTGTATTGATTGTTACGTGTTCCTTTAGGAACTTTTATCACAAAATAAATTCTATTCTTATTCAACAACTTGTTTTACTACTGAACTGGAAAATGTACGCTTCTTTTGTCGGTATCATGCGAGCGTCTCAATATTTATGTCATGGAAGAACTTGGAGATGAAACTTCTCAGGGAATCAAACCGGCGAAAAAGACACCATTAAATTGTTCTAAAAGAACGGCACTGGCATTTATTAGTGTTTTCTTGGTAAACAGTCACTGATTTAATACATAATATAACAATATAAAAAAATTGAATAGTCAGCATTGATTTGCATGTATATATGTGGGTATTTATGTGCAGGGAACTACTCTGACGTTCATCTTGGTGTACGTGTACCTGATTTCAGGATATTTTGTGGGTCTTTTTGACCTTGATAATATGGCGCTTGTGTTTTGCTCATTTATCTTTATGTGCCTTTTCTATATAACGTGTACCATAGTGGGCGTGGTCGTAATTATCCACGCTAAACGTAAAAAACAGCTGGATTATGTAAGCCTTTCCAAATTAGCATAACATATTTTTCAATGACTTTGAATGATTTAATTGATGATACGGCATAATTGTTGTAGCTGCAGTTCGTCATGTGTGGGATCGCTTTCTTCAATATTGCATTTCCCACGATAACTCTTTCCAGCACGTCAACATTTCATGAGTGCACATTGAGTCCCGAAATAGTAAAACTTCAAACTAATTAAATATGTACATATCCATATATATGGATATATATTATATATCATTAAGGAAAGCATATGTACAATAAACAACGTTTGGTTTCAGGTCCCCTGTCTCCATCAATGTGAAATCCGTTCAAGTATTATAGCGATGGCAATTTTGGCCATGCTCTACACCGTTCTGCACATTGCACTTTCGTCCTTGTGGGACGGAATGGTGGATGCAAATCCATATTTCAACTTGTTCGAATTGACGAACCATGATCAACGAGTATCATTAGGAGAGAGGGGACGAAATAGCGGTTATGACGGCATTATCCCCATGTTCAAAATCTTGAATAAAGAAAATGAGGACTTTACGTACGGAGATGCAGACGCGGTGACAGAAAATGTCTTTATTTCCATTCTTCCAGAACATTCAGACCATGTGAAACACGAAATGAAAGAAATTCCGATGGTGATTGTTACGGATTCTGATAAGCCTGGGAGCAGCAAAAACAAAGCTAACAGTTCGAAGACAAATCAGAATAAGCCAGCACCAACAACCAGCAAGCGAACGGTTTTGACTCCTCCTCTCCCGGAGGAGGAAAAGGAGTCAAAACCGGAACCCATGCCCACTTTCACCAGGATAGAGTTTAAGGATGACGATAGGGGTAAAAAGGCGTTGGATGTTTTGCTTGGGCCTCCAAGTAGCAAGAGCATAAATGTCACAAATGATCCGCCTGCGTCTTCTCGAAATCTTCAGCAGCCGTCGACCACAAGCCAACCGCAACACGCTCAGAGTGTTCGCCACAGCATTAGTAAACCTACGACGAAACCTGATAAAAAACAAAGTGGTAAAAATAATAAGAAGCACGCGTAACTCAACCTCGACGCCAAGCTGACACCTTTCAACATTTTAGTCCACTTAGAAATAATAGGTATGCATAAACGTAGTAAATACACACACATGTTATGTATTTATACGAATGCAAAGTTAGAACGAATCGAACATTTGACGAGAACATTCCCAGCCATGTTGACCAATATGGGTGTGTCGGGATGAATAAATAACGATTTTCAATGAGGACTAATTAGCAGAATGGGAACTTATGATTAATTGACTAAAGTGTGTCCATAAAGTCAATCGGGACAATCCTTCATTCAGCCAACAACCAAAGAACAAGTGAGAAACCCTTGTACACACTGACTGGGTCTTCTGCTTGCATTGCATTCTACAAAATGGAAAACGGTGAAATAATTTCCAAACCAAAAGAATTGTGGATTTTTTCGAAAGTCTGCACTCCTGCAATTTCAGATTCATCAAAGACAGTTGGTATATTTCTGTCACAATGTTTACGATATTGTATCAGAATTCTCAAGTTCTTTGGCTATTTTCCGTTTTCATTTGACCCTAATAATGGGTTCCTCAGATTCAGATTTCTAAGTGCTGAGTTTTTCTATTCAATTTCCATACTTATCATTTACTCCACTGGATTCTTGCACTTGTTTATCTTGGGACCAGCCTTTGATGAAATCTTTAAAAAGGCGAAAATTGCTATGAATGGGGTCGATTTTATCATATTTTTTTCAGAAGCATACATCTCATACTTTGTGTTCATAGTTCTGCTGATAGAACCACTGTTCACAAGTAATAATCTTATTAAATTTTGGAACAAGTTGCAGGACATGTTTAGAGAATTAGGCGACCCAAGATGTGCTATTAAACTTAAGAGAGAGACTTTCAAACTATTACTTTTGTATGTCTTCGGGATGACATGCTTTGTGATTATCATGAGTGCCAACTCAAATGCTGATTTAGAACAGGTGTCACTCTCTGACATGGCATTCATGGGTGTTTGGTCAATTTTTGGAATTTCTTACGTGTTTATCTTTGTTTACTGCACTCTCATCCTTAGTGCAATCATAATTTTATTTGAACAAGTTGAGAAAATGATGAAGGCAAATTTTCTTCTCTGGACAAGCTATCGAGGTGGTGGGGGGAGCAATAAGCCTATCTCGGTAACAGATTCTTCTACAGACCCAGAAGTTCAATTGTATTATGCTCAAGAAAAATTTGAGGAGACGGTTCAGTTATTTAACGAGTTTCAAAATAGTTTTGGATTCAAACTCTTAATTTGTGTCACAAAAGTCTGCTTTTCAACCTTCCTCACGTTTCGACTTTTGATTTTAGTCATGAAAGTGAAAGTTGGCGGGGAAAGTAGTTCACTCTTTCAAGTCACTGTTCTTCATACGAGTCACCTGTGGGGACTCCTCTTCCTCCTCTCCCTCTGCAACAACGCCAAGAACATGGCCAGCAAAGTAATGGTTTTACCGGATTTTTTAATTAATGATGTAAGGTTTATCATGACGCATTATAGATATTTATGATGTGTCCAGGCAAATGCATGTCTCGAATCTGTGAAGCCGTACAAAATTATCCGAACATGCCCACATCGTATGATTCTAGTGGTAATTACTTATATTAGTACTTAATATTATGTATCAATAAGTGAAAATAAGTGTAAAGTGACTTGTGCAGGTACATGTGTTTTTGACTCAAATGCGAACAAAATCGTTTTCACTTACGGCTGCAGGACTGATTAATATTGATGGAAGGCTATTCATCTCGGTAAATATGATATATGCATAAACTTGCCAAGTTTTAACTAAAGTTTTGCCAAACTTTGTCAGATGGCCGCGGTCATTATCAGCTATTCAGTTGTTTTGGAAAACTTCTCCCCAGAACAAAAAATAACCTACCTACAGTTCAACGAAACACTTTCTTCCCCATAACCAATTCGGTTTCTTTTTAAAACATAAAATAAGTAATACAGCAACACAAGTTATTTATATTTTTAAATATAATTCAGGTCAGATCAATTTAATGGTTTAGAAAATAATTCCAATGCTTAGACATAAGTAGGTAAATACATAAACAGGTAATTAATAATTATGGAGTTGTAAGCATAATAATAATTTCGAAACTAGAATTTTTATCTGCCATTACCATCTCCGTCTGTCGGGGATGGAAAAATAAACTTAGAGAATTAAAGTAACAATCCTCCTTTCGGTTTATAGTTTTCAAACTTGGTAATTCATTATTATAAAATAATCCTATAGTTTACAGTTACGCAGTACACGAGATATAACTTAAAAACCTTGGGACACATTGTGTATTATTATACTTCTTGGTGGAGTTTGTTGAAAAATTAGATCAAACCGATGAATAAAATGCCGATTTCGAACGGGTGGATGTATTTAAGCCTCCACACTCACCCCTGAAACAAAAAGTATTTTTATAGTTTCTAAAATTAACTGGAATCCTAGTCAAGTCGCGTTAATGTAGAATGCCTAATTATTAAAGTATACAGATTCACTTACCATCTGCTGGTGTCATTACTCGAGCTTGTGCTCGGACACGCTTCTCGTATTCCAGACGATTTTGACTGTAAATCAAGCAATACATAATATTATGGATTTACATACATGCATACAACTACATATCTATATAGATTAATTGTTCACACATGAGCAACTCTGTAAATTTTGTACATACCAATAAATAGTATAAGCTTCGGCTTGGGCTGGATCCTTAATGTTCGGCTCATTCAAGAGATCTTGTATGCCAAGCAAGATCTGCTTGATGGTAATTGCTGGCCGCCAGTCTTTTTCTTCGTCCAAAAGTGATAAACACACAGTTCCAGATGGGTAGACGTTTGGGTGGAATAGGGGAGGCTCGAATTTACATTTTGGAGGGCTAGCAGGGTAATCATCTTTAAAAATCATTCTTAGCTTGTACAGTCCTCCATCCCAAGGGGTCTAAAGAATAACATGATTAGTTAACTATGACATGTTTTAAACTTAAAAAAATAGTGATGCATTTACCCCCTTCTTTCCGGGAATAGCGCATTCCCAGTTCATGAGGTTCATGGTACCGTCCTCTTTCTTAGTAGGCCTTGCCACGAATCCCTGCAAAGCATAGTAAAAGTCGTAACTTGTTATTGCTCTACTTATATTGTTATTGTCTTGTATTGTGTACAATCTATAGATAATTCTACTTACAAATGGATGGTCCTTTCGCCACGTCTTGCGCTCTTCCGACAAACGGGCGACGGCAATTCCACTCATTGTTCTCACAATAAATGATCTCTATAATTGATAATCCTGATCAGAGTGAGTTCAGTGGAGAGAGATGAAGATGATGGATGAAATTAATCCTTCAACAAGTAAAAACTCGTTCCGCAGTTTCAGCTTTCACTCACAACGAATTCCTCGCCTGAAAGTAAAATTACAATTAAAGTGACAATATCTATTATCCGTCATACAAACTTTTAATTTCATTAAGTTAATAATTTAATTAAAGGTTAAACAATTGAAGTAAACAACCAAGAATGAGTAACGAATGCAATCGAAATATATATTCCACAAATTCCACTTCATAATTAGTTTAACTTCCTTGAACAGTGATTACATACTTACCGTGCACATAATACTGGACTATTGTCAAGTTGGTTAGTTAAGTTCTTGATAAAATAAACGAATTTTTAATTTGCTCACCTAGCTTTAATGACGCAAAGAAGTGTAGAAATCAGAGAGAGAGAGAGACGTTGGAGCGTCAAACATGTGTGAATGATTTCAAGCGGGCCGACTTTCTCCGTATCTCTCAATGCTAGTCGCAACTCTCCCCAGGGGGCGCTCTCATCCTGAACCCATACACACGGGCAGGATAGGCACCCAATTTGCATAATTTACGGGTGTAATTTATTAGTAATTCGTGGTAAATTGACTAGAAAAGCAGCAGCCTCACCTGTCTCGTCGCCCTGAAAAAGCCGGTTCGCAAAAAAATGGCAAATGCATATCATCGTTAGTTCATCCCCTTTTCAGTCTTCAACAAGTGAGACGATAAGTATCTGAAATGCAAGTATGCAAGAAAAAGGTTACAATACATAGTGATAAAGATGCATATTGTAGCTAATTAGCATATTGATGCATAGTTGCAAATTCCGAAGTACATCCATAAGTCACTCCAATTAGCTTGTGTGTATACATATTTCCAAGTCATGCAGAGAGGCACGATGAGATATTTGCTAATTCAGTAAGTTTAATTATTACAGTGTGGACGGATGTGGGATCAACCACTTTTAACCCATAAGCACTCTCAATTTGATAACCAGTTAATTAATTGCTCTCCCACAGACAAAGTATCGACTAAACCACACAGTTATCTTTACTGCAGAGTTGCATGCATCCAGAAATTAGCATAAATATTTTACTAAATACATAGTTTGCTTACATATGTATAGCAAATAATCATTTAGTTACATTTTTCCAGATGCATGTATATGCATACTTTAGTCAATGATCTTTCTAATTCCAACTATTTAAAATCCTGAGATAATATCAAAAGATGTCTCATGGTCAAGACATGGGTCGACCTTTTCGTACTAGTGTACCGAGTGAAAAGAGGATTTTCTTTGTAGTTATCGTATCTTTGAGTATATTTAGTTGTCTGATTGCGGGACAGGAACTAGGACACGAAGGCTCATCGGCAATACTAAGTGACTCCATTGCGATATTGCCTAAAAACGAGCCGACTTTTAACGTCACTTTCGCCAACATCAATATTTGTGCTGATGGAGATAAATTGTCCTTGGTGTACTGCAATTGCACGGAGCAAGTTGCAAGCTGCGATTTCACCAAGTATCCTGGAGCATTGGAAAATGTACGGAACCAAAAATAAATACGCAAGTGTACATACATATGCAAGTACTAACTTTTTTTGCATTCCTTGACCTACAGAGAACAGAACTGGGTGTTTTTGTGGACGACATGAAGCACAGAGTGAAACGACTCTGCATTTGCGGTGGTCCGAGACATGTTCGCCTCAATGTAACTCGCAAAATGAAGAGCACGATGAACAACAACTTGGGATCACTTCATCGCGTCGACATTTACAACATTAGTGGGTATTTATTTACAACATTTACAACATATTTCTTGTGTAATGATGGGTTTTGAAATTAGTCGGAAAAGGCTGATAATGCTGTTTCTAAAAACCGCAGACCCCTTCTGATCACTGAAGCCTTCCAAGCACCTTTCGCCGGTGACTTTTACATCATGAACGTGAAGGAGCTCTACTCGTTGAGAACAGAAGAGTTCAACCGAGGAAGTGACATGAAGATTGAAAATGTTCAGGGTTCGCAAAATAAATTACGAATATTTCTCTAGAATATTATGTGGAATGAGCATAATACATGTCTTGGAGAGTTTAAAGTGATTTAATTATCAGATCTCGAGTGCTGCTCAGAAATCAAGGTGTCTCAGCTTCATTCCAAACCTACGTTTTACATGGACTCGGTCCGAATTGAGAGAATCTACACTCGGAGCATAAGTAGTTATCATGTATGGCGAACTATAATACTGAAACACTCGACGGTTAAGCGGCTTTATCAGAGAGGGATCGCCCTCGAGTCAACGACGGAACACGTGAACGTGAGCATTACCCACTGCAAGTTTGACAATGTTTCCAACCAAGGTACACGTTAATGTCGATGACAAATAGCATGGTGAGTTCTATTTCTTAAATTTTTCGGGTATCGGTATGTAGGGATTGTTTTGGAAGATTTTCATAACGCATTCATCTCGAAAAATTATTTTGGACCATTTACAAATTCTGCTGCCATTGAGGCTACGTAAGATACAGTAAATAGTGCAAATTCAATATTCTGACAGATAAAATAATAAAAATGTTATTGTTATTAAGGTCCAAATTTGAAAATTCCTCTCTGATAGTTTTGGACAATTGGTTCAATAACGAGTTGGTGCTAAATATGACTGCTCATCGAGTACTCAACTGGTTCAATTTGTATAATCTCTGGGATTACTGGACGTTTGCATTTTATCCAGACCAACCTTATGCTGGTATTTAAAAAATAATCGGAAATAATTTAATTTACTCCAAAAAGGAGGCAACCTTTACAGCATAATATTTATCGCAATGTTAGATGCAATATATTCCATCGAATATAACACGGTCCAGCATTTAATGATGAATGAAAGTGACCCTATGTCATCGCTGAATTCAAGTATGCTAACTCATGACAAGGTCATATTCCACGAAAATGTGCTCGGGAGCTGCAACTGCTCCCTTGTGTATGGGACCTTTCTCCCAGAACGAATTTCAACCCATACCAGCCGGTGACACTGCCTTATGAACTAAATTACACATTCAATTTGTCACCTAGAAATCTAACAAATAATCTCACCCAACATTTTCAGTTGCGATTCGCTGCCATTTACTGAGACACCGGTTGAACCAAGTCAGAGTGAAAATTGTCTCGTGGATTTCAAGTCGGTAATGACCACTTGCACGGATCAATCCAAAGAGTTGAATCCAACTCAACTTTGTAAAAGTCATGGCATCAAAAAGCCCAGCTTTAGTCTGAACACCATGAAGAAGTTGGCCTTTCAAGCTACCGGGTTTAAAATCATTTCTCCATTCATTTCTGAAATGGTGGGCTGATTCAACTAATTATTCATTTTCTACCCGATTATCAATTAATACAATTACATAATGAATATAAGTATGTTCATAATTGACATTTGCAGTTGAAGGAACTGAAATTCAGATTCTTTATTCACAAAGTTTTTCACCACTCTGAGGAGGACGAAGAGAAACAATATTCTCAGCACGGCGATGATGATGATGACGATGACGCTTCTTTTGGGAACAAAGAAGACCATTCGGCGTCACATGCAGGATTAGTAACATTTTTTATATTATTATCAATCACAATTCTTATTGGTGGACTGTTCGTTTTGGTGAAACAACGAAAATTAAGGAGAATAATTACTCGCGACTCCAGGTGTGAGTCGTACGATGTTTTAACCACCTCAACCTGAGAGATTTCCAAGAGAGTTCTTTCACCGGTGCATAATTATAATATGTTCCATTGCATTAATAATAAATAAATACATGCAAATGAAATATATTGCACGTTAGTTGAATAGCCTTGCAAATTTCGACTCAAATATTGTCATAAATGTCAAAAGCACATATGCACATATGTATTCAAATATATCCATGAATTTTTATGCCGTAATAGATATTCTGCATTTGTACCATACGACAAAATATATCTTGGAATAGACTGTTTCTTTCGCGAGGATGCTTTTTGGACGTGGGAAAACAACTTTTGAACACTCATCCATGCCCACTCTCGTTCTGTTTTTCTCTCCTCTTGTTTACTCAAGTCGAATAATTATACTGGAGAATTAATTATAAATTATAACAAATGTTCCAAATAATTAATAAACTTCAACCTTCCTTCTTTAATTTATTATTTTGAACTGGTTCTTATTCTCTTCTGTAGTGATTGGGGAGTGAATTTTGTAAATTATTTTTGGTAAAATTGCATTATTACGGCCTAGCTCGGATTTATTTCAGTGGACTAGCTTGGATTTGGCTGATAATTCTCAGTTTCCCACACGATAGGAATATTTTGTAGTAAAATCAGATTTTCGGGGTAAGATGAGATTTCTAGTTTCCAGCACTCCTAGCTAGCTCTCCTAGGTACCACTACTAGCTAGCTCTCCCAGATAGCTCTCCTAGGTAGCACTACTAGCTAGCTCTCCTAGGTAGCACTACTAGCTAGCTCTCCTTTTTCAAAAGCCATTTTCATGAAAATCTAAGAGAAAAATTATTTTTATACAAAATTTCAAAAATTTTTAGAAATTTTATTTTTTGAAACCGCCGCGAAAAAAGGTATTTTTATGCATATGGGACCTTAGGGTATTCACACAAAAAATTTCAGTCAAATCCGAGCTAGGCCGCTGTACTGCAATTTTACCATAATTTCTATACCAAATTTCAAAAATTGACAACGTTTTTGTTTTTCGAGACCGCCGTGAAAAAATTGAAAACTTATTTCCGCTATTTTGATTAAATTATAACCCATAAAATGAATGATTTTCGTTCAGATCATTTGTTGTATTGTAATATGATGCACACTTTTCTGTGTGGACGTGCTCTGGTGCTAAGTGTGGAAAGGCCCGTGCACCGCACCAAGTTGAGGCAAGTTGAGCTATCTATCTAACAGAGCTACATTTCTTATCGTGTGCATTTGTACATCACTACATGATCACTACTCATAAAATGCCAGTGTAATCCCTGCGTGATCGAATGCAAATTGCCCCATACAGAAGACAAAGAAGGACGCGGAGTGAATTGCATGCATGAAAATGCTGCTCCCTACTGCATGAGTCTGAACTTCGCCTGCACGTGACTTTCACGTACGTACACTTGCCATCAAACTCAAATTAAATGCCTTTATATATAAACACAGTGTGCAAGTAAATTGAGTGAGTGAGCAGTATACATACGTCACTCATCAATAGTGGTTATCATGATAAGTGATCTTGATAAACACTATTAATTAATTATTTTAGTTTGAGAAACTCCACCCACAGCGAGTGGCATATCAATTCGAATGTATTTTTGACGCTGGATCCAACGCCGTCAATGATTTTAACCTCCGAGGCCCGCGTGACCTTCCCGTGACCGTGGGGGGTAAATATAGCTTATTCGTGATGTCGCATATCAATTCGAATGCATTTTTGACGCTGAATCCGAATCCGTCAATACATTGGCGTTAATTGTAGAAGTTAACGGGGTTTATGGAACTTAACGGGAGCGTGAAGCGTGGGAATTTAAATAGTTAGCTATGCAGTTACTCCCACGCGACGGGAATTTAAGTAATTAGCTATTCAACTACTCCCACAGGGGGAAATCAAATTGTAGTGTGACCAGATTAATTAAAATGCGTCGTGACTTGGGCAAACCCTCACTCTGATGTATGTATGTGGTATGACAAAGTCTCCACTGGGAATTATTTAAAGTATAGAATGACGGATTTTTCGCTTTGGGCACACCCCCACTGGAACCCTAGAACCCGGCCTTGGCCGGGCTATACGCTAGTTTGTATAATAAATGCTCCATTCCGTGTTAGGAAGGAACCAGGTGTTGTAAATGAGCGTTCGACGATGAGTGAAGAGCAATAAATTCAGAACCAAATGAAGAAATGCAACAATGAAACTGGTTAATTTCATGGTCTAACTAAGGTACTCGTAGCGTATGTTACAATATAATTTGATACAGATTTTCCTTGTCCAACATTTTTACAGTACGTGTGTTACATATGTACGTATACTTGTGCATGGCACGAATTCCAGGATGCAATTCGTATATTCGAATGCAGGAACATAATATTGTGTATTGAGAGTTGTTTTGCATAACACCTCTCACTCAGCATTTCAATGTTTCAAATTCAGTTTTTCCCATTTCCGGAATATATCGGCTTTTGGATTTTGCTGCATGTTGAAAGTTGGATCAGCTCTGGGGGCAGCAGCAAGCAGCCGAGCCTTTGCTGTGTTGCTTTGTGGTAATAAAATGAAACTGAGCGACCCGACCGACCGGCGAACCCATAAAATGTTTTAAAGGTTTCCTTTCGCAATGAGATAGGTTTCGGAAAGCGATTATTCGTCAACAGCCTATCAAATCGGGAAAAGCCCTTCATGACTTTCCTCGCAAATTCCTTCCCACTTTATTATTATTATTATAAGGCGTATGTACATATGTATCCGAGTTCCCTGTCGACTATATAAGCACACACACACACACACACATATCTCTTGTTGCCCCAACTATGTACCATTACCGAGTCCTACAATTCTGTACAATTTATAAGTTATACGTATGTACATCTCGCAGTACGTTGAGGCAGGGCGAAAGCAAATACATATGTATCCCGACGTTCCTGGTCGTCCATCGTGATGCATCGCCAAATTTCTGCTCTGGTTCTCAGATTGTTGTTTTTTGATGTTGATCGGATCCAGCGTAAGAGTCCATTATTGCACTCACCTTTATTTACAAGAGTAGCAACTAAACTGAGTGACTACCTTTTATCATCTCCAGTTTATGTCTCCTCTCTTTTTTCCACTTACCTCAGTCTTCCAGCTCTTTATTTTTACGGCGAATTCCTTCCTATTACTCGACACATTGAGTCACCGTCACTCCAAACAGTCTGCACCACCATTTCGGGCTTGCTTCCGCTTGTGACCTCTTTCTTTTCAGGTCCGAGCGTCTGAAGCAATTCACCTCCCTGTGGAAAGTCGACAAAGTTGTCAATTTTTTGTGTTGGGCAGATAAACTAGATGAGAAATCAAGTGCAAACTTATAAAAGTACAACTTATTTGGGAAGTCTTCAGTTTCGTGAAATTTACAAAAATAAATGACCTTCAAATACTTCAGGTTAAGTGTTCACCAAATACAAACTACACGGATGGCATAGAAAGATACCGGTCATGAAACATAATATTTAACTACGTTTTCACATTAATTAAAACATCAAATAATGAAATCAGGAGGATAAAGTGGCAAATTAGATGCACAAATACATTTGTATAGGTAGCAATGGGACGTGGATGAGGAAAATGAGCCGAAAATTATCCGACCTACTCTGGCTGGTGTGTGATACCTTGTTACATTGAAAGTTATATGTAAATAAAGGGATTGCATTTTGTCTTCCCAACTTCCGCCTTTTCTTGGTGTTAAATCTTGGTGCATTAATTAATTCGCAGCTTGGTTTTTAATAGCACCACAAAATAAATATGTAACAAGTAGGAGTTGGAGTTGGAGAGAAGGCCTCACAATGTTTCAGCTCAATTTCATGGCAGTGAGATTCCACGTGGAGATTGTGGTTACTGTGCAGATTTACTACTCAAGAAATGCAACCTGTTTGACTTTCATATCGTAGGTCATGGGAAGCTTGGGGTCTACACTCTGAAATACTGTTAATTAAATACCCTAGTAAAGTATGCTCTAATTGGCTACGGACCATATAAACCTGTCAACGTTTCTCCCAACTATGCACAACTTTAAATAGAGAATTGGTACATGTCAATGCACAGGTGTACATAGTATCAGGTAGGCAATTAAATACCACGCTGGACTCAATCGAGTATTGAGTATGGCCAGTAGCCGTGTGGTGGGGCCAAAGTGATCTTAAATACTAAAGATTTGACGCCAAACGGCAGAAAAATCAAAAAATTGCAACATTTGAACACAATTATTAATATTTTCCGCACTAAATGAGCCGTGTTGCTGATGCTATGCTATTAAGTTTGGGTTACAATTACATATTTTGATCAGGTGTGCTGATAAGTAGTATGGTGATAGAGATATTTGAACTTAAGAGTGTGTAATTACGGGGGTTGGGGGCTATTAAGTGAGAGTTATGTGTGTATCATGAGAGTCGGAGCGTGTACAGAACAGGATCACACCGCATGCCCCCACCATCTCATCTCTATCTACTCACTTACTCACTTACCGAGAAAAAGAAGAGTATATATTTGCTTTGAAATTCATTAAAAAGTAAGAAATTACACTTCTCAGGCAAAATTCAACCTTGAGATGAAACTGATTGTGAAAACTGAATTTGTCGAGGCATGAAAATATGCAATCGTTTCTAACCAAATGGAAATATTACATAGTCAGATTCGAATTTTATCCACTAGTTTGACAATCGCCAACCGGTTTGACAGACAAAAAGTAAAATCTATAATTATGCTGTACTGTTCCGATGTGTTTTAATTATTGCACATCCTAAATCACCATCACCATATCGGCGGTTGAGCCATGCATTTTTACGTAAAAGTGCATACCATTATGCATGTGTGCAAAGCGACCTAACTTGTATCAGTCATCACAATGTTGGCTATTTCTACATAAGGGAAATTTGCAGTGGAGAGGAGTTGACAACTTAATCAAACTGCATATTCCTGCTGGTAATGCAGTCTCATTATTATTTAAGATTGGAGGTTTAGATAAGTAATTTGAGTTGCCAACAGGATTTGGTGTGATATGGTTGTGGATTTGAGGGTTGTTTCTAGTTGGAGATTATTTTATGAGGAGAAGAAAAGGTTCATGGTTCGCGTGCGAACTATGTATCGCCAGTTTAGCTGCATCTGTTGCAACGGGTCATGCAAGTGCAAACAGGCGGTTTTCGCATTAGTGATGGATGAGAAAAAATTAGAACCCACAATTCCTTTAATCAATCTTGAATTAAAACCTGACCTTCCTTCCATCACGTTCCACGAGGTTCACTTGGTAGCTCATCTAATGGTACATAATAATAAAGTGATAAACTCCATTTAATGTTTTCCAGAGGTTGACCTAACGCTTGTTCCAACTGCAACCTCGCTGTCCGCTGATATCATCTTTTACTTGAGTCAATATTACATATCATTATTTGCTCTGCGCTTCTCCATTTCACTTTTGGGTGCATCAGCTCAAACTGCATTTCGTAGATAGGCTCTCGAGTTTTACGATTTTATATGTTTTATTTTCCCATGTTTCGATAATTTTTGGTTGAACACCTTTATCCGACATCATTAAATTCCCTTATCGACGTGCAGACAGAAAATACCACTACCCACCAAGATGCATTTTTAGCTCTTACTTTTTATTATCACTTCATTTTGTTAAAATTAAGGCTAACCCATGTTCATCATTATTTCCTTTAATATGGAAACCTCACAAGGCTGATGATCTACATGTGTACATCTCCCACTACATCTTGGGCCAAGTAGTGTGATATAATCACCTGCAACACTAACACAGCGCGAGCTTATTACGTGCTTGGCTTTGTTTCTTTCATCCTCGCAGCACGTTATCAGATCAGTGGATCAATTTCAGCCATGACCACGACCAATTCGAGTTCACTTCTCCAGTTCAGGTGAGTCCACTAATTGCTTGCAACTTTTAACTGCATCGTCCTCCTCTCTCTCACTCTCTCTCGAATGCCAAAAAATGCTACAAGCTTCTAAAGCTCGGTTAAAAGGTTCATTTCCATATGTTGTATGTACATTGCATAAGTACAGGATTCTGCCAAACTGGTTCTCTGCTTCTCCTCCTGCTGTCCACCATGTGTACGTATGCATGCACTCGAGATAACCTGCTTGGAGCTGGTCTATGTACAATGATGTTCTGTTTAACTTAATAATAATAGCATTTAACAGTGTGAGAAAATCTGTAGGTTTGCGTGCACCCTGTTTTATCTGCATGGTCAATGATCACATAAAGATTTATATAGTAATACCAAGCCATAACCAAATCGACTTTATTATATTTTATGATTCGGATGTCGGATATTCATGCAGCAGGCACTGGTTCAGCTTTCTTGCCATTTTTATGAAGCATAAATCTTAATCTGTGCATGTACGTTGGATGTAATAGGAATGCACTGCAACTTATTAGCCAGCAACACAACACAGCACAGCTCCTTGCATCAAGAGCACCACGTCCAAGCCTCATGAGCTCAGAGAGAGGATGAACCTGATGGCACATTTTATTCGACTCCATTGTGGACAAAGTTCACGAAGAACAAGAACAAGAACTATTAGGATTGTTGGCCGTCGTCACATGTGGACTTGAGTCGGTCGGTGTTGGGGTAGCTCAGGTACTGGTTGGCAATAGCTCAATGAATATTCTCAATAAGGAATCTCCGTGGGTGAAATTGTGGAGTGATGAGGAATATGGAACATTGTATCGCTTTTTCCTTATTCAGGTCTATTAAAATAAACGAGTTTGGGATGATTTTTCCGTCTGATGATGTTTATAGCACTGTAATACGGCTCACTTTTGTTTATTGCTATTCTAATGGACTGCATATTACAGTACATTAAGCTACCAAAGCACAATGTTGGGGATCCTCTTCCCTTGACCATAATGTTCCAAATGATCCAACCACAAATTGTGGAAAAATTTTGGAAGCATAAAATATAAGAATAAGAATAAAAGTTTTGTATAATTACATAATTTGTTAGTGTGCTAAACTTTCGTGCTTGGCCAGTGAAAAGAGAGCAAGTCTTAAGTTATGTAACCTGCTGTTGGTGCACATATGCACATATGTATGTAGATACATATTTATGGTCGAGAACTAAAAATGAACAATGTATAAGGAAAAGTCGGCTGTTTTACTCATTAATTTAATTGCTGCTCTGGACAAGTTGCAAATTGAAAATTCGCCAAACAGGCTGAACACAAAAAATGAATGAACAATCTAAACTACAATAAAGTAAAGTTAAATAATTTGCAATTGAAATATTAATTGAGGAAAAAAATGCTTATAAATCTGCCCAGATCTTTTTACATTGTACGAAACTCGCCATTGGATGATTCATATATTTATAGCACAAATGCAAGTGGTAACTCTGAACGTTTCCTCCGTTTTTTTTTCTTTAGGAAAAGTTCTCTCATGGAATGCATGAAGAAGTAGACTGTACATAAAGTTGCATTATTATACAAATTACACGGTCGTAAGCACACATTATTTCAAGATATTTTTTAAAGTGTTCTCCATAACATTTATTACTGTACTAGATTTCTTTGATAAGAATGGCTACAGTTCCAACAAAACATGAAGGACGAATAAAAGGTGTTGTTGGGCGAGGTGAGCACCTCGAGTTACATTTGTAAACTAATCCTAACTTAGGATTCCTAAGTAGTTAAATGACCGATACATGAGTTGCATGTTGCATCAGTGGCGAAATATATCGAATAATTAATCATTTGGAATTTGATACCTTGTTTTCCAAGAAATAAAATCTAGACTAATATTTTTTCATGTGAACTAATAAACAAAATTGTACATACACATCTCTCTAAAAAATTATATATTCTATATAGTTGCACTTTCACATTATACGCATTATCTCATTTTGGCTGCTTACTCTCTAAATCAATAATCCATCCAGTCCTCGATGATCCTTCCTCAATAACGTATTTGCAGAGGGTAAATATACGAAAAACCTCATCAGTTACCAGAAAATTACGAAGTCCAAACAACAAAGTACAACATTATGTAATGAGACAAAGAAAGAAAAAAAACTCAAACAAAGGAGCTCGTACATACAGATATCTTTTACACTTTTGCACAAATTATTTCTGTATAATGCTGTATTTTCCATTAAGTCTACAAAGTATGTTGTAATGTTGTACACATTGTTTCCACCAATAAATTACAAGTTTCTTTGACTCGTCCTTCCACAAGGCCTGTTACTTGTATCAATACGGCCACTAATTAATCGCATTGGTTGGATGGTGGTCTTGTACTTGCTGTACGTCCAAATAGTGCAGCATCAGAAAGTGGTTTCACCACTTATTCCGTCACACCCTCCTTATTCGCTCGCCTGCTATTCCAGTCCAGCAACCGACTAAATGATTCTGCTGCTTGGTGCCAGCAGTGCAGTCCAATGAGTGCACTAACTAATAACGTTGCTAAAGAGGCCTCAAATGCATGTGAGTGAGGTGCATCATGTGCGAAATCAAAGCATGCTATACGTAATGTACACATGGTCAGCTAGCCCCATATGCAGGCAGGCAGGAGAGGAGAGGTTCCAATGCATCATGCCATCCATCCATCCATCCATCCACATACATAATATGCAGCAGTTAAGGTTTGCAAACTTTGCCAAGGAGGCCAACACAACGGTTTCTACGAATATTCGCACGTTCGAAGTCTCTTCAGCAACATCTCTCCTGGGTTTCTCACTCACCCTCCGTCCCAGATTCCTCGCTCGCCTCCTCCGTCTTACGTAACTGCTGCCTGCGAGGGGATGATGAGAATAATGGCTCTTCTCCCACAAGAAGAAGCTGCCAGAAGAGAAAAGTGATACTTTTACCCCAACTACGCCACGGACGATAAATATTGCATACAACAAAGTGCTACGGTTTGTGCACCAACAACAACTCGCTCAAATTCATGAACATTCCTTGGGGCGAGATTGAGATTGGATGCGTTGGAGAAAGTGAGCTCTCGTATTTATTATGCAAACTCTAGTTCGCCTTCCTATCATGGTTGCAAGTTAAAGAAAAAAAGAAGGATTTATGCAAACGTAATGCTTCTTGGCAATATTCTAACTTCAATGATTTGACATTTTTAAAAAAGTACGAGGAAACCAGAAGAAGATTTCTTATCAGAAGAGACCTTTATGTTTGCCGGGGTAAGTCATTTTATTTGGTAATTTATCGAGCAAATAAATGAATTCACTGTCCTAGTTTTGTGGAGATTTAAAATATATGAGTAACATGTATTAATCAATAATGGATAAATACGATTATTTAGTAATAGTGGTTCGTTAAATAAGATATGCAACTATTTTCATTTGTAGGGATTGATTTCTATGTCATTTAGTATTCGAAATTCGACAGAGAGCTCAGAGTTGGTGGAGACAGCTCTAATTAAGCAATTCCGATTGAGAAAATGAATTTATAAAATTTTGTATGCAGTCATTTTATCCAACCTTCAACCTGTCATTAAAATTTATTAACACTGGTGCGTTATTACGATATCCGGTTGTACTTTGTTTCATATTTCGTGAGAACAAAATGAGTCTTTTAAACTTACTTCTTCTGAAATGTTGACAATGAGTTTACAGTGAATATAGAATTATCGTGTCCACGCGAATCATTAATCTTTATGTGCACAGTTTCGCAGAGGAGAACGTCTTATCAAAATTCAAGATGATGATATGTATAGTTTCCCTATATGTAGATTTAGAGTATATAAATATCATATCATTCCCTTTAATTAATTTTTAGTCAGTTCATAATAAATACGATGGAACTTTTTGAATAAAATATCATAAGCGTTTAGGATACACACAGCACGATCAAATATGACAAAGTTTGTGACATAAATGATCTCTTTGTCCTCACCCTACGTACATATATTCGCTGGTGGTTTGGTTATAACTCAACTCCACTTGCATACGCTTCTCGTTAATTAGCTTGGTTTATTCGCCTCCAATGCATGTCACTGGAGGAGTCAATGAATGAATGAATGAAACATATTTATTTTGTGTCATATTTTATATCAAACGCGTCTTCTTGATCAACTGTAATTTGGCAATTCCTTACGATAGCATCCGTTCTTGTTAATATTATAATATTATAAAATGGTGGCGCTTGAATTAAAATAAACCGAGTTGATAGTTAGTGAAACAACTTGATCTGCAGTGGCATCGCGAATAAAAAAATACTGGATCAAAGTTCTTGCGATTTTTAACAGAAATTTCACATATCCTGCTATTAATTACATAGTGATTTATCTAGTCAACTGGATTTACTCTTTATCGAAAGCGAATTATTCGGTCATCATCCATCTCTGCCTATTTTTTTAAAGGAGCCAGTAATTCATGGATATCATGTGTGCGATTAAAGTGTAAAATTGTGCTGGTTGAACTATTGGAGATTTATAGAGGCTGATTGATACATTGAAAAGTGCTGCTAAAAGTGATGCTCTAACTAAACGGACGAAACTATATGAACATAAATATTTGCAATGCAGATCTCTGGCTCGAGATTGACTTAAAATGGGGAAGATGGACATGGAGTCCTCCGAGAGGTCGGAAGGGTCGATCATGGAACCGCAAAGCATAACGGATTACAGCATGAGATCGCGACAAGCGGAGATACAGTCGTACAGAAATTCTTCAGTATCACCAGACCCCGAGGTATAAGATCACGCACACGCCTCAACTATGCATTCTGTTCTATTGCCTACTTTACACCGGGGTGATCCGTACAAATTGTTTAATACTGAATGCTTTCTTTTCCTACATACAATGATTGTACATGAATGACAATGATGCTAAAATGGAAATTTGTCCAATTCCAAATCAGGGTTCCAGATCTCGATCTCCGCACCCGATGCGAGGAAAGCATAGCAGTTCCGAGTCGAACGGGGTGTTTCACTTTGGGGATGAAATGAAACAAACTCACGAAACAGCATCCCTGCCATCCAACCGAAAAAGACCGCTGAGCAGCAGCAGCGGAGGATCCAGCTTTCACCATCACTCGCACAGGAAGGAAATGTCCGGCTCAGGCGGTGGCTCGATCTCTGAAATGGTCCGTGTCAAAGAAATACCTACATCTATTTTAGCCAATTGACTATGAATGTTTATTAATGTTCCACTGGAAAATTAATTTTACTCGGCTTCAACGATGAATAATCATCATGTTTCCATTTTCAGGTATCTCGACTCCCAAAATGTGCTCGATGTCGAAATCATGGCTTCATCGTTCCTGTAAAAGCACACAAGCGCTACTGCGACTTCCGAGATTGTGTCTGTCCCAAATGTCTAATTGTGAAAGAGCGTCAGTGTGTGATGGCAGTCCAGGTAAGACTCGTTTTTGTGATTTTACATATGTAGCACTTGGTATTTTCAGTCGTCAGAGTTCATTTATTTATTTATCATCTTTATACAAAGTTGCCGAACTTTGAACCCTCGCCACCACCACAGAAATACATAATAGATTGTCATATGTGCATATCAGAAACTGCAGTGCAAGTACATACATATATGCCCAATAATGGGTGCTGGATTAATAGAGTCAAATGGCACGAGCGAATCCACGCGAACATTTACATGCATACAAAGATAGGCCCACCTCAAGCACATTGTATCAATTTGTGGCTCAAGTGGGATGCAAAAGGTTGGCAGGTGATTAATATTTTGAGATAAGCAACTTATCATGGATGCACAATGTTCACTCTTGAAATGACAAATGATATGATGATGTTCATGTGTGTGCAGATATCTGAAACAATCAAGTGCACTTTGCCACCAAACACCAAACTGTTTGGTCCGCACATATGAAAAGCTTCAATGAAATGGGGTAGCGCGTGGATTAACATCACCATAATTCTCCATAACATTAGGGAAAACTTTGTCGAAATTATTTTGTATTTTATTGAAAGCTATGTAAGCTGAATTGGCCCGTCACTCTAGAATTTACCTTATCTTTTTCCACATTGAGATGTTATTTATACAAATACAAGAGGCAATTTAGTCAGTTTGTATGTTTATGCCTCTCTACCGCAAATACTCGCAGTTTTAATATGAAATCAAGCTGCAGGGAGGATAAAGCAGGATAGCGACGTGCTATATGTACAGCATAATATTATATGCACAACTTTCATGGGATGTAAATAGTACGTAGTAAGTAGTGATCTCATTGCAGTTTATTTTTCGTTAAATGTGGAACACAAAGTGGAGCAAGTGGAAATTGCATAGCATATTTGCAGCTTCTGTACTTCAGATGTAAGGCGATGTTCATCAATGTTAAGCTGCTGTAAGACGGAGTTGTTACAACTTGAGCGCAGCTTGGGTTGCTTCGCATTTCCTGATCATCGTTGACGAGGCCTATCTGTCAACAAAGCAGAATATAAATACAAGAAATCACTGTGCAATGCAGGACAAATATTAAGTCGTGTTCTTGTGAGCAATAATAATCCTCGCAAGAAAATGGCATTACCATCACGAATCGTACATGTATTTATGTGATACAGGTTATCTTACCATGCAGTTACTCCCAAGTTGCTTGCATCATTGGCAATAATTGGCATGCATCTCAATGTCTTACAGCATTGGACAACTTTTTTGTAAAAATTGCAAAAACTGGAGCATATTGTCTTGTTGCTTTTTGGGGATAATCGTCCTCATTCATTAATTATCGGTAACACAACCCAGACTCGGGGTTTATTTCAGGTGCGCTTGCGACGCGCTCAAGCGCAGGACGAAGAACGAGCCGCTTTAATTAGAACACTCCAATCAGAGCAAGAGCAGCACACGTCATTCGGTCCCGAGACTGAACCCGTTTGCAAAACCCGTCGCCTTTCCAGCAACAATGGCGATAACGATGACGACGACGACGACCCCATCATCGTCAAGCTTTCTTCGCCCCCTTCTTCATCCCCTGGGGCAAATAGCAACGCCTCGGCCACTTCCTTCAAAGAAGGACATCACCACCACCATCATCACCGAAGTCTGGTTCGGGAGTCGTCCAGCTCCGTCATCCGAGCACGCTCTCCCGCTGGAAGCAGTGTGGGTAGCAACAGTCGACCTGGGTCAAGGGCCGCTGCTCCGGCCGTGATTAGCTCGACGGGTGGAAATGGGAAGGAAGGCCGGGAGAAGGAAATGTCGATGAGAGACGACGTTGGGAATCGAGGAGAAAGGCAGCAACAACAACAGGACGTGATAACCACGATGCCCCGAAGTCACCACACCCTCCTCCCCAACTCCCTAAAGAACGGGCATCATCACCACCACCACCACCCATTTCAGAAGCCCAATGGAGGCTTCTCATCATCAATCTCGTCATCACGAGGGGCGGCTCACGGGAGTCCGCACCATGCTACGAGCGGAGGCAGTAAGGGGATCCATCAGGGTTCTTCTCATACGAAGGGCTCCTCGTCCTCATCTTCCATCCCTTCATCACCCACAACAATTCCGGGGTCATCCTCATCCCTCACACTGGAACATGTGAATGGTATCGGGGCCCTGAAAATGTATCCAAATTTTCGTAAGTTTGTATTTCGCATTAAGAATAATGTTGCTCAACCTCTTGAAATATTGCGTAGCTTGTGGCGAGGAGGGGTGTAAAATGTATGCGTCAGACGTGCATTTAAAATTCCTTTTACCATCTGAATTCTGCACGGACATAAAAGTTCCAAAATAATGAAACGAAATAAAATAAATCTCATCCTAGTTTAGCCAGCAAGAGAAGCGAGCTAGAGGAGAATAAGAAGCTATAAATGAAACAGATATACAAGGTGTAATAAAACATTAGCAATAAGTAGAAAGGACACCCAGGTGCGACTTGAAATAAGGTTGTAAAAATTTTGACTATAAACCTGGACTCACAAACTCTGCATCGTCCATAGAACAACTAATTCTTAATTCGAACCAAGTTACGACTTTTTAGGTTCTCTACTGTTATCCATACGTATTTAAGGTGCATGTATGTACTAACTAACTGCGAGTGTAAACTTTAACTTTGGAGTTCATTTCATCACAAATGGGAAATGTGCACGTAACAAACGTGTACAACGTTCACCTACCTACTTTGGTTAGATATGGGTGCTCATCATCAACCCCCATATTTAATTGCTTGTATGTACATGCATACATGCTTATCCTTCCTATTTAGTGGTGGTGCTTGTAGTAGAAGAGATGAGGTGCAGTTACAAACTACAATAAAATTTTTAATGAAAAATACTGACATTACAATTTATGAGGGAAGTTTGTAGAACTTTTATTTGTCGGTGCAGCTTCAGTAGCTGGCAGTATTACAATTTCAGAAAACCAATTATTGCAAGGATATGCATAATAGTCAAATGAACTATGCCGATTAAAACTGAATAGATCAAGCTAATCATTGCAAAAGATGAAATTGATTCGAGTGGTTAAAACTGACATAGGCTCCAAGTGCGTGCATTATAATACATGAGTGCCATATTTCTGCAGATACAATTAAAAATTAAAATTGGTACATTAAAACTATTTATTACTTTTTCCCAATGACTTAATAACTCAATATGGAATGGACTCATTAAAACCTATTTAAAACACCTGCCACTAAAAACTAAAATTAAATCAAGTACGGTAACCATTTTCAATCACATAATATTCTAAAATATTTTTCCAATTTGGTGAACCATATTCAAGTTTCAAATTATACAACAAACTTGGTGAGGATTTTGTTGTTGTATAACTTTAAAAAGTTTAGGATTACACATGCCACAAACATGCAAGAATATCATTGAATATCTTGATCACAATAACAATTTCATAATGTTATTAATCAACAAGTACGCGATCATAAATTCCATCGTGCGAAGTGCAAAGGTATAAAGTTTAAACATCAAAATAATCACATGCGCCAAGTTTTACTTTTAATTGAAAGAAAATTGTTTGACAGAGACGAAACAATGGCATTAAAACGGCTGTGATTATAATACATAAGCCGGTTCGTTAGAAAAACAGAGATTTGAGTCGTAGATTGTGGTCCTTTACTTTATAGAGGAACAAAAAATGGAGAACCACAGAAGTTAAAAATTTGTAGTGGCACATATTCATACATGTAACACACGGTTCAATTGGTTCATTGGATTTTCTAGTAGGAAGCATGTTTTATGACGATTCGATTAAGACCTGTCAAGAAGAAATAAATTATTTCCCAATTATTCGTACCTTTTTAAATTTATATTAATTCATTTTGAATTTTTTGTTTCTTCTTGCAAGTACCCACACAAAATGCGTTTAAGCAGTTCGAGTTACATATATTGTAGCGTTTGTTAATTGAGAAATTGACGGTGGTATGTTCTTGGATGGGATCGTATGATACAAAATATTGACATGAGAATATGGGGCGTTTTTCGATATATGTAAATATTTAGAGTTTAGAATACATTAGAGTATGAGCATTTCTTGAGATAGTTGTCGAAAGTTTCAACATGGCTGAAGCCCATATGCAGATTAGAACTCGTCCGTATTAAGTATGCATATGATGGGATGTAGTTAAAGCAGACATTTGATTTGGTTAATAATTTCACTTCATGAAAACGAGTCTGAAATTATTTGCCTATTCAGATAAAATTATATGACCAAGTGTCCAAGCACCCGCAGGATTTAATTTCAGAGCCAAGCTTTTCATGAGCAATCTGATATCATTTCCAAATCTCGCACCTCGTTCTTCTTCAACTAAAATTGTTTGTTACTTTCATAAAGTAAAATTTAAGTGGCAATCTTGGCAGTAGTCAAATTGATTATAAAAGGGAGGATAACGTGCTGCTGGAAACATTCCTCCAGGTCGTATATTACACATATGTATGTAGGCAGTAGGGAAGGGAAGAAGGTGTTTTATTTCGGCGTCACCAATTCCCCGACAAGCTGACCAAATTTCATCATCCGCAGTTCTGAGACAAGTTTGATGACGGGCACCACATAAAACGCGAGTGATGCCAAGCAAGGTGGGTGGACTGATGGACGAGATTGATTGTAAATTGTGCGGATTTTGGATTCAGCTGGTGATTTTGGAAAGAGTAATAAATTCGGAATGGAAAATGTGATTCAAACTATGAAACGACCAATAAAATTTTCATTCTATGTGCAGCAAACAATTGCGCGTAAACTTTCCCTTGTGCAATTCCACGACCACTTTCTGCTCAAATCACATTCTCACTCAATCCAAACCTAGAGTTTAAACTAATGAAACGCGTCGCATAAAAGTCTCCAATTTTGCAATTATCGCTCATTTAATTGCAACAAAAGTAGTTAAAATGGTGAAGATGTTCTCTGCTCAGGGTTTAACTTTTTGTCTCCGCGTCTGTAGGGTACAATTTAATTAACACTTGCAAGGGCTTATGGTTGATTATAACATAATTCAATTCTCTCTGGAAAACTCTCACCTACGCAGATGCAAAATTAAACTTTTCAAGATATTTTATTTCTCGATACATTGCCAATTTCAAAACAATTTCTCATTCAAAGCTGAGTTATCATGATTAATTTATCCAAAAATTCTTGACAAAGTATTACATATTTCTATCCTTTTGCACTGGCACTGGGAATTTTATTCATAATTTCCATCAAACATGTCATTTCTAAATATTGTCATATTTGCTGACAGATGTGCATGCAGGGAACCAAACTGGCATTAAAATTACACTCGACTCGCGAAATACAGGGCGAAATACAGCCATAAAGTTTAACGGAGACTTTCAACTTGAGTTCTGCTGACACATCTGCAAGTATAAATACGTGTCATTTTTCCCATGATCCCAATTTATAAATGTAAAGTCGATGGAATTATGTACGTACGTATATGATGCCACATGTGTAAAGAGGACATTTTTAACTGACAAATTTTGACGTATGCAAATTCTCATGATTCAAAATTATGAGCAATTATTATTACCGTCAACTGTGTAATTGACATTTCGCGACTATATAATTACATTTTTCTTTTGTTTCGAAAAAATTCATAATCTGCCACCTTTAATTTTATCAAGATGAACAGCAAGTGAGTGATCGGGAGTTGGAACAAACATTGCATTGAATTTTCATCTTGATTGCACAATTAAACAACAATACACGGAAAACGAAATAATTACAACGTAACCAAGAATTTAATTTTGACTTTAATGGCACAGAATAAAAAGATGCTGAAAAATAATAAATTTTCAAAAAAGAGACATAATACTAATAATAACACGAAACAATACAATTTAATGTTTGCAGCGCATGTTCGTGCTTAATTGAATTTATGGAAGAAAGGGCCAACATGAAATTTTGTGTATTTTGCATGCTAGAAATCAAAGAGTTTTAATGGACGTTAAACATTTTTACGACAGGGAATTACAGGTTGGTTCTCCTACCTTCCAACCAACATTAACTAAATGGTTAACAATGGAATATTTTTTCTAAGTTGTTGTACATACGTAGAGGACGTAGATTTGGGTAGTGAAAGATTTTTTCAAGAAGTAATTATTAACAGAAGGCAGTTATCTCAATGTTCCACTCACAAGAATAAGTTACCTGAAGGAAACAATTGGCCATAAAATTATTTGTTTAATATCTCTTCTTCTTAGCAATAATTTCTAACACAGCCAATTTTTCTTCTCCTCCGTTTGCTGCTTGGTTGCGTGAGAAAAGATTGAACACCTTTCGTATTTTATCACTTTGTCAAGGTATTGGAGGAAAACGAAATCCAATCGAAACAATATATGTATATCCAACTAATCCAATCTGGATCGAAAACCTAAAATATCTAGCTTGCCTTTTAGTTCAATTAGTTTTTAAATAAAATAACTAAACTAAATAAGCATCACTAGATACACATATTATCTAAATATATCACTTTGTTCCGATGAGGCAATTTTATGGACTTTTATTTTAATGATATGCTAAATTTGACACCAAACTGTTTTCATACTCTTCTGCTCTCATTCTCATCTAAATAATCAAGCTCAAATTTAATTATTATGTATGTGTCTCGGAAAATAAGAGATGAAAAGGTTTCAAATAAATGGACTATGCCCATTATAAATCCATTGACAAACAGTTATCTCGGTTTACAATTACAAAAATATTTTTATAATGTGAGAAATTTCATGAGAATTCATTAGTCAAGTTTTAATGTTGCAAATTCCTGGCCCTTTCCCAAACACATTCATGAACCAACAATGCAAAGGTTACGTAAGAGTTCAACGAGTGAGATGGCACTCAAGAATTCGACCAATAAATGTATCAATCTCATTGATACAATAAATTATTATCCCAATGAAATTGAACACTGGAGAATACGAGAAGCTTCCATGTCTCGTATGTTCGTACATATGTATAGCTCGTAAAAAAGAGTGAAAATGTTTTGCATTTCAATCAAGCAATGTTAAAAGTACATGACTCACTTTTTTTGTGTCTGGGTCTTGTATCACATTTGCAGGGTTGCGAATAATAGGCACGTCCATCTCAGTGGTCGCATTTCAAAACTTTCACGTTGATCACACCAATTTTCTGCTGGGGCATGAGTTGTTGCAAAACTTGTCAAATTTTGCATTCTTGCTACTTGAATTAAGTGTTGGCTTGCTGACACAAGTTATGTGATAGCTGGTTGGCAGCAGACTGGAGTGAAATTCAGAGAAAAGCAGAGTATTTTATAGAAATTGAAAAACCGAAATGAGAGGCCACCAATTGCATCCATCGGCATCAACCCAGACTAAATCGTTGTATTATCGCATCGCCAACATACATAGTTGACTGAAGGTTGTTGTTTCCTTGTCTGTGATGTGCTACCTTTTGGCCCGTGTACTTTGTGCTCCAAAGCTGCATTGCCCTGGGTGAGTTTTGCAAACGCACAAATTGAATATTTAGATGAACCAGTCGAGATCGGATTTGCAATAATTCCAATGCGAGAACGACGACTTTCTCCACGCGTAGCCTTCATTTCAGAGATTGGCTGCAAATGCATATTACTCGCTCACCCTGTTTTCCGGAGAAGAGGAATCACCACAATTTTTTTTCATTTATGTTTACTACATCCTATAAATGGTCAAGCATCGATCCGATCTCTCAAAGAAGAGTGGAATAGTTAATTAATTCCAGAATTTATTTGTGCAGAATTTCTCCTACGTCGACATTTTTCTCGTCTGCTAATAATGTCTCACAGTTCGAAGCGTTTTGCAACCAGAGTCATAAAAGCCACCCCTCCCATTTCTCCCGAATCTCATCCACCATCCACCCTCTTCCTTGTGCAGAAATATATTTAGTAGAAAGTCTTGCTGCCAACAACGGCCTTAATTCTCATCTTCCCCACTGGCCCCAGTATAATCGTCTAGAGACAGAGTTAAAGATGCAGTAATGTAGTACAATGGGTTGTTAGGATTTATTGGCATTACGGTTTTTGTAGATCTGCAGGATCTCTGCTTGGCCAAAAATGGAACGAGTCACCCTTCTTATCTAATCAGCACAATTTGCAAGAGTCCCAATGTTACAACTCAACTTTATTCCAGCTCAACTACCTAACTCTGACTTTGTAATACAATCTGGACTCAGACATCGTTTAGCGAATATTTTTACAAAGTTCAGATCAATTCTTATCAGCAAGTCGTCGCAAACTCTGTCTGGACAAAATTTCTTATTAGTTTATCGTCTCATTTGGTTCGCTACAACCTTACTCACCACATTCCCCATTTGGTATTGCATATTAAATAAGTAGTCGTGCAATTTGGATACTTTGTCTACAACATATTTGTCAACGTAGGGTTCATAACATCAGGATTATCCACGGAATTGAGTTTGGGTCAACGTGCAGACAGTTTAGAGTTAGCAGGTTTGTTGTGGTTGAAAATCGAGACTGTCTGACTTTTTGACTTTTTACTTTATTTGACACTTTTGCACAACGTAACGCAAACCAAATAAAATTAAGGCATTAGATAAAAAATGAGACATGCACGCAACGAGATAACTGAGTAGTAACACACATAAGATGAAGTTCTCATGAGTAAATATGTTAGCATAAATAGTGTGTCAGGCGATTTGACATGTTGGTATTTTTATATCAGTATTGGTGTAATTAGGATATTAATCAAAGAACCAGCTTGGTTTCGAGACATGATGATGAGAAGAAAGTCGAGCAAATTGAGGGAAATAAACTGTCTGGCTTTGGTCTCGTTGTGCCATCATCGTCATATTCTGAGAAAATGTAAATTCCTTTAAGATAATACAATCCATAAGAATACACAACTTTGCATGCTGTAGATATGCTTTTTGTTGGCAAATACTACTCCTAAGACCAGAAGAGCAACAATTGAATTTCACTTATCAAAAAGTTAATGCACGACAGAAACTTTATGCATTGTAATATAGCACATAATGAAATGCAGATAACCTGCCACAAGTGGGCAAGTCCCAACAAGATAGTGGAGTTGACCCTCTAAATATATGTAATTTAATTGCACCACAAATAAACGAATTTTGTGGATACATACCGATAAGTAAATAAATAGGTGCACTGTATGAAAAAAAACTAAACAAGGACACATGAAACACACTTACATACAGTTAATTATTTTGACGTGCAATTCTAAAATAAATATTTTCTCAAACAAACGTGTGACAAACTATGCTCATCTTTAACTTGCTGGTCGCGTCGCATGATATTTAGTTGGAAATGCCAAAATCTTAAGACATTAAATTCACGTGTGTTTTCTTTTCCTTGGATTTTACACAGCTTTCAGTGGGGCCGAGACGGTGATAGACGGGATAAATGACTCTGTGAACAAAATGTTGGACATGTTCAGACTCCCCAAAGAAATCGACTTTCTATGCTATCGAATTCTGAAAGATTATCGAGGCGACTTCAAACTTGCATCATCCAGGATTCTCGAGGGTGAGTGAAACATCCTTGCACAGCACGTGCATTTCTAAAGCAATAAAGATGAGATTTTGTGGTCACTTTTCTCCAGCTCAAACGGAGTACCGTTCCTACGAGTTGGTGCGAGAAGCGGCGCGGACGAACCCCTACTACGCCTCCGTCTACCCCTACTACTACACCCACTTGGGCGCACAGGCCGACATTTACAGCGCCTTTGCGGCCGCCTCCACCCGCGAAATCCCACCGGTAACTACATAGAGCGTACATTATTCATGTGGAGTTGTGCATTTGCATTCGACTGAAGTTGACCGGATTGTAATCTTACTTGGATTAAACTGAGATTTCTCTTTATATTTTCAGTAGCAGGATTCGCCCCTTCTCGTCTGTCCCAAAGAAACTCATCCACATTGACTTGATCAAATTAATGGACACTTTTATTTCAATCGTTATAATTTTCAAGACGAGACCAACTATTTGTGTCATAAGAGACTGCCGTATCTTGTAACTGATTTTGTTAGTAGTGCGTGTGACGAGTTATTGTTATTTGTTAATGTCGCACACACTTACATATTTGCTAACTCTAAATTGTTCACAAAACGAGGATTTTTAGACTACAGTATGCATACAGATCATCACACATTTACAGAATGGACGAGCATCTGCCCACTCACTATCATGATTTTGTAAAAAAGTTACCTCTGGATGCGGTAAACATTTGTACATTATAACTTAAATCCAAAATCTCGCTAGAGATCTTTTAAATATTATTAACCGTAAGAATGCAACAGCTACTTAACCTTGATGTCAATAGCATATGCACAAAGTTGAAGAGTCCCTAAACACTACATAGTTCACCTGCGTGACATGAATACTTTGGTCTCAAATTCCCCAACAATGGTGTTATCTCTGGACTATGAGAATCTCGATTATCAGTCCACATTCACTTGTGAAACCCAAAGAAAAGTATTTATACATTGGGAGAAAATAAGAATGCAGTGCATAAAGCCATTTCAACCCAACCAGTCAAAATAATGTGAAAAAGTAGTAGATCGCTAAATTAATATTTACATAAATTAATTGCACCTTAATAAGCGTTTAATTACTGCAGAATCATTCATACCAAGAATAGATGGATGGTGGTCGTAGTGATTGTGTAAGTTAGTTGTAGTACTCGTAAGTGCATGACGATGAGTACCTTCAAATCGAAACGGATGGAAAAGAGGACATGTATGAAGTGTGCAAGGCAGAGACCTTAAATAGTTTATTTCTTAGTGGGATGGTAAAGGAAGGACAACAAGTATCTCTTGTATCTCACCGGTGTAATATTAGCATTAACAAAATATACAAGTAATGTAATCCTTTGTTGATGTCACACTTGATGGACGGGACTCTAAAATGTTTTTACATTAGTTTAGTAAATAGGAAAAAAGCTCCTACGCAGATACATGTATGGTTTGCCAACATGGTAGAAAATGTCAGTGAAATGTTGCGCACAATGTACGCAACAACCTCTCCCACCCCTGCTTCTGCAAATAAATAAAATAAAAACTTATGCCTGGAAAAAATTAGCAAGTTGTGTTCTCCTTTATTTATAAAGTTATTTATACGACGTTTTGGTCTATGCAGCTTTTCTTCATTTTGCAATGTCACGTGTCACCATTATTCTTGTAATCTCTCGGAATTTCATAACATGCATGTTGTCATCAAGAACACGAGCGGACGATTCTGCGACTGATGTGAGATTATGCAGCGAGTGACATATGTATCATTTCACAACATGTTGTTTGTGCTTATTTGTGACAAGTTTTTTTCTCATTTGCGCTTGAGAAAAGCTTGCTCATTCAGGAATGGGCAGCTATTTAAATTTTTATTGACACAAAGTTGTAAAGCGTTATGGGAGATGGTGAAAGAGGTGAAATTCGTTGACAAAAGGAGCCGTGTAATACAATGGTGCGTTGTATTTTGTAATATGTAAGTCCTCTTGTTCAATGGCTCCTTGGCTGGAATAGGCACACGGCTTTGGACCAGCACCACCAATGACAAAAGATTTATGTACAATGTTGGAGCAAGAGCAATAAGAAGATGAAATGCCGGCCCTACAACAATGGCTCATGATGAAATGATCCAACCCCTCGACCCACGAACCAACCAACCAACCTGGGACAAAGCCAATGATTCCACTCTTGATTGGCTTCCATAAGACTGAGAGACAGGTAGTTCGGAGAGTAAAATCACAAAACAACCTGCCTATCTATCTACCTGTAATGTGCAGCATATCCCATCCTATCTGTCTCCATTTTCTACAGGGATTCGTACATATGCGTGAGGACTGTATTTGAGTGTCATAAAAGTAAAACAAGTATACGGCACAAAAGAAGGTTTCAGTTTTATCGCTGATTTTATAGTTTGCCTCGGTCTCAGCTTTCCTGTCCTTGTAAATGTCCGCGAGCCTTGATGGGATACTAAATAATTGTTGCAAACTTCAATGTCCAACGTAATAAAGGAAAATGCCTTAATGAACTGGGCTCTCAAAGAAATAAGAGAGTACGACATGCAGAATCCATACTAATCTACCCTCAAGTCCAACTTTTAGTTTCAGTTTCAGCAAGAAATTAATACAGAAACATGCAAATGCTGGAGACAGGGAGGAGGGTTGGTTGGAGGGTGGAACGCTGCTCGTTCTCTTCTTTTATGCCTGTGACAATAACATTGGGATTTGTTCGCAAACCTATGCATGCAACACACATACGAAGGAAATGTAGAATTTTATGGGGTTGGTGAGTTCGACCATTGAAAGGTTGGGAGGATGGAAACATGTAATTAGCAGAAAGCCATAAAAAATTTAAAACTTTTTCTTGTCCTCCTCATTTTACAACCAGATATTCACCAGACCCCGATCACTTTATGTCCAACGCACAACACAAATTGTTCACATTCGTTTGTACTAAACGATTCATCTGCAAACTTTTTGTACACTTTTAGTCTGCATGGGCAGTCATTTCGGAACAAAATTCTTCACCCTCTAATCCTCTCTCGCAGGAAATTAAGTATACGTTCACAGGGCGCATGCATTTATTGTTACACATCTTAAATGATGTCTCCTTAATACGCGTGATGGCGAAATGTGTGCATGCATTATTTATCCTGTTCCTTTTAAGGGTTACTTCAAATGACCGCCCTCGCGAATTTAATTATTCATTCAAAGATCATCTCAGTTCTACTTCTCGTCGTTACACTGAAATGTCATAAAATGGCATTTTGGATTCATCCATGTGAGTGGGATTTTCGTTTCAATTAAACACGGTCTGATTTAAATGGCCATAACTGAGGAGAGGAGATTAATAAACACTTGCCCCATCTCCCTTAATTTGCACCCTAAAAAGTTATGATAAAAAGTTTGACACTCGCTGTTGCATCCTCAGCCGTATGAGTATTAGTAATAATGTACAGTACGAGCTGAAACTTAATAGTTGGGACCACCACCACCCTTGAGAACAACGCTAGGTCGTTTGATGGTATGAGAGGGTCGTAATCAGTTACAGACTTTGCAAACCAACATCTCCAGGAAAGATATTACTTAGATTTAGATTGCAACATAAAATTGGCCAAGTTATAATGATGGTTGGGGGTAGTGGTAGGGTAGTGGTAGTGGTGGGGTGGGTTTGGGATTATTAACTGGTTGACATTGGAAATGTAGTGGAAAGACCAGACGACGGGGTTGTGGCAGGTTGGTTTAATCCCTTTATATTTCTTTTAATTCCCCTTTTATCATCATCATCCCAATTCGCGAAACGGACGGGGCCCTCATAAAAGGGAAAGTATGTGCCAGAGCAACCGTAAAGAAGTAATAGCGTTACGAGTTGCTCTGTGAAAATAAAATGGCGAAAACAGAAAATTTTGATCGAAAGCCACCTTATTCTCTCGTCCATCTGTGCCCATCCAATCCATTTAGTTTCAAAGAACTTCTTCTCTTGTGTCACACGGTCTGAATGCTGCTGTCCACTAGGAGTTTGACAACTGCGTGGACAAACTCGCATGACAAATTCAGTTACTTTGCTACAAGAAATGCATATAGGCAACAATAATGAATGTGTAGATTGAAACGGTCAGTCACAAATGCTTTCACATAATTTGTATCAGCTTTTCAGCTATGTACGAAGTAATTTTGCCGCTGTGCATAAGAGCCAACTAAATAATAATACATAATCAATTAGTCCCGACCCTTCAGCCACCTCCCTCAATTCCCCATGTCCAAAAACCTTTAACCACGAACAATTCTCCGGCTTGCCGAGTTCATGCTCATTACTCGATTTTTATAACTTTTATCTCCGAAATGTAAACTCGTATATTTGGAAATAATGAGACATTTGTTGAAAAACCTTAAAGAAAAGTAAAAGAAAAATCCGTCCTTCCTCCTCCTAAAAATTGATGCTCATTTCGTCGAAGTAAAAAGAAAGAAAGTCATTAAATTTTGCAAAAATAAAAATACATTGAAATAACGAAGACCGCATCGTTACTTGGTTTGTTGGGTGGAATTGGTTACAAACCTGAGTTTTCCATCCAGCCAAGTCTGTGTTTTACGACTTTGTCTGAACGAAATTTTAACTACCCCTGACTGCCAATACGACCAAGTAGAACGGAAAAGAATAAATGGAACTCGCCAAATAGTGGGAAACACACATATTTCAGGCCATCCTTCCTTCTTGCCAACGGTGTAGCAAAATATTTCCAAAGCCCGAGTTTAGTAAAAACCACGGCATATTTGTACAATTATTTTTTTCTTACTGTTCTCCCGGACTAAATAATCTAAAATGTATGTGTCTTACAATTTTGTGCATTTCAAATTTCCTTCTTCAATCATATAATTGTCATTTGGATTCAAATAATCCGTTTATTTAGTTTTTTTTCAGTAGAATGTGTTTATCTCACCTTCTTCACCTCTCTCACATCGCATCCCTCTCTCAAAAAAGAATTCGCAATTTGCATCGCATCGTTTGGAGCTGGGACATAAAAAACATAAAAAAGTCCAACTTCTGGTTTCGCACATAAAACTGATATTATGTAAGTACCTAGTTTAGTAGTTTAACCGAGTTTACATTATTGCGAGTGAAGCGATACAAACGACCTTTCCAATGGTTTGGATCCTGTGTCGATGTACAGAATCGCATCCCACCATCAACCATTCTCCACTCGTCACCAGCACACTGCTAAAATTTTTCTTTATTTTGTTTTATACACTTCTCTCTCTCTTTGAAGGAGGATACTTGAGTTTAAAGTTCCAGACGAGGACGACTTGGGTTGTTGGGTGGGATTGGGGCGGAGGATGTATGTAATGGGTCGTAAATCTTGGGAGATTATCTTCGGGTGAGAAATGACGGGGGGAATTTATTTTTATATTTTTGCAACCTTTACCGCTTCATCTCCAATTGTGTGCAAGTCTATGTACGTATTCTGATACAATTGCAAAACTCCTACAGATGAGAAGATGCAACGATACGCACACACGGAGAGTTTCGCCAATAAATTGTTGTACAGCAGGGAAGGGTGCCTGGGAAGAGGGGAGTTTGACGAATAAAATGTAAATCCAATTTGAGACTTGGGAAATCAATTCCCAATTTTCCATTTCTTTTACTCGCATCTCAAACAAAAGTGAGTCTCGCATGCGAATATTGTGAAGAGGTTCCTTTTATCCTTGTTGAATGGGCAGAGAGAAAAGAATTCACAGAAAGGTGAAAATCTACTCGGGCATTGTTGCAGCGGTTAATCAGTGATGTATATGTCTCCACCACACACATACATTCACACACATGACACATAATGGGCTTGCAAAAAAAGGCAACACGGAATCAATGGACAATGAAGTGATTCAATTTACAACATTTTTTTGAAACATCACATCATACGAAATGTTGCGAATTCAAAGGATGAAAAGGGTCGCACCGACCGACCCTACATCAAGTTTTCCAAAACATTCTACATATAAATGATATGGGTGGCGGCTCGCTAGTTATGGTTGTAAATACACTTACACATCGAAATTAAATGTATTTGTTCAGCCGGAGAAAGTTTTTACTGGTTAGAAATTTTATATTCAACAAGTGAAACGCACTGTATTCTATTAAATTCGTACAAATGGCATTACACGAATATACTAAATTTGCCTTTAAATGACTAGAAAATTATTCACTACTAAATTCGGAGGATGGTGAAATCAAGTTGAGAAGAGTCAACTTTTACCTTTCCCCAAGTGAGCAAGTGGAGAAAGCTGTTGGTACCGGAGAAAGCAGTTGCATACGTTGCCCCAGAGTGGAACAAGCCAACAGCGCCTCGTTGGACTCTCTGTGTACACGATACGATTGACTCTATTTGTCAGGCAATGAGTGTGGTAATTTGCAAATATTTACTGTTTGTGAGGTTGTTTGTGACTCACAAATATTGTGTGTGACGTACGAACTCGGTTACTTTAAATTAATTTAAACTATACGCAAAATACTGAGGTCTTCATTAAGGTCAGTATATTTCAAAGTAAATTTAATTAATTCAACCCTTAGTAGGAATTTTACTGTAAAATGTCAAATTCTGCAGTTGAAATTTCTATCCGAAATTATTTGCTTCCTTTGTTAGCAAACACACATATTTTATTATGTAATGTTAAATGATTGTGTAATTACTTGCACATGTAGAATCACATTGTCAAGTTAACTCAGGTCATTACTATCTTGTGTCATGCATGTTGTGGTTTCTTTGATTATCGAATCGAAATCAATTGACTCGTGGGTAATGGTACTAACCGGATTTCTGTATTTATTTGTCCGATAGTTCCTGAAGCACCAACACAGCACCAACGACTATAACTAGAAACAATGTCAGCACAAATTCCAGAAGCAGAAATTAACGGCGCTCTAGCAAATCTTCAGAACTTGTCCGACGACGAGTTGAAGCAATTGATTGAGGACGACAATGTATTTGAAAACTTTGTTCAAAATTTGGCTCAGGTAGGTGTGGATTTGGTCCTATCGTTTGTCTGAATCGTATCACTAACAATGAGTTAAAATGTCAAAATGCAGGTAAAACAATGGGACTCTGAAAAGGAAATGTTGATGGCAAGCAATAAATCTCTGGCAGAGTATAATTTGGCATATGAACCCAAATTGAAAGACGGAAAAGCAGTGCTGATGGAATTGTATGAGAAGGCTCGGGCACTTGCGGATGAATTAGAAACGAAACGTGCACAACTTGGTATTAAGACTTATAATTATTGTCAAATCTGTTAGGGTGACGAACACTATAATTATTATATTTCATTTGCAGAATCGCTAAGCTCAAAAACATCGTTGGACACAACATACGCCCTGTTGCAAGCATCTTCTGCAGAAGCGGAAGAAGAGAGCGAAGCCGTTACCGAACAATTTTTAAGTGGTGAAATAGAGACTGATGCCTTCATTACCAAATTCATCACAATGAGAACAACGGCACATCTACGACGTTTAAAAGCAGAGAAAATGGGGGAAATTGTTGCTTCACAAAGAAATAGGTCCTCTTTTAATTCTGCTCCCTATCCAACTAGCCCTCCTTCAATGCCAATGCCAGGGCCAGGAATGATGTAAAAATGTGTGTGCTTCCGAGTTCCAAAATTTTTAAGTCTTCAATCACTTTCGAGCTTTTCTGTCAATCTTTTTTCATCATATCAAACATTCAATTGAATTACGGAATTTAAAGAATAGGAAAATGGAAAAGGAAGTCTTATATTTATTTCGTGTGTTTGAAACTTTGTTTTATGGAAAACGCATCTCATGAATAATATTTGGGCTACACGCACACATGATAAATTTGTATATAGCGCGATTATAAGTGTACAGAATGCATCTTTTTCTGTTATATATGTAGTTGTATGTATTAATAATTTTCTATCTATAATAATTACTTGTAATATGATTACATGTTTGGATAAAAGATATGGATTTACTGAGCTTTACTCTCCTTCTGGACCTTAGACTTTAGTGCTTCTTTACCATGTGTGGTTGAAATATTCAGAAATGTAGTATGTTAAGTTAATGTAATACAAATGTGTTGAATTATGCGTTGAATAAAAGGTGTTAAATGTGTCGTGCCACACATATTACCGCAATATTTGTTATGTATATCCAAGTTGAAATATTCGTACTTATTGTGTTTATATAGGTTATTTGATTGGACCAGCTTTCTTTGTGTGTCATTCCAAATTAGAATTATACGATATATGTCGATGGACCTCATGTTTATATTATTTTGAAACATGGCTATGAAAACAGTGCTAAATTTAAGAAATCAGTTGGAAAAATTTGCCAACAGTCGAAAACTGTCATTTACTTCCAACAAATTAGCTCCAATAAAATATGCAGAACGGAACAACTCAGGAACTTTACTCAAGGTAAAAATATGCAAAGCACAAATGGAATTTTATAGTTAAATGAAGTAAAATGATAATAAATTTTTTATTATCATGTCTAATCACACTTTAATATCAATCAACTAAATGCCAGGTAGAATTCACGGATGATAAGGCAAATGAATATCCATCGTCCTTTCTTCAAGATAACTGCACTTGCCCGCAATGCTTTCACCCTTCATCTCTATCCAGGACCAGGAAAATGACACAACTTAACTTGCAAAACGTGTTGGAAAAAGTCGAATTCAATTTAAACCAAGTGAAATGCACCTGGGGTGATGGTCATGAAGGCGTTTTTACTGAAAATTGGTTATTCGACCGTCGATTTACTACAGACAACATAAATTATCTAAAAACAGGACTACGGGATGATCCTATTTTAGTTGAATCGAGTCATAAACTACACACTGCCAATTTCAACGTAACAATGCATTACTTACTTATTGTATTAGAGATCAAGTACATTCATAATTTAGTTAACCATGCACATGAATTTTACAGCAAGTTCTGAACGACAAATCCGTCTTGAATGACACACTAATGACCCTTTGCAAAGTTGGGGTGGTTTTGATTCAGGACGGTCCCTTAGAAGTTGGAGGGTTGAGGAAACTTGTAGATAAAATTGGATTTATAAGACAAACACATTACGGGTAATGCACATATTAGATTGGCGAATGTTTAAAATTTAAGCATTTTCTATATAACTTAATTTAATTTATGCGTTTACAACTATTTGCACTTTTTTGTATCATAGCCATGAATTTACGGTGAAATCAGAAAAGAACGCTGCGAACTTGGCCTATACGTCGATACACTGTAAGACCTCAACTTTCATGTTCTATACTCAGGTTTCGGCCTCTCATGACCATACTTTATGCAGACGGCATACTTTCTCCTAATTGTATGATCTGAATCCCAGTCAGAAGTTGTTGGTCTAGTTCAGATTAGATATTTATCTCTTTTGCATACTATCTTTACATGGTGGTTGAGGGTTTTCATTGTCTTTCACCTATTGAAAATGGACAGGGCATATTTTCTTACTTTCACCCATATAATTATGGGCGACACATGATAGTAACACTACAATTATTGTAGTGTCATTTTGGACTGGCTAGATGCATACTCCAATATATATATGTTATACATGTAATAATGCAAAATAATAATATCGAAATATACATATATGTAAATTGATAGTATGCGTCCACACTGACCTGCCTTACTACGTTTATCCCCCTGGAGTCCAACTGTTGCATTGTATCAAACAATTTGTCGGCGATGGGGGACGATCCCATTTGGTGGATGGATTTCTTGTGGCGGACAAAATGCTGCAAGCCTACCCCAAAGAATTCAAAACCCTGTGCAAAGTTCCTCTCGAATTCTCGGACGTTGGGAAGGATTTCATCGAATTTAATAAAGTGCACCACTCGCCGACATTCGTGTAAGCAATGTTTGCCTACTAACAATAAGTCAATATTCATTCTGTCTAGCAATTTAGTATTGTTCTTAATTCATTGAGGCTTGAGCCAAGAACTGGAAAAGTGACACGGATAGTGTACAGCAACCAACAATTAAGTTCATATCAACCCATTCCAATTGATCAAGTTGATGAAGTATACCACGCTTTGAAAGTGTTCACCGATCTTTGTTACGATCCGAAGAACTTGATACAGTTCAAACTCAACGATGGTACGTACTTACATTCGTCTTTGAAACAATTGTATTGTTTATAAATTTTAGTGTTTAATTTATTTGCAACACCACTGAATATTATGCTATAAACCATTTAAGGCGAAATGCTGGTATTTGATAATTGGAGATATCTTCATGGTCGTGAAGGATTTGATCCCTCCGCTGGAGACAGGCATTTGGAAGGCTGTTACGTTGACTGGGATGAAATATTTTCGAGGATCCGTATTTTACAAGAGAAATCATGATTAATTCATTGCATCTTTGTTCGTTAATTTTGTAAAAAGTATCTATAAAACCCATCAATAAACTAATACCTATATTTTGAATTCCCAAGTTACTTTTTTCGGAATTTTACTATATCCCATCATAATTTGTGACTTTACCATCTTATGTTAAGTGAAATTTAGCACTTTGCATAATTTTTTTGGATCATCAGTGCAATGTGTCGAACTTATTGGAAAAGTAGTGATTAATAATAATTCATACATGTGAATTTATTATAGGATGTTAATAATTTAAAGACAGGATAATTTAATGCAAAGTTTTGAGTTTGGTAAATTAAATTCGAGATGAATGCTCATTCAAGTGAAGTTTCAAATGACAGTTCATGATAGTATAAACAGTTAATACGGTATATGTACATGAACACCGTTAACAGTTTTTATCCTTCTCGTTTTCCTGACTTGATGCTGACTTGTAAGAAATATTTGACGAGTGAGTCATTCTACAACGTTGATAAAGAAAGAATATGTACACGTACACATGACATGACCAATATTAATAATAATGATTTGAGCAAATAAGTAATATCCGTATGCTGTGTACACGTAGCATGTTAATATGAGTCCCACTTAGATTCTTAATATAATTAGTCTGGTTTTAAGTATGCATTCCTAAACTAGAAGATAATGTTTAGAAAAAAGGTTCCAAGGTTGCAATCGCATTCGGTACAATTATTGCACTGACGATGTGTCCTAATGAAAGTTTGAGCTACGTATATCTTAATCTAACAGTATTCAGTGAACTTCTAACTATTGGTAAAACATTTACTGATTTTAGAGTTTACTATATGATCCATTTCATGACACTATTTGGGGGTGAGCTGCACCGTCCCCTCCACCTTCGTCACACGTTCAAAGCATAAAATTATGCGTCCTTCTGGTCTGGACACCTGAAATGATTAATTACTTTGCTTGCACTATTCAAAAAAGTGTTCCAAGTTACGAGAAATCAGTCTTAAGCTGCATTCGTATATTAATTCTAGTCTATTATTGGCTAGGATATACATAAATTAGTTCTGCATGGTGCAATTTATCGTCAATTCTGGTTGGCAGCTCTTTGTTTCTTTGTTCCCGGAGGAACCATCCAATTTATCTCCATCCCATCCTTTGTAAGTAGAGAGCAATTAGTCACCCCATCGCGAAAAGGGAAAAAATACTAAAGCAGTTTGATCCAGTGCTGCAAACACTTTATGACACAATTTACTTAACCTACTATCAATTATGTAAGTAAGTGCGAAGTAAATATAAAGGCATGCGCATTTTGTAGAACGTGATGATTTGCAAAGTCCAACCACCAATTATCTGTCTCTGTAAATACTTGCAGCGAAAATTTTCAATATTTTTATCAGTCATCATTCCAGAAAACTATTGCTTTGCTTCAATCATCGCGTCTCTTCTTTAATATGGATGACAATTCTTCATCGTTTCCTGCATATAAATACGTTTTCTGGCCGTCTCTGCAGTCACTCTTCAAAGTGTTCAAGTACATGCATAAGTGAATACGTGCATACTGATATGTACAAAAAGATAGAAGATGGTTTACAAAATTGCCTTCTCTCTGTCTATATATTTTTCAATTACGAGGAATTTGTGAAACAGGAAAAATAAATCCAGAGCGCAAATACTCTTATCAATTTCATACGCAAACCCTCCTCATCCTCCCTCGCACCACTCGATTCTGTCAGTCATTCCAAAAGTTTTCGTATAAATATATGAATTATATGCTCCTTTTCCTTTGTTAAATGTTGCTTCATCTTTTCTTATTCGTGATGCTCTGGGTTCATGGACAAAGTGCTATTATGCTGTATGCCTACATGATGCTACACGACACGGGGTAAAAAAGACTGATTTTTTTCACCACGTATTATTCCTTCTTCGTGAATTTGTTGAGCATGAGATTTCCATTGCATATTACGTTGCCAATTGGCTTTTGAAGCACTTATGTTATGCCTCGCTAGTGCCACGCTATATACACCGTCCTGTTAAAGTTGCAATGATCTCTAAATGACGATAGCATGAGTGAAACCACAAAATCCCATCACATGCAATACAACCCATGCAACGCAAAGGAAAACACTTGAACTTGCTTGGATTCATCAGATCATTTTATTATTATTATTCCACAGCAGTGCAACACTCAGCACTTCTTGGTTGGGTCTGTTTAAATAATAAACGTTAAAAAATATACACAAATACAAAACAGCCCTTGTACCCTCAACCTCTACCTGTGTACACTTAGCTTACGTCCCGGCCATGTGGCGTAGGAACTTATTAATGCGTGGTTTAAATACTTGCATAGTTTCGACCCGAGGAATTTGTTCATTAGGATTATTCTGTGCAGTGGACGTACGTATCAAAGTCTGACAATGAGTCAACAAAAGTGATGTAGACAAAATAACAGTTTATTTCAGTTCCTTCTTCTGACGATGACATCTGCTTTATCTTGAGAGGAATTTCAAATTACTTCTTGGTATGTGAGACAATTGATTACGTTGTATCTGGTAAATTCAGAAGATGGTCAATAAATATTTATTTTTACTGTATTACAGGTCAGGCCATATTCAGATTGTCACGTTTCTAGTTAATTCCGGGGAAAGTGGTTAGTTAATGATGAAGATTAAAAATCATATAATTTCATTGAGGACTGCTATATGGAAAAATGGAAATATGAAGTTAAACGTGTTTTCTTTTGTGTACCTTAATTTAGCAACTATCAGTGCTGCATCATTCACTAAACGAAGCTCGGACGCCAAGATACAGATTGATACCTAAGCTCTGCACCCAGTGATTTTCCGGGGAAAATTCATGATTTTTTATTCCGTTTACAAATTGTGGAAAAATGACGGACGCTTTTTCGTGCGCCCTATGTTTGGAACTTTATTCTGGTAATGATGATCTTAATCAACCCTCCCAAAAATAATCGCAACAATGAGTAATTATGAATTTTTGAAATTTAGATAACGGAGATGAAGATTATTTCGTTTCGACGGACTGCGGGCATGTTTATCACTTCATGTGTTTGAAACCATCATATGACAACGGATACAATTTGTACGCAAGCATAAAATGTTAAACCACGTATTTATTTGAGTAATCTAAAACTTTATGTATTGTTTTAGCTGTCCAGTGTGCAGAACTGAGCTGAACCTTGACAAACTGAGAAAACTGTATGGCTTAGCTCCCAAGCAAAAAAAGAAGTTCCCATTGCTAAACTTCCAACTTTCTCCGCCACCTTCCGCACCACTCCCATCTCTCACCGATGAGGTCAACAAGGAATTGTAATTATACACCGTTAAACTTATTTTACTTTTAATTTTCAAAATTAAGGTTGATTTACTGAAATTGAAATTACTACTTTTAGTGACTACAAGTTCAAAATTATACTGGTTGGTGACGCAGGCGTTGGGAAATCTAGTCTATTGCAGCGATATTCGGTACTAAATTCTACAATTTATAGCAGTATACATTTTTTAGGCTTTCAATAAGACGAGTGATCTTTACAGGATGACCTGTACAGCGCAAAAGCGGTCACTACAGTCGGATGTGATTGGGTATGTGTAATGCACATTATGCATAAATGCAAATTATTAATAGCATGACATGGCAAACGAATGAAATCTGTACGTGTCGTAACTCCTCTGTTGCTTTATATAGCGCTCAAAGTCCCTCATTGTTGGAGGAAAATTTGTAAATTTAAGCATTTGGGACACAGTGGGGTAGGATACTACATATATTTTGCAGAATTGAGATAAGTCTCTTAATAATAATTCCTGTTTCTTGTAGGCAAGAGCGTCACCGATCTCTGGTCACAAACTATGTCCGAGACGCTCATGGGGCTCTAATCTGCTACGATATTACAAATGAAGACAGTTTCACTGAAATTGAATACTGGTGGAAATTTGTCAAGGATAACGGTTTAAGTGACTGCGCTAGAATATTGGTTGGAACAAAAACTGATTTGGATCAACATAGACAAGTTCCCAAATCATCAGGAAAGGTATAGCACTTAACACATATTTTACGGAGATTTATACCAATGAATAATGTTGTTGAAAATATTATACGTATTAGCATTGCTTGAGACTGTATAATTTCATTTAGGCATTGGCTCAAAAACTCCGAATTCCATTTTTTGAAACGTCAGCAAAGGATTCCTACAATGTCGAAGCTACATTTCGAACTCTGGCCGCAAAAATCTTGGAGACTGACTCATTACTTAAAGAAATTGAATACAGAAGGACGCAACAGGTCGGAACTCTTCGACTGTCAAGAGATCAAACAGCTACCCTTGGACCATTAGAAGGAGTTTGTTCATATAGTTGGCACTGGACAAAGGTTGGGGTGGTCGGAGCAGCAAAAGGGATCAGAAATGGATGGAATGCTATCACGCTTTCAGAGTCTTCTTCTTCCTCCTCTTCACGGAATAGATCAAATAATAGTTAATTGTTTAAGAAGATTATACAAAATACACAATACAACAAACTTTCCAATTTAGGATACGAAAAAAAATAATTTAAAAATAACGCATAATAATAAAGTTACCGAATGACTGCATGTATGAGGTACGCAAAGATTTTCTGTGTGTACAAGACACGTCTATATAAATACGCAAATATGTTCCTGGAAAGAACGCTTGTAATATTATTTAAGCAACTACCAGTATTTACTTTGATACTAAGGTTTTGTAGATTTGTACTTTTATTAAATACATCCGATTCCAATGTAATTCCGTCATGATGAAGAATAATTTCTTTGTTCCACATATCTACATACTCGTACATCACGTTGCTTCCGTTAATCTTCAGTCGATGTCTGGCAAATTAAAATGCTCATCTGCAATGCAGCTAAGCTTGATCAGCATTTGTACTCCCACCCGATCATTTATTTAACAGATCACAATAATGTTTTATGTGATAGTTATAGTTGAGGGTTGACCTGACATAAAAATTTCCTTGTAATTTGATTTTGTTCTTTGTTTTTCTTTTAAAAAATCTGCATTTTAAATTATTGAATAGTGGTTGCACTATTTAACAGCATGGATGAGCCACTTGTGTGCCCACTGTGCTTATTTTATGAGCCAGGTATACATTCGTCGTATATAATATTTATTCATACTCTACTAATTAGGATTCTAATTAACTAATTCAATTTATTTTTGTTGACCACCATCAAGAGGTTTTTGGGGATTACTTCGTAGTTGCCAAATGTGGACATCTCTTTCATAATCAATGCATTATGAAAATCCTGGCAAGAAAAATTTATCAGTAAGCAAATAATTATAATTACTAAGTATTATCGTTTATAATACGACACAGAAATTAAAATAATTATTAATGGTGAAATTGTGTCTTTAACAAAAAAAACAATTAAGATGTCCTCTGAGCTGCAAGTTCCCGATAGAACCAGATAATTTACAACGCGTGTATGGGGTCAGTCCTAGCTCGTTGCCAAGTTCAAGAAGAGCTTCAGATGTGGATTTACCCTCAGTCTTCAGTAATCCCAACGGAATTCCCAACGTGTAAAGATTCTTCATCATCAGCGATTGACATATGTAGAATACTCTGACTTTTTGTGAACCTTTGTGTTTGATTTCAGAGATCATACTTTTAAAGTAGCCCTTCTTGGACAGCCAGGAGTAGGCAAGACTTGCATTATTCGACGATTTGCTGTAAGCCATAAAAATTATTACCACAGTAAATGGCATTAACTTGCGACGTAATATGTAATTTACGGTCAAGGACAATTCATACAACGAAAATGTAAGCTTAACTCCAGGACTTGATTTGGTGAGAAAATTAGTGAATATCGGAGGAACGGTCTCTCAATTGATTGTGGTAAGCGCAGTACAGACATATGTATTTACACTGTATCTTTAATTATTATATCTAAAAATTTCTCTAATCATAGTGGGATACGGCTGGGTAAGACATTTAACGCATATACATATATGCACACACAATGTATCACTTTAGATTATGCCGAACTTTCGAACGAAGATTTCTTCGTAAGAGAGGAATTATTAAACAGTTTAGAAATCTAATTTTCTTCCGTGTGAAGCCAGGAAACCTACCGCTCGATTATACCGGCGTGTGTGCGAGGGGTTCAGGGGATCATGTTTGTGTACGATATAACGTCAATTGAATCATTCGAGGCTATATCAAATTGGATGGAGTTTGCCAATAAAAATGGGCCACCAAACTGTGTCAAAGTTCTCGTCGGGAACAAATGTGACCAGGAGAACAATCGAGTGGTGGATTATCGTTGTGGGAAAGTGAGACTAGTAAAATCGTAGTTTCTCTGAAAACCGCTCGTGTACCCACTCACCAAGAATTTGTGTAGGTAATGGCAGACGTCATGAAGACTTCATTTTTCGAAACCTCTGCAAAGGATACATCAAACGTGGAAAACGTATTCCGCGCCATCACAGCAAAAATATTGGAGGAGGAATGGATGCTTCCGAACGACAACGCCTGGCAGCAAAATTCCATTTGCTTGCACGATTATCAGGACAATTTCGACTTTACCAACTCGAAAACCAATATCCGGATTGGTTCAAGACGACAGTCCAATAATAATGATGGACGTCAACGCCAAACCGACGGATGTTTTGGGAGAAAGCTTTGCCTAATTTAATAACCATTTGTTGACATTTCTTTAATTCCCCATTGCATTTTGGCCGTAATTACATATATTCGTGCTTATCGTAACCTACATACGGCATATTACATACGGAATTCAATGTCTGATTCATTTATTGGATTCTATTTTGATAAGTTTTTGTGATTTAAAGCACAAAATAAATCATTTTAGACTAAAATCACAAACGATTTGATAATATATTTTGGTTCTACTTTATTAGCATACATATGCAACTGAGGATGAGGTGCTAAAATTTAGCTACTGCTAATCCTACTCGTTGTCAGTTTCGCATGGAGTTATTTATAAATATATGTAGTTATACTATACATGGTGTGTATTTACATAAGTGCAATTTTCCATTACTAACAGATTTGACCTGATAATTACAATTTATACTATTTCTAATTTTAGGGTACATGCATATGTAGAGAAAAACGACTGTGGTCAGTTCATTGAGGTGTCTCATTTGCAAATTATGGTTATGCAATTTAGAATTTTAAAATATCATCGACTGCTCCACGACAGGTCATGATTAAGGGCATATTTTATCTACTTGAAAGCTTTGAGTGCTCAGTAATGTAGTTACACGTTGGTGTAAATCAGGAGAGTCGAGCTGACTCTTCAAATTTTAAATTGTGTTATCCCTGACCCCTGCTGGATACTGAATACAGAAAAAATTATAAATGTTGGATAATTCTCTCAGAATATTTATGGGGACCATAATCAGGATTTTTCAGGTAATACCAAAATGGGCTGACCGCACAATAGTTAGTTTGCTCTGCATGTTTAAATATTATGTACATAACTGAGAAATAGGTCATGCTTTAACTAAATCCTGTCTAATTCCCGAGTTCGTATCAATGAAAGGTATTTCATAGTAGGTACGTACAATATGTATCGGCTATTAAGAGTCATAATTTAAGACTGACATCCGAATATTCTTCAAAAAATTCTTCAAAAAATTCAAAAAATTAGATTATCAGAATGTGAACAAAACTGTAAACTATTTTATTTACACTAATAAGAATTGTGCAAAATTAAAAATTCTACAACTGAGTGTTTGTTGTAAAATTGTCTTTCGTCGAATTTTCATTCCCAGAGGACGGTTCAATTCTAAGATAAACCTAAACCATACGATCATGCTCAGGATTATTTAGTCCCTATAAATGTACATGTACTCGTGTTTGACACTTTAATCACATAGCATGTGACACAAATAGATTTCTGTAATTAATCCTCGAGCACATAACGTGTACAACATCAATTAAGTCATTAATTAGCTCAACTGGCCCAGAACTGCCAATAATTTAATCCACTCCTCTCGGAAACGACGTAAATGAGATTTCTATTCAAAACAAAACCTGGAATTGGATGGCTTCACGTATGCAGAATAAGATTATTTATGACCTTCCCACTCATAAGTCCAGCCACCCGAGTGTAATTTCTGAGTGGGAGCTGTTAGTGTAAGTCAAGTAATGTACAGGAGATATATTTCGTGGGGTAGAGAGCTGAGGGTAAATTAGATCAGACAATTGGAAGGGAAGAATGAGGAGGTAATGGGCTGTACCTACCTATTTACGTAGGTAAGTGGGAAGGCCAATTAAGTACTAATTTACTGCTGCTGTGTTTTATCTCTGAGAATTTACTTTCCCCACCGAAGTCTCATTATGGGTCTGGAGAAACGGGAGCCCAGGGGGAAACTTTCTCCAGAGGAGGCGTACGAAACGCGTCGTCGGGCCGTGTAGTCGCCGTTCATCAAGGAATCTCCACTTCCGTCCCCACCACCACCGCTGCTGCCGTGCTGCAAAATGGGATAAAACCGTGAGAAGAAGCTCAATGCTTTTTTCTGCCGAGGAGGAGGATGTGGGTTAGGTATGGCGAACTGGAACAAAAAGTGAGCAATAGTTGCAGTCAGAAATTAAAAAATTTGAATTACAAGATATGCCCAGGATGCTCTGAGTGGTGGCTATGCATCAATCAACTACTACTTATACAGCGAACACATGCATTGTTTACAACAAAGCGTTTCTAAAATTTTGGCATTTTTATTTTCTAAAACAAAGGCATGAACGATGCACGCAAAACATACAGATCAAGGAGAATTGGAAACTGACCTTCCATGAGACAGTGGCTGCTCTATTGCTGATTGGCCTCAACCTCAGAAGTGGACCAAAATGCATCCGTTCAAGCGCTATTACATAAGAATTTAAATTTTGGAGTAATTAATTACTTTACTTATCCGGTTAAGACAAAATTCATCATGCCCAAGAAACTTTGTTTGTTTACCTCTACTTAGCCGATTATACTGACGACTGGCGGAATTTAATTGATCATTCCTTTGCTCGTCTTGGGATCGAAGCATCCTCATGTTCAATAGTTCCCCTGTTTCCAAGTTTTGCTCGTGATGATATACTTCCAGGTCATCTTCTTTCTCAATACTTATTTCCTGTTCATGGCTTTGTGTCCTTGTTTTAGGGTCAGAAGTTATCGTTGGGTTTAATTCCGTTGACGCCACGAGAGGAGCCAACAGCAGCATCGTTAAATGAAGCATGCAAAATATTTTATATTTGTCGAATAGCATGGCGATGATAAGTCTGCCGCCTCCCACGCCCACGGATCCCGCAGCTCGTCTTTTTGACTCGGTGGATGGCTTTGAGCTATTTTGCTCCCAACATGACGTTGTTGGCGGTGCAATGGTTTCTGGTTTCCGTGTCCAGCCTGCTATGGTCATTCTTGATGTTTTACCAAACCACCCGTTGGGAGCTAATTGTTGCGGAATTGTTATTTATAGGTGAATCTGAAAAACAAAGATAAAAGAGAATTGCTCATTAGTGCACTCAGCGTCGTCGTCTCAGATCTATTTTTAATGCTACCCAGCTTTGACTCCCCACCCAACGGACCACTGAGGATCAGACTAAATGCTTGTGATGATAAATTAAATTACGAGTACCCGAATAAAAAATATAGTATTAGAACACTCGATATGTATGTACGAAAGCGTCGTTTTAATAGACCATTCTCCATTAACCGAGCAGCGTCTCACTTTCTGTTTCAGACACCAATAAGAGCCAACAGCTAACCGAGGCACAAGTATGCACGTTTGTTCACTAATGGAAGTGATACATAAGAGCTACAAATACATGTGCTGTTAAAGACATTAAAGGACAAATGATGCAAACGTCACATAAGGGGTTCAAGCTTATTTGTGACATCAATTACTCGAGTAATTCATCATGAACTGCGCCCACGCCTGATATTCCGACACAGGCGATTCCATTACGAATAAAGTATTATTGACTGTTTCTCTTGAATTGGATTGAATAATAAATCGGATAATAAATTGTCCGTAATTCAATCCGACGTGCTACAATTGTGATGAGATGAGATGTAATGTATACGATGATGATGTGAACCTACAGGAGTTTTAGTGAGGACAGGATTGGATAGTGTTGGACATAATAAGCAACTGGTAATTTATTTTTCTATCAATAATATTACCATGAAGGCGTGCGGAATGACAGTCAATGAGAAAAATGAATGGAATATTCGCATTCTTAAATCAAATCTCAAAATAAAACTCGTAACCTAGAAGAATATCACCTGTACTTCCGTGGACCAAAAGTTTGAGTCAAAAATCAGTTGCAATGCTGGCATATGTATTTATTACGTGACGTCACTATCATCGTCATTGTTCTATTTTGAACGTATTTATTAACTATTCATATTATAGCGTATGTAAGTTGGGGAAAATATGAACAAAATTCTCTCTATTCTTGTCATGTACTATAACAAACTCCGGGAATGTTAAATATGCATTACATACTATTTTGTAGTAATAAATGAGTGTCACAGAAATAGAAATAAAAAATCAGAAACCCAATCTACGAAAATCTGCATTAGAATACACACTCCCATTCGGGACAAACGGAGATTAGGGAGCAGAGATTTTTGGAAAATCCAATTTACAATATCTGAATTAGCGTCCTGGCGTTTGTGCTGGAGGAGTTCAAGATTGGGAGTACAATCATCAGATAGGCGACAAGGACAACACTCAGACATCGAAATCTCGTTTGCCCCAGATAGCGAATAGTGACACAATATGATGTGAATTAAAGATAAGTTTCCTATTTCGCTCGGCTAATGAGCCCATTCACCACCAACACTTGTTTGAGCACTTTCACCAGTTCCAAACACAACGGGGAAATATTTTCGCCTCCCACAGACCAAGCATCATCGCTCGATCTCACTCGAATCCCAGTCGAATTTTTCATGCCCTGTGACGTACAACTCTCGCAAATGATGTGATGTAGGAATAAATGAAGTGAATCTTTGTCTCATTTTATCTCAGGGGAAACCTAATTCAACAGAAAAAGTACGCTGGGAGATGGTACGCAGAGAACAGAAACTTGACATCAAGTTGAAACTACGAACAATCTTTCAACCTCCACACTCGAGTACAACGCAAAAATCCTTCTTATTCACACAAGTTGACACGAAGATGACATACGACACCGTCATTATTTTACAAATCAGTCTTATCCATCTCGCCAGTTAGTTTGATATATGAGACGAAAATTTCTCATCCGTCTCAGATTTCCCCACCTGGATTCTTAAACTCTTTCCTCACATTTATGCATTAACAGAAGTGAATGAGCAGCAAAGAACTTGAGACAATAATAGTACGGGCCAAATATTTGAATGATACGATGTTTCAAGGACAATTGTAGGCGTCAATTCAATTTTTTTGTCTTCAGAGAATGAAATGGAAAGAAGTGGATATTTAACAGAACAATATGAAGCGATCTTTGATTAGATTTCCTTTCTCACTTAAGAAAAACATATGTCCCAGAATGTATATGATTGCTTCAAGGTTTTAGCCAGGATTTATGGAATCGTCATATCCGCCCATCGTTCGGTCTGCACTTATGAATTTTTCCCTGCTGATTAGTCGTAGGAGGTTAAAATTTGGGCCAAAGTGCAGGTATCCATCAAATTATTAAAAGGCTGCCTGGGACGCAGGCACAAAAATAATTTGTTAAGAATGATGTTAAGGGCTCATTTTTGGACAGAATGGAAAATGGATCGGTAAATATGTGGGGAATGGGTTACTCCACAGAATTACCGTTTTTCATTCTCTCCAAAAATGAACATCATTTTTTAGAAATTCACTGTCCCAGGCACTTAAAGATTTTTCTGATATGTGATTGGGTTTTGAAAATGAAAGTGCCTGGCCCGGGCTACTCGAGGCTGGTCTGGGTTTAAAATACCTAAAGTGCCCTGTATTGCCTGGGACTTGCAACCCATACAGATACGCAATCAAATGTCGTTAAGGAAGGATTTAGCTCGTGAAATTTAAAATTGGTCTCGTCGTATGTAACCTTCTAAAGCTTCCCACCCTCCTACATAATTTTGTAAAGAATTTTCGCAGATTTGTATGGGTGAAAATCCTCTCTGGAGCTCAGAATCGGTGGAGCTAACATATCTTCACTTGCAGAAAATTCGTCAATACGCAGAGTCAATATTTTTATAATTCGATTGGAAATGCTATACTTTCCTTCCTCGGATCAAAACGGAAATTCTTCAATTGGGAGAAACCATACAAAGCATAGAATTAGGCCAATTTTTGAGAAATCGAGTAAAAATTCAGGAGGTGTCTATAACAAAGATTAAATATAAAGCTTATTGGTGCGGCTGCCTTACATTTTAGATGCACAAATCTTAAAAAATACAGAATACATAGTTTTCAACCTTTGATGGTAGGGAATGACTGCTCGCAACAGTTTACAACAATGCCAATATTTATTAAATATCTGCGATACATGGTGCCCTTAAACCCCTGCTCATTCAATTTAAACAGACCATTTAATTCAACATTGCGTGCAATATGTAACACTGAACTATCTTTGTACTGATTTTAAATTATATAAACATTTAAATGAAGTAAGTATTCACTTGTTGTTTCTTAAACCAGAATTTTAACAATTATTACAAGGAATTATAAAAGGTCAACTTTCTACTTTGAATATATGTAGTATCTGTTTTGAGTTTTTAGAAATCTCATTAGCAGAAAGCACAACTCGCTGCTGGTGCATGCGATTTGGTAGGAGTTTGCTTACCCTTCAGGCCAAGATGTTTTACACGATGACGAAATTCTCATTTGCATCTAACGAGTACATAACTCTTACGATAATAATTGGGCGGAATGCAGAAAATGGTGGAACGAAACCTAGACAAGAAATTGAAATGACGGAGAAAGCATAGAGAATGAAAAGAGGAAGAAATTCCCATTCCTCCACTAAGTGAAATGAGACTTCTGTTCAACTTAATTACATCCGTGTGTAATTAACTTGCTACACTTGCGAGATTTGTGCACAAGTTACGTATGTAGACCTTCGTCCACAGTATTGTTATCCATTTATTACTAACGAGCTAAGAAATGAGGACAGGCGTGGAGTGTCAGGGACCTACTGACTCAGGACGAGTTGACAGACAAAACCCATTTGCTTATTAATAATAATACGTAATTATACCAATGAGGCAAGGGTGATCGTTTAATTGATTTCATGAGAAATTATCTCTGAAATTGCTATGATGAGAATTGACAAAGTATAAACTCTGGGTGGTTGTAAAACTCTTAGTGCATTGACTGGATTGAGTTGAGGAGACAGGTACATATGTATAAAAATATGTGAAAGTCTATAAAATTTTACCTGGGCTCCGTGTCGACTGCCAAAGGAAGAAACTAATGTAATGTAATGGATGGAAGGTCGTCAGATTAGGTCACAAATCGAAATAGCTTGGCTGGGGTTCTTTTTATTCTTTCGCTTGTTGCAATTGACCAAGGAGAAAGTTGTTTGGAAACGCGTGTCTTTCCTTGCAACCTAATCTCTCAAAATCCAGGGCAATTTTATTTTATTACAATACCCGGAAAAATCAGCACATCGCAGGGAGCAAGTGTCAACTGGTGGTTCGCGTATGTATGAGTCAAATGCGCCCAGCTCCCAACTTTATACCACGAGAAAAGCAAGCTGGGATTGCACCAGGAGAAAGCAAACTTCACTCAGGATCAGTCAGACGGTGTATCCTTCTACGACGAAAAGTACGACTACGACGACGTGGCTATTGAGATGGACTGTCGGGAACATGAGAATGTGTTGGGAATAAAATGAAACAACATTAATAATAAGTGGCATAAAAGTAAAAACAAGTTCTGCAAAACAAATTCTGATAATTTGCATGGCACCTTACTTATCAACCGGCTGGTGGATGTTGATGCCACAGAGAAATAAAGCCATGTTACAGTAATTCATGCATCTACAATTTTTTGTGTCTTTATTGCATACATAAATGGCCATTACCCTTTGCAAATATATGTATCTACAATTGTGGAACGATATTTTTAATTTGGCTATACATTCATAAGAAGTAAAAGATATAACATTATCAAACTATCTAGATAATTCATATATGTACAATATTTCTTCTAGACATGGTATCCAACAAAAACTGTATTATATAATGTTCAAAATTGATTGTTTTCTACAATACAACTCGGTCATGTAACCGTTCTACATTCTAATCGATAAAAACAAATTAAAACAAATAAAGTAGGGTAAACCATAAAAAAATACTTTTGCATAATTTGACTACGTAGTAATACTATAGACCTTTTTTAATGCATTTTAGAGGTCTAAATCCTTAATCAAAACTACCTTCTGGCTTCTATACGTTGCACACACGACTTTATGCTAAACAATACGATCAGTTTAGAGATTTAAAGCTAAAATCAAATTAGAGCTAGTTCCAAATTGGAATTTCCAATACTGAACTATTTAACGGTTTAATATTGTTGTTGGCCAATTTCTTCTAGCCATGCCTTTAAATACTCATCAACACTTTGGTACAGTGCAGTTAAGGCAGACATTTTAAATTTAATGTCCCTGTGTTTATTATGGCAAATTAAATAGCAAATCTCGATAACCAATTCCAGCAAACCATCATTTGAACAAGTGAGTTTTTCAAAAGTGAAGATCTTATTCCGAAAACGTTTCAGAATAACGCCTTCTTCATTGACCGTTGTGTCCGTGACGGATGTGCACACATTTTTGTAAAGGTCTTCCCTCTTTTTAGGAGCTACTTTAACTCTTCTATTAAAATGTTGAATTTGAGGGTCCAGTGAGCACAGCGTGGGCGTAAGGTCAACACTAGCCCAATCAGACTGATTTGAATCACTGTCACACACACTGGACGTTTCCCAAGAGGACGACAAGCTGGACTTTTCGTATGAAGCTGCAAAATAAAATATTCCAGTTGAATGACTTTGTAAGAACAATTCAGCAGTGTTGTGTGGTTCTTACTATTCCAGAATAATGTCTCTGTTTCTGCTGGCAATGGCAGGAGTAGGTTGGCTTCTTCAGGAGCCATCTCAGCTGAAATCCATCAATTATTTACTATATTTACTGAATTATTTACTGATGTGCATAAAAGAATGATGAAAAATTTATACGTCTTGTAACTTTTAATAACTCACCATTACAATATTTACAGTTGCTATCAGCCCCATTCTCAACGAAATTCTGAACCCCCAAGGCACCCATCAAAATTTTGATATGAAATAAGCAAAACTTGTGGACAAGGGTGAAACAGTAAAAAATTAGTTTGATTACTGAGACAAAAAAGTTTAACCCTAGTCGCAATCGGTTGTTTCATTTAATTTCATTTAATCACCCGCCTTTCATTGACCATTAAAATTCTCATTTCATAGTGCTTACTATTTACTTAGCACACAAAAGCTATATTTACATAATAATAAGGCTAGAATAAGAATACAAAGACATTGAAATCATCAGAATTTTAAAAATCATGCAAATTACCGAAATGTAGCTTCCGTAACCCTGCCTAGAAAAATTGCATGCAAACTTAAATAATCTGAATACGCATATGTTACGCAGACTGGGGTCAAAATGTAAATTTGCAATTCGTATTTGTCGCAATATAATTCATAGTTTGACCCTCATGTTAGTCTGACCTACTTAATAAAATTTTGATGAACAAAGCCATATTTCAGTAGAATTGACGGTTTTCTTTTTCTCGCACCTGCTGGAATGGCACACCTGTGATTTAATCATGATTTAGCACTAATTAATAGTGACGCGAGGAGGTATGCACGTACATACATGTGCATTGTAAAAAAATCTCCATGCGTAAATATCATGTACTATATCGTATTTTTGAAAACATACGTCAACAGAAATTAAACGGAAAGTTTGGGACAAGAAATAATTAAAAAGTTTTCCAATCAAGGTGTCCAACTTTGATAACAAAGTTGTATATCAAAGATCGTTTTGGATTGGAAAAATAAATACAAATAAATAAATTATGGTAAGATAAATGACGCACAACTTATTTTCATTATCCATCTGCTACCTAAATACAATGTGAGCAATTCAAGTGTCTGCAACTCTGAACCCATATTTGAGTTTTTGGGACGAATATTCATAGTATATAAGTACGCCTCATAAATTGAACAACCAAGCCACGCTCTTTGACCACCGCAAATTGAGCACATTCACCAACCAAATGTTCATATGCATCACAATTCTGTAGTCGAATTGACTTTGTTTCTTCTTAATAAATGGAATGGATACAGTTGTGAAGCATAGACTGGTTTGCAGATTCGTTTCAATGTACATCCATGTCATTATGATTCATGCATTTTTACCGTATGTCTCAAATTCCCACTCTGAATGGATCTTTCGATAGCTCTGATAGATTAATTTCCCTAAGATTATCATTTTTGCTATAAAATGATAAAATGAGTAGATTTTTGCAGTTGTGGGTTGACGAACGACATTGCGTGTTTATAGTATTGTCATTAATAACATTTATTTTGAGTTTGACACACGTCATCAAATCATAATCACATTTTGAACTTAAGTATATACTGTTTACGTATATCTATACTGTTTTATCGGAACACACATGAAACTAGCACGAAGGGATATTATATACGCAGTTAAAGTTAAGGCACACGAAGCATTCGATCTTGGCAAACAAACAAAAAGATCAAACAAAAGGTCAGGTCAATTGATCAGTCGCAGCCCTTTTCTATGATTTATCATTTATACATCGCCGAATCCATCCACATCCACATCCACGTATTGTATAATATACAGGCATTCAATTGACACATCCATTCAATAGTCAGTCATGATTCATGAATAACATAGTCAGTTCAGCTCTCATACATTCAGGCCTATACGCTAGTTTTAAATAATATTGACTATTATTTGTCGTTGCGAGTAAACACGCACAATTAAAATACCACTACAGATATATGAACTACCTACTGAAGTTGCGTAATATTTACAAGTTAAATTGTACAGTCTGGGATTCGGGATTTAGTAGAATTTTTATGAAATTATAACCAAAAACAACACCATCAACCAACAGAATAGTCAACAACGAAACGAATTATACGAGTGGAACTTTTCCATTTTCTAAAATTGTCGATTAACTAGAAGAGTTATTTAGTTGGATGTAAGAAAATGAAAGATGATTAAATTTGATTGTCTTCATCATTTTCGTCATCCGTCGTCGTACTCGAAATTTGCTCCCGTTCTTTCTGCTTCCAATGATCTTTGATAAACTCGGAAGCTAAAGATCCCAACATTTGGCACGTACACTGAAATATTAAATAAATAAGAATGAAATGTATTCACTTTACAAATTTTTGAAATATTAAACAAATCCTCCTCCTCTCGTATGTATTGCATTTTTCGTCATCACTTAAACATATTTCCGAACAACTAGCACCACAGGGATAAATGCATGACACCAAATTATTTATTTACCTGATTCACGGAAACTTCTCGTTCTTGGAGAACAGAACCGTCTATCACACGAAGTCCCTTCGTCCCAAAAACTCTAAAAATATTTAAAACAAACCTCAATTAGATAATTATTTTTTTTTAGAAAATTCAACTGATTCATATTTACCTTAAGAAAGAGTCCACCACTGCATCAGGGTCATTGGTGTCCCTTCCAGCGGGGGCAGTGGCACAATATTTATACTGAAATCGCAAAACACAACGTTTTTAGCTCCCCACGTGGAGAAATAAATTATGTATAATATTTACCGCAGTGGCAGTCGTATGCCTTCCGAGGCACTCCTGAAAATTTGGTCAATATAATCATATTTGTAATCCTTGGTTTGATTGATTTATCATATTCGTATCGAAGCAAATATATGATCATCTCACCCAATAAGCGTCACTTTTAAATGGCAATTTTTCACATCCTGGGAACGGAATTGGTAAAATCTTTCCATTCAATTCTTTAAAGGTTTTGGTATCTTCCACCATCTTCACTGCAAACTTTATGCCTAAAAAATAAGACGAATCCCAAATTAGAACAGACAGATCACTCCAAATTTAATAGTTTACTCCGTGCAAGTCAATATTGATTCTCTTTTCCACCCACCTTCCACTAGGAGGTCAACATCTCTTTGATCTTGCAAGTACTTTGGATCCAACAAGGGCGCACTATGTGGGTCAGCATCCTTCAGCCGCAGCGTCCCCAGTGCAGATGGTTTGGGGAGGGTGACCAGCTGGAAGAAATTGTCCTGTCCTTGCCACATTTTGTAGTATGTTCTTAAAATCTCTGTCTTTGTGTTGATTGCAATTCCCATGTCTCGCTCAAAAGCCTCGTCCGTAGAGTGGGCCAAGATGTAGGTGAAGATGTCGGGATGCTTGTAGCCTTCACGCTTGGCCTTAGTGCTTCGGAAAGTGTAAGTTCCCTCCAGTCGCGTGGATGAGAAAGGTCCCTTGCCCATGATAAAGTATTCCGCCAGAGTGGTTGCTGCAATTGGTACATTGGAGTTAGGAACGTATTGTCACTGATGAAACTTGACACAAGTCTGAATTACCCGTCAAATCTCGTGGCATGAGGAAGGACTTCCCTTCGTCCACAAAAAACGGACCCACTAAAGCTCCATATTTATCTTGGAGGTTCTCCCCCACAGGAAGGTCAAGAATTGGTTTGATCTATTTTGGTTTAAATAAGTCAAGCCGAATAAATAATAAATAAATTACGCCAGCATCACTGAAGATAAAGTGAGATTTAAATGTTAGTCCAAAGAATAATTTTCAAAGCACTACTTTTACCAGAAAAAATACGATATTAACGGCTTCAATTATTCTGATTAGCTTGCAAATATATTTAACTAATTGAAGGCGAATCCATATTTTCTTTCATAGATAATGTCTTCACAAATCACCATAATTCAGTAAATAATGCATATATGATACTTGAGAGTTGTTAGTGAAAAAGTGCATAGCATAAACACGTGCAGAAAGATTTTTTTTGCTGGTAACCCACAGATTGAGATTAGTGAGCAAAGCCAGCCAACTACAGTCAAAAATCATGTTTTTGCTGTATCGTTAACCAAGTTCAGTCCAACTTGGCTGTCCAAGCCACCAAATTTTGATTTGACTACTGCTACCCAAATTAAATAAGTGGTTATAAGGCTCAAGGTTCCTTAAGTGCAGCGTATCACACGTAATATGGACTGTGGCATACTTTTCTAATTGGCAGAAGGTGAATATGTTCGTTGCTCGTGATGCATTCTTCATCAGTTAAATTCACATTCGTGGCTCAATGTATCGTACAAATGTATGAATAAATACTTACGCCAATCTCTTCCAAATGTTTCTTGGGCCCGATTCCGGAGTGCATCAAAATTCGGGGAGATTGGATTGAGCCTGCACTAAGAATCACTTCCTTGGTTGCTTTTGCAACATATGTCTCACCGTGCCTCTCGTATTCCACGCCAAAAGCACGATTCTCTTGTCCAGCAAAGAGAACCTGCATACAAAAGTTATTATTACAGCCTTGTTAACTACATTTTAGATTAACTAGACGATTAACTAAATCATTTACCTTTTTGACGAAGGCATATTTCCGAACAGTAAGTGTCGGTCGATTAAGGATTGGTTGAATAAATCCATGATAAGCATCAAATCTTGCCCCGTTCTTTTGGTGAAAGTCCATAGGAGCAAAACCTGCATGAACAGATCAGATAAGCACATGCGTTCACATATTACATATAAAGAGTAATAGTTGGCATAAAAGACGGACGTCATCAGCGATGTTAACACTGCTGAGTACCCACCTTCGGTTATCGGCCCGTCCATATTTGGATCTCTAACTTTGTAGCCCATCTCTTCGCCAGCCTTCATTACACTTTCAATCACGGGTTGAATATCGCCCTTTTCTATCGTCATTCCGCCTCCAGTTCCGTGATTACCTGAGCGAAGAAATTATTTATTAATTAAAGCATACATGGACCATTCCGCTTAATTTTGTTTCCCAAAGTACAAAAATAAATCCTTGAGAATAAGTTGTTTTTAAGAAATGATTGTCCGTTACACCCAATGATTATGCACTTGAGAAGCAAAAATCTCACTGGAAAAACATTATATCTTACAAATAAATGTACTTTGTAAGTTCTGAGACTAATTATGATGTCTTATTGCGACCTTCATTTCAAAGTAATTTCCTAAAACCTTGGTTCAAAACTACACGTGATTATATCAAACATATTTAAGCATTAAGTTTTTAAAACAAACGCTTCTTTCTGCTTCACAAATTTTAGGTTAGCTTCTATACCTACGTAAAGTAGCATTTGCATTTTTTTAACTTTTAAGCTACGACAAGACAATATATTTAGTGAATGGACATTATGTGGCAAAAAGTTGGAAACAAATTAATTAACACTCGTCTGAAATTACTGCGCAGCACATTCATATGTTAACCCCATCTTCAGCCCTCAAATTTCCCAATTACTACCACCAACTACTGTCAACCACTTAATCCACCTACCACAATTTCTAAACGTATGTCCGTCAAGGCGTCATTTTTTGCAAGCATTTATGAGTAATAAATAAACGCTACTCATAAATACAATGTAATGCATTTTTGATTTTTTTGCTATATCGTTCAAATTTACTATCAGCCCCACAATTAAGCCACACATGAACATTTCGAACTCTTGCAAAAAATCAGGTCATGTTCATATCCTGCCAATGCGGCTCACGGTCACACTTTATGTACATGTCCAAGGCTGTCTCATCCTCTACTTTTTGAATTAATCTGAAAGGTGATGATAATTTATTTAGTAATAAAAATGATGGTTGTCATACTTGGATCAAAATGGCCGTGATAATCTTCGAGCATTTTGTAATGTTTTTGTGCATTCCTTAAACTCCATACTGGATTTCCCGTTCGTTCCGCCATGTCGTCGAAACCTTGGACGCTTCCTCTGATGTAAATCATTCCGTTGATTACACTGGATCCTCCCAAACCTTTTCCAGCCGGCCAGTGAGTCACCTATCAAAATAGTGATCATTACAATTACAAAGAAATTACAATTACAAAGGACGAAGGAAGTTCAAGATCCAAATTGTTTTCCTCTAAACTTGGCACATGGTCCATTTACCTAACACATTTCTGATTAATTATAGGATTCGCAAACACGACACATAAATTCAATGTGATGCATTTTGCTATATTACGGTCAACCGGCGAATTCATTATCATAGTCTATTTTGCATACATGACTCACTCACATGAGTCTCCTATCTATTTGACTTGACACAATGTTAATAAAAAACTATTTAACAAGTAGTGCCAAAAAGTGACCGATACATACGTGTCTTTGCCATCCTCTAATACGTATTCTCGCAGTTATTGCAAATTGTGATGTGTGGAAACAAGGAAGGCAACTGTACCTTCTTGAAACTGAAAGTGCATGCAAGTCTACTTTGCTAATGAACATATCGACTCAATCACGAAATTTTGTTACAAACATCGTACGACGACTATGATGATGTTTTGATTATGTTTATCTGCGGGTCCTTATTCGCCCACTATGAAATCAAAAGTTGATATTGCCTTGCACACAACAACGACGGAATCACATCTCATTATTAGGCATGAAAAATGAGGCAATCCATTTGACTGGTTTGAACTACAACTCGTTTTTGAGGGTTATGTCGACATATTTCAATTCCTTGCACTTCTGCAATTCAATGTAAGCATGTAGGAACACGCCGCAACTATTTGTACGATTGCATCCAAAACAAACGTGTGTAACTAATTCTAGAATCCTCCCTATTGCATGCAACTCGATATTGAAATATGACGTATTTATATTTTTAAAAAAACATTACATTTCCATTCGCAGCAAAGGACGAATTTTGCTGTGGAACCGTTCGGTACTGCCAATCATGATGGAAACGATTTTGATTGTTGAAAAAGACGACGGGGATTTGGACCATCGGGTGATGATTATCGCCTCCAGCTTCCAGTAGCAGAACGTTGTAACTTTCCGATAATCGATTAGCCAGCACGCATCCCGTAGCTCCAGCTCCGACTGTTCAACAAAAAACACATTAACGACATTGTCACATCATGTTAGTGCACGCTTGGACAAGATCCAATTTCCGGGTAAATGATAAACAAGTTGTCTCCCAAAAACATTAGTGGCATAATTGCATTATAAATTTATACGATAAAAAATGCATATCAAGTGGTTGGAAAAGGTCAGCAATTCCAAAGCCGGGATTGATGGAAAAACATTAGGTTACTCCACGTTGCATAATAAGCAAAAATTCACGGGACAAACAAATCTTCAAACTGGCGTCGTGATAAATTAATCAGAACTGTCCAAATATCGAGTACGACGCATTTCATGTTGCATAATACATTTACATGAACAAATTCATGGCTGAGACACAAATCTTCAACCTGACGTCGTGGTAAATACATAATAATCAGAATTGTTCGAATATCGAACACGACGCACTTACCGATAACAAAGTCAAACGTGTCATTTTTATTTTCAAACATCATTTGCATCCTGTCCATCCGAACGTCCATGTAATAATTGAGAAGAAATATGGTGGATAAATTATTTAGGAGAAATTCCAGGATGCCCGTAATAACCCCCGTTCTCGCTCCCGGTGTCAAATTCATCTTAAGCCCTGTCCTATCACAATGGTTGCGCTATGGGTATACGTAATTATTTGATGCTGAACCACACTTCCTTATCCACTCACGATAAATACACAGATTTAAACAGAAATAGAATTTCTTAAAATTGCAATACACTTATTTTCACAGTTTAAAATGGCACACAGAATCACAAACACTGAACTAAATACACTGGATTCGATTTTCTACTCATGAATCATGAGTACCAAGAGGAAATAACTATTCTATTTATTTTGTATCTCATTGGGTCAGAATTTCTGGAGAAATATTCCTGCGATTCGTTGGTGACGACGTGTTAATTATACTTCTGGTGATGTTTCTTAGTACATGGAGTGGCTATCGACAGCCTTCTCTCGAACCTTGTGCACCATATCAAACATTAATGTCAAATAAAGAGATATACCTAAATTCACTTTAGTTTTAACGTTTGATCAAAGGGCGAAGGGAAATCATAACAAATTAGCAGCGATGTATTTCATAATCATCCACACAGATTACGAGATTACTCATATTCATACTTGTGCATGCATACACATACCTCACGCATGCATGCAAACATTCCCAAAAAATCCACTTTTGGTTAAAGCAACAGTTTTATTCTTTGTAAATTGGTGAATGAGCATCTCAGCAACTTATGGACACTTGTGTATGTATATGTCTTACATTATTTTGAGGGTTGGGGTTAGAATGTGGCCCCTTCCCTTACGTGTGGCATGGCAATACTGCACAATGCAAGATCAACGTAATTGAACTGCCTGCATCAAATATAGCAAACTATGCACATGTGTATGTATACATCGGCCAGACGCCACTTACCCTATTTTTGAGAACAATTAAATAGGTTAGCGCTATAGATTGGCAACGTGATCTCGGCGGCGTCATCTCATATCTCACCCATTCAAACACCTTAATTTCTGTACTGCGCGTGTTTGGTAGTCAATCATAATACAAGAAAGTGCAAGTGGTGCTACACGTAAGGGTCCCTCCTCATAATCAAATTGCAATCTTTCAACAAATGCATGCAGGAACGTCTCACTTTTATAACATTGTCTTTACGACCGTGTTAATAATACTGACTGGCTGAGACTGGCGAATTTATTTGTGCTGCATATTTTATTAGAATGGACGACGACTTGCTTCAGAATGTTATCACTTTTGAGGAATGGATAATTTGACTGAAACTGATGCATTCTTGTGCTAAATGTTTAATACGACACAGCGAACGAAAGGGAACGTGCATGAGTGTATCAAATTGGAAACAAGGTTAATGGTTCCGCTAACAAACGCTGGCGATGATGGTGCCCTGCATTTATTGTACGTATTCTTTGTAGTTTACTGCTAATCAAGAAATCCATTTTATTGTCACTCGTGCGGTTTATACATTTATTTACTTTTGTGGTCATTGATTAAGTCGGGAAAACAGCGCTTTTAATCATCTGCTTAAAATTTCGCAAACAACGTTTCCTTGTTTATTTAATAAATTGCATTTGTCAAATTCAGATGATGTATGTATATAGTGCAACACACATAAATACCTGCAATATACCAGGGAATAGGGAAGACATTGGGCAATTATAATTAAATCAACAATAACTTCGGAGGCGTGTCTGGCATACTAATTTTCTAGATTCCTTACTTTTTCGAATTCTCAATAAAGTCTAATTGTAAAAAAAAGTAGCAATCAAATTGATAACAATGCGAACATTTAGAATGCAAATGCATCTCAAGTCATATCACGTTGTTATTGTTTTTTTAACGAACATATCTGGGAACAAGTATGCATCTAGCTTAATATTTCCTTGTTATGTAATGCTTGATTAAGTGTAGCGATTATGTACATGTATATTATTCAAGTTTTTTTAAGAAGCAAAAAATGGAACTTGTTATATTCAGTGAATATCTATGAAACAGTATCTGTTTCTTTTAGACCATTAAGATCTTTTTATACAGATATCTACTTGTCTTTTTTTGCCCAAAGTTTATCAAATTGTTTGTCAATTGATTACTCTCGCCAAAATTATTATAGCCGTGACTGGGTTAACATACTATATGCATAATAATTTTGTGTGCTTCCCCTGCCAATGATTTTGCATTAGTTCTATAATCCAATTACATCTAATGACTGCCACTAGATGAGGGTGTCCTTAGCCCGTATAATTAAATTGTGGAACGCATGCAAGTAAACAAACAACCAGTAAAACCAGAACCGGAAAGCGTTCATTGTCTTACCATTAACCAACCAAGCTCTTAAGATTAGTGCTGGATTTTGTACAAAAAAGCGGATAGATCGGATTTACTCTGGGCATTTAGCATGTACATGAGTTCAGAAAAATGCATAATCAAATTACAAAATCTCTCCGTACGGAGATTTACTAGATTTTACTGGATTTACTAGAGCACTGTTACATACAATATAATTGAATCAAGTATGACTGCTTGTACTTTTTTCGAAAACAACCCGGATTCATAGATACGTGAATATTTACTTAAAATAAATCGGAAAGTCCGATTTTCAGATATCCTATCACAGAATGACAATCAGTTTGGTACATCTCAACCTAAGGATCACGGTTGTATGTATACATGCAATAGTTACGTTGATACGAATATTGCTGGTCATACACTTAGTTTTTACTGGGTCATGTCATGTCACAAATCGCTGTTGGATTGAATAATGTCAAGTGGTGTATATACACCCATTTCACCCAATTACATACAAATAAATGGACTTGACAATTATTGGACCCTCATCCATCACATGTTTAAGGCAAGCTGCCTTATAGTTCATTGTACGCATCAAAGTCCATTTTATAGCATGACTACATGACTTCTAACACATTCAAGCAACCTAAAATTATTACGTTGTCAAGATTTAGCATCAAGAATTTGGCCAAGTGAGCTCTGCCTCAAACACGAAACAATAGCATGCACAATATCTCTCCTCATCCACAAGAATGGTTGATCTTGACTTTGTCCGCTGTTGTTGTAGGTCACCGTGCTGCTCGCGAACATTGTGCTGGTGAACGAATGAGGTTGTGATGTTGGAGAGTGAAATGTTACGCAATCCAAAATTCATCAATATTCAAACAGACAAATCCCAAATTCACTTTATTCATTCATTTTTCACATGGCTAACCCCAAACGTGGGGTGGCCTTGACACACAGGACCAAAGATCATTCTTCTAACAGAGGACTGAGTGAAGTGAGCAACACAATGATCAGTCGGTTATTGGGGCATTAAAAAAATAATTATCAGCTAACAAACCAGTTGAATGCAGTACGCACATGTATTCCGCATGTGCATGTATGTACAGTTGGAGGGACACAAAGATACGTTTTATGAAATGTGAAATATAAGATGAACACGTATCTAAAATAAATACATTACCTACGAAAATGAGACAAAAATAAAATTAAACGAATCCTAATTTGGGTTTGCTATTAAAGGATGCAAACTTTTTGCAAAAATAGTTCAAACTTTTATGGAATGAACTATGTACACCATTTTCGTATCATTTGACGAGCTACTTATGTAGTTTATAAATAGGGAATAATTTAATATGTGTGGACAAAATCATATTTTTGGATTATTTTATTATAGTAATCGGTTATTATTAGCAATTAATTCTGGCTGTTGGTCGTAAAACAATATCCCTGGTCGTCGTTTTTAAGAATTTTTGAGCAGTTGCTAAGAAATGGTGCATTATTTAGAGGAATAATTTACTGGAATTAGATCGCTTTCAACGTCAGTTTCTCGCCGGTAATTTTTTAGCCTGAGTCAGGGCTTAAGGAACCGTCATAATTTCCGTCCGTCCATCCGTCCCAAAACACGATAGAGCCAAAACGACTGAACCGATTGACTTGAAATTTTTACCATATGCATATTGGACAAAGTTAGGAAACGAGTTTGAAGATTGGCGAAATCGGTCAAGTGGTTGACCACTGGGGGTTATCGGAGTGGTCAGAGACTAAGTCCCTGGCTCGGGCTATATGGGGTCTGCACTGTAAATTATGTAAATTCAAGGAAATTATTCCTCTAAATTTTGCACCATTTCTTAGCAACTGCTCAAAAATTCTTAAAAATGACGACCAGGGATATTGTTTTACGACCAACAGCCAGAATTATTTAATTGAGAGAGGTAGACAATAAAGTAATTGACCAATTTTAAATACTACTTTCTTCGTTTTTGGTCTTTTTTTACCCGGAACTACATACGTAAGTAAGCACTTAATGTATTCGATAAAATTAGCAAACATCAAATGTGTACTTATTGTGAGGGAAGCAACCTAGAATTGTTGCTTGCGTATTGAGATGTTATAATTGCAATACCAACTTCTGTAGTAGACCATCATCATGACGTAATATTATAATTTCTAGATTGGGCTACAACAAAAAAAGGCAGTGCAACCACAGTCTATTATTTTACATTTGACATGTAAAATTGGTCCCTGATCCATTTATCTACAATTGAATCTACTTTTTGGGTCTAAGTTTTTAGACATCATAATAATTAGCGTATATTAATATTACACTGGATGTTCAATTATTTTGAAGTTCACCTATGTTATAACGGTGCTAGATATTTCTCAGAAAATTATGGTTTTGGGTTGGAATTGACTTTTAATCAGTCAATAACTGGCCACCATTCTTGAAATAATTTTTATAATTAGCCATTTTAAGTAGAAATTTGGTTTTATTAATGCTTAATATTTGCTATCATTAGAACAAAAAGATCCCCGATTGGAGCGATCTATGTACATAAGTACATACGCAATTCTACATTCCTCTCCTCTCTAGTACTCGGATTTTTGGTAAGCCTGCACTTAAATAATCACAATGTCGGAATTGCAAGGTCACAACTAAATTACAATTGAATGAGTGTAAGCAATATTCAAAGCATTGCAAAACTGCAGTTGTTAATCCTTTTTATTTGCTGATCATTTATTTCGTCTTGGTTAAGAAAATAGAGTTTAGAGTAGGCGAAAAAAATATTCAGTTATTTCATTAGCTTGGAATCGCTTGCAGCAAACCCTACAACCCGTTTATTTCGTGGCAACAATTGAGGTAATGATGTCGTCCATGGCTGTAAGGATGTCCAATCGCTCCTTCCTTCGAGCTGATCCCGCACAGTTGAGTCTGGCGTGGGCAGTTCCTCTAACGGTGACAAAGTCCGTCCAGCCCCCATGGACTTTCGTGGAGGAAGTTTCCTCGTCATTGGGCGACGGGCTGGACGTCTACCAACACTGCCCAAGTTCTGCTGAGTCTTACTCATGGCGGATTGTGGCACCTCGACTTCTAGCGGAGAAAGTGGTCGTGATTCTTTTAAAGTTGAAAAACGATCTCCAAATCCTCGATTGACATTCCAATAGTGTGAAGAAGAATGGTTCGACCTACGAGCTCTGCCTATGTTGTCGTTCGAAGGCGACAAGTTTGAGAGACGGAATATGATTTTCGCCATTTCGGACATTGAATCACTCTCAATTTCTTCCGCTGGTTGGATGCTGGATCTTGTAGCAGCATACAAATCTTCAGCTTCAGAGGTGTTGACATCCCCTTCAGAAGCCGGATCGTAGGGGAGTGTGACCATTCTGGCAAACTGATCAGGGGTTGGAGACATTGAAATTGGGGTTGAAAATACAAATGGCTCATCATAAATTTTAGCCGCTGATAAAGGCATCACAACTGGTACACTTCTACTCTGCATCACATTCTGGTCACGATGAACAGAACGGAAAGCACCAGGGAATGAACTGACGGGATGCACGGGGTTGGTTTTAGTGGACTGAAACTGTTTTTGATTTCTCAGAGCCTTAATGGCACACATCCGTTGCAGAGTTTTCCTTTGAGTATCGTTTACATCCTTCTCATCCAACACTTCTAATGTGTATAATTTATAATGCCAATCAGTTATTTTTTAATGACATTTAACCTATATAAAAGTAGCAAAGCGCAAGTCTATTTATTTGTGTATTACCAATGCCACTACAAAATCCAACGATTTGTTCTTTATACTTTGGATTTTTTAAGATACGGTTTTCTCGTAGATCCAAAATTCTGAGCTGCCCTAATGTTCTCAAAACTTGGCTCGTATGCTCCAAGTTGGTCAACCTATTTCGAGATAGGTTCAAAGTATCCAGAACATCCATGCAAAGCAGATCCTCAATGCTTTCCAACTGATTCCCACTCGTGTTAAGAACTTTCAACTTTCTCTGCATTGACATTGAGCAGAATTTTATCATAACTTATCCTGACTAAATATCAGCCATGCAACACAACTTACCGAAATAGTGTCCAATGAGTTTGGAGAAAAAATGATGGATTGTTCAGACGGCAGTCTTTGATGCTCAATGTGCAATTCCACCAACATTGATAAATTCTCCAAACCTTCAATAACCTCAATTTCATTTTGACCCAAGTACCTGCAATAAAATACTTTTAATAGGTTAAGTTCCTCAATGTACGTATTATGAAATTACTACAGAAATTGATGACATACTTACAATTGTCTCAAATTAAAAGAATTTTTCAAATCTGCAATGCGTCTAATCCTATTTCCCGATAAGTGAAGGGACTCTAATTGTGGAAGTTGTGAAAATCCAGCCATCTCCATAATTTTGTTATCGTAAAGGTACAAATGAGCCAAGGAACCAAATGATTGAAATGCATCCGACATCTAAACAAGATACAACATTTTATCAAATCTCTACAATTATACTTTAATCGTAGCAATTTCCATCATCATACAATTTGGTTAATTCCTTTCTTCTGAAGGTGGAGAGAGACCACATTTTTTAAATGTTCTGCATCGACACCTTCCTTATTATTCACGTTGCGGGCGATGGAGCCTTTGAACACATTTGATATTCCGGACTGGGTCAGCTCCTTGGTCAGAATAGAACCCTAGTCAAACAGAACAATAAAATAGGCACAATTTTCCCAAGTCATAATACATTTGATGACTTGGAAAATGAGACAAAGTACATTTACGTATGTACTTTGTCTCATTTTCCCAGTTAACAGTACATAAATAGCAAAAGCAGACAAGTGAGACTGCGGCAATCGTTGTTTTCACAACACATGTAGTTTTCGCCACATTGTGATTTTACCTTTTCAATTAATTCTGACGACAAAGACGGTGCAAATTCTTCTTTCGGATTCCTCGCAGCCTCAGATTGGGTGAGTTCCACGGACTCTTGTCGGCATGGTGGGTGTGGCCGAGGGATGGGCAGCTTTTTTGGTGGGATGGTGGTCTTGGTTGATGATTTCCATGTTTTGTTGGATTTTTTGACATAATCTTTTTCTCGTTCACTGTAGAAAACGTCGTCAAACTCGTCCTCGTCGCTGAAAAACTGGTCACCCTCAAGAAGACTCTTTTTCCCTTTGCCCTTAGAATACCCTTCCAACCTTCGGGGACGGAATCCGCGCATCATCGTGGCGATGTTGTTTGGTCAGGTTTGGTGAGGTAACTTGTTATATCAATATGCTCATTTATTGATCGAAAATAATAAATCAATTACGCATTTTTTATTGATTTCAGAATTTAACGAAGGAATCAATAAACAGCAAGTAACCCGAGTGATGATCATCAGCAGTAGTTATTATTGCTAAAATTACCAAGTAGGGACTGATTCTTGAAAATGTCAGCAGATTCTGACACTTCCTCTGCCATAAAAGAACATACAATGGGATTACCTGGTTATTCTGCTTCGACTAGTCAGGATAGTAATATAACAATAGATAATCATGAATCCAGTACAAATAACAAGAAAGCAGAAATTTTGTTAGCCCCTCTCCCTGTACAGGAATCCTTGCGTTTGTCGAAAAACAAGCTCAGAAAGAAGCGAAATTATGAAAAGATTTTGACACAACGACCAATTAAAAGAAAGCGTGAGAAGGAACTTAGAAAACAGAAAGGGTTGAATAAAAAGTCATTGGGAAAAGATGAGAAGTTTGCATTAACTGAAAAACTGAAAGCTGCGCTAAATGGGACTAACCAGGTCGTGATAGACTGTCAATTCGACGATAAGATGAGTGATAAGCAGCGAGATAGATTAGCACAACAGTTAAGAAGGGTTTATGCTTCTAATAAGGCTTCTCAACAGCCAGTACACTTGACCTTTTCAAGCTTGCCAGAATCTAGCGAATTTTTCCAGCTATGTTGCAGAAAAAATGATGGATTCTCTAATTATGTTATAGATAGAAAGGAACAAAATGTGTCAGAGTTATTTTCCAATGACAAAATTGTGTATTTGAGTCCGGATTCTACAAACGTTCTATCTGAATTTTGGCCAGACAAGGTTTATGTTATTGGGGGCATTGTTGACGAATCAAGGCACAAAAATATTTCCCTTTCGTTTTCAAAATCAATTGACATTACGACTGCAAGATTACCAATTGATGAGTATTTTGTGGCTGAGAAAGGGTCAGGAGGGACGTTTAAAAAAGTGTTGTGCGTTAATCAAGTGTTTGACATTATTTTGGAGTGGCACAAGACCAAGGACTGGGTGAAAGCGATTACTGCTGGATTACCTGAGAGGGCTGGTTTTGTTGCAAAATCAACATAAAAAGTCTCGGAAAAAACTAATCAAGATTCTCTAAACATGATGAACACTATGCTACTGTCTCGTACCAGATATTTGTTGATATCCGCGGCCTCTACATTACAAAATTTACGTTATGAAAGTACCCTTGTTAAAACAAAAACATTTTCTACCAGTGTAATAAATAATATCAAAATGAGTGCAAGTTGTGCGAATCACTTTAAACATTTTCCTGTGAATTTTGAAGCCATACGAAAAGAGTTTCGAGGTCTAACAGGTGGCAAAGTTGTTCTTACCAAAAACAATGAAAGTGGGGTTGCCTACATCTGTTTGGAACATGCGGAAAAGAAGAATGGTTTCAGTGGTAAATCAAATTATCTGCTACTAATCTATATGACTATATCTAAACTGGAATGGATTAGTTAAAAATATTCTGAAATTGCAGGAAGCATGATGGTTGACTTGAGCGAGATTGTAAGTGATCTTGAAACATGGGACGCTGGAAAAGCTGTTGTACTTCATGCTAATGGGGATACGTTCTGTTCTGGGGGATATCTGGACACTGTTAAGAAAATCTGTAATCACAAAGACGGTTATAAGATGTCATCTCTTATGCAGGACAGTTTGGCTCGCCTTGGAAAACTACCCTTGGTCTCGGTTTCGGTGGTGCATGGACCGGTACGTATACTACGTCTACTGAATTATCTTTGCACAAAATATGTAGTAGACTATAGTAGCTAGAAACTTAGGAAATATTAATAGTCGTAATTTTATCCTCTTTTAGGCAATTGGCGGTGGAGCTGAACTAATGTTATCCACGGACTTTCGTCTATTCACACCATCAGCCCATTGCAAATTTGTTGAAGCGAAAATGGGCGTCGGCACCGGATGGGGCGGTGGAACGCTTCTTCAAAGACTTGTTGGTTCCTCAAAAGCTTTGCAATTACTGTTAAGCTGCAAAAGCGTCAGTTCTACAGACGCCATAAGGATGGGACTAGCTGATCACATTGTTAGCGAAGAAAATCATTTGCAAGATTCGACAAAATGGATTCTTGATTTAGTTGGAGGCCATGATTATTCAGTCGTGCGTGCTGTTAAGCAAATTGTCTCTTGTGATAACTTTGAAGAGGAAAAAAGAATTTTTGCCGGCACCTGGGGTGGAGAAGCACAAAGTATCGCTTTAAGTAGGAATATAAAACATAAGTAGTAAATCAATTGTAATACCAAGTGCCAAATATCTATACATGCTATATAACACTATTTTTATATAGTCATTCTTAATAAAGTAGAAATCTCAACATTCAAAAGCCATAAAAAAGTACGTTTATTAAACTCAAATTTGTTAGTAATGTCATAAACAGTAGTAAATGATGCAATTATAAATATGCATGCAACCTCATAAAAGACATGATCTCTATTCATCTCAATATGTTTGTTGACTGTTGTATGTATATGTATATATGTACATCCATGCATTGCATGTAATTTTTTGTATAGAGGAGATCGAGTGAACAACACGAAAGGATCAACCCGGGTATTGCACAAGCGGGTAGTAGCGACTAGCAAGCGTTGCTGTGAAGGGGGTTGCCTTGGTTCTTAATCAAAAACAAACTGGGACATGAAGTTGTAGTGCAATGCAATCATCTTATGGCAAAATGATTTTTCTCTTCATTGCCAGTATGCAGAATAGAGTTGTTGTTTTACTTGAATTTGTCCAGTAATTCACCCGAATCCTTATGGCTGAGAGAATTTATTGTGTTGGACCTCGATGGCTGAGTTACATGTAATTGGGCAAGTGGTCAGTGGGACTTCTTCCGAAACTCCAAGCACAGGATTATTCGCTAAATGGTCAATTCATTCTGGTAGGCATGCATTTATTCAGTCTTTATCGTTAAAATATCATAATGTCGGTAAAATTCATCCTCGCTTTGTGCTATCAGGTAGTTCATGGAAGAAACTTTCTGGACATAAAGAAGGACAAACACAGGTAACTAAACAATTGTGACTATCCTTATTAGATTTTCAAAAAGTTCAAAATACATGAATTTGTCGATTTATCCACCATACGAAAAGAGCGATGATTTACTGTAGGGATCATCCTAAATATGTGTTGCTGTTTGTTTTATATCTGTTGGTGCCCTTCCCAATTAGTTCCCACACATTGACCTGACATTGTCAAATGATAGGTACAGTATGTCTGATTATGTAGGTCGACACTCCTCGTTACGCCGGAATCTCATACTGGGCACACCCCATTGACATTCACTTTGTGACAAAGGGTCTTCAAGGTACGAAGGACGTGGTTAATAACCATAATTAACTTTTTAAAAGCCTAATAAATTACACTCATTTTGCATTGCAGGCTGGCCTAAGATAATTCTAGAAGTCTATCGACAGGATAAATTTGGTAGAAGTGACCTCGCAGGTTACGGCATCTGTCACATTCCCTCATCTCCTGGCACACACATTGTAGAAATTCCTCTTTGGAGACCTTTCGGTATACAACATTTAATGATTTTACACTTTTTGTACATTTTCCATGTTGTTAATTTTGTTTACTTTTGGACGCAGGAAGTACCAAAGAAGAAATTGTGCGCAACTTTATAGGTGGATCTCTTGAAGTTTGTGAACCTGATTTTATTGCCAATCCTATTGAACGTTGTCGACTTAAAACGATTCCTTCTGGAACTGCCAAAGTGGAGTTTGGCATAATTCTAAAGAATTTTGATAATTTTGGAGTTGAGACATAAAGAAGAGCCATGCAGTCTTTATACCATCCAGTTTTTCTATTCTTTGTTGCCCTAACTTGGAGAACGTCTTTCTCCGAACCATTCCACAAAGGGGATGGAAAAGATCATCCCATACATGTTCAATATCACCGCGATAAAATTGCAAACCAAGAGGCTGAAATAATATTGGATACTGATGGCTTAGAAAGACGCTCAGAATTTTTTGGGGAAAATTCGGGCCATAAACCAGACAGTTTTGCAAGGAGTGAAAAACTTTCTACAGATGATGCAACACCGCAACAAAAATCAGGCAAACAAATTAGTCTAGCGGAAAGTACAAAATCGACCAACGAAATTGACCAGAAGACCAGCACCAAAACTATGCTCAATCAGGTTACAATACAAACAAATCAAGGAACATCAACAGCAACAGTTTCATCAGTAATTGAGGACCCCACAACGGAAGTACCAGTCGAGTCATCTTCTACGACTTTGGGCTCCACAAAACCCACGTCCACGACGCCTTCCCCCATCACAACAACCACAACAACGTTGCCCGACAATTTGTATTGCCTTTGTGACATTCATGTACATACACATAATTTTACTCGTACCGATAGATCTATTTGGTTATGTGTCAATTGGATAATAATTAATCAGAATTTACGTTCTCTGCAGGAATCTGTATGCGATATGAATTGTTGCTGCGACAATGACTGTAAGAAACAAGATCGAAAGTTTTTCACTCATTGCGTAGACCAGATTGGAGTTCGGGATGATCGTAGTTCTCCAAGAAGACAACGAAGCTGTTACAAGTCATTTGTGACATTTAAACATTACACAACCGAAAATGGAGTCCTCAATGATAATGGAATGCTTTGTATTGTGAGAGATAACAGCAAAGTTGACAATATCTTGCCCACTTCCAAGCTAAGTGAGGTAAGGGGACTTATCTCAAGTCTTACATAGACCTGCATAGATACATAAAATAAGTAAAACAATTATAATTTCGCTAATTTCAGATACAAAAGCGAATTAGCGATGGAGAAATCAACATCCAACCAAAGTATTCAATTGACAGCAGCAAAAAAGTTCAATATAAGCAGGAAGCATACAAGTTCGGTAGCCCAATCGTGGGGGTGAAAGTCATGGATTTGACTAAAAATAAAGTCGACCTGGTTCCCTACGGTATTTTTATTTGTAATGTATAATAATTTTTCATACAAGCAGTTAAATTGATAGTTATTGCTATCCATAGGTTTGCCTACAACGTATCACTCAGCTCCCTGTACGGAGATTAAAGAACCCGTGAAATTCCTGTAAGTTTGTACTCATTAAGATATCTTTATTTTATTAAATGGAATCAATATAGCTTTCACTTTATAATCAATAATGGTTTTGTTTACCTTTACAGTGAGAATTTTCACTCTGAATGTCAACTTGTCATCACTAACCTCACTCATGATTGCACTCGTCTTGGAGCCTTGGATGCCAATTTATTCATCAATCAAATCCAAATTTTGACGAATCCTGGCGATAGTTCAGATCGAGAATTTATACTGATAACGCCAACAAAGGTGTGCAATGGCCAATTATGCACCACAGAGCTGAACCCGGATGAACACAGCGAATTTCCGAAACCCATTTACAATCCTGGAAAACGAGTTTGTCAAAATGTACTCATTGGGCTCAACGTCACATTTTATTTTGGATTGGAAGGAATTTCGGACATACAAGCAAGTGCCCAGTTACAAGATTTGCAAATCTCCGATAAACAATTGACCCAAGAGTTCAGATCGAATTTTCTATGGAATGCAGAGCTTAACAACACAGAGGCCACTCCTGATTCGGCATCCAGCAATGGACCAGATCGGAATTTTTGGCCTCGTAGTGGGAACCCTGGCTACATTGTGGGAAAACCGGTCATAATGGGAAAGAAAGTTACAATTGTAAAAGAAAAGATGAAACCAAGTGGAAACTTCACGACGCAAACCCCTTCTTTGGAAGACGAAGAAAATAAAGAAGTTGAGATGGTGAAGGTCTCCAAAGACCCTGCAAAATGGATGACCATTCATAATCCAGGAAGATGCCCACAAAATCCAGATGAGGCTTCGAGAAAGTCGGTGTTGTTCGACTACTCTCATTTGACTATGTGTATTCTGAATTTGACAGAATTCAAATACTGCGAAGATTTACAGTTGCAAGTAGCCAAAATCCTTTTGGGCAGCAATGATCCAGGGAATTTTGAAAAACTAAAATGGTAACAGTGGAATAAACTTATTTGTGCCCAAAAACAGGGTGCATAAATATTTTTGTTGTACGTGCTTTCTCCTAAGGAGAAACCACGGACAAAAATGTTTATGCACCCTGGCCCAAAAAATATTAATGCGTTTAATTAGTATTTTAAGAATTTTAACTACCAAAATGCACATTTTTATCAAAGGCATGTCGCAGCATTTGGAAATTCTAACCCAAACGTCTCCAGCGAGTGGGTTCCGGTGTCTGTAAAGAACTTTCCTCTGGGATTTATGTCGACTCCGGGAAACTCCAAGGCACTCGTTTCGAAAGGGTGTGACAGCATCGTCTCTACCCTTCACATTACGGTTACCTATGCCTTTGTCGGAACGGTAGACTTTCCTCAGGCCAAAATTACTGGGGTTTTGTACGAGCCAGGAGATTCTGTCTCTTTTCCCCCGGAAGATATGTCCAAAAGTTTTGACGTCTCTACAACGGTCAGCTTTAGAGATGTCACTGCTGCTCCGGTGATGCGTGTGGCAAAGTGGCCAGTCCTTTCGATTACTCTTCCAAAGGACTTTTTTTACCCATTCTCTCGTTAGACGCAAATACATATTTATAATATTGTAAATATATTATTAACAGTTATGCATATTACTAGAAAATGTTGTTACTACAAAAATTGCGCATTTTGTACAACACAATTATTTTATATTTCCCAAGAATTAAAGAGATTGATTTATTACATGTTTAAAATCCTCGATTTCTCAACTTGCTTTAAAGTAGTATACAAGAATGTCTAATTTATATTGTGTTAAACAGCATCCTAACAATGCACAAGTACCACGATATGTACATAAGTACCTTAGGTACTTATGAAATACTTAGAAAATATATTTTCTACCTGCATAGATATAAACTCTCATACTTATCTGCTTTGGGTAGCCTGACAACATATGTTGCGTAACTTAAAATCTGTATTTAGTTTCTAAAAGTACTAAACAAATCCATGATTAGTGATTGCTCCTGATGCGTTTTTCTTATGTACGGATGGGACCATTAAATGGAGTCTGCAACTCCATTGATCCACATTCATTGTAGTTTAATCCGGTATGGAAAAATCTCAAAAATCTACCACACCGTCAAAAATTCCAACAAAAGCATCTGGTATTCCTCGGCCCAGAAGTAAAAGTGGTGATCGAACTGCGGGCACCAGATCAAAATCATTTTCGGAAACACGGTCGAAATCTGCTCCTCGCGAGACCTCAGACATGAGTGCAAGACGTTACCACGAACAAGCTTCTTCTCAAGAGAATGATGACGATCGTCAAAATCACCGGTATGATTCCCAAGTTCCACAAGACAACGTCCGCGAGTCTCCTCGCTATGATGCTAATAATTACTCGAATCTGCCAAACAACATTCCTCGGTATCAAGGAGTAATCAGCTCAAAGGTTCGACAAGGAATCCTTACCAGCCAACAAGTTCCTCAAGTTTGTGGAAATAGCAAGTCAGCGTTTTCAGGCATGTTCAGAAATGGAGCACCAAAAGACTTTCGTAGTCTCATCGGTGGGGGGCACATGATGAAAGAAATGGACCAGCCACCATTGGAGGACATTGCTTCCATGTTCCAACGACCAAACACCGTCATTCCCTCACTACGTTATCCTTCAGCATTGCCCTCAATGACCAGTCCCTCTGGGGGGTGGGGACGAGCAGAAGGTTCTCCCTCAAATGAGCACTCAATGATCAGTGGATACGGCAAGGACCCTGGATGGTCTAATCCAGCAGGCGTTAAGGAATTGCAACCCATCATGAGTCCCAATAATAACAGCACGGTTGGATTCAAAAATAGTTACTCAACTGCCGAGGAACTCGACAATATTTTGGCCAAGTATAAGAACCTCCCACAACAACAACAACAGATTCCACCCAGAGAACAGCAGTCGTACCAAATATACCAAGCCATGATTCACACAAATTATCCCCACCACTTGGAGGACTCCCAAAAAGGAAATACAACTGAGGGAGGACATTACTCAAGGGAAAACCACGAGAAAAAATCGTCAAAGCAATTTGACCTCATTGCAAAACATCGCACAGAGTCAAACCATCACCCGAAGGACAATTTAGGTGTCTTTGGACTCCCACTGGATAGCCACAAGCAACAAAAGTTGAACAGCTTGAAAGATGAATCCTCTAATAAGACGGGAAAGGGACACCACCCACAAACAAAGCACACCAATCACAATCATAGGTTTCCATTCAGGGAAACTTTAGATGGCGATCTTCTGGTTCATCGAGATCAGGTTGAAAGCACATTTATCAATTAGGACAAAATGGACCAATTTGGTCTAATCAAATATTGAATCGTTTTTAAGGTAGCATTTGAGAGCAAAACCGTCAGTGTTCTCATTTCTGATCCTGACAAAATTTGGACTGGCAGAACCGAAAAGATTCACGATCCACGACATCAAGAGCAGTTGATAAACGAAGTGGAAGAAGTCATTCACAAAGGACTCAACCGATATTACGACATTGAGAGTTATCCACTTGAGACTGAACATGGCAAACAACGCGCAGTGGAGTAAGGAAAAATGATGAATCATAATTTTTGGCAATTTGTATGCCCTCACATTTAACCAATTATGAAGTAACATTAACTTGGAATTTGGGGCTATTGGTCTGCGTAGAAATGAATACCTCGAAAAGGAAGTGGTGATAATGAAGTATTCAGATGCTAAAACGGGCACTGAGAAACTAATGTCAGATATTCATCACCGATTGAGATCTGGACGGTATTTTCATCCACTTTCATACGTCGCAATTTATTCTTACCATTTACGAAACAACTTTAGATTCATTTTTTGCACTTTTTACGATGAATTTTATTTCCAGACATGCTGATACTCATGTCGTAATTGGAGAAAAAGTTTACCCGTGTCACTCGGTGGCTTTGGAAGTCGTGTCAAAATTTTTCGATAACTTGACCAGACCAAAGGAGACTCTGAGACGAGTAGAGCTGCCTGAGGTGAATGATTAGATGCTTAAATGTGGGAAAAATGAGACGCGTGAGATTTTACTCGAGTTTATTTGCATTGATGATTTATTATAAAGAGCGAGGTCCCGTCCACCGTTTTTCCGACCTTGATGGACTGGATTTTTCAAAACGACCATGGCAGATCCGTAGTGATGAATAAGGGAAATGTCGTCCCACTATTTTCATGTGGCAAATATCTCGACATTTCTGGTAATAATGTGCTCAAATCCATACACAGTAATAGACAACTATTAAGTACAATAATATATCATTGGTCCTTGTATCGCAGAATTGAAATCTCAATGTGTCAACTATTTACAAGAAAAGGTAGAAACCAATGATCGACACCTGATGACTTTGTGGGAGGAGGTGAAGAAGCGACCAAATTGTCAAGAACTCATGGTTGTCATCTCTGCCAAAGCCGCCTTGTCATTCCAACACATTTTCAAGGAGAAAAAGTTTCTTAATTTGGACGTTGGTGAATTGGTTATGCTCCTGAGTTCAGATGACATTGTCATTGAGAGGTTCGTGGTCATCATCACGTTGTCAAGATTTTTTCGATTTTAAATAAAGTGTTTTGTTAGAATATAATGAGTAATGTTGCAGTGAGCTTGATGTTTTTGATACTGCGGTGCAATGGCTCCTCCATAATTGGGAAGGACGCAAAGTTGTTACAAACGAAGTCATCCACACTGTTCGATTTGGACTTCTTACACCCCTGCAACTCACACAAATTGCCCACTCTCCGGAATTGGCGAAAGGGACAACAGTTCCTCATGAATATCCAGAGTTGCTTGCGTATGGTTCTGTCAAGGCCATGATTGACGATGGATTGGCGTACGTGTCATATACAAAATTAGGTTGTACAAGCAAATGTCGAAATTCGAATAACTTGGCTTGCACAGGTATTCAATCGTCTTTGAGTCGTACAAGGCCCAACCTGAAGAAATTCGGAAATGGGTTGACTCTACAGGCATTAAAGCTCCTCGACAAAGAAATCATACCAGTCCCACCGGCCGAGTAAACACAATTTACATGGAATAAGGGAGTTTACCATGCCACGATTTTTAATAACTGGCCGTCATGTTACAGGGCAAAACTTTCGTAATTCCACACGATATAAATGCAACCGGCAAGAAAATCAACGGAGGATTGGACCTGCGTCCATCGTACACAGTTTTAACAACTGACCATCACCTGTTGGATAATACCTTATCCACTACCAACGCTTCATCGAGTCCTCGACCTAACAAACGTTCTGAGATTTTTGAAAATTCAGTTTCAGAATCTGAAAGGAGAGAACGACATCGTTCTGGTGAGACAAAAATGGAGTCTGTGGCCGAATCGTTAGGACGCCCTATAAAAGACGAAGATATTCAGAGCTTTTCTCCTTCGACTATGGGGAGACCTCGATCTTCATCCAGAGATCACGACTACAAATACCACGAGTACAAAATCTGATTTCCGGTAAAGAATTCCGTGAAAATTAATACTTGCAGAGTGTAAAACCAATCTGGGTAGCCCAAAATAATTCGTAAGTTATAATTTAAATTAATCATGACGTTTCGTACATTGTAAATAATTCAATTTCCAAGTAAATCAGATTTATTTGATGCTCATGAGAGTTTATAAATGAATCGTGGTTTTAGATATGTAAATAATCAATTAGACTTAACTTTGAAAGTTCGCATTTATTTTTAAGAAACATATAATTATCAATATACATAATTAATTACATAAATACCCCAAGTAATTTTCCCATTCTTAAATATAACACCCGAAACCTTAAATTATCAAACTGTCTCACTGATCATCATCATGGTACAAAACTAAGAAAATAAATTAGAGATTTTATCAACTATGTAAAAATACCCACCCACCCAAACCGACCAATAATTAACCAAGCTATTTATCCAACATTTTACTGTTGGCCCGTGTACTTGTTGCGTCCTTCTTAAGATTAGCAGCAGTATTAGATTTAGATCTGCCCGATGACTTCTTCTGGATTCCTAACGAGAGCTTATCTATGTAGTCATCATCACTGTGAAGCACTTTTTCAGCCACAACCTCAACATCATCAAAGAATAGAGAGCCAGTGCCATCCAAGAACTTGCCGAATGGTTTCTTTATCTTGACTTGTTTCTTGAGAATTTTGAGCAGTAGGACAATGATGAGAATGAGTGGGAGTATTTTAACAATCGTCACCAGAATGATGATCTAAATGGACAAGTAATCAGTTATGAAGTTATTTGGTATTTATACGAATGCTGTTTGTTCCAGTTGAACCAGAAAAATTGGCCGAGAGTCGAGTTATATGCAAAAATTGGAAAATATTAATTACAACTCTCTTGGTTTTACAGTGCATAATATTGTGCTATTTGTATCATAAGATTCATCTAAATAGTGTGTGTATTGCACCAATGAGTCGTTCCACAAGGATTTTTGCATAATTTCCACCTTACATTTACATGCATGCCAACTTTAATACTGGTCTCTTACCGGGAAGAGGAGTGGGATTGCAACGGGAGACAGGAGAACTCCCAGCTTGAAGGCGATAAAAAATATGGCGATCATTTTCAGCTTTTTAAAAACGGCTGCAAATTTCAATGTCTTGAGAGTTTTGAGTCCCAACAAGCCGGCCAGACAGGAAAAGTCTTTGGACAGCTCATGGCTCGCGTGATGGCTTTCCTCCTCCTCCTCTGCGACATAATTACAACAAATAATTGAATACAGTTGCCACTTTATTCCTATGTGATTATGGGATTTTATAAATAATAATAAATATGCAGTAATAGAATGTCAACGGGTTTCAGTTGTCAGTGTCTTATCAACTTTAACAAACAGAGGAATATATAAGAGTTTTGCATAATCATCATTATGCATTTAGTTGTCGGGTTTATTTATTTATGTGACATATGCACAATGGGCTTATCTACCAATCATAAAGAAAAATTCTGTGACCAATATTCTTATTCTTACCCCAAAATGGAAATACGCTGCTCCACCCGACAGAAGGAGGAGGAGGATGATGTGATTTGGGTGGCATCGGCTTAAACTTCCAAGAATCGTAAAACTCGGGGGATCCAAAAGGATACCAATGTTTCAAGACTTCTTTCTCATAGTTGTACGAACTCCCAGAGTCCGAGGAGTCGAACGTCGAATCCCTCGAGTTCCCATGACCCGCAATTGAAGCGGGGGCAACCATGCTTACCCCGCTCTGCCCATTCGTACCACTCCCATAATAATTGTCGCCAACGTAGTCAGATCCCCAGCTCCACCCCCCATTTTGCAACGTGTTGTATTGTGGTTGACCGACATTGTTGGTGTTGGATGAGGAATAATCAGCGTAGGAATTCAAATAGCTCGAAATTTCTGGAATGGAAATTGTGCTCTTCCCCGTAGTTGAGCTTATCTGAGTGAGAGCCTTTTTCCAGAGGTAATCTTTGAGCTCTGGATATAGATCCAGCAGAGTAATGTTTGAGTAGGCGTTGTTATTGGCCTCAGCACTCGCAGAAGAAGGAACTGTGAGGAAGGATGAGACAACAGGTGCAGTTGCAACAAACATTGTGAGACTGCACCGAAGAACAAGCTGGGTTGACACAATTAGGCCCAACGATGACACAGATTTTGAAAAGAGGCAAAAATAAGCCCAAGTTCGGAGTATGAATGACATGATGCACTAAAGCCATTCACAATTTAGATACAAGATTCGCTGTCACTTCACTTTTTTTCAATTACGGCTAGACAAACAATACGAAATGTTTGAATAGAAAGAAATACGAAATGTGCGAAGTTTTATTTTCTTTCATCACGTTGACCAACCCATAAGTAATCCGGACACAATAAATCCGACTCCAACAATTGACAATTGGGATTGAATGAAATGAGTGCGCACGTAGAGTGTTCACAATAGGAATAAATCAAGAGTCAAATGAGAACAAGATCGGATAGATGCTACTTTTAAGCTGACACTGAAGCTGGTTCTCAGGACTTCTTCTCGTTTCTCCGATTTTCTTGTGGTAAAACTTTTGCTTTTACACCAATCGAAGCGAAACGGAGGTGGAAAGGAGAATTAATCTCTTTCGATTCAAGTACTTTAACACTTTTCCTTCTTAACCTATTAGCACCGTGTTGGTTGAATTTGCCAAGATTTTCCTACTTGCACATTGCACCCCTCGACTGATCTATTTGAATTGCAAATATAAATAGACATGCGAGAAACGTTGGGGAGAGGCTGGCGGTGACGAGGATGATCTGTTTACCGACTCTTGGGCAATACTGACCAACCACCATTGGCTTGAAGGGGCATAAGTAAGGACTTTTATAGGCACTATTTATATTTGGCAAATAATAGCGACGACACACGTTTTTACCATCCATCTTCATTCCCCTCTGGCTTCTAGGATCTGATTTTGAAGTTTATTCTCAATCTCGACAGGCTGGCCGCTGCTTAAGACGTGTGAATGCAGATATTTATTTATACGGTGAATAATCGAAGGAAGGAAGTCTGCATAGTTTAGTTGTTGAAATACTGCACACAGTGAATACCAACGCTGATGGACTAAAATGCTCATGTAAACCCATACGTGCAATAAAAAAGAAGGTGGTCCAAGTAAAAAAAATAAAATGAGGAGGTGAAGGGCGAAGCTCTAATTGCAATCTCAATGTTAATCAGTAATTCATCAGTATGCAAAAAAAAATATATTGAAATTGTTGAAAATGCCGATACCGCACTTTCCAACATTAAAAAATGTTTTCATGAATTAAACATTCGCAATAATACGACAATTTAGAATTCGTGGACATCTAAATAAACGGAGAGTCGGTCTGTAAATATAAATAGCAAAAGGAGATGATACACGGTTACGCTGTCAATTTTTTCTATAATAGCATATTTAATGTAAAGTCATGTTCACGCTCATCTTTATCAATGAGTATGTAGTTACTAATGAATGAATGGTTTAACTAACCCACAAACTCATCATCACTGAAATTCATTTTTTATTGATTGCGGAAGATTGTTGTCCGCCCAACGTCAACATTTGCTAAGGTTCTGATCAATACGTTGATTTGCATTGTTGTTTCTTAAGAGTATGTACGCAGTAGAAAAACAATTCAATTTGGTTTTAGCTCATGGATGACGAGAGTCGGTGGTTCTGAGGATTATAAATTATTGTCCAATATTATTAGGACTCATTTTCATTATTATTATCCCAATTGAATTTGACAGTGATCTGGATGCAGCGATCTGACCGGACGAGTGGTATCTGAAACAAAGAAGCGAAACCACAAGTGTAACTTGTAAATATGCACATGAACACAGAGGATGATTTAATATTGGTAGTGTTACTACTAATTATTGCTCTTTCCTGTGCCGCATCCCGTTGCTGGCTAGCTTGGCCCATGCAAAAAGCATTGCATGAGTGCATTATAGTAAAAAATTAAGGAATTGTAAATTATTGACAAGTGTGAAATTATGCGTAATTAAAATGTCATCACACAAAACAGCAACCACCTGCATTATTAATGCAAAAGACGTCCGCGATGTGCCAGACATGCTGGTCAATTGAAACGTAATTACTATGTATGTGGCCTTCCGTTGTGAACCAATAAGTTATCCATTTTTATTCGGAAGATTGTCGAGGAGCATGTCCATCAAAAACCTTAAATTATCAAATACCTTATACACCTTCACAGTTGCAGGTGATACATAAATACGTTGTGACTCGGGAGGACCTTTCTCAGTCGACTGAGCAAGTTTTATGGAAATTTTATAATTACTAATAACAAATTAGAGAACCAACACGGAGTTCTATTTTTGCCAAAGCCAAATGTACATATAAAAGAAAATGACGTAAATTGAACCGGAATATTTAATTAGTTGGTACGATTTCTGTTATGAATGAACTTCTAAATATTGCTTCTACTAGAAACTTGTTATGTGCACTTTGACATGAATCCACTCATCATCTAATTGATTGCAGAATGTTGGAAGCTTAGGAAAATATACTTTTCATGGTGAATTGACTCAATTTAAAGAAGCCGGATTTAATATTAAGGAGTATTACCACCCATGATGAAGTAAGCAAAGAACTGCAATTTAAATTCTGGGGGATCACTTACTCCGTTCGGGCATTGCATAAGAATTTTCTATGCAAGGGTCAGTCATGGATCCGTTAAATTAATTTGAGAAATTGTCCAAATTCCATGTTTCACACAAAAGAAGAATTGGAATTAAACTAAATTGGCAATTTCACATCCTTCAAATATACAATGGTTGGTACAAAATGCAAGTCGTGTATCGTGCGGTTGAGATTTAATACCAAATATGGGGTGAAAATTAAATAGCATGTTCTAGTTTTGTGCCCCAAGTGGAAAATTGATGCACTTTTTTTAAGTAATTCGCATAAAATTGTCATTTAATTTCTCTCGAGACCAAAAATAGACAAAAAAGGAATTGAATCAATCAATTTTAGAATTGATACTCGTAGATATTCGTTATTAATTAATAGTCAAAGAACCCACACAAATCTTGGTCTCTCGGACAATCATCAACTTCTAAATCGTATCTGAGCGTCTTCATAAAGAACGGAGGTTTATATTTCCGGGGCCGATTAGACTTCTTTATAAATTTCCGCTGTTCTACAGTTTCTGAGTCCGGATATAAATTAAATTTCTTTTTGCAAAGGACATCATGATGTTTGTAGTCTTCGTCCTCGAATCGCCTTCCACAAATAAGACATTGAACGTAGTTGCCAAATTTCAAGGGAGGTAATTTGTCGAAGAAGCATGTGGTGGTTTCTACGATAAAGGAACTCCCAGAGGCTGGAAGTGTACATGGTCGGAGTCCGTTTGGAGCTTTGCAATCACAGCATAATTTGACCACCTGTTTAGTTCATGCATGTTCCAAATTACTGATTTTGCATGTTTTATGCATATCACACATCATACTCCACTTGTCTCACCTTCTGTTTTTTGCCTTTATCTTCTGGACTGGAGTTAGACATGACTTTCGTACTATTTTCGCATACATTTGTCGCTGCATTTTCAATATTTTCATCTTTTGAGAAATAGAAGAATTTTCCTAATTTCTTTTTATCAATTATTATTTTTAGTTTTTCTGATGGGGATTGAACTTGGCTGCTACACATTCTTGCACGGCCAAGCGAGCCAAATTTGTTCTTGTCGTAGGCGACGCTCTTTGAAGTCGACATTATTACTGATACAAAGGGAGGAATTTATAATTACGATACAAAATTATTTCTTTTTGGGCCAAACAGAATTAGGGTACAAAAATATTTTAGATTGGAATAAATCGAAGTATTTACTTTTAAAAATTTTGTCATTCACGATTACTTGACTTTTAGTATCTAAGGGCTGTGTGGGGAATTGTGTCAATGGATTCAAGTTGGAATTAAAGCCAAGCAAAAATGTTTGTCATTATTCAGTGAAGTGATTCACTATGAGTCATCATATTCAGCATTCTTATTTTATGCCTTATATAACCAGTATTTCACCACATGAGTAATAAGGCCATAATTATTATTTACATATATACGTGCCTGTGTATACACACTATGTTTGGTATACAGCTAAGGGTTTGGATTGGATTTCAAATGTCGCATGTAAATAAATCATGCATACTTAATATACTTAAATTTATTTTAGGATACCCATATATTTCTAAAGTGATTGTCTATACATGCTAATCGGCAGTCATACATACATTTTCTCACCCTGAAAAGTAATCAAACATGAGGAAGAATAATTTTGGAGAACCTCGTGACAAAACGTAGAGACGAATATGTTACGATTTCCTAGTGATTCCACACTTTTCTTATCACTGACCTCCATGTACTGTCCTAAGTGTAATAAGTATACATCGAGTAACAACACACGAATGCGGAACTTTTAGGTTTCAAAGGTCGTACTTTCTTGAATATATGGCAAGCTATGACCAATTAGACCTTCTCAAACTTTACAAAAGTTTTAGTTCGAGTAAATATTACAATAACCCCAGTATGTCCTGTATTTCTGGTGACAATCAATATTTAGTCGGTTAATCATGTAATCAACTTTATCACTTAACAAATTGCGACTTTGACGAGAAAATGACGTAATCAGTGGAAATATCTGATGAAAATAAAATAAATATCTCCATAAAACTTAAAAAAATGGCAATTAAACAAAGTTTTTTGTCATTATGCAATTCTGTAATTTTTATGAAAATTAAAACCATAATCTTATCTATTAAAACGCGTATCATTCATCGATTAAGTAATTGGTTAGTTCATTTTGATTGAGCATGGAAATTATCATATGTAAGTATGCACATAAATATGTATGTATGAAGTGAGATAATACACACCACTTTATCACGTCCACATTTCCAATAAATCCAGGATGCATGGCTCTCCCAGGCTGGCTTGTAATAATAATAAGATGATGGCAAAAATTTGCACACAGATTTTATATTTGCCAATGTCAATACCAGTTTCGCCAGAAGGAGAGACCTTGAGCTTCCTTGTTTTGGCCGAATAAAATTAATCGAATGCTCAATAATGTTCTTGATCTTTTCAGTTTCTATTCCTGCTTTATACCGTTTCCCACGAGTCGCTGAAAGTCAGGGCTAATTTTTTGAGGCTGTATTAATAAGTGCATTTGCTCATTAAATTTGTTTAGTGCTCTGTAATACCGACGGTCAGAAATTGCTATTTATTTGACAAACATTCATAAGTCAAGTGTTGCAAGCTTATCCAACGTGAGATAACAAACAACTGCACAATAAAGAGAGGAAGATGGAGTTTAGCTGGACTCAGAAATTTGCCAGGAACTGCTAGAGAACGATATTTTAATTAAATGTTGTGATACGGTCTAGAGAACGTTATTTTTGCTTGGATAATTTAGTCATAAAACTGCCGAAATGAAACTAGGTCAGACACCCCAGTGCTCTGTTAACGACAATAACTGAAAGTCAGGGTTGATTTCTTCATATACTTTTTAAAAGTTTATGTTCAATTCATTATTAAACAACGAACCAACTTTGCAGAGATATAAGTGTCCTGTTTATACTAAAGTTATTAAACATACATAGTTTAGCAAATACTAACTGATGAACATGTATATTTTATAAATAACTGTAGAGATAAGCCAAATAGCCTGTTATCGCTGCAACAACAGTCACTCCGCGATAAAAGTTAGTGAGGTCTAGTCACAAATTTGCCTTGGGGAGCAGGAAAGGGTCGCATTTCCAGTGTCCACAATATGCTTTGTTAAAACTTTATATCATGAGTTCCACGCCGTGTGCAATACAATACTTACGAGCGAGTCATTCATACTTATAACATTTTGTAGTATTTAAAGGAGGTTCTCCAATATTCACGTTAAAAAGCTGAAACGATAAAAATTAAAACCAGACTACAAATGTTTGTTTATAAAACATGACAATGACAGTGTGTTTTGCTTCGTGTGGCAGTGGAGTTGTATTTGATTCACGGAAACACGCACTTAGCCTGTCCTGATTTATATTGATACGAAAACTGGACTATTTCGATAATTAAATACGCATTATTTATGTCTGCTCAAGTGTGTGACCCAGCTCGAAGCTCCAATTCTTGTTCCTATCTTTTGTTTGCAAAGCAATTTGTGCAAATTCAGGCCATGTTCGAGTAATAACCAGTGAATTTTCACCAGGGACGACTTCACAAGAAACCGTGATTTAGTATGCACTCACTTGAGTAGCAAATACTATAAGAGTTTTTAAAAGAATTGCGAAAGTGTTCAAATCGGGATATGAGCGAATCTTAATCAAGACAGGAAGACACAAATTTACGAAACATGGTCCCTCCAAAGTGCTGCATTTGCCTCTCATATTCAACTTCAGAAGGTTGAAAGCATATTTTTAATTAATTGACACATGATTTAATGTTAACTAAGTAATTAAATTGCTCTTAATAAATCAGATGGAGATTATTTTGTCACTACACAATCATGTGGACATCTTTTTCATTTTTCTTGTATAAAAGAGTGGCTGGATCGTTTAACTCCTCCAAGCCCAAAATTGTATGTACTTGTAAATGTCACAATCTGAATTTGCTTTAAATGGAATGGAATGTTGTGAATATTTGAATGTCAAAGGTGGTTCGATGTAGGTGTCCCGTCTGCCGGAGCACAGTTGAAGTCTCCAGCCTCGTCAAGTTGCATGGCATGTCGCCCGTTCTTGTAGCAGGACTTGAAGGAAATGAATTGTAAGCCTCGATTACCATTAATTACCACCTAAATTCGGTAGATCATCACGTGTATAAGAAAATACAAATATGTAAGTGGTTCATTGAATGTCTCAGGAAGTACAATATAAAAATAACGCTACTCGGAGATAGTGGAACTGGGAAAACATCCATGCTCAACTCTTTTACGGTATTAATGTGTACATATATACATCAAGAGTATACCGATCTAGAAATCTAGCTAAAATATAATTTAACTATGATGATAATTATAAATCTTATATTTTACTTATTCAGCACGGTACATATCAGGGTGCTGTCAGTGCAACACGTAAGTGCGTCTAATTATTAGAGTCCATTCCATTCCGCTTTATTTGTCTTACATCTGTATTCTTAAAGATAACCATCTGTGTCGTTTTCAGGAGGTGTGGATATGGTAAGCCCATAATCTTTTTCACAAAAACTACCCTGCCATCTGCAAGTAACAATCCTGGTAAAATTCTCTCATGCTAATCCTTTCACTAGGGTTTCAAAACACTGAACTTTGCCGGAAAGAAGATAAAATTGACAGTTGTAAGTGATTTTATAATAAATGACTTAAATGAGCTCTGCAAAATTCAATGTTAATCTGCATTAATCAATTTCAGTGGGACTGTGCAGGTACATATGAATGAAGTATAACTTTATATTGCTATTGATTTTAAAACCTGTTCGATTACATATTTTCTAGGACAAGACCGTTTTCGTGCCATTTGTCCATCTTACATCAGAAATTCTCATGGCGTAATTATCGTCTATGATATCACTGATCCCACAAGTTTTAAAAACGTGGACGAATGGCTCAACGTAGCGTACGAAAGTGCACTTCCCGAGGTATCCATTTTACTGGCAGGGAATAAGTGCGATTTGGAAGACCAGCGTAAGATATCCACTGAAGCTGGGCAGGTGAACACAAATTAAAATTTGTATGAAAAATAACTGTGAAATGTAAACTAATTGAATTTTGTGTTAATTCATAAAGATTGCAGCAAGAACTTCGGGATTTGAGTTTATGGAGACATCGGCAAAAGATGTTATCAATTTGGACGCCGCATTTCGAGCCCTTCTCGGCAAGATTGTTTCCACGCTGTGGGACGAAGGTTACATCGATTCGTTTGAGATTTACCCACCTACAATTAAATTGAGCAATGAGGCATCCACAATCGAGGAGCGACCCTCGAGATGTAGTAAATGTTGAGTTTCTCCCTCGAAATCAGGTTTTTAATTACTGACCAACTTTATCACCACAATATTGTGTCAAATCTTAAGAAATCCGCTAGACAAGGTACAATACGTAATTATAACAATTATACGCGTACTGACAAATTTTGATTGTAATATCAAATAATAAATAAGAATGCATATAGCACACCACAAGAATTCATTCACAAATATAACTTGAAATTACATAGTCAATGTCAAGAAGAGTGACCGATTTTCGACTCAAATGCGACTGCGAACAAAGTCGAAGTATTAACTAACTAACGGTTTGTCATGAATTATTGCTGTATTGTATTATTCAGTATATATATATTGACAGTCAGGATCAACTATACGCAAAAATTGCTAAAAACGTGATCACGGCGGAAACGAGCACCAATGACTTATTTGATGATGCTGGCAAGGAACTGCGGTTACAGAAATCGGACCCACAGAAACAGTGGGACGTTTCCGTTGTAAGGAGGGAGGGGCTGTGATGCTGCCGAGCACACCCCTCGTTGTAGAGATCAAAGCGCAACAAATTCGCCCAATTCCAATCCCCATTCTTATCCTGCACCATCGTCCGGTGGGATTGGTCCGCACATTTGTGGACGTAAATTGTGACATAGCCTGGAGAGCACACCTCAGATTAAGTTGAGAAAAATTGCAGAAAATTTGAAATTATTAGTACAATATTTTATACTCACTTCCGTTGTGAAGCTGGTAAAGTGCCGTTCTTTTCATACAAAATGTTGAATGGGTGCATTCCTTATGAAATTTCGATGACATGTCAAAGTACGCACAGGACAAATGTTTTTCGGTCGACTTTGGCCTTTCCAAACAGTGGAAGCATTTCAGGGACGAACCTAAATTTAAATGGGATAAACTGAGATTATTATTTATTACTTTAGGAACTCGTGTCGTTGAGCATTTTGTACAAACACGGGTCAATAAATAAGTAAGCACTTATTTAAACTGAATACTTGGCTTGAAGTAATTGTATTCAAATTCAATTGATCCGTGACTAATCTTGCCGTGCATCATAAATGATTTTATAAGAAAACGTCGAGATGTGCAAAGCAACGCTCGCTGTTTTCATGTTTGTGCTGAACGATGTCATGCTATGGGTTGTCCCACATAAAATTTGATTCATGATTCAGTAGAAGTGTTTTGTTCATCCCAATATTGATGGTAAACTCCTTCACGTCGTCTTTCCGCTCTAAATTGGAAACAGCGTAGCGTAGCGTTTTGTTTTATTGCAAACTATTGAAGGAGAAGAAGAGAGAAAGTGTGGGTGGATGAATTACGCTACACTCGTCAAGTGTTGGTGTTGAATGCACTTACGTATCTACGTGCCGAATAGCTTATAATTATTGTCTCATTTTCTGATTTTGCGAATTACAATTTAGAAATATTCCTATTGTTCAATTTAAGTGTGAAACGGCACAACAAATTAGGAAAAAATGATTTTTAAACTTGTAAAGTATGCATTTATGTACACAAGAGTTTTACGAAATATATGATTTCGCATTATTATAGCACATTTAATAATGTGTATGTATGCAATACTTGAAGAGATGTCTTGAAAAGTAGAACTTAACATAATTTGGCTAATTTTCAATGATTTTCTATTCTCGAAATGTCCATAATTTACTTATTGGCATCACCTCTTGTAGTAAAGGATGCAATTTATGAAAGTTGGTAATGTCACGCTTCATTGAGTGAAATATCGGAAAAGCTTGGAACACAGACTTTTTGAATATAGAAATAACTCTTCTTGGTCGCAGAGTTAATTGTTGTAAAATTGCACACTTTCTAATGCCAGCCAACATGAATTGCTTGAGGCTCAATTTTATTTTTGTTATAGTAAATGCGGAAACATGTTTTATTATTTTTTTAAAGTTACGCTCAACACGCGTTACAGAGTATGACAAGGGTTCTTATTTCAACATTTATTTTCGCAATTTTAAATAATATTTATATAACTGTCGATGTCACGTTATGTACATATTTAATTGCTAAAACTGACCTCGGATCAAGTTGACAAAGCTTGTTTGGAAAACTCTAATCTTTTATTAGTTTAAAATCTGGTTCAACAGTTTGATTTTTCAACGTTAAAACAAAGGAAGCACAAATGAATAAAGCATACATAAGATCGGATTAGATTGACATGCAACAACATGCAGTTTGTCAAGTACTTAACCTCAATACTTCAGCCATGCACAGGTTGTAATGAATTCACAGAGATCACGGTCTGGCCCAAAAACTTGTATTAGCTTACTTATGAGACCTGTTCTTGACTTTGTTGCATCTACCACTCTCTAGTTTGATGCCACACATTCCATAATATGATACTGCAACTTGCATGTAGACGACTGCATGTGTGGATTAAAGGACGACAAAAAAGGATAAAAATACTACAGATGTGCATATGTAAATATATATTTCAGCGTAATTTGCATGGTTTGCATTCTTGTTTTGCATTAACCTTCCGCTTTGTTAGCTCATCAGAATTCCACAATTATAGGAATTTGTGACGCCTACATATATTATGTATGACCCGTTTCAAGAAGAGTGACGCACTTGAGTGGAAACTAGTGAGTCTTGGCGAGACTCATAGAATTGGAATTTCTGTCAACAATAGGTGACTATTTAAATCTGTTTTTAGAATTAAAATATAATCCTCGGTTTAAAAAGAAATTCTCAAAGACAATAATAAACTCTAAACATATAAAAAAAACTTTTAGCTGCCTTGCTCAGGTGTTGTTTGACATACCAGAATAAATAAGACTGAACATCACAAGAAGTCCGACGTTCACTTTCCATAAGTGTGAGAAATATGAGATTTTTCCGATTTCCCCATTGTTAGCAAACCTCATCATAATTGAGTGGCTTAAAATGGTATATTTGGGTTACAACTATTGAACCCACAACAGGTCACTGCAAGTGACACATCCAGTTTTGTATTGTAACACTTCTCCATGAATTTAATAGCGGCTTGACACACTTTGCGTAGCAATGCTTTACATTTTTTCTTTAAATAACAATTAAAGATTCACAAATTTTCAAATAACTTTCAACTAATTTCAGGACACTGTACTAATTTTTTCAAATTACTGCACCAGTAAACACACTTTAACTGACTCTTGCCCACGAGTTTGGACCTCTGTTTCTTCAGAGTTGAGACTTTTTAGTGAGAAACGGCATAACCGTCTCGGCAAGAGTTCAATGTTGAATGTTATGCTAGTTGGATCAGCAAGTGCAAATTTTGCTATGGATGAAGACCCAAAGATTCACTCTCCTATTGCAAAGCGGTGCAAAAACTGCATCGTCGTCGTCCCTATTGAGCTCCTTGCCAATCCACTTGCACAAAGGGACAGGCCAACTGACTCTCTTTTACTTATTCCCTTTGAAATAATTCAACAATGGATTGGATTTTATTAATTTAGTAAATAAATGTATGCTGTGTTTTCTTGCTGGCAATGCTGCCCCATAAAAAACAAGGTTTAAAATTTAAAAGACATATGCACATACAGCAAAAAGTACGCAAGTAGCGTAAAAGTAGGTGAAAGAGATGGTAATCTAGAACGAGAGTGTGAGTGATGAGAATAAACATTGGTATCATTTTTATGCATTTGTCAGTTCCCATTACTCCGGCCGTTTACACATACACACTTCCTTCCATAATGAATGATGAGACAATAACAGCGTCCCACTGTCTTACACTACATTTTAATCCTCACAAAAAAATTGTAACACTGTCGATTCTCGTTTATGAACAGCAGAAAAAATCTCAGAAGCTCATCATGACATTTCATTACAACAAAGTATCCAGCAGATTTCAATCCATTATGCTATTTAATTCAGCCGAAAATGTAACATAAATATAGCAAGAGCAAATTCTATTGAAAAGGTTCAAGGACATTTGTACGTATCTGCCCCCACAAATCTTTAAGTATGATTTTAAAGTGACCACAACTTATTTTCCTCTAACTAATCGCATTCATGAGAATCATACTTAACTTACAGAATTTTGTAAAAATAGTGTGTTTTGCAGAAAATATCATCCGTTTTAAGGACAGATCATAAAAGTCAACCGAAATCAGGACGTTGAACGAATGTGCTACTTTCCTCGCTATCGTTTGCATTGCGGGTACATAACCTTCACATCGAACATGATCAACTTTTTTTCAAACAAGTCCACAGAGGCAAAATTTCATGTGTATTGCTTTTTAGCAAGCAATACAAATTACCAGAAAAAATCTAGCACTCATTATCGTATCAACAACGTCTTCGTCAAAATAAATAAAAATGAAATTCCCATTTTCAGCAAACATTTTGTACGCATTTGGGAAAACAACGCCCACTAAGGAATCATAAAATCAAACTCTTGATAACAATTTGGCACAATCTTGTCCAAATTACACCCATGACTTGAGCATATTTGTTCATTGTTGTAAATAATTCGTATCGTTGCACAAACACAAGAGAATAAGATTCTTGTATGCGACAATGACAAAGAGTGAGCAAAATGGCATCGTGAATGACAATTTTGCCGTCGAGGAGTAAAAGATACGGTTTCTTGATAACATTATATTACGAAATGTATCTTTGACTTCCTCTGCCATTAGAAACCCATGGTTCTGTACAATGTGTGTATATGAAAAGTGTCAAATGTCCCTGCTTAAATTTTGTACGCGTTTCAAAGCATGATTGATGTTATTTCAATCCAGTCTTTGTGTGAAACAAGTCAACCTATTCAAAGGCGAGTTAAAAAAACAAGGCGAGGACAATCGAGTCATCTGATATCCTGTTCCTTGCTGTTTCTTTTCGGACGAGTCGGAAGTGCACACTCGCTGACAACTGCCAAACCCTTTCTCGGCAGACAAAGAGAGGCATAAAAAAAGCGGATGAATTTTCAATTGAAGTCCAAATCTGTAAAAGAGGAGGGGGTGAGAAACCCAATGTGACAATTCGGACTTCTCAAGAGCCATATATGAGCGATCTTGTACGGATTGCTATTCCATGCTCAAGAGCGATGTACCTTCTTGGATTCAATTTCGCACACGTGAAAGGTACTTAAAATATTTTCATGAACAGCGAAATTAATACAAATGTGCTCATGATGATTAGGTTCCGTATTATAGACTTATATGGTCATTGAAATGACTAAGGTGTACCTCGTACTTATGTGATGATGCAGTGATGAGTACTTGTTTTTTAACCTTAAAATATTGCTTTGCCTTTGGCATTCGACTGGTGATGTGAAATAAAATAAAAAAAGTTCGTTGCTTCATCTATTTTATAAAGTCTTAAAATGGTTTAACTTTTGAACTTTTTTCCAAACGAGCATTCAAATCAATGACATTAGGAAACTATGAAAAGCATGCTTTTGCTTTTGGGACTGCTGTCTTATTAGCAAAATAATGAGCTGAAATTAAACCTTGGGGCAATAAAAAACTGATAGAATTTGTGCAAGTGCCAAGAATGACTGATGATTACGAACAGACATTTATATAAGTTGATAAATGTCTAGAAGGCGAGGATGTGATAAACTACAAAGTTTCCCCAAACCCAAACTTGACCTGTAGCCGAATAAGTAATTTCATTGGAGCAGAATTTCCTTTAGAATATAATTTGCAACGGAACAATAATAAGTTCCACTAGCTGCACAGAAGAAGCTAATACACCACTGAAACTACTTATGTATGGTTTTGTTGTAAGGAATTATTATAGCGGATCATTCTCAACGTGGTGCAGTAGCTCTGCAGTAATCCTGTGACTGCACTACTTGCGTACTCCAAAATAACGTTCCAACAACTGTAGCACGTTTTCCACGTACGATACAATTTGTGCTGAGTGAGTTGTTGATAGCCATTGCTACAGTTAAAAACAAAACATGAAATCTGAATGCTTGGATCTTTTGGCAAAGATGCTTTGCCACATTGAAGCAAATGTAGAACTATGTATACTTATTGTTAGATCCAGATGGTGATTTTGTTGGTTGGATAGTCCAGTTTTTGCATGAATGGAGGACGGAAGCATAGTATCTTGATAGTGAACCACGCGTGGGTTGCAGTTACTCCAAATTGCAGCGTTGCAAATTAGCAACGGGAAGATGAAAACCCAAATATCTAACAAAAGTTTCTATTCAAGCTTTAAGACTTATAATGGAAAAGCAACCCATGTTCAACTCAGATTTTTTTATGATCCATACAGTTTTATATTTGTAGATAAACTCTTCATAAACATTTGGTGCGACACTTGGGCCAACGAGTATGGACCAAATCAAACTGTGGTCACAAAAAAATCTGAGGTGAACATGATTTGTGCTCCTATTGTTTGCAACCTTTTGTGCAGAGTCGGATTACATAAATCAATTAGCCAATGCTTACATTTAACTTCTTTTCAGACATTTTTATTCCACTGATCGTCATAAATTGTAAATATTTCAAATCTTTATTAGCATACATTTAAAATATCTTGATAAACAATTGGCATATTTTCCTACGTTTTATAACACACAACTTCCGTATCCGTCTATTTTTCCATTGTATTTGTATGTAACGCTTGTTTCGAGTGGTATGCAAGTACGTTTACGTGCGCGAAGGTATAGCAATAGTGTTTTAAAATAAACTGAAAGTGTTTCCCGTTGGCTGAGTTTAACTTTGAAATATAAATTAACTTGATTATATTGTTTATAAAGCATAAAGTGCGAGTGATGGGGAAATGCAATTAATATTGTTGAGTGGCTGCTTTATCTAAACAAATAAATACAGCTCAAACCAGCACTGCAAAAACCATTTGGCATGCATGTGTACATTATTAATATGTTGGCATTATAGATGAATACATACAGCACACATCGGCTTTCCAAACATATTACTTGAAATGCAATTTTCATGCGAAAATGTATGTAAATGTGATTAGAACTAAAAAGCAAGTCGCTCCGGACGGGCTTGGATACAGTCCGATTAATTGGTTCATATGAAAATGCGGATAATAATGTTTCGCTTTGTGTACAAATCAAGCCAAGATTCTTCGGAGATGTCAACTAGTATATGCAACTCTATAGATGCCAGTAAATGATCAAAAGTTTATTGTAACTCTTCTCAATGTATTTATTTCCATAAAGGCGCAATTTTGAACAATCCAGAAATTAGAGTATTAAATTTCTACTCGTCCTTGGGTGGATCGCAGTTAAGTTCCAACTAGAAGGGAATAAATATAGCAATGAAATTAATAATTAGCTGAATTTTATGTTGGTGAAGTAATAGGAATTGAAAGGTTAAGTTCTTTTAAAGGAAGTCACACAGAGTTGGATTGTCAATGTCATTCAATCAATAATATAGGCCATCCAATAAATAATTAAACATATAAGTATCACATTAACTACGGGAATAAACGAAAACTTAGAAGTGCACGTGCGTAATGTGGGTGGGTGGGTTCATATAATAGGTCAGCCAAGAAATTGTCAAGCCATAAGCAGTGCGTAATGTGGGTGGACGGCAGTAATAATAGGTCACCCAAGAAATCGTCAAACCATAAGCGTAATCTGGTCACATTTACGAAGCATTAATCTCTGAAAATGGCAAAACATACCTTCCCCTCTTCCACCATCGTGCAGTACATAAATTTGGCTGTTACTTTGCACTCGTTGTCTTTGGTAATCTTGGTCTTTTCTGTAACGACGATATTGACATTAAACTTTAAGCTATTCAATTATGAAAACTATGAAATCACAAATAAAATAGTTTACCAGCATCATCCAAGCACTTGATGGTATAGTCGATCATCTTTTTCTGGACATCTGCGTCAAGAACGTGGTCCACGATATCTTTTTTGATGGCATCCCGATCGAATTTAGAATCAACCAACTAAATAATTACAGTGAATTGTTATTTTTTTAACATGCACAATTGCTGAAAATTAAAATCAACTTACGAATTTCATTTCAGTCATGAAACATTTTGCGAAACACTGAAAAATGACCGTCAAAATATCATGAGACAACTTGCTGACATGTGCATAGTAGAGGAGTAGGATTTATTTAATTCTATAACAATGTGTACTTACCTTATCATCATAGCTCTTGGTGAAGTCGCTCTCATTTTGGGGCAAGTCGTTCTGTGAAATTTTTAAAGTCTTTGTGCACATGTCCGAAACTTTAATGTGAGTGTCATCCTGTTTGAACTTCTTGGAGCAGTCGTCCGCTGTGACGACCGCGAAGACGGCAAAGGCGAGAACGACAACTGATTTAGCGTACATTTTAATTTAATTCTAGGCTTTCGAACTTCGAAATTGTTACCTATGTAATTAATTTGTGGGCAGTTTGAGAGAGGAATGCATCTCCAGCCGCAACTCTGCACGTATTTATAGGAGCATATAACTCCAGTGTTAATTAGAATGCAAATTAAAGCTCGTATGTAAATCCTAGTGTGCAATTAACAATTAGTGGTCTAGCATTAGTCAGACCGAGATGTTAACAAGGTGACGTGGGTCAATGTTAATTATTCCTCTTAAAATATAATTACGTCCAAGGCTACATATACCACGGCAGATATTGGTATGCATAAGAATGTGTATGCATGTCGGTTCGAGAAAGAGAGAGGTGAATCATTCCAGTGACAAATGTGTCGCAGGTGAAATGGGGTAGAAACTAGGTACAAATTAGTTATTGGGTAATGTTAACAAGTATTTACCACGAAGTCATATTAACACTCATTCCCATTCATTCCCATATTACAGACGAAGTAGTTACGAAGAATCAGCCAGCTTGGCTTTTTCCGTCTCAAACAAAATACTAGAACTGATCCTGAGATGTTTTTAATATATTTACGTATTAGTTGGATAGTAGTACAGTGCTTGTTTATGTAGATAAAATCTTGGTAATTGTGTGACACGTTGCATTATGGTTTTAATTTCCTATTTATTGTTCTTGGGAGTCATGTGCATGTTTTTAAAACTAGAAATGTCCTGCCATTCTAATGCATAATTACTTCATTAGCATATAATCAATCTTCCAAATTGACATTTTGTCCAACTCCAGATAACAAATAATATCATTGGTTATCTTTGCATAAGCCACAAAACTCCCCCATCTGACTGGCAATAAAATTAATACTCACTCCACGCTTGATACGACTACACGTTCAACATTCACAGAAAGAAACTAACAAATTGTTGTAAATACTCCGCAAATATGTAAAGACGATCAACGACACATGCTGTACAAGAAATACCGTATTCGTAAATCGCTTTATGGGTTTCATTTGCGTGCAGCTAAAAAAAGCTCGTTTGAGTTCACCTTTCACCTTTCCCATGTAGTTCTTCAAATATGTAAGTAGCATGAATTCCCTTACGTAATACTGTGCCATACGTAAGTAAACATTGGTGACCTATGTCAATCATGCCTCTCATATTATACTCACAATGCGGTGGTCCCCTTTTAATTTGCATGCAAATTGCAAACCAATCATATTAAATCCCGAGCTCATTGTGGTTCCAAGGATTTTGTTTTATGAGCGAGTGAGTTATTTTATTGACATCCCGTCCCACGCGGATTTGATATATGCACAGGGTGGCATTTGGAGGTATCCGAGCACTTGATATACACCGATATATGCACATATTATCATTTGGTGGACGTGTGTTGTGGACCGAATTTTGTGGCTACGTGCACGAGAACAAAGCAAATGTTGAGATGCATCACCTAGCCCACAAAGCCAAGTGCAGTTAGCTAGCCACACTCTCCTTTTTCCAACTAATCTGCAATCCTGAGTCATTGAGCAACTGCATTGGGATTTTTGCAAGGGTTTTCTTTAAACGAGATTTGAGACTCGATTGTCAATAAATAGCACTCTGCTCATCGTTCGCCTCGGTCTACTTTTCTACTAGATAGCTTAAAATTGCTTATTAGCACTTTAGTCATAATCAAGCTTCTTCCTTTGGCTGGAATTAACGAATTCCCATCCGGACGAAATATAGTAAAGTTGATCACTCTGATGCTCATCTCAAATCATAATCACATGACAGTTTAGTTTAGTAGCAGAAACTTGACAATTTAAGCAATAAGCTGAAACTTCCAACTTCTTACGTGGTTTATTGTGGCTTAATTAATTATAATACCAAAACAAACGGATTTCCTATTACAAATTCAATAATTTAATAATACTCGCGATGAATAACGACGAGGATGGAGGTCCTCGACAACCCATCCACGACGGCGAATTTGACGTTTGGACGAAATATTCATTTATCAAGGGACAAGTTCCCAAGTTTCATTGCAATGACCCTGTAGGCCTTAGATTGATTGAAGAACAGGTGCGTACATTATTCATAGCTGTATAAACCAGAGTTATACATTTTTTGGTGTTATTTTCCTGCTTTCAGAATCCTGTTATCCTTACTGGCTCAGACTTGGTGGCCACCGCATTTAAATGGGATTTGTCGTACTTGACGGAACACATTGGTCAAGGTCCTTTTGCAGGTTTATAATTTTATTAGTTGTACCCATCATATATACATAGGCGGCTAATTATTGAAGTATTATTTGCGTGTTTGACAGTATTTTGTCACGGAGTCTCTACTAGTAATGATGCACTCTCGGCAAGTCCCTCCGCCTCGACCACCGTACAAAGTTGTTCATGTCCACAAAATAATCGAAATAATCATAAGGATAATCACAACCACAATGGAAATGGTCAAGGGAGTAGTAAAATTAAGTGCGAGGGGGATGACAGTCTCAATAAGAAAAAAAAGGTCAAAATGGAGTCGACCAGCATTAATATTTTTAAATACTTTGATGATAAAAAGCTGCAAGCGTTACAAGACAAGAGTACCTTTCAACAAGATATTGTACGAACAGAAATGTCGTTTGAAGATTTCCTCAACAAGTTCAAAGGAGACAGGTAAATAATAAAATACATACTTCTTTGCAATTTGGACGTACAAATACAATTCTATTTAACTTTTGGAATATTGATCGTTCACATCGGCATCAGAGGACATTTCAACTTGAAATGTTTATTATTGCTGCAAAAGCTTTCGATATTCATTCAGAATTTCTTCATGCGCATTGATAAACTAAAATGCATGTCACGTTTTTGAATATTGGTATTTGACAGATCGAAAGAGAGGGTTTATCTCCAGCAACCGCTCAATAATACTGTGGGCAGACAGATAGCTGCTGACTTTGTTGGTTAGTTCATTCTTGAACCCCATTATGTTTTTAATCTGACTTCTAAACCGGTGTGAACATTATTTTGTAGGATTTAATTGGCCCTGGGCAATGGAAAAGCAGAAAGAATGGGGATGGGGCCCTTTAACATCTAATTTGCTGCTTATCGGGCAAAAAGTAATTTACTATTTTATTGTACTAAATACTAACTTCAGATTCATCTGAATAGTACATTTACCTACAATTTACTGATATTCATTGTTAACTTACAGGGAAATATCACGTAAGCATACCATTTATGAAAGAAATTTATTTCGGAGTATGGACATGATTTGTGAAATGTTGCCAGTCAAATTTTAACTAATGGTGTAACATTGCTACATCTTCACAGGCCTTGCCATTATGATGAGCAACAAAATCTTTTCTGTCAGCTTCAAGGTTTTTTGAAATAATTTAATTTTTCTAAGTACTCTAATCTGGCACCTTTTGTGTTAATGTGAATGATGTTTTACTCGAAAAAAAGGGTCCAAAAGATTTCTTCTTTTTTCACCGGCCAATTTTCGGTGTCTATATCCTTACCCGGTACATCACCCCCATGACAGGCAGTCTCAGGTTATTAGTTAAAAACATTAAATTCTGTTAATACAACAGACTAATAATACAAGCTACTTATATTAAAACTGTACTTTATTAGGTGGATTTGGACAATCCAGACTTTGACCGATTTCCTAACTTTCGCCAAGTGGAGAGTCTAGAAGCTATAGTCAATCCGGGAGACATTTTATATATCCCAATGTATTGGTGGCATCATGTAATTAATTCTGAAGATACCATTGCAATTAACTTTTGGCACAAGGTAATTTTATCTGACCTTCAATTAATTACTTGAAGATTTTGTTAAAAATATAAAGTTATTTCAGGCTGGTCCGAATACACAAATTGAATACCCATTAAAATCTAGACAGAAAGTGGGTAAGGTGCTAAATATTTTATGAAAGTCCCTATTATAAAATATATCAAATTTCCTGTATGCCATTACAATTTCCAGAACATAATATCTATGTATATATTTTGCAGCTATGATTCGAAACGTGGAGAAAATGTTGTTAGAAGCACTTCAAGATCAGGACGAGCTAGCCAACGTTCTTCATTGCATGGTTGATGGACGATTCTAGTCTTAAATACATTGACATGAAAAGCGATATTATATTCCCACTTTCTCATCATAATTAATATACCGATTGATAACGTACTTCTTACAAATTGTTTTTCTATTAATTTATTTCTGAAGTTGCAAAGAATACTTATGGCAATTTGCAAACTGCACCATCAATTTTTGTTGTAGGACCAATTCAACGATTTGTTTTGTGATTTTCTGTTATACTCTGGCTTCTGTTACTTTATTTTATAAAATACATGCGTCATAACTTGACAGGCGAAAACATGGACTGAATAAACACGAAGTGCAAGGCAATAATAATGATAATATGTTGTTTATTTATTTATATACAGTTTATTTGAGTTTAGTTCATTGAAGATGGACTATACTAAAATTGAACAAGATATGTACTGTGCGGGTGGAGCTTAGCTCGTGAAAAACCCAGTGTTGCGCCTCACTTAACAGGAGAACTGAGGCGCAAAACTGGGTTTTCACGAGCTAAGCTCCATCCGCACAGTACATACCTTGTTTGATTTTAGTATAGCTGTACCACACTATTGGGTATTATCTCAACCCATGTACTATTACCGAGGTTTCAGCTCGTTTAAGTATTTACTAACAATTTATCTTCTAAAACCTATTCTAATTAGTACCTTTTACGCCTTCGCCAAAGATTGGATGGCTATTGCTACTTCTTCCGCACTTTTGTTCGTTACGACCAAGCTATTTTCTTTACCAAATGCTGAAAAGTAAGAACGAATCATTTTTATTTCATCGAGCGCTATATTTATAGTTAGTTTACCATATCTAGCATAAATTTTGGGGGTCACGTTTGAGCACTCCCGTATCAAAATTGGGAAGCCAGGGTTTGATTTCTTCAAAGGAACATATTGCTTTTCGACCCAGTCTCTAAAATAGTAGGAAATTGTTAAAAAAACGTAACATTTATTTCATATTTGAATTTCAAATTTTGAAGACTTGGAACCCCGGCCTTAATGAATGTGCAAAATCGTTTAAAGTAATGTACCTGACACCCTTGGATGCTGGAGACTTTTGACACAGATGAATTCTCAACTCACGGATCGCTGGTCCGAATTTGGAAGCCATTTTATTAAAATATTATAATTTGTAAACTGAACTAGACGGAATTATTTTGACAATTTTTGGACAACGAACTAAATCCACTGTTCCAGCCTCTGATCTCGTGTGGACGGAGCATGGTAAGAATTTGGAGCGGGAGAGTTTGTTTATTTACAATTTAGGTCAGAGAGCAACTACCTTCAAAGAAATTGCACAATCAATTAGTTTAAATTAAACTAGTTTGCTGCTAAATATTCTACTGTTCATTGAATTATCAATTGTTATCTCTTTAGAGCGTCTTCAAGACTGGAACTGCAAGATAATCTTCAGCGTTAATCTTCAAAAGAGGATACGTCTGGACATGACCTAATAAGTGACTTTGCACTTTATTATCGAAAATTCGGAATATTTCGGAAATAAAGTCGGATTCGGATCTTAAATCTGTTGTATATATAATGATACAATAGGTGTTAACATTTGTGCAAACAAATCACTGAAAGTGAAAGCGACGACTATTACTTGTGAGCAAAAGTATAAACACTAGGTATGTATTATTTCTTAATTATTGCAGAAATTTATTTGTATATAGCTAATAGCAGCGTGATTTTCTTGCATTACAGTCATTAAAAAAGTTTGAAAAAGAGTGGACATGGCGAAATACGTTCAATACACACCGGAAGTGTTTGCTACTCAGGACGGAGGTGTTCATGTATGGTATTTCCCCTCATCATTTTCGCAATCTCAATTAGGAGACAGAGTAATCGGTAATTGTCTTAATTATAGAAGAAAACTGTGCTAGATCAACTGGTCATGGATAATAACTATTTTATTTATTTGGGCTTCTTTCTTAGGATCAAATGCATGCACTCTAATCGCGGTCCTTGTGGCTGGAAGATTGGATGAATTTAACATACCAATCTGGGGCTATTATGATCAGCCTATCTCGCGAATGCTCGTCACCTCGATTGCAGAAGCTATCGTAGAAGGGAATGAAATTCATGAATCGTTAATGCTTCGTGGAGAATTATACGACATGGATTTGACCGTTCCTGAAGCTCTCAATGCAGTTCGTTTCAAGTATCCCAGACTCACAGAGTGGTTGGATGTAAGAAAATTAACAAATAATTCGATCCATTGGATGCAGAGTATTAATATATTATTTGGCATATTCATAACTCAAGTTTTATTTCTTTAGAAAACGACGTTGGTGATGGAACCTATGGAAGAGTCGTTAGCTGAGAATATGCAACGTTGCATAACCGAATTTGAGTTGACTCCTCCTCCTCTGAAGAAGGACAACAGTGATCTCTATATCATTCTAGTGGCGGGTGGACGTTCTGTCTTGTTTTGTTATCAGTCACGAACATCAAAGGTTAGGGTCATCCAAAACTACCAAAAGTACTCAATATAAGAACTGTCTTCTAAAATGATGTTTTTAAACAAAATTGTAGGTTACCCTCGTGGATTCGCATGCACACGTACAGCTTGATGCTGGCATTGTGGTATCCCAATCAAGAATAAGTGAGTTGGACCAACTTTGTCAGTGGTATACTGCGATGTGCACGCAATGTTTTACGAATTGGATCGGGAACAATTCGCCGTATGAGCTGGCATTCTTGTACCAGAGGACATGACTAGATAACATTATATCACATTTAATCGTTTCAATCCTGGTGTATTTGAGTCATAACACTTACCTTTTAACTGCTATAAAGCTTTAATTGACGTAACCAAGAATCTTACTAGTTATAATATATGTTAAAAAAGGTCATATTGACATAGAATTTAGTACCAACATAAATCGCTTTGTAATAGTTGCACCCTCGCATATGCCCACAGCTCGTTATTACATCAATTATATGTAAGCACTTAAGCATTTTGATTTTATAATTTCAACATATAACCATTCTGTGATGTTTGTTTCAAATCCTAGTTTATATGCATATTTACCCTAATAAAGTAATGATGAACTGTTACATCGGAAAATCAAAGTTATGCTCTCATTTCTGGTTAACTTTATACTGCTAAGCATACCGAATTATATCTTCCGTTCTCCATTAAAAAGGAGTGAGCATACTTATACTTTCTTGAACTGATTTGAAGGTTTTTGATCCTTCTTCGATTTAAGAGTGATTCGTGCATACAAAGTTTATGAGATAGTATTGACACTGCAACGTATAATAATTCTCTTTTTGCATATTTTAATATGTAGCAGGGGGAAATGTCAAAAAGAGAATTATGTATGTATTACGAAGTGTCATTTTGAGATCAATCCTGTATTTACTCTCGATTCCGCCTGAATAATCAACATAGCAAAAAGAAATGCGCACTTTCACCAGAAATACATCGTCAGTTAGTTACTGCATGTCATCCTGGGACGAGTCATTGATAAACAGGGTCTCAGCAGAGCAACAGTGCTCGTATGAATGACGAAAGATGAAACCACGAACCACCCACACACCAAACCCTTCTCATCATCCTCCTCCTCTCTCGGCTACTCTCTCCTAGAAAGTAAACTGAATGACCAAAAAATATCCAAATTGTATCCACCGAAAACCTTTCTCTTACCTATCGAATCATACTTTTTTTATCCAGAACATCAAAGATATACAATTTCCATGTCTCAAACACCCCTCCACTTTCCAAAGCAAATTGAACATCACGAATTTGTCACTGTATAAACAGTTCTGATAATGTCTATTGTTCTTCCAACATGAAGTCATGCATAGGGAGGAGTCTCACTCAACCCATAAATATATTTATTACGATTTGCACAGCAAAAGAGCCTTTATTCCAATTTTCTGTGGCGTACAAAGGCTACAAAACCGAGGCTGAGCAAGGCGCATTTCATCCCTTGCTTCCTCACCACCCACCACAAGCATCACTGAAGATCATACCTCCTGGGTCGGAGAAAGCAGCACCAGGCAGCAGGGCAGGAAGGAGAAAGTGGCGAGTGAAAGCACCAGCGAGTAAAAACAAGGCACACGAGCCCCTCACTTCTCTTCTGTGTAGTCTCTCCATCATCAATTCAATTCTCTGTCCGAGTGGGCGAGCTGGTGGAGAGAGGTTTGTAAAGTCAAAGCTCACTCAAAATCGAGATAATCCAGTTGAGCTGAGACAGTAGGCGAGCAGGAGCATCAGTCGTCTCGTTGGGAAAAGTGAGACAGCGGAGAAAGCAACAGTTACTTTAACAGCCTTGCACTCCGTATCCAACCAACTTTCTCCACTTCCAGTTTTATTCCACTCCGACCTCTAAATAAGTCAACATAATCCACTCGAAGAGATCGGGTCCTATTTTTTGACCAGCAAGGAAATAGCAGGAAAAATAAGACAAAGTTTCAACTTTTCGAACCGCTTAGCCGCAGCAGTCAGTATAAATAAACACGGAGGACAAAACACTGACAATCGGGTCATTTAATTTGACTTTCACACACAACTTCCATTGTCTGCACACACGAGAGATTGGCGAGGAACGCAAGCTGCAAAAGTCGCATTTTCGTGTCTCTGTCTCATCTTCACTTTCTTGTTCGTAGAATTCGATACTTACTTCCCATCTCCCTTCCCAATTCTAGACCGAGATATACACAAATATCGCTCTGATTGCCAGACCATCATCCCCAAAGAAGAAAACTTTGATCTCTCTAATCTCAACGCTGAGGAATTCTTAATTTCCCACAATTCCCAAGTCGAAAACTCTTCATTTCTTGTAAAATGCGGAATAAAAACCAAAAGATGATGATCTTGGCTGACTTTCTTCTCCCCTTTCTCTGCTGTTGGACATTGCTACCCAGTTCCTGTGATAGCCTCCCAATCCAATCTCAGTCAGCTCCTTCCATCTCATTCAACACTCATCAGTGGCAATCTTTGGTGAGGGATGCCATCAAATTTCTCCAGAAACACCAGCAACAGCAACAAGCAGACGCTGCTGGGGAGCATAAATCAAAAACCAGGTGAATAAATTTTCTCATTATGATGATTAAGTATACTATTACTGGTTGCACTCGGTTCATTGGCTGAGGTTACGACCTCGATGTGTAGGTGCATGAAATGCATTCAACCGATGTGACCTAGTTTGTCGAAAGTTATACATTATCGCGAAATAAAGGCATGCCGAAAATGAGAAAATGAACGAATGTTGAAAACTTAAAATATTAGACTTCACATCGTTTGTTTTTGACGTTAAAGAAATTTTCATGAATCTTACTCTCGAGTTTTTCAAAACCCGATAACCAGCAAGCGGTTATTATTAATCACCTTACAATCACGTCCCTTCCGCGTAAAACTACGTTTTCTAAGAATATGTACGCATGGCATGAATAATAAATGACGTGGGTGATCAGAAAGCTTTTCATTGAAACATAATAAAATTGACGGCATTGAACAATTTTGGCTTCATACTATTAAAATGTTTCGCGTATACATTACGCATAGTATGAGCGACAACCAGATTCTTAGTACGCTGGTTGATTGTTATCCCCTTTCACCCATTTATAAGAATGAATGGTGAAAAATCAATGGTTTCCATCCTCCATCTCCTTTACATATATGCATGTGACTGGCTCCGATAGTTTGCAATTGTAGTTCTTGTAATTGAAATTCCTTGGAGGTTTTCAATTTAGTTGTGGGTTTGCAACTACCGATAAGAATGGATGGTATCTGTAAAATCATAAAATGGGTCACCTAATTTTTTCTAATATAAACATTTTATATTTAGTCAAAAACGTGTTTTTAACTCGCACAAACAATTATCTGCTACGGGAGAGTCAAATGTCGAGAAAATACTTACTTGGACTGAATGTATTTATTTTTCGGACTTTTAATTAAGAAAAATGACGATCGAAGTTTACGAATTATTGATGAGTAAAAAAGTTAAGACAACGTTTGTTTTCTGTGTAAACCAATACACGTACACGACTAACTTGACCTACCAGCATGAGCATAAGTCCTTACCCTAAGACACACGTGTATTTATGTAAGTAATGCATGCAGAATAATTGACTTTCGACTCTCCAAGCTAGAAGACCAAAAGTGAAACCGATATTGTCCATGCACATACGTAAACGACTTAACTCTTTCCATGACCTTCTTGTGAATCAATTACTCTGCGTAAAATGAAACGCCAACGTCATTTAATTGAATCCCAAAATATAACATTCAAATAATTTATTTTAGACAAAATATAAAATGGAGAAATTAATTAATTAAGCGAAATAGTAATAGTAATCGAAGGTCTACCTCGAACTGAGCGTGTACTCAAAAACTTATACCTATTTACAATTTATTCACTATAAATTAGTTATTATTTGCTTTTAAAACCTGAGTTTGATATACCTTAAAACGTATCATATTAATATAAGCAGGACAGGAAAGAGGAGGATGAAGTTTCGTCCCAAAATATAATTATAGATTTAAAACGATGAGCCTCCTACACAAATTGGTACATGTCGCCAGAATTTTATATTCTCCATCGACACTAAAAAGTGTTTTTCATTGCTCGCATAAAGTGCTCCCTATACGTCGCTATTAGTGAAGCTACATGGATCAAATTTGATTCCAGTAATACATCACTCCGCTCATTTTACCCCCTTTTTGACGATGGAACCATCAGGTCGGGAAGGTCGATCTGCGTGGGTTGGTGTTGAGCCATCTTTTTTCGCGTGCGACGTGACGTTGAAAATCATAATCATATTAATTACATATGATATGATGCTTATCGGACCGATTTTCACGGATATAGAAAAGTCCCATCATGCTTCTCACTATAAATCTCGGCAGCGTCGCAAAGTCGGAATGCGTCACTTGTAGCATTTGGTAGAGTGGAATTGTGTAACGGTGACGCGCTGTTTTGACATTATAAAACGAAGATATTATGTCGCAGGTTGCGAATTTTTAGAACTTTTGTACTCCTGGACGAGTGTAATGAAAGGAATATAATCGAATTGTCGTCAGCTCTTATTGGGAACTTCAATGCAAGAGTGTAAAAATATTGGTTGATAGATGGATACGATGGCTGATTACATGATTAAGTGACTACATCAATATTATTGCTCCCAGTATAGAATGACGTTACACTATCCCACGTTAGGCTGGAATAATTGGATTGGAAATTATGGAATTAGAGAAATAGATATGCGCATATCTCCGATGACCCTGCTTATTACTTGGGCGAGGGTGGGCTGTTTGCACGAGATTAAAGTAAATCCAGAAATTGGTACTTTGTTTGCCAAAGTTATGAGAACCCGACCGATTCAGTTGGTTGGTTGGCTCCCAATGTGTCAATGTCAAGTGATTGCAAATTATCAAGTTCACCTACGTACAAAAAACTAGCGTATGCACGTCGGACATGTTGTAACCTCTTTTGGTCTACCCTGGGAGGACGGCATAACTTATTCTGATGAGTTCCAGTAATCCGCAAATCGAACTGATACAAAGCTAACTACTCTAAATAATGAAAATTATGGTTTGCGTAGAATTTGGATACCAGACGATATGTACATAATGTATGCATGTACGTGGGTTATTGCTCAAGGAGGCATTAACTACCACCACTGTCACTAATTATCAGAAGCTGGTGGATATAAGTTTACATTTCTAAAGTTAATTAAATTGTCACCTATTGAGTTGGTATATGGTAAATTAAATTTTAAAATTCTATAACCAGAAAATGCAGATAGAACCAAATGCGGTATTAATTAATCCGTGTTGTGCTTTCTCCTCATAATCTAAAATTCACTAAAAAAAATCCTTTTTAGCCCGAACCAGGGCTTATGTAATTGTCATGTCCGTCTGTCTGTCTGTCTGTCCGTCTGTCTTTCGATAACTCTCGAACGAGTTGACCGATTGACTTGAAATTTTTACCATATGCATATTGGACAAAGTTAGGAAACGAGTTCGAAGATGGGTGACATTGGTCCAGTGGTTGACCCGTGGGGGTCATCGGAGTGGGTGGGGTATTATGCACCAAAATTTCAAAATCGTCATAGAAAGCTCAAATTTGGTACAAAGGTTGCTAATGGCTCCTAATGAAAGAATATGAAGTGAAATTGGAAAATTTGTCAACCGGAGGTACCCGAGGGGGTGACCCATACCGATTTTTCAAAATCATCCAATCGAGCTGAAATTTGGTATAGAGGCTGCTAATGGCCCGTAATGGAAGAATATGAAGTGAAATTGGTAAAATTTTCATCCAGAGGGACCCTATGGGGTGACCCCCACCGATTTTCAGAAATTAACATAGAAAGCTGAAATTTGGACACGAAATAACATGAAGTTAAATATGAACAAAAATTAACCAGGGGGGCTATAGAGACGACCTCCACTAGGAAGTAGTCAAAGGAAGGGATAGTAGATATTTTTAGAATTTGGAGCCTAGTAATACGGAGGATTGATGGAAGAATTAGTGCAAAATAGTAGCACAAAATTTCATAGAAAACTACTGACAAACATGGGTTTACTAATCATTCCTGGTTCGGGCTAAGCAAAGCTGTACTGATAGGTTTTTTATATTGAAACAATGAAATCGAGTTAATATGTACATATACCAAATTTTACACATACATATCTACTTTGTTACGTATCTGCTAATTCGTGAAATCATTCTAGAATTTAGACACCCACGTATTTTCCGTATCCACACGTGAGAATGATTTACGGCTATTTACTCGATCTCTTGATTACGTACATCGTCATCCCGAGAGTGGACTCAAAATCCATTGCTCCGTCAGACAAAGATTCTTGGTATTCGACCTGAGCTTCACACGTTTGCAGAATTCCAATCACCAGAAGAAAAGGCAAAAAAGACAACAAGAAGTGAGGAAAGAAAAGGGCAAGCGTTCTCTTTGCGAATTGGTAGTGACGACTATTGCTCCGTGCTTTGGTATCTGCTTTGTTCGTCTCGCCCTTGCCTCACTCACCCTGTCCATTCGAGATTCATCAAAACGACCGTGTAATCTCACCAGCTTTTGGAGAAGAGGAGATTGAAACTCGAGACACTTCTCCCCTGACTTTGGCTACATTACGTATGAACCATTTGAGATGTGGGTGAAGACGGCGTGATCTCAAGTGGGATGAAGATTATCGGGTCCACTTCATCTCATTGTTGGGAGTTCTCATTAGTAGTAGCCCGAGTCCTTTTTTGAGTTGCATCTTGAATATGGAATTCCTGAGCGTGGGTTTGTTTGTGCATGATATCTCACATTTTCCTTCCCACTTGCTGCCGATGAATGGGAGAATCTTGTGTGAAAGCATTGCTATCCAAAAATCATTCTCACGTACGCACTTTCACCACCCAATTCGTGTTGATGACGCGATCGACGTGGTACGGATGCTGCGGATAATGGCACGGAATCACTGCTATCTCAGCCAAATCTTATTTACGTAATTCGTTATCCTTGTTCAAACAGAGAGAGCAACAATCCCACTTTATATTGCGCAAACCAATATGTTTAGCAGCACAAGTCGAGCCCTATGTGATTGCTGCAAAAGGGATGGATGACGATGATCCACTTTTTCGTTCGAAACCTCAACAGAATGTTTCAGTATTTTGAGTCACTAAATATGAATACTTATAGCAGCACGGTGAAGGTGACAAACCTTGTTCAGAATTTCGTACCCAGGTATTTTTTTGGCTCGCAAATTTCCAAATATAACTTCTCTTTCTTATGCTATATAGTTTATGTGTTCCAGACATTAAAATTACTAAATTTACCCCAATTCATCCCTGAGAAATTAAAATGAATACGAGTTTAAAAGTACCAGAATCAACTGGGTTCATCAGGAACTATTGATTACGTATCTATCTATATACGATGCAATCCCAAATATTTACCAGTAATATTTAATGGGATATGTAGATTATATAGTACAATCTGCGGGATGTACGCTGAAAATGTGAGTCAGACGGCTTCAAGGTGAACGGGTGAAAGTTTGACTAATATTTTGCTACATGTTAAATTGTAGAAGCAGAAGGTGATACTAATATCTAAATTTACCCCTCTTGTTCTGTCGAATTTCCGGCTTCTTGCTTTCTGATTATGCTCTGTTGTGCTGTGGCTGTGAAAGCAACACATTATTATTGTTATCCGCCCAAGCAGTTTGGTTGAATCCTGGATTACAAATTTAGGTCGGCGGATTGGAAAGTCATATGTCAGCCACAGTCGGGAGAAATAAATCGGGTTTTACTGATGAAATAGAGTTGTTCCATCCAGTTCATGCAATACCAGCCTCGAGCAGTTTGAAGCTCGTATCTCAACTTAATCAGGAGTGAATGATCTTTCAAAGGTTAAATTTATAGGTTTCATTGCATGCAATTCAAACTTGATTTACCTCTTATTTTAAGTTTCAAGCGGTCTGTGGTTTAGTAGTGAGTCACAGTAGGACCGAGAAATTTAATTCTGGAGCATCCTACCTAACCTAAACCCCACCGGAAGACGGTGGAAAGTCCTTAAGGCCTCAGTAACCGTAGTGCCACTTCAATACAATAATTTCAAGGAAGATATGTGCATCGTCAAATAAATAGTACTTTAAATCTAGGTAATTGGTATTTGAATCATCTGAGACTCCGTCGACTAACCCTAAGGACACCAATTTTAATTATTCACACTCTAGTGACTTGGTCTGCGAAACAACAAAACAAGACAAAATTTCATTATTTATTCAAGAGAAAAAGCAGTTGGTTGTGAGAAAATGAGTAAATATCCCTCAAAGAAAGAAAGATAATGATCATGCTGAATAGAGAGTTGACTTTTGACAGGAAATGAGATGAGATTAGAATTCCATCCGTGGGGCACGGGAATCTTGGTTTCAATTATCGTACGTCTCAAATACCCCATGTAAATTTGTTAGGAAGAATTCTGACAGGTATTGCTCACACAAAATTATGTAAGTATTATAGGGTTCGATAAGAACAATGAGAATGACGGCAAACATCCGTCATACTCATTTTGATGGTATTTGACACTATTGTCTGAGGTCTTGTTCTAACCTCAAGTTTTATTATAGTTTTATTACATGACTTCTTTACGTAGCTCCATTCACTTCCGCGTGGTATAATCATTGGATGCAATAATATTGGCTCAATTGATGAAAGCAATACATGCTTGCTAAAATTGCACCACTGAAAGACACACAATGCGATATATGTACATCGTATCCCGCATTTCTCTCTCAGGTAAAATCGAACTGTTGCATGGGCCAATCTCACAACAACTTTATTAATTGGCTAAATGATGGATTCAGCCGAAAGTGCTATTCGATTATGGTGCATTGCCCCGTTACTCAGAATTTGTTGGTCGTTGTTCAACTTTATTGTGTACAAAAGTTGCCATGTCCCTCCCCAATGTTCACCTCCCACTACACTGAATTGTACCCGTATATGAAATACTGGCATCTAGGATAACTTTTGATACACTCCTCCCAAGATCCTCCTTAGGTTATTTTCATTTCTAATATAAAATGAAACTTTTCAGGAATAGATGTGTTGTCTTACTACTTGTCAAATATGTGCATACTTTATGCGTCTTTTCCCAGTACGATGTTCACTTGTTGCACGAATGTCGTGTAGATAATTAATTTTCATTGCCCATCAAGAACGACGCTTTAACAGCCATCCACTCATGTTGCTCATAAAACACAGTCGAAAATCAGTAGTTCAACTTAAACTTCTAGTTCACCAATGGGACGCAATAAAAAAAGCATTGAGTATGTATTAGTATGAGCGAATAAATTTAATGAGACTAATTTTGGGAGAATTTGTAATGATGCAGGTTCGTGGTGGACCCCTCTTTCACTGGCAGCAACAACAACAATGGACCAACTGGTAACAATGGTGGTGGGACAGGAATGGTCAAACTGAGAAACATCCGAAGTGGATATGGCGACATCTCGGACGTCGTACGTCTGGTTCACCTGCACGAACTGGAAAAGGCGTGGGCCAGCAAGGCGAGACCAAGGTGAGTGTCGTTTTTTATAAGAAAATCCTTTACCCAGGCCATAACTTTTCAGTAATGCGTATTAATTGTCGTCCGGGTAGATAAATACATAGTTTCATCTTGCGAGCGGGGTTAATTATTTGTAGGATTCCGTATATTTGTTACCCATATATCAGATTTAACTGTTTTTTTATCACTGTCCGACTAACAAGCTTTCCATACTGCACGAAATTATCCATTTTATTGTCATCATGGCAGAACCCTTTGAGCACATTCTACACATTGACGTCCGTTTCCGGTTTTTCCTTTTAGTCTCGTTCGTTTCACTTTCCCTCTGGTGACAAACTCCTATTGGTCTCCCACTTAACTAGAATAGCAGTAAAACAAGTTTGTCGATGCATCGTAAAACAGATGAGTTGCCTGCATAAACATTGTCTTGTCTACTACTTATCGCCTACTCGGTTGTAAAACTGATCCACCAGGAAAACATGGAACATACAAAATGAGAACCCTTCAGCAGGAAGTGGATTCACTTTCACTCCCTCAAATGACACGTCCAAGCATGTCATATGTAGTTGTGCAAATATCATCATCATCCGGGTTCATGTGCAAACCATCATTCATTATATGGAGCAGTCATTTTGCACAATAAAATTAGTCGGGGAGCTTAGCATGAGGAAAGGAAAGTCTGCTGGTCTACTTACATATTCTTTCACTCTTCTTTCAACAATATCTGGATGATTTTTGCAGATTGATATCTTCAGAATGAATTATGGATTGAATCGCATTAAGACGGACTCTGTGTATAAGTTAAACAAACGCACTGTTGAAATGCCATCTTATTATCTAATAATTATGTATTTATGTAGGACTAATAATTGTTTCATGTCTCCCCATCCATGCACTTTGATTGCATGCTGCAACGTAATCCAACTATTTATGTGCACAAATTGGAAATTTGATTGCTAATTTCTGGGCTGTGGTTAGAAATTTATGCATAGAAAAATGAAAAAGGTCACTGCGCAAAGTTGGCATCCCAATTTGTTCACATGCGAGGTTTTCCCATATGAAGATTCTCAGAAATGTAATTTGTTTTGAGATTGGACATTATGCATGCAGGTCAACGGGTTCAGAGCTAATCTAGTTTACGTAAAAAATATACCTGCACTATACATATGTACATGTGCAATAACTGCATATTGTGTAATGCTAAAATATCAGGCAGTTTTTATTCAATGCTGCTGCAACATCCTTCCTGCTGTCAAAACTGATTCGATTTCATCCGTTTCCTAAATGCTTTTTTAATCACATCTATCAAACAATTCCGTTGGTTCGTGGTTAGACTAGAGTAAAAACGCATCCTAAATAATAAACCCGTCATTACATTTTATTGGAAGATGTAAGAGTCACAGCTTGTGACTCACAAAGCAAATTATCTCATTTCTACATAATTGGGGAAAATGAGACTTCATGACTCGTGCAAAAAGCTGCAGACTAAATATATACACAATTTCCTGCAGCACTTTCTGAGGATAAGACTTGACAATATATCAAACATACCTGTGCTTAATACAGAGAGACAACTTCAAATATGCGCTCATTCCTTCTTCCAATTTCAAATTCACAAATTGACCACAGATTGCATGTGGCAATCAGAGAAAAATTAATACGTATCTAATTTACGGTTAAACCTCAATAAAGGACTTGGCCCACTCTTTATTCATTTCACTCACTTCTATGTGTATGCACATATTTATGCTGCTTTTATGGAGTTGAAATTAATAAATTTTGCTGTTCCGAATGCTGTTCACTTTGAGGAGGAGAGGTTGTGAGGTTGGCAGTACTCGATTTTGATCCCCTTTGGATGTGTTGTAGTATAAGTTATAAGTAGTTGCAGTCCAGGACATACCCCTGGTCAGGAAATTATCAAAAGATGTAAAAAACTTAAAAATGTCGGATATTATAATACAATTGTTTAGGATCAGGAAAATCCGAAAATTACCAAAATCGGATGAGAGTTACAATTAGACTTTTGGGAAAGATTTGAATGCAACGCTTTTAGTAGTTGTAATGCTTTTGAGGGGGCGTGGCGGGCACAAATGGGTTCACACTCACCTAGTATTTGTATAAACGCAAAGGGCGTCGAAATCGGGTACTGCCAACCTCAGATCCTTGCATCCCGAGCAGTGTAACATCAAAGGTATTTTACCAGCATAGGATCGCTCCTATTTAAATAACCATGAAAGTTGTGGAACTTGCAAAATCGTTGTCAAAATGCAATTATCATGGATGTATTTCATTTCGGGCATAATTGAGAATCGGTTATTGCTACTTATGAATGAAAGCTGCTCGTGCATGCAGACAAATACGGACTAAATCCAACCATACATATTTCGAAATTTTACATGAGAACATACTTTACGAAGTAATTATAAACTTTGTTAAATGATCCGCGACTTCCTCCTAGATTCGCACAGAACGTTGGGAGGGGAGGGAATAAAGAATGTCGTTGTGTGAATGTGGGTGGTTGATGAGCATTTGCTTAGCTATGATGAACTTTACGACTTTCTCCGCTTTATTATTGTACCAAATACCACCTCCTTCAACCTGCCAAGTGGCTTCTCTCTCTGACTCACGGTTCTAAAACAAATTAACTTCTCTTCATTGCATTTCGCGGAGACTTATTTGTGTGGCGAGGAGAGAAGTCTTATATGTGTTTGCTACCCCCGAGGGAAGTGAAATCGAGTCGAGTGCGTGGGACTTGCCGTGTTATAAAGGAAAGTTGATCATGAAGAGCACGGGGACGAGTTCAGCTTGAGAAACGTTGGTTTCCTTTGCTGCATCACATTTCTAAACTGGAGACGCCTGTTGCGATTCATAGTTTAAATATTTAAACGACTGAACAAGAAGGTCGCATCAGCAAATGTAGGCACACGTACCGACGCATCTATTGATGAAATGACGTCTCACTGGATTTGACAACGACATACTTTAGCAATACAAATGTTGGTAATTGATTTGTGATTGTTACACATGTACAAGAAAATTCACGGAAATGGGAGTCCTGTTCGTTGAAGTCATCAAATAATCAAGATCTTTGAGCGATAGAGACACTCAAGTTTTTACGAGAGAAAGTTTCGATTGTGCATATGTATCAGTCTTTAGAACACGATTCAGTCTCTTTAATATTTTATACACCAAAGTTTATTTTGCTCCTCTGTCAGCCCTGGCACTCTCAAATTCTGCGAGATTTTAGCATCTTCCATAAAGCTAAGTAATCTTCAATTTTGTTACCAGCGTATCATACATTTACTTAATTTTCTTCTTGCGTTAACATAACCAAATCCCAAGACAAAGAAGAAACTAAATGTAATCTGAAGACAGCCAGCGTAATGCAATAAAGTGAGGTACACATACTGCGAGAGCACCATCATCGTTTATTGTCTGAGGTTCAGAACCTGGGAGAAAGTTGAATGAGAGGCATCACCAAAAAAGACATTGCTTGAAGCGGTTTCTCTCCTCCTCCTCCTCGATCGCAAGAATCTGGAAGAAGTTGCCCACATCATCCTGATCATCTCGTCGGCCTATGTGCATAGGACTTGCAGGCAAAAATTTCAGAGAGATTTCTGACAGATGACGGTTACCTTCACATCATCCACACGATAAACTATGCACAAGACTGAGCAGATTTTCGTGCATTTGAAGCTTGCTGTGTATCGTTGAATAAGTTAGTTGTTGGTAGAAGCAGACATATGCACGGCATCTTGATTCGTAGTGATTCATATATGAGGGAACCATTAACTTGCAACCTATCCCCAAGCACAGTATGAAACAAGATTAAGATACGACTGTAACAAGTAAATATAGTTACACCATGAACATCATTGAAAAATTTCTCCATGTGAAGTCCTTTTTGAGCCATCCTGTATTGCGTTTTAATGCATTTCTATATCGATGATGTCATAATATATTGTACGCTATTATGTAACAGGTTCGGCAAGCGGGCGGAGGTGACCCAAGACAACTTTCTTCCACCCTACGCGTACATGGTGCCAAGAGACGATGAATACGACCAGGAAGTTGTTTTAAGTGATTCTAAGGTAAGCGCTTTCATCCAAAAACCGTTTCATCTTTGTTGTTGCATAACAATCCACATAATTTGATGGGCAAGAGCCACACTGACACCTACAATCGCCCACCACAATTTCCTACTTTCGATCTTGTGCAATATTTTATCTCGTCCTCGCAACGTTGCTCATCTGAAATTTGCCAATGTCTTTTTCTTGGGATTTAATATCCAGTCGGCCCACAAAAGCCGACACTTGTGAAAACAAAGGCAATTTAAGATGATATACTGGGAATTGGGGCTTCAATGGAATAAGTAAAGATTGGTCCCCGTGAAGAGGTCATGAAATAAAAAGCCGATAATGTTATGAAAACAACTCGAAATTTATTCTGTGCAGTTGGTTGCTGGAGGATTTTTTATTGAATGTTTTGCATTGGAATAATAGGAATGGTCCAAGGTAATTTACAGATCGTTTACATTCATTGATAAAATCAACATTTAAGTTACTGGAAAAGTCTAACAAAACAATTGGCTATCCACGCTTCCAAGAAATTATAGTTTTCGTAACACATTTCCAACTCGGTGTAGTTTTGGTTCGCTCAGACCCACTATCAATTAGATACATCCGGAAGTTAATGTAACTACAATTGTTATGCAAAATGTAAGATAACATTAGAAGCCGATTCTATCATCTATTTGCATTCAGTTCATAAAATGCAGATGAATTTCTAATCATAAAAAATCGCTGATTACTTAGTCCACGTTTACAGTCATCCCACTTTTTCCAATATTTTTCTTGCTTTCTAGATCGACAACTTGAGCGAAGCTAAATTGTATCTTCTAATTTCTTTGCAGGTTCCAGCGCTGCCAGATTATCTACAGACCGTTGGTGACCGGAAAGGTGAACACGATTCATTCATGAAATACCCGGAGGACTATTTGATATCTGGTGCATAACTGGTTGCGAAAGATTACGGAGGCAAAAAGTGACGTGCCAGCCTCATTTCCTTGGTTTATTCCATCTTACCTTCTCCATTGTAAAACCAACAACAACCATTTACTAGTAACTGAATGCCATATTATAATCATACAACTAACGCCTACCATCCAGAAAAATGGCAAATACCATCGTGCAGATGTTTAGAATTGATGACTGTAATGTGATTTGGGAAACGAACCTGCTTGACACACGTCTTAAATTTCTCTAGTGTTTAATCTACCAAAACCCTCGTAATCTTAAGGACCTTTTATTGTGTTTAGCTGTATGCATTTAAATCTGGATTCTTAATGGGGTCAATAATGACCTTTTTTATTCACCTCCCACGTCAACACTTCCCCACACACCCCCCAAAAACGTCTCTAATTAAATAGTATTCTACGCATAGAAAGGAGATCCCATACCCATACACGTCACTTGCAAATAAAATACAATAAAAAATACAGCTTACACAACCCTATCCTCACAAAAGCTGCTTGCTAAAAATGAACCAGGCTGGAAAATTGACTTAATATATGTTTCTTAAGCAAAGTGAGCAAATTGTTTGCCTAACCGAGAGGAAATTGCAATTCCAAAATTAGATCAGTTCTTTTAAAAACCATTCTGCTTACATAGTAAAAATAATAACATGTGTAATATGTACATAGATAATAGCATTGGCCAAGATTGGGGTAAAAATAACTCTAAATTTCTCCAAATTTCGATGAATTTTGATGAGCTAACAATTGTAGCTTAAGTGTATGTAGATTCAACCCTGGTGGTGGTATGCCTCATGCCATGACAGATTCTTGAAATTAATTAGCAGACGTTGCTTTAGGAGTTCGAATGCCCATATTGCAGCTTTTAACCCATTATCTGTAGAACAGGGAATTTCTTCTTCAAGGGAAAAACAAAGGTTGCTAACATTTCGCTGAGTGGTAAGTTTTTCTCCCGTGTTCAAGTTTCCTAAGTTGCATTAGTACACATTATGTACAAGTAAATACATGCATGTCCATACACAGTTACATACAAAAAAAGAACTTAAACATTACAGTTTGTGTTACCACTACAGCTCTGTTTTGAATCTGTGCAGGAGGCAAAGTAATTAAAGTGTGAGAGGTTACACGTGCATGGAAAGTTGGTGGTGGAGCAGATTCGGAATTGTGCTTATTGTACTTTCTTCTCTGGTGAGTGGTGTTCACTTTCAAACACACGACCGGTACATAAATTTACAATAGTTGACAAATGTGACGAATGTTGAAAACAAGAGACCGTAAGACTACTGCGGATGTGTAGTTTAACCAGCCCTGAATTTTACCATCGTCACAAAGATTACACATCCAGCAATAGGACGGGTGAGTGAGTGAGTTGTGAAAGTTGAGAGAGCGAGATTGCCCCAATTCGGTTAAGTCGTCTCATCTTACCTCACGTACTTCTTATTATTGATCATGAAAACTATATCTACTTAGCATAATTGATGTGTATATGTGTATACTATAAAATTGTAAACCAAGAAAGTTGGAATCTCGCTTACTTATCGTACTCCTTTTTTGTAGTACATGTACATATGTCAGAAAATTATCTATTTAGCACAGTTATTGTATAGTGTAGATAATATACATACTTGCGTACACGCTAAGTTGGCTATTAAATTACTTACATATTTGATATATAGATCTTGATTTGTTCAATTATTTGTAAAAATGTATGTTTGAATAAATACACAAAGTATTATTGGAAAAGTGCAAGTTTTCGTAAAATTGTGAGGACGAGGAGCAGTTTTTGATTCTGTTCCTCTACTAATTGTGTGCGTACTTCATACAACAACGCGTCCAATTTCAAGACACCTTTGATCTTGTTCTAGGTATTGTTAATTCCTTTCACCTGATACTTGAAACTTGAGCTCAACGTGATTAAATTCTGCTTCCTGAAGATGCAAGATTTTATGCAAAGCACCATTGCATTGCATGTACATAAGTATGTATGCATGTATAACATGTGGATTTTGCTAGCCAGTTAAAAATAAGATGCTGGTTTAGGCCACTTTTTATCAAGGATGAGACCGATAAGAGCACCAATACTATTACGTGAATAGCTACAATGATTCGCTGAGCGGAAGCGAGGGACAGAGGGACAATGTCCCCAAGGTTATTCAATGTCCCCATGTTATATAAACCCCTCCCTCCCCTATCCTTGGATATTAATGTCCCCACGGCTTCCACGGCCACTGATCACAACAGAATGATAAGAGTGGGCGGTTGTCGCACTTAGCACGTGTCATAATTGCGTCGTGGGTGTTGAAGTTGCCCAGCTCTTTCAAAGCATTTTTGCCTAAATGTTGATTTCTTCAAAAATAGAATTCTTATTGTTACATCCCGGCCTTTCTAGGTCCAATTAATTTATCATAATCAATTTTCGTGTAGAACTCTGATCAACTTAAAAAAAGACTGCACAGAAGTGAAAGTTCAGCGACATAAAAGTCGCTTTGTTTTACCTTGGCGTTACCATTTTCTGAGCCGGATGGAGGATTTCACAGAGTTTAGTTCACATTCAATCAGACTTAAAAAAGGATTGACGTTAACACACAACTTGCAATAGTGCTCCATGCTGAGATGGTGACGTTCGTCCATATTCATCCCAAGCTATACTTATGTAAATATAAATATATTTAATACATGCTCACTTTTCCAACAAACATTTAAAAATGCAGACAACCCGTGTCGGTAAATAAAATATCTGCGAAGCAGCTTTTATTCGTTTCTGCTTGTACATAGTTGGTTACATTTGTTTCTCACACATTTTCTTGTTTACAGTTAAAAACTTACAACAAAACTTTCTAAAACAATATATACGGTTAAAACTTTTATGATCAAGGGAATAGTAGTAACAAGAGCACGTTTATAATAATATATTATTTATGTATTATCAGTACTTTGTTACATTGCCTTCTTTTAAAAAGTTTTGATTGATTTGATTGACCCGAACAGCTTTATTTCATGCAAGCGTTTTAAAAAACATGATAAGTTTGATCTTATAATAAGTTAATTTTACAAGGTTCTCACAAGTTGATTGCCTTTTAGTGTGAATGATTATTGAGGAGTGCACAAAGAAAAATAAGTTGCACAGCACTAACTACTGCTGTAAGTTACTTACACATTTCGGCTGGAAAGATACAAGAACACAGACTTTGGAATTAGATTGGAATAAAATTACATGGTTAAAATTTGTCAGGTAGCGATGATTACAATAAAAATTGAGTAAGTAGGTAAAAATTTAGTTTACTTTCAGTAAACCATAAAATTGTCATTATGTGAATAGATGACGATTTTAGAATAAAAACAAGTGTTAAATCCTGTCACAGAACATTTACAACTAAGAAATACTTTTGTTTTGTCTCACTGTTTGTTTTATCAGCAATTACAACCATCCACATACGCACCCACCTACCCGTTTCGCACATAAAATATTATACTATACATACATCCCATTTATTGAGTATCGGGCCTTGCTTACAATGAGAAAGCATGCATTCATGTATTATACATACATAAAGCACAAATAAAAATAACATTTTTTTATGTGCCGAATTGCGTTAAAAATCTAATTCCTTTCCACAAACTGCGCACATTTGCCTAATTCTTTACTTAATTCTGTAACATGATTTTTATATGATGTAACATACATATCTGAACCGAATTCCATCACACATGGGGAGAAAGAATTGGTTCATGATTCGATCCGACATTGCTATTACATAGATGAATGCATCGACTCTATAATATAAACCACGTTGCGTGTTTGCGACAGTTTAATAACACGTCGTCATCGTCATTCCTACCCCCTACTACTCAAAGTACTATCTTAAAACTAGTGGACGAAGAAAATGAAAATAGCAAATACAAACATTTAATAAATTCTACTTATATAGCTGCGACTTCGATTCAGTATATTTCGAACGGGAAAAGGAACCTTGAACTAACCAATCACAAAAACTAACAACCCACATCTCTGCGTCATTTAAATGTTTGGATGCATTACGTACGTATCTAGATAATCGATGACTTAGTAATCAATTGTGAATATCGTGATATAGTAATTCTCTAGTCTCAACAGACTTTGAATTTGTGGGTTGGGCATTATATAAACAAGTCTACCAAAATACTAATAATAATTCAAATCATTGGGAGTAGTGTTAAAAAGGGCTCACAGCCGGCTTTACGGAGTAACGCACAAGTAGAGAGCTCAGTTCCAAGTCTTCTCCGAACCCGTTTTGGAGAGGAATACTTCTGTAACCCTCCCTCAAGCATTTCAAGGGATAACAAGCTTGTCCAATAAAATTAGGGTCACCAAACATGTCCTCATCATACACTGCAAAAAGTTTAAATTTTAGAGAAACGTAAGTTTTGCAAATATTTTGATACATAGTTTATTCACGCCACGGTCAAGTGTACACGTTACAGACACAGTTCGTGCTGTTAATAACACTAGGGAGTCGGAAAATTTGAATTTTTGAAATTATATCTGTACAGTATAACATTTTTTGACGAAAGTCTTAATTTCTGTGCAATATCAGCTACACATTGGGCACTAAAATAATTTATTTTCTACCAGAAAAAGGTTACCAATTCAAATAAACATTTCTGTGACATTTTTGTGGAAAATGTTTGTTCGGGTTTGAGAGCCTGTGGCATAAAAAATCACAACTCAACGAACAACGGGATTATCGACCTGGATTTGACTTGAATGTAGAAGGAGTAGCGTATGCAGATATACATAGGACTAGTTCTGACTCCATTACACATATTGTTTTAAACGGAACCTAATAATAATATTCAGAGCTCTTACTCCTCTCTCTAAATTACCCAAATTCGTCTCATCTGTGTCATCATGTTTCAAGCAATATTGATGGGATTAAACTCACCTACAAATCTTATCATCACCAAATCGGGGCACACTATTTCAAAGTCAAAAGTCTCATTCCAGTACGGATTGAGTCCATTGTCTGGAAAGGTTTTAGTTTTCCTGGCCTCTGAAGAGTTTCCAATTACCTCAATTTCAACGAAAGGACTCACAATTCCTCTGCCAGATTTGGAGAGATGTCGTGCACCAAGAACCTAATAAGAATAAAATTAACAAAAAATAGTTATTTGCTAGTAGGATAAGCTATGAGGTTTATTACAACCGTATATATGCATAAATTCTTTTTAGTAACAAACTTTGTATGAAGATTATGTATCAGCAGCATTAATTTAAAAATGCTTTTGATCTCAATTACTATAATTTCAACTAATCCTCAATACTATTATAGTAATCGTAAGTTAAGTACTAACCACGATGGTGATGACAATATTTTCAAATGGCGAAACTATCATGGAGTCCTCATCAGATTGAAACATAAACTCTGGTCTTAAAACGTAGCTGCAATTGGAATAAGATTAGGTTAGGTCACTACCAATAAAATTTGCACAGAACAAACAAAATACACTCACCCACATCTTCCATTTTGTCGGAATTTTCCATGGTTCAATTGCATAGCTTTGTCTGGGGTTTGATAATTCAGCGCAACCATTTGGCAACCCGAATTCCACAGAGGAACAGGATTGTAGTTGGAGGAGTCCAGTCGTTGTCCTTTGGGATATACGCGACTGAACTGGACCTATAATTAGTATAAAATAACACAATTAATAAACAACAAGAACGGTTCACCTCCACCGTGCCACCGTCATCATTGTGCATATCATGATTATGATGGTATCTACCATCATGTAACTTTTAGGCCTGCATACAAATATATTTTTGTATGTACGACTAGAAATATTCCAGCGTGTCACCTCATTTTCATATTTTGACACATTAGAGAGAGACATAGTCTACTCAACGTGGAATGGCCGAAAATGAGCATAGTGAAATTTATGCAACTGAGGTGATCCGGAACAATAATTTTAGAGTATGTGGTGTTGGCGTTAAGTTATCGTGAAAATACAAGATCAACATACTTGATGGTACCAAATGAAGAAGGAATTCTCAGAAGCGCACATCCATTTTTCAGCTGAAATCAAATAATAATAAAAAATGTAGGTAATATTTATGTGATATGTGATCATTCTGTGACTATTATTACTGTTATTAATGTTACTTTTAGGGTCACATTTTAAATAATATGATTCTCTACAAAAAGCATTACTTTCTAACCTGCAGTTTCGGGAAAGCTGTACATCTCATAAAACACTCTTCCTTTCGCTCGGACACGTTCTAAATTAAATTTGTTAACGCTGCAACAGTAAACAATTAGACTGGACAACTCCTTTGCTATCCGGTTAATCCTTTCAATCCTTTTATTCTTGTTTTCTCGGTCACTTGCACTTGCACTCACTTCTCGGATTGCTTCAACCCATTCCTTGGCTTCTGGTTCACATTTCAAACCAAGGAGGATGGATGGAACTGATGTAGAGCTGTTCCCGACGCCTACGGAGGTTCCTCCAGCAAATATTTTGATAACATACTGGATCGAATCGCAGGATGTATTTTTAAGAAGTTCTACGTAAGCCCCCAGTGTCATTTCAACTGATCCTTTTTGTAGAGAACCCAATGGAGTTTGTTCATCTTCATCATCTGGCTCTATTTCCTCCACATAGTTCGAAGGGAACCATCCGTTTAGTGACTGCTCACTTATCAAACCGTTCTCTGTCATTAATACTCCTCTCCACCATCCCTCATGCTCCTGGAAAGTTACAAACGAATAGAATTTCACTTTTAACTTTTTAATCTATTAGCGATTCCGTATTTCTTCCATAAACTAATACTCGAAACTTCAAATTTCTATTTAAATAATAATCAAATAATGGTCGACAGAGTATAGAATTTCATTTTTACATGCTATTTTTGCAGGTTTTTGAATATCTTATAAACTTTGCAAAGGTAAAAATGAGATAATTTGTTTCAGGGCATTTAAATAATGGAAATATACTACACGCTTCAGAGTATGACAGGATGATAAATATTTGGTATTTGTTTTGTTACCTTTGACACATTTGTGATTAATTCTCCCTTGCGAAAGGATAATTCATCGGCACGACGGGCTTCGTAGTCATATAGCGTACGCACTCTGACGTTATTATTATCTGAACAAATTACATTTGTGTCCAAGTAGTCTGTATGAGTGTAGACATCATCATCTGTACTATTCCCCAAAGTCTTGACCAACTCCTGATTGACCGCTTGTGTTAGCTTAACTTTTTGATAAAATGGATATTTCGAATAGTGAGAAATCAAATCTGCTAGTGTTTCAAACTTGTTAATGCCCACAGTGAAAAGCCGTCCCTCTTCTTTAATCACACAATGCTTGATCTTCTTTTGAACTCGAAATGAAATAGCAAACCTGGCGTCTTCATGAGAAATGGTACGAACCATAAATGCACCGTCCACAGGCACTCGTCGCAATAATTCTTCTGCTCCATTTCTATCAATGTTAGCATGAAACCAAGGCTTCCCCTCGTGGCTCTGAGGCTGCGGTACTGCTTCGGTGAGGCGTACTTGAAATTCAAGTCCACGAATAGGGTTCCCTCGATAATTTGTTATCAAGCTGTAAGCAATTAGATAAAATAATAATAAACTAGACAAAGTACACGAAATTATGTATTACTACAGGTTATTCAAATCTCTCCGTCATCCCGCACATATGAGTATACATTTGCATTTACAACTTACCTGTATAAACTATCAAATGTTAACGAGTCCACTAGATAATACTTAACTTGTCCCCATTCATATTTCGAACTGCAAATACAAGTTCATTCTGTCAATAAACCTTGTGAAATAGTCGACTTGCGACCAGCTAGACAGAGTCCATTGGAACATGAGAATTTTATTCACTATAGATTTATAAAACTAATTTTTATAGATAAGAACTCACTGAATGTGGCAGTGATGCACTTTATTCGATTTGTAGAATGAAATGGTGTAATCACCAACAAAGTTTTCACTCTCACGCACTAGGAAAGTTCCATCTCCATAATCAGTCGCATACTTTTCAACAAGTTCATTGGCTGCACCTCTTCCTCCTCGTAATCGGCCGTGAAACCACCCTAAATTTAATTAATTATTTATATTATTTAGTTACGTAAATATAGTATTTCGCTGTATAAAATACAAAATGGTCCATCGTAAAAATTATCGAGTTGCTATCCTGCCGTTTCATCTTTGCTTTGTCACTGTGAATGTATATGAAATGTACTCTCCGAAAAACGACATTTTTTTTTGATATTCGATGATTTCACGATTGACCCTTTTTGCATTGTATACGATAATAAATTGCTTCGAAGAATACAAAGCATTTTGTTTCGCTACCTTCACTAAAATGCAGTTCGTCTTCATTCTTCTTACTTCTCTTGGCGGTACCAACAACAGAAGGGTCATCTTGATCACTGGCTTCTTCAATGCTTGCTGTATCGTCATTAATATCTTGATCTGTTGTCATTTCTGTGTACGACAGCTGCGTATAAGTAAGAACAAAGAAATGTGGTATCCAGTCCAGCCCAAGATCGTCTTTCAAATACATTACTCCATTTTTTATTGTGTTGGATAAATCAATATCTTTGGAAAAAACAAAACAGTAATCAATCAATCAGATGCTTAAGATAGAATAACAAATTGGACACGACGTATCCAATTTGATATTCAATGATTTGATCCGTATCCGATACGAATCAGTAAATGTGGAAAAAATTTACCTTTGGAAAACTCTTCAGGTTGCCTCGTCGTGCTTGCAACTTCTTCTAAGGTTCCATTTTCAGGCAATTTCTTGTGTCTATATTATTAAATACACAACGGTTATTTTTCGTAGAAGATTCGCTTCCTTTTACTAAAACAAACTTTCAAGCACAACAATGAATTTTATGCACTGTCGGCAATAATCTTACTTCAAAATGATTCGACGTTTGAGTTGCTCTGGCGAAGGCAGCTGTATTTCATTCTTATCGAGGAACTGCGTCACCAACATATCTCCAAATATCTGTAATGACAATAGTAGTAATTGCAATGAGTTCAATATATAAAAGAAACATTCGAAATTTCTTAAACAATTCTTTAGCTTGTGATACAAAATAGTATTAGTCAATTTATAATTGTTTTTCACAAACTTCTTGGAATTTTTGCGCCATCTTCCTCTGCAATCAAAGTAATGCAAATGGGGTTCAAGTTTTTTTTAATCTTAAAATACCAACTCGTCGTACCTGCTGTGGCAAAGTGCAATGGTCTTCAATACTGCGGAATAATACAAGTTTATTGAAGACAACCTAGTACGGAATGGTCCTAGTAATAATTAATTACCGTACCTTAGAATCACAGGATACTCTGAACTAATAAAGGCTTGATCTCGAATTGCTTTCAGCACGTCTATAAATTTAATTTTTGTAGTGAGTGTGTGTCCATGAAAAATAATTGGCATCGAATCTGGTCCATCTGCGGATTAAATTACTTGACAGTTTGAATTTAGAATTGAGTACTACCGTATGAGAAAGTTACCCCAACAATCCAGCTCGATACAGCGACATCCTTGCAGTAAACAACGAACATAGGCCTCAACAGAGGATTCCGAACTAAATTGATCTGGTGTAAAGGCAAAAAGTTTGATTGAAAAGAGTATAAAAATGCTGGATTGTTTGCTTTAGGAAACACATCTGAAATGTTCGTTATCTCATACAGTATGTATATGTCGAAAAATTTATGCTAACACAATATTTTACATTTGAATATGCGTTTAAAAAAAGCCACAAACAAACAATTTCCTAGATAAACCTTGAGTAAAGTAGGCAAGAAAAGATAAAACATGTGAACTTACCTCCAGTAAGGTATCTGGATATGGTTATAAAAGTAGATTATTTGCCACAATTAAGAAGACATGGATGATCTCAAAGATGTGCTGAATAAATATTTATTTATCAACTTACGTATTGTGTGAGGATGCAATCCAATAGTGGGAAAGTGGACGTGTCATATCTTGATGAATGACAGAGTATTTGCTGTCCCAAATCTCATTCTGTTTCGAATATAAGTAGTCCACAAACTAATATTGCAAACAAATAATACTAGTTTAGTAAACAAGCTAAACATGTTTCTATTCTTATTTTTAATAGGTTATACTCTGAAAAAGTCACATTATTTATTTTACATTATATGTACTTACCTCTGACACTGTAAGATGTGGCTGTTTCACGTCCCTCAGTGGATCCTGTAGATACTCCCTTATGACGCCGCACACATCCACTTTGCTTTCTTTCTGCTCAACTTCGAGTAGAAGACGAAACTCGTCGAAACTAACAATCTCACCATCTTTGGAATACTGCATGGAATTTTATTTTCTGAATCAATTATCCGTTTTCTAATCTTCAATTTTTTGTAATACTTGATCATGATTGGGGATTAAATATTACCTGTGACAAGTAATCATTGAAGGGTGCCTTGTCAAATACCAAAGTGTCATGAAACAAAGTTGCAAAATCGTCAAATCCGAGCTCTCCCGTCTTTCTCGTATCCACAGATTGAAATAGCTTCATGAGAACAAATTACAAATTTACCACCACACTTATAACGGTAAATTACGTATTAATTGATGTTGCAGTACACGAAATATACATGCTTACCTCCCTTAATCGAGTCGTACTCATCTTACAATTCACTTTTGGAAGAAAGGTTTTTAACTCCTTCAATGTAATATTCCCCCGTGCATTCTCCATCCCATAAAACTCTTTTCTCAACCACATATTAAGTTGAAGAGGGTATGGGGTCTTGTTATTGTCTGCGATTAAAAAGTTGAGTCCCTGTAATTAAAAATCACATGAGTAATTAAAATTGTACAACTAGTAATTCATGTACATGGAATATTCAAAGAAATCTAACAACTTTTTAGTTAATAGGAAAAGACGAGTCACAATTCAGAGACAATTATAATTATTATCCAGTACACCCTAGCTGGGATTTGCAATGCATTATTGGAAAATATAGAAATCTAACACACCTTGATCCACAGTTCTGCTTCCTTCTCTGAGAGAGCTGCAATACTTAGCGTTCTTAATCGAAACTCTGAACCGTAGAAAATTACGAAACATTTAGAACTGCAACAAAAGAATAAAAATGGTGGTCAATAATATGACAGATGTCGTGAATGTTTTTTTAGGTTGTTTTCAAAGCCATCTTGAAACTTCGAAATCTAACCTCCTCCCTCCCACATAGTTTCAAGGAGTAGCTCGTAATACCTGTCGTGCCGTTTTGAGTCATCTGGCCATTTGTCGAAATCTTTCGAGTTTTTTCCCAGACGGAGTAGTTTGATTTCTCGAATGTCGACGGTGCCCTCGCATAGGACGCGGAGGTTGTTCGTCACGGGCCCCCCTGCTCCGTTCCCAGCTCCATTTCCACCATTATTGTTTGGGCGCTGCCAAATTACTTGTTTTGTCTCCCGTCGAACAGCAAGTGTCCGACCTAGAGCAGAATATTCAGATCAGAAGTTCTGATTCAGAACAAACCTTCATGTACAATTAATTAAGCAGTATTCTAGACGAATCAGATTCACGTAGAATACTATACATAAGTTCATTATATCATTATACTGTAGAACAAAAGACTTACGTTCAGCCCTTTTGCGGAAGAAAAATTTGGTCACGACGGTGCCACGTTCCTAAGATATCCAATACTGAGATTGCAGTTAAGATTAAAAAATCAAAAACATTGTACATCGTTACCAGTTGGTTGATGACGAGTTCTTGCTCCGGGATGAAGTTCATTTTCTTACGGTATTCCAGCAGAGTTTGCTTTCAAAATCTTAACTAGTCCTGGAAGATTGAATGCTATGCATAATACGTGCAAATTATCTGGTTTCCGATTTTGACAGTTCAGTATTCGTTGGTAGAGATGCTCTCTCAAGCAGGCGTAGAGGTTGGGTGGCACAATGGGTGCAAAGGCAATCGTGGAGGTCAGGTCATGGCTACTTGCTAAGGGGACATTTGTGGGTGGGGGTGGTTGGAGATGAAAGTACCAACAACTTTGTTCTTAATCCTACTAAACCTAAACCTAAAATCTAACTTGATCCCAGAGCTAAAAAGTATTTGTGCAATCGACTGTCAGACTTGCCGCTGTGCACAATCGTCTCACCAATCATATAAAATGTACAAAAAAGTAATGTTTCATGTATTTGTTGGCATAAAACTTCATGAAATTAAATAATGGGTGCGACCCATTTGATAAGAATAAAGTACAATTTTTATCACTTTATTATTGGACACCTGGTTATACTGGGGAATGAATGGTTATAATTTTTAATTGTATTTCTGTAATTTTAATGTTATAAATTAGCAGAAAAAGCGCAAAAAACAACTTATGAGAAAACATTTTGCTTCTGATCTACATAAAACACAATTAGTTCGAAGTGTAGATTCCTATAATTTAAAAATGCAGGTAATTGGAATGTGATTTCAGTGCACACAAAATAGTAATAATTATAGAACTGCAAAAATAAATCCAATTAATATTTGTGTAAAGCTAAACGACGAGCAGACTACGAGACACGTTACTTCGCTAATTCAAGTGATATTCTTCTGGAGCCAACTTTACAATCTGTGCACTACGCTCCCAAAGTCGTTGTGCTAGGTCTTTGTCTTCAGCCAATTTTGATGGAGTGGAAATCTGTGGAAATGATAAAGAATAAGAGAAGTAATATTTTCTGTTTCAAAAACGTAATTTAAAATAATTAAATCGATTGATTAATAGTACTTTGCAATCTGTCCAATACAATCCACTCTTCCCTTCTACATCTTCAGAGACGCAGAGATGAACTGATGGCTGTGCTCCTTCATAAGGCGTCTACAATTTAAGAAAGTACATATTTATACACTGCAAATAAGAATAGTATTCCTAAAAATTGTCTACCTTGAAAAAGAATTGCGACACCATAATCATGTATTTGAAAGCTTTTCTAGCATGCCGAAATATAGCTGTCTGAACTCCTCCTGGATATTTGAATAAAATTGAAGCGTTAAATCAGAATTCTATTTATCAAGTTCAAGAGTAATCATTAACCTGGATTCACAGCATTGGCAAGAATTCCGTTCAATCCTGCTGCCTGTAGTCGACGAGAAAGTTCTTTCATGAATAGAATGTTGGCTAATTTTGTTCTGGCTGCAAAAATAGAAATTATTTTATTAAGAAATAGAAACATATTTTCAATCATATGTAGAGTATAATATAATCTTTGGTCGACGAATGCGAGAACCCAATTCGTGGTAACTCTGAACATATCTGAATGTGCATTGAATTTTCCGTACGGTAAGTGTATTTAAAATCGACACTGTTTTTTGGGTAGTTAAAATTCAGGATTATCTACTGCTCTTATACTTACCGTATAACAATTTTGGTTCCCATTTCTTTTCTGAATTAAGATTGTCGAGGTCCAATTCTTTTGTCCATTTGTGAGCCAATGACGAGACACTAATAATTCTGCCTTGCTTTCCTTTTTTCATTAATCCTATTTTACATGTAATCAGTAATTCAGTAACAAAGAAATATTATCATGAGTAAGTGTGCTGTGCTAACCGAGAAGCATATTCGTCATTAGGAATGGACCAAAGTGATTTGTAGTGAAATGTAGTTCCATGCCGTCACTGTCCACAGTTCCTATTTAAATGTTTACGATTGAACATATTAAACATTTTATTTTGAATGAATAAAATAAAACAAAAATTCAGATTCGTACGTCGTAATCCAGCAACCCCGGCGTTATTAACAATTATATCCAGGCGACTTTCTTCCTTCAATATGTCCCTGCAGAACTCTCGCACAGATTGCAAAGAGCTGAGATCAAGTTTCTTTGCAACTGCCTGTCTATTTCCAGTTGTACTTCGGATTTTTGCAGCAGCTTTTTCAGCAGTATCCATACTTCTACAAGCCAATATCACTTTAGCTCCACGTCGAGCAAGTTCCTTGGCAGTTTCATATCCGATTCCTAATTTTTGTGAGAGACAATGGATAGTACCAAAAATTTTAATTGTTTGTGTGCGTACAAAGCACTAAAGCAGAATGAATAAGTACATATGCACAAATACTAACCACTGTTGGCTCCGGTAATAATTGCAACTTGTCCATCAATCCTCCGCTTGCTTTTGCATACACCAGCCACCATTTTGAAATAAAGTTTGACTAAACCAATTCCCAGAACAATCAAACCCACTCCATATCCAATAATTGTTAAAACACCCATCTTGCAGTTTTGGTAGGTGAATACAAGATGAATTTGCTTCCTTTCCTACAAAAAGCCAAAAAATTTATAGCATACATTGAGGTATTCGAGAGAAATGATATTTCATTTCTAATAAATATGCATAATGGAAAAGTCTTAAAAGTAATCCTCGACGCACGAATTCTCACGATGAGACTATGATTATGAAATTCCCCAATTTCAGTTAATTTCATTAAAGACTAGGTCCACTGCAAGATCCTGATTCTCACTATATGAATGAAAGGGTGATCACGAAACTATCCCACGCTCAGTATTATACATACCTATTATACTCAACAAGATTATATTGCACCCATTAACTATATCACCTAGTGGGTGCGAAAGATAGTTCGAGTATTAAGAATCAAGGTCAAGTTAAACTAACCCATTTATATTTGACTTATTTAACTAATTTGTGATTTAACAAACTCTTAGCTAATCCAGTATATGTGGTTTCCAGAATATTTTTTGGAAACAATTCAAACACAACTCAAAGTAGACAAAAGCATTGATACCTAAAGTGTTTAATTGCAACAACCCGTTTTAAGGTTACCTTAATAAGATGACGATGACTCTGCGCAAACGGTTGTGCACCCAGTTACTTGTGCACACTTCTACATAAATCAATAAATTGCTCGTTATAATTTATCTGTAATTTTGGCTCCACCGAAGAGAAAATAACTTCTCCCGAACGATGGGAAATCACTCACCTCACCAACCAAAATATCGTCCGATTCTCAGTCCATGAGTCCACCAGAGAATATAACCGAACTGACCAACAGCACAGCCAGCTACTTGCAAATAACCGGTTTAAGTACTTAGCAATTCATTCACTTCATGATATGCATTTTGTGATGGTCAAACTGCGGTATATGGGATATTATGCCATCTGATATGCGTTGGTGGTGGTGAATCCAAGAATTGTACACTTCGCCCCACCGTCAAACACAAACTTCTTCTCTCTCACTCGCTCCCTCACTTTCTCCAAATTTTACTACTTTCACTTCACTCAAAAGTGTGAAGTGGCAAGTCAACTCAAACTAGAGTTCAAATGACCAACTGCCAACTAATGCTAAAATGATGCAGTGTTGATTAACTTTCTAAAGGAGAAAAATTGCTATTGGTAATTATAAACGAAAAGTCTTGAAATAAGTACAAAGTATTAGAAAATTAAGACAGAAGTTCTAAGCTAGAACTTTTTAAATCTTCTGCTAGTGAAAGTTTGAAGCTTACAAGAATACGTAAGTTGTTTCTCAAGAAAATACTTTAATGAGTTGCATTTTGCATGCGTACATTTGTTATACGTTACAGATTGGATTATCGCCTCTAGTACAACAATTAATATGTCCACTGGAACGGGTCCTTCACCATCAAATACGTCAAATACGAACTCGACCCCCACTCCGTCGACGTCAACAAGATCTCGTCTTCTTCTGTCGACTTCACCCCCGACTTCATCTGCAGCTTCAACTTCGATAACAAGTACTCCAAAAGCCAGTAGCCAGTTTTCAACTATTGACGAAAAACTCTTTTCTAAATATTCGAATACACTCGTCTCTGAAAGTAATCGACGTAAAGCTGACGCTCTGGACCATTTGAAGCGTTTGGCTGAGTTACGAAAAGAGACAGAATTCTTGGATCACACGGTTAGAAAGCTATTTATTATGCTTATTGATTAGACAATTCATTTTGTTCTATTTTTAACAGGACTGGATGTACGAACCTGTAGAAAAATTGCTTGGAAAATAATTCGTAGTGCCGTTCAAAATAAATTGTGACAATACATGCATATGCTATAATATACTACGATGACTGTGTACTTTGCTGGATTAGACTTTCACAATTGCGTGGTCCCGTCTTCGGAAGGAAATTCATCTGAAATGTTATATCCTCTTCCTGTAAATATTGGTTGTAATTTGAAAAACACTCGTATGAGAGTTGATCTAATTGTTTTTCAAAAAGTAGGAAACGTTTATTCTTGGTTTGCCAAAGGGGATGGTTTCCCACAAGAATGTGAACTGTTAAGATTCGACTTAAAGATATCCCAGGTTTGTCTCGCAGCAAATATGTTGATTGGCTTCAGTGAGAAGACCAATTCTTTGTATAAAATAGATTTTAGTTTAAATTATAACTCAGAGTTTTTCTCCTGGAACCTCAAACAAGTACAACTTCCAGATACTCTATTTCAAGTCAAACAAATCGCCACTAATGATAAATCCGTATTTGTGTTGGATGACTGCAGCAATATTTTCGAAGTTGCTGCTGAAACTCTCATTCTGAAATGGCGACTAGATGGTGAAATAGAAATACAAAAGCTTTCTTGTGGCTTTGGCCATTTTACTGCACTAACTGACACTGGAGCTGTTTACTCTTGGGGTTCTGGTGGGCGACGAGAACTTGGTCATTTTGATCATGATCACGTCATGGTCAATTGTGAAGAACCGAAACGAATTCAATTTTTTGACGACCTCCCCTGCATAGTGAAAGATATTTCTTGTGGTGGTTGGCACACCCTTGCTCTTACGTCTGATGGGGACATATATTCTTGGGGTTGGAATGTATCTGGACAATTGGGAATCGATTCTCACCGTGGGGAAAATCAGGTTTCCTCATTCGTAGGTGGAGTACCTTACCCGGTTGATCTTGGATCTGCGACTGACCCTGTTGCCTATATCGCTAGTGGTGCAAGACATTCTCTGGCCCTACTGAAAAGTGGAAAATGCTATTCTTTTGGTCTCAACTCACACGGTCAGTTAGGCGATGGCACTTTTGACAACAAGTCCGAGCCAGTACAAGTTAAGTTTGTCGATGAATCAACGAAGGTTGTCAGAATTGAATGTGGGCGTTGGTCTAGTTTTTTATATTGTGAATAAGTATTGTAATAAGTCAAAGCTTTGTGAATAATATATTTTTTAATTAAATTGCATTTTCTCATGAATGATTTTCTATGATAAAATCAGTCGTTTTTTGCAAGTATATTTATTACGACGTCACTACTACTGTGCATAAACGATTACGCGACTAATAAATCTATCATGATATTAGGCAATTCTTATCATAGAGCAGCAAAAATATAGCACAATTCATAATTTTTCGTAATAATTGCAAATACATAAAATATAAATACATAAATCGGAAAATAACAACAATCACCGGTGCATTTAAAGATAATTATTCTATGTACTTATACCTGGGCTCTAACCAAATCAACAGCAACTGCAATTTATGGTCATTGCCGATATTGATGCCTAAGATGAGCTGCTTCCAGGATATACTACCTACAATTAGCACCACTTCATGAGTGCATTTTTGACATTTGTATTTAGTCATGTATACAAAGCTACTTAGAATTAGTTGCAAATGCAATACATTTCATAACCGAGATACACCTTCGCTAAACCTATTTTATCAGACATTATATAGCTTAGATATTTATTTACAAATTGATTGTTTCAGCAACGCGACGGACGGCAAAGATTCACTCGGACGGAGGAGAAAGGTACGAAAGACTTTCACCGTTTGTCTCGACTACCCAAGCCAACTAAATTCTCAATTCTTTCACATGCGTTATTCCAATTTTGTGCTGCGTAGTAATTATCTATTAACATCCTGATTGTTAAAATTTAGAATACTACTACAACTATCAGTAGTTAGACTTAAAGACGAATGACATCGACATCACAGCTATATGACTAGTTTTGAGTCAGTTTTGCACATGACTTCCTTCATAAGAATTCCTACATTTTTGATTACAGATATTCACAAAGCAAGGTAAAAATGTCACATTTCAAAATAAAATGACTAATTACTCAATGAATTTAAATAGTATACTAGTGTTTTACGGAGATGTGACATGTGACTATGTACATTTATAAATACACACCGGCTACCCTTTCAGGTAAGTAAGTAACACATCAATTCAAATTTCTAGAGAGGCTGGTTTCAACTGGATGGTGAAATTCCACAGTGAATCAATATAAAGAGTTCTTATATAATATAGTTTATGTGGTGCATACATACATGGCATGATTTCTCATCTATTCTTAATACAAGCAAATAATTAACCCATAACTAATAAAGACACGCTTTAGATTAGACGTGAGATCCAGCAACGATGTCTCACGTCTCGAGAACTTACATAAGATTAGTAAATAGTGTGAAATCTGTACAAACTGTTCCTCATCGTCTTCTACTGCTCATCATCACTTCCGGCACTTTCTTGCACCTCCTGATAATCCAACTCCAAGGCGGCGATGTCCTCTCGAGCCTCGCTGAACTCGCCCTCCTCCATCCCCTCACCCACGTACCAGTGAACGAAGGCCCGCTTGGCGTACATGAGGTCAAATTTGTGGTCCAGTCTCGCCCATGCTAATAAATAAATATAAATAAATGCTCAATATGCAAATCTGAATCATTTCACCTCCAGACGTTTTTGTATGAAATCAGAATGCAGACTATTGAATCTAAAATTGATTACCTTCCATGATGGAAGTTGTATTGGACAGGGCACACACGGCTCGCTGAACTTTAGCCAGATCTGAAACAAAACCAAACAATCCTCAAGTACGAGGTATAATTTGTATCCACCTCCAACCTCACTTTAAAAGAAATTTCATCTCTTCCTCTGAAAAGCTCTTAATTATTTTCTTTTTACCAAATGGCACCCGAGTAAAGTATAGGTTATAAATAAAAGTCCAAACTAATTGACTAATATTATTATTGTTATTGTAAATGTACAAACCTCCGCCCGGCACCACTGTGGGTGGCTGGTAATTGATCCCGACCTATCCAAATTATAATGCAAATTAAAAGTTTTGGAAAGTATGATTCATATTACATGTGTGACATCAGTTTTCTCTCGATATTTTGATAAATCAATAAATGGTCCAAAAGTTTTCGGCTTTTGACGTGTTAATGTCCGAATTATGGATTGCTAGTGCTTATATAAGTTTATATGGCTCGACTGGGTTCGAGAGTTTGACTTGACTATACATATGAGTATTTACGCCAAAAAACTGTAACATTAAAGTATAACAAACCTTAAAACCGGTGGGACACCTAGTGAAAGTAATAAAATTTGCTAAACATCACCGAGTTCGTAAATATAAATGGGAAAATGGGATGGTATTAACACCTAATTAATTGCTAATGTTTTACATACCAGTCCACAAACTGGACGGCGCGATTTGCCTTTATTCCTGCAATAGCTGCGTTAACGTCCTTGGAATAATTTCGAAATTATTATCGTTAGTCTTAAGCATGATTATGTATAAATCTCATTGTTCATGACATACCTTGGGCACCACGTCCCCTCGGTAGAGTAGACACACGGCCATGAATTTACCTTTTCTCGGATCGCACAATACCATCTGGTTCGCTGAAAGTATTTATGGGTCACAAGGGTTAGCCAGGGTCAAGTACTTCAGAGAAATAATAATCGATCGAACCTGGGTCGAAACAAGCTTTAGTTATTTCGTCGACACTGATTTGCTCGTGATATGCTTTTTCTGCAGAAATTATGGGAGCATACGTGGCCTATAATTGTGTAAACGAAGCGCATTTATGAATATGGAATGACGGACTCATTAATTCCGTATACATATCTATGTGTACATACCAAAGGGAAATGAATGCGTGGGTACGGAACCTGGAAGAGAAGAGGAATTTGTAAAGCCTGCAATTCGTTCGTGATGCTAATCCCTAATCAATTACCAAATTGGTTTGAAATTCATTCAAGTCGACGTTTAGGGCGCCGTCGAATCTCAATGAGGCCGTGATCGAAGAAACGATTTGACCAATGAGTCGATTTAAATTAGTGTAAGTTGGTCGTTCTATGCCCAAGTTGCGGAAGCAGAGCTCGTAAATGGCCTCGTTGTCGACCATGAAGGCACAGTCACAATGCTCCAAAGTGGTATGAGTGTAAAGAATAGCGTTGTATGGCTGCGTGTAATAATAATAATCATGATTGTTAAATAATACCATGACTCTAAAGAACTGTTTATGGGAGAGGGTGCGAAGATGATGCTTACATACCTCCACGACGGCAGTAGACACCTGGTGAAAGTATGGAAAGTTTTCAATTGTGCCGATTGCTTAAATAATTAGTTTATTGTTGTTTTTCATACCCTTGGAGCTGGATAGATTGAGAAGCACAGCTTGGATTTCTTTCCATAGTCCACAGAGAGCCTAAAAAATTTAAATTAGTGTGTACAATTATTATGGCGACATACTGACCATCCAATTTTACCTCTCCATCAACAAGGAGCCAAAGCCGGAGCCGGTTCCTCCCCCAAAAGAGTGGAAAATAAGGAATCCTTGAAGACCATTGCAGGCCTCTGATAAACGTCTTATCCTGCACAATGGGAAAAGCGATATTTCAGAAAAGTTACAATTGCGTATGGGTGACACCGCTTCTATAGCTGATCGTAATTACTGGCTCGATAGTTTACGTACCTGTCCAGCGTCACATCAATTATTTCTTTCCCGATTGTGTAGTGTCCTCGAGCATAGTTATTGGCAGCATCCTCTTTCCACTGCAATGCAATTTGTCATATGTATACTACTTGTATTGCATTGAAGATGAGACGTCTTAGGATTAGTCAAGTGCATAGGGAAATTTGAGATAATGACGGGGAAGGTAAAATCTGATAAGCTACTTTAAATTTTACAAGACCCTGTGTCACGATAAATAAATAAGTAAGTCTTACCGTTAGGAGTTGTTCGGGGTGAAATAATTGCCGGTAAGTTCCAGTTCTTACTTCATCTGTGATTTGTGAGAGTTCGAAAATTCATTCATTATTTTACAGCACTACACAATACATATATCCTTCTTTATTGTAAAATTATTTTCATAATATCAACTCTCTAATTATGTGCTCTATGTACATGCAAATTAGTCAAATCATACAATTTTTCAACTGCACATACAATGTATGAAAAACTGCTTCCGGCCTACAAACGTACGTATGTATGCTGCATTCAACCAGAAGAAGAAGTTGAGAAAAGAAAGTAGATCGATCAAAACCTTGCCAATCTTTTGTGTTTCGTAGTAGAAGAAATGGGAAAAGGTTATAAAAGTCAATCAGGAGGGATTGAAATGCAAAGTTTGCATTATAATTGACAATCGAGCCTCTCAGTCTGACCTACTTCTTTGCATACTTTCTATTGTGTCTCTAGGTAGAACCTAATCCTAATTAAGTATATGCACAAACTCTGCTCACGCAAAATACCTAGCACAGCTTTTTAAACGACAAAATAAATACATGGAAAATCTTTCTTTTCTTACCAATCACCGTGGGTTCTAGATCTACGAAAACGGCACGCGGAACATGTTTCCCAGCATTGGTCTCACTAAAGAAAGTATTGAAAGAATCGTCTTCTCCTCCCAACGTCTCGTCTGAGGGCATCATCCCGTCCTACCGATTGGACGGTTCAAGGATTTCCATTTATTCTAAATACATGAGTAATGCACAAAGGAACACTAGTTTCTTACCGGTTGGATACCATGCTCCAAGCAATACAACTCCCAACATGCATTTCCTATCTGACATCCTGTGTGCATAAAAATATATAATAATAAATCTGTGACCACAAAATTACCAAACGCTAAATTTTGTATGCACGCGTATAAAGAGAAAGCCAGACCTGCTTGGCCAATGTGGATGGAAAGGCACTCTCTCTGTATCAGGAAATCATTTAAAGTTATTACTTTTTATGAAGGATGCCAATAGACAATGACTGGGAATTACGCAGAATGTGCAAATTGGAGAAAGGTGAAAAATAGGAAAAGTTTAGTATTTGTTCAAGCACATGCAAGAATCCACACTGATGACTTACTTTCTTCGACTAAGGGTTGAAGCGATTATCATAGCGGGATGAAAGAGGTTACATTGTTATTCAAGTCAGATACGGTTGAAAACACGAGCATAACACGTTTGTTAGATGACCGTTCCAAAAATTACAGAAAATACAAATTAATTAGTATACAAAGTTTTGCAGCTACCCTCTAAATTATTAAAATGGACTGAAATTAACGTCATACATATATTTAGCTTTAAGCCATCAATCCATGTACTGAGGAAACATACTGTTTTAGTATGCAACATGCACACTTGTAAATACTAGAGGTGAGCTGGATATCCATTTTTTTGGATAATGCATGGCCCGATCCAATCCAGCTGGATTTGGATGGATTGGATCTGAAATTTTTTGGGCCAAATGGATTTGGATGAATTGGATCTGAATTTTTTTGGGCCAAATGGATTTGGATGGATTGGATCTGAAAAATTTTGGGTGAATTGGATTTGGATGGATTGGATCTCAAATTTTTTGGGTGACATGGATTTGGATGAATAGGATCTGGGTGGATTGGATTTGGTCAAATTGGATAAACTTCGTCATCATAAAGAATATCAGGAAGTGTTCTTTTTAACACTTCGATCTCATCCTAACAGTAACTGGGCCATACTTTTGTTGCATGGCACACACTGTGACACATATACAGTCCAATCAGACGTACCCCGAACACTAACCATGACTTTATATATATAATTCTTTGGATAATCCATGCCCTGATCCGATCCAACTGGATTTGGATGAATTGGATCTGAAATTTTTTGGATTTGGATGGATTGGATCTGAATTTTTTTGGGCCAAATGGATTTGGATGGATTGGATCTGAATTTTTTTGGGCCAAATGGATTTGGATGGATTGGATCTGAAATTTTTTGGGCCAAATGGATTTGGACGGATTGGATCTCAAATAATGACGATCCAGCTCACCTCTAGTAAATACCCAATTTCACTATAACAAACAAACAGCAACTCTATAAACATTCAAAGTCAAGCCAAATTTAATTTATGCATAATTGTTGAATTTGGGTTGACTTAAAATGAGTATTATCAGAAAAAAATTTAGTGTTGACTCGTCAAGTTCTCATTTTGAGGAGTGAAAGTAGGTCGACCGTCTGAGCAAGGGGGCTACAACCAGCAAGTCGATATTTCCAGGTAAATGTGGAATGTAAATGTACATTGTGTTTGACTTTGCAAAAGCTGCTATTCGTGGTGTCGGTTTTTCTTGCTTGAGTCAAACCAATAGAATATTGAACAGGATATAAAACGAATAACTACTCTAGTTGAGTGGATTTGTCAACTTCTCAAACTACTAAAACTCACAACCATGCCTAAGTTCTTAATATATTCATCAATTGCTTATGCCTAAAAATATTTCCATACAGATGCTTCAGGCAGAACAATTTTACATTCACTATGAAAAAATTAAATTCTTCCTCGTCTTTTAAAATGGGTCTACAATACGAATAACAGAACAGAGCAGTTCTTCAATTCACATGCACGGTCAGTATGCAATTACTTATGAATACACTCTGTCAATTAAGTAACGAATCTAATCTACAGATGCTTCTAATTGTAAGATTACCTTTGAGTACATGAAAAAGCGAAGAGAGTCAACTGGAAATTGTTAGTGAAAAGCCAATAATAATAAAAATAATGGTTTATTTGAAAATTAGTTCGAAAAAATTAGAGTTGGACGAAATTTAAGAAATCAAAGTATGGAACTACTCTGTTGGCGTTGATTTTCCCAATTTTCTGTAGCATGAAGACGTTTGCAAGTTATGCAAACAAATTATCTGCGTAAAAATATTGGTCACCAACTTAAGGAATTGCACTCCCTATCAATGAAAATAGTTTGATTTCAGCGAACTATGTATTTACTGGGACGCATATAATTAGCTGATCCTCTTGAGAAGAATTTCAGAGTGTAACTAACACTGGGAAGCAAAGAGGGAAGCCTACCATTTCTTTTCAACTTTCTCCGACCCCGTGTTGAATGCTGATTTTTCCCAGAATGTGGTTGGTTGTTGGTAAAGTGTGGATTAGGTTAAGAGAAAGCTTTCTCCGATATGTAGTTGCCAGTTGAGCGAGGGGAAATCCTATCCGGTTGCTCAAGTTGGACTTTTGCTAGCAAGGCCCTGCTAACAAAAGGGAGTCCGTCAGCATGGAAAGGTATCCAATAAATTGCTGAAATTTTTAATCCACAAATAATAAGACAATTACACACAAGTACTCGCTTTTGTTCTCGCCGGTATATAACTACATACATACATGCCTACGTGAATATATGGGACGCTATGCATATACTAATAAGTCATGGTGTATCTTCATGGAAGGATTCCTTCGAAACAAGGACACACATACAGACATACATAAATTGTGTATGGGGTCGTCGTTCAAGAATTGAGAATGGTAGTGTGTTTGTAGGTCATATTGCTCATATTGCATATTTTATTTTCAATTGATTGGAGGAATATTAATGACTACTGCCACGCAATTATAGCAGAAAAGCAGTTTGACATATGCATAGCTATCGTTTGACAGTTATGAATACCTAAAAACTGCAAGCTATATGCTTCATTTATTTGCCCATCAAATATACTGCTTGTATGTACCTCCAATTTGGTAGCAAAATGAGCCAATAATACTCGTATGTACGGAAGGTAGATACGGAAATCCTAGGCCATGCCCATTATAAATTGATACTTGATACCACCAGTAGTGTGCCTACCTTGATGTCTGATGTCAACTGTCCGTCTCCAGCCTTTGTCTTCTCTGACACAATTTTAGTCAACCCGCAACTATGCGTTCTTCAATCTTGATGCGTTCTTCTTTTTCTAGTATCTTGACTCACATCAGCGACATTATGCCCACGACCTAAAAAATACGACGGGTGGGAGCGTAGTTGTCATTTATTTATCAAAGTGCAGGAAACCAGAATGAACAATCTGGCTTGATTCGTTCTTCAGGTGACGTATTACCAAATTCAGAATGACAATGCAGTGCAGCAACTATCACTATTCTGTAAGTATATGGGCCAAAACACGAGGATCCTTCCTTCCTGTGGAGCTTTCTCTGAATTGATTTGGGTTTCCTGTGACCTGTCGTTCTAAAAGTCTGAATTGGAAATGACTACAACTACTTTACGATACACTTATTCGATCAAATCCAACCAGTACAACAACACACCTACGACTTGAACATGACATCAACGACATCAATACTAAAACTTCAATCGGGTGCCTTGCCGTGTGTTTGTCTACTTTTCTTTGTAATGCATTGCAGTTTTAGTTAGGTGACTAAAAGTTCGATCGAGGTATATTGGATTTCATGTACATATGCATGTATATATTGAATGTTGTCTCCGCATATGTATGCATGCATGTATCGCGAGTCGTCATTTCATGGGGGACAACTCGCGTACAGTAGGAGACAATTTGTTCAAAAGGACGGGTGATAAGAATCTGTACGCTTGGTTGGTTAGTGGTCGCATGATACTTGAACCATGGCAAGTGAAAGTTAGTTCCATTCTGCAACACAATTTTCCTGGTACCTAAAGTAGTATGTAAGTGGTTTGTTTGTTAGAGATATTCCGACATGCCAAAAAAGGGAGAGATAGTTGGATGAGTAGATGGATGGGAATAGTAATTGCTGTCATGCTATCCATACCTACCGATTCCGATGCAGAGCTTGATAAGCTAAAAATGTTATTGTTAATACAATCCGTTATGAATGTTTCTAAACAACACCACCAACTGTATTGTACGCAAGTAAATAGGAATCTCAAAGTTGATTACCTATTTTATGTGCGTATATTCATGAGCCTGTGCAAGTATTAATTGCTATCAGAATTGAATTTGCTTGTATTCGTAATATCATCTATATACCAAAAAATTACACGCATTTCATAAAGTTTAAAGATAGCCAGAGACATTATTGTTATCTAACGTAATAATTAGTTCCAAGCTACGTAATATGCTCATCCGACATAGAATTGGCCTTCCTCAGAAGAAAATGCTGCAAACAAATATCGACATAACTTTCCTTTGTGAGATGCAATGTGCTAATAAGAATTTGTTCTTCATGTGTCAATCTCAACTTGGTACTCATCGCACGTGGATGGAGTTGAATGCTTCCCTACACATAATTTCATACGTGTTGGAGAGATTGCAGAGTAGACTTCTCTCCGACAATTTTTGCGTACGAGGTATGTAAGACATGGGCATTGATTTGACTAATGAACGCACACAAACTTTCTCAGAAGTGAAAGTAGAAAGTTGGATATGCAGCCCACTAGCAAATACTTTGGTGTATTTAGGATTAGTACACACGTAAGAGATAGATATCCTGCGAACATGGAGCAGAGTGGGTTTCGCAATTAGGGCATGAATCCCCACCCACCTGGTCACCCGTTTGTGTTTTGATACCTTCCGTTTCCTTGCGACGGTTTCAGGTAACCATGCAGGAAGTGAGTGGGTTTATTTATATTCATTGCCGTACTCCACTCGCACACCAAAGCAAACTTGAGTGAAATATAAACTGCTCCTGTATTTGCAATATAATACCTTATATGTTTGTATTTATATACAAACATACACTTTACAGCACATATATATGTGCTCTAAAGTGGATATTTTCACTCGATTCGTATTGTAAAGAGACAGAACTATAGCATATTATGGTGGTTGGTGTGAAAGTGCTACATGACGTGCAGCTTGTGGGGGAGATGCAAATAAAGATATAAATGGGCAAATTCACCCTCGTATAATTGTCACGAACTCGAGCTTTTAACTTTCAGTCATTTGACAAATGGCTTCATTTTTGCAAATATGTATGCCTTGGGCATTGAAAAATATATATGATGGATCTTACGAGTTTTTTTACTTCTGTATATTTATTAGTTTGGTAACACATGAACACAGGTTAACAAAACATCACATTAAAAACAGCAAACACTCGGGTCTTGTCAAGTACTAATCAGATAGTTCTTTTTGCATCAAGATTATGCAAAGTCAGTGATTCGGACTAATCTAACGGCTAAGCTTTTAAATATTCCTCTCCCAAATAATTTGAATTTTCAAGTAGCGAGTTACTCAGATCATTTGTGCCACTGATCACCAACGATTCTGAAGGTACTGTTGTAACTTTTGTGCCAGAATTCCCATCGCTATTCGTTGGAAAGTGCACGCCTTTGGCAGGTCCACGCCTTGATATTTCAAAGTCAGTCTCACCCGATAACATGTCAAGCAGTTTACTCCGCGACAGCATGAAATCATCATTTGTATCTTGTACAGCCTTTGGAGCACTTTCATGAATGATATTAATATGATGATTCAATTTTTGCTAAAAAAACAAACAATAAAAAATAAATATAAACCACAAATGTATGTTATATACTCGTGAATGAGATTAATTCATTTACCTTAGTACTTAATTGCTTACTACAAATACCGCATACGAAAGACCGTCCCTTATGAAAAGTCCCGATATGATTAGCAAGATTCTGTGAGTGTTGGTAGGACCTGATTCAATGACACAAACAGAAATGAAAGTATTTATTCTAATTATGAGTTTTTTAGTCAATAATACTTACTTTGAACAAGTTTCGTAAGGGCAAGGAAAGATATCCCTTTGTTCTGCGTGAATCTTGATGTGATTACGAATATGTGAATGTGAGAACTTTTTCTTACAAGTAGGACACTCCATTAAATTGCCTATATATTTATAACAATTTATAACGAAATTATGTACATCACACAAAGTTGTTCCATAAAATGGATAAATATTGAGGGACATACAATGAGCACTTTTTTTGTGAGCTAAACAACTGGACCATTTCTCAAACACTTCATTGCATTCCGAACATTGATATGTCTTTCTGTTTTGAGATTCCTCTTCGCCAGCAATTCGTCTTTTTCTATGAAGTTTCTGGTGAGATTTTAATAATGCGTGCAATCTAAATTCTTCGTTACACCCTTGTACACCGCACCTAAAATTTAGCATAATTCTAAGATAATCTATTCACGCATCATCAAAACCAGAAAGAAATAGATAGGTATGTAGACAAAGAAAACTATTTACTTAAAAAGCGGTGTTGTATGGCCAGCATGTTCGAACGTGTGTTCCTTTAATTGGTACTTCTTGCTAAACATTTCCCGACATATAGGACACGAAAATTTCTTTTCGCAATGTTTCTTCTTATTGTGAAAGTATAAGCTGGTCGCGGAATCAAACGAGGCTAAACATCCGTCAAAGCTGCACCTATTTACCACGTAACAGAATGCAATGTACGATTCAAAATAAAATAATACACTAATAAAATACAGACAACAAACTCACTTAAAGCCTCCTCCCATAGTCGTGTGCTTGGTAGCTTCATGCCGTTGCAAATGAGTTTTCCGATAGTATGATGATTCACAGCCTTCGAATGAGCATTTATAAGGTTTCTAGAAGTGAAATTACAAAATAATCCATAAACAACTGTACTATATACAGTTATATGTTAGTGATATGTAGTTATATGTTAGTACATATAACTACTCCCAAAGGCAATTAAGTATATGTTATATTTTATCAATGTGTGTGTGTTTAATAAACTGATAATATGTCTTTAACTGCTTACCTCAGATAAGTGTATAGCTTGGTGCATCGTTAATCTTGAAAGTTTGGCAAATTTTTTGTCGCAATCTATGCAACTGAATTTATAATCCTTAGGTGGTGGGGGTGGCAGCTCCACGACATATCTGGGCCTTTCAGCAACTAGTGCTTTACCCATGCTATTTTGAGTTATAATTACCCAATTTGTCACTAAATAATAGTTTACTTTTGATAACAAACTACACAAAAAGACACCGATTAGCAAATGTGATGTGAACAATAAGAAAAGCACATTGCATATTCCGAGTTGGCGCAGTTTCGGGCATTGTGAGATTCATTTATATTGAATTTTTCTCTATCACCCCACACAGTACCCAAAATCAATTCTTTAATTATGTTGGAGAATTAAAATTGCAATGAGTAAAATTCAGTTGAATTGAAATCTGCTCACTAAAGTGTTCAGGAATAAGGATAAGTCTCACATTTTTCAATTAAGTGAGTCAGAAAAATGACATAAGAGGAGGATGGATTGCATTTGAGTTTGTCAAGGGCCATACCACGTTGAATGCACCAGTTCTCGTCCGATCACTGAAGTTAAGCAACGTCGGGCCCGGTTAGTACTTGGATGGGTGACCGCTTGGGAATCCCGGGTGCCCTTGGCGTACAATTTTTTTTGCATTTTTTAATTTTGATGTATGGAACGTATAAATTCTTAAATAATTTACTCTAAACTTGAATATGTACGTGTATGTATGTACTACAAAAAAAAATTGTACTACCAAAATTGTGTCTAAATAATTAAAGTTAATGCAGTTTTATCATTTGTGTATGAAATTCGTGTATTCATAAAGTTGCAATATTTCACTACATATTAATAAATAACAAGCAAGATATATGTACTGTAGACCAATAATAAGTAAATAAATCTCAGCAGCAAACGCAACTTTTTTCATGAAGATCGAAGATGCGGATTTAAATAATTTACCAACGAAAAGCGGTGAGTTACAAATTTCAATCAGAAATTTCACGCAAATCTACAATTACTAAAAAATTATTATATTGAAACTATTTTAGTAAACACAATATATTTATTAAAGTTCTTTATTTATTAAAATGCAATTAAAATATGCATAGTTGATTTATCTGCATACACAAATCTACATAATATTTATATCATCAAATGAGGCAGGTGGAGATAATAAAAGTTGAACAACTCGTTATAAATGTGTAATGCATTGCATTGCATTTTGCATTGCTCCGCTGTATGGTTTTCAAAACAGTATACATAATACATATGGATGTTGGATATGCACCGTTTTTGAAAATTTCGAAAATTTGGTTGCTAATAACGTACAAACACAGACCGTAGTTACACTGGCTTGGGGAGAAAGTTGAAACGTGATGTTTTATTATGTCCGGCACAATGAACAGCAGATTGTGTCACTAAACTATTGAATACTAAATTTCTAGTTTATTCGAAAATACAAAATATGTAGGCAGATTGGCAGATTGCAAACAAAATATACAATGTCCTATCGCGTGAGTCAACCTCTACCCAGACCAAAGTCTCGCCGTAAGCCCACTGACCTTTTGGGAATTACAACGACGCATAATTTTCAAAGAACTTTAGCAAATCGTTCCCACATGCATCGTCATCCCCTCGATTCTAACACGACAAGAGTTGGAAATCTGGGAAGGATGAGACCCGCTGACACATTTGCCCGTGCGAAATACTCGGATTCCAACAACAACAATAATTATGACAATACTGACTCATTAGCCAAAAAGTATTCGAACAATAACTTGGCAAAACTGGGCAACGACTACCGCACATCGAAATCCTTCACACTTGTGGAAAACGACGGAAGAGAGCTCCCAGGGTTCGACGCTTTCACTTCGGTGAAAGCCATATACACGTCTTCTTTCCCAACCCCTTCGCGTGCCTCCACTGCTCCAGCCTCGTTGGAGGTGCACTCATCTCCTCCACCCAGCAAATTCCCCACGACTTCTGCTGAAACTGGAAGAAAGCAAAAATTCAGTGCAAGGACTGACTCTAACAACAACCGGCAAGTAAAGATCAATCATAATGCTGCTCCAGGTCCTGTTAATAATCACCCAGCGAAAATAGAACTTCGGGGCAATTTGAACGCTTCCATAATCAAGGATATTCAGGTCGTTTTGCCAGAAAGAAAATCACCCGTATTTCCTCGTAGACACAATCGGTTGGATACCACAACACCACCACCACCTGCCCTTGTGGGGACAACTCGTAAAGGCAAAGCTAAGGGAGTATCAATGCCCTCGAGGTCTTGGAAGTGGTCGCAGTCTCAAATGGAATATGAAACCAAAACCACAGGAGCCAGGGGAAAAGCTCGACCGCAAACCGTCCCGTTAAGAGAAAGTGGTCGTACAAAGAATAGTAATTTATTCATGACTGACTCGGAAGAGATGATGCTTCCAGCAGGATGCTTGAAAAACGAGGATAATGACGAGGACGAGAACAAGGATGGATGCTCCAGACCATTAAGACAAGTTGTCACCTTTTCTCCAGACACCTTGAACATCGAGAGGGAAAATAAGCCAAAGAAGGTAACGAACGATATTCCTTGTCCGCGTGGGCACGTGTTTTCTGAAACCTATTGTAGTTTCCGTATTTAACGATGTCATGCTCAGTAACATTAATGATGTGAATGGCAGACGCGGATGAAGAATAACAGGAAGCCGAAATTCGCTCATCCATGTTGTGGCCACTTTCTCCCACCAGCCGCAGAGACCATCCAGTTCTCGGGACCAGACATATTTTCAAACAACCCGTACATTCGATATCACACGATTTGGTGTGGGCCGATGGGAAGAGTTTCCGACGAGTCTGTGTCAAAGAAAAACGTGAGGATGAAACGGTTTCGAAAGCTTCTTTCCTCTTTGTCAATCTCACACGAAGCGTTCAACGGCGTCCCCGAAGAACAAAAAGCTACATTTATGAAACAAGACATTATTCCACTTTACATTTCAGCCTTGGACATTGCCCTGATGGATGGTAATTGACAAACGTCGTATTACATCTCATGGATCTAGAGATGTGTATATTATGTAATTTTATTTATACGTAGGAGACATGGCTCATGCTCAACAACTGCTCACCACGATAATTTCTTCTCTGAAAGTACTAGACATCAATCTCAAGAGTGCGTCGTTGGAGAGCAAGGGAAGTCCAAAACAAATCCGCCAGCTTCCTCTCGACCATGACGACTTTTATATAAACCTGGGTCCAGTAATTTTTGCCATGAATCGCATTTGCAATGACCAATATCGATTCAATCCACGAGATCTGCCGATAGAATGCCAACTGGTGAAGTTACAGTTGGAACTGGTCGTATTGACGATTTGTCCCTCTGATTGTCTCATTTTTCAAAGTCAGCTAACTGTGGCAGCAACCACGGCGGACAGGGCCATGCAACTTTTGCAACAGTTAAAAGAGAGGCGAGCTTACTACTGTGTCCGCTGGGTGACTGATTCCGTCATGCATCGCGATTACATGAGCCTTCTGAAGTTTTTCGGATTCTGCGATGATGTCGGTGCTAAAAATCCTGTTCCTCTATCCGTTCATCGAGTACAAGGAACGATGTTATTTGCTGCGACCAGTGACCAAAAGCCTGTAATTGTGAATTCTCCGATGATTTCCGACCCTTCAGTTCTCAATTAGCGTTTTTCATCCTATCCGTTCTACATATGTATATTTATTGGCTATTACTGACAAATGGAAAATAAATTCCAGTGAACTCTGCCCACAACGAGATTTCCAACGTGTAATTTGTGGTTGATTGTAAATGTTGTTCAACTGTTGTACTATGTTGTATGTAGATGTACTTAACAATTTATTGGAGCCAAATCGTTGTGGTTTTTTAGTGTGTGTGGAAGTAAATCCTACTGGAAAAGGACTAAAAGTCATCATGAACGATAGTCCTTCCGAAGAGCACGTCTCGTGTGTATCCATCTTCTTGGCCTATTATTTATGTATAATTTGGAATAAAGTGTGAAGCATTTTATCCTTACAACACTCGAACTTATGTAACAAATCAGCCATCACGATAGTCAGTGCACTTGCTTGTTTGTTACTCTTAAGAAAACTTTGAAAATCTAGAAAAAAAGTTCTAATGAAAGCAAGACACGAACGAATCAACGAGCGTGGAGCGTATATTATACAATCCTGAGGATCGGATGAGGGGAAACAGTCCATAATCGACTGTAGCTACCGGTTAATGAGGAATTGAGAGATTTTTTTTACAAATCTTTATGCGTTACATGTATTAAGCGTGACTCCATCACCTTTTTGATGTAAATCACACACCCAATCTATTTATTGAGATCGATTCTATTTGATGGACAAAAGGTTCCTGAATATTCTCCTAAAATAAAACTTGCAATCGAAACCCCCAAGCACGACGAGGAGTATTTATGTACGCATTTAGATCATTTGAAAGAGATAGACTTCCTTATAAGAATTTAAAATAAGATTCTTTCACCTGTTTCGAAATTATGTTAATTAAAAAGAATTACACCAGAAGCCACATTCCCATAGTCGCTGTCTGTTAATTGTATACCAATTTCTACTTTGGTTCATATCGACTCGAAAATGTGTAGTTTTTGGTAAATTGAGGCTTCGACATGATAAACATGACACCGGTCGTTGCCTGCTGTCCGTATAACCAGATACGAAATTAAATAATGAACATATTACAAAACTAATTGTAATATCGCATCTCATCTCGACTCTCCCTAATTCTCTTCCGAAACCAATTTAGTGCTTTAGCTCCACTTCACCTGATGAGCTGATCCTCACATTCTGATTAAGGTCCCATTATGCTAGACTCCATTAAATTAAGCATCTTCCACCCAATCTTGCATCACCCTCCGTCATTCCAGTCCTAAAAGATTAAATTACCACTAAATGAAATAATTTTCTCCTTCCTTCCATTAGGAGATGTTCAGCTTGATTTTCTCCCTATCAGGCTGGCATACGTGGCTGGTGGTAGACAAGTAGCATCGGAACGACAAGGACGAGATAATGTTGAGAGAAAATCCAGTTTTTTTCTTTCTTCCTACTCATTGCGAGGTAGAGGACAAAAAATTAATCGAAATGCTCCCTGGAATTGGTCGTCGGTATTGTTCTACTGCGGTCGGTGCTTTGCTTCACCCGTTCCTTGTCTCATCACATTATCATTACCTTCCAACAATTACATTACCGTCGAATCCATCCCCTCACTCAGAGACCCACACACACGGCTGATACGAAATCCATCTTGTTTTGCCTGTGGGAACCGTGGCTAAATCTCAGGGAAATTAAATATTCTTCCACCTCATCCTCTTACCATGCCATCTGAATAACAAGAAAATGGACACAAACAAAGAAACGAAACAAAGCGACTGTGTTAGCTTTAATTACTTTTTGAATTTTAAATTGAACTGGACAAGTCAGATATTAATGTGACTGGACCCTGGTCTGGTCTGGCTGGAGAAGATGTGGACAAGAGAATCGAGAGATTTACTGGTTTGGCTCTGCGGGAACCAAATCAACACCGTTTCTTGGTATGATGTGATTGTATTGTAAAGACATTTAATTACGAAAAGTCATTATATTATTACCTTCACTCACTTCTTCTTATTCCCTTCCCGACAATGCGCACAAAAAAACAATCTCGCTAAACCAAGTTGTACACGATTTCAGGCTGGGAAATCCACCGGATAAGACTAAATACATACAGTCTCAATGTGCCTCATGTGATCTATAGGACTATTTCATCTACCCAGGCGTAACAAAGTTACACATCACGTACATACGCACATGTACATACTTGTGTAGTCGAAAAAAAAGAACGCTTGCATAACAAAATGCAAATAAAATGTTCTGATTTTCTATCTACAGCATCGTCCAAGAAAAGAATCTATAGCCGACGTGGTTCCCACGACTCAATAAAATTTTGCAAAGTCATACAAAACCGATTATCGATTAACTAGCTTCACATCTGCTCCCTTTATGTGTACACCGTCAGTTATTCAATCGTAGGAAGGCAGCCATTATTCCTTCCTCCTCTTCAACAGGAACGGTATTGATTGATACAGAAGAAATCTTTGTCTAGCTTGTTTATGCACGTGGAGTGAACAGCCCAAAATATGCGTAATCCTACGTAATCTAGACTTTCACATTATTTATTGTCTCACTTACACTTACAATGTACGTACGTATGAGAATTGAATTCAGAGCGTTTGTGTTCCATTCTCCCGTTAAACTAGCGCATTCCATCCATCTCCTAAATACATAGCAAATCCATAGGCTTTTCTTTCAGGATTATGCAAGGGAAAATAACAATGGGTGGTGCACAATGCTGCAAATAGTACAAGTCAATGTCGCCTTGAAAGCACGAATTGGACTTTCATGAATTTGAATCAAAATTTAATCAAGCGGAACTCGTTTTAGCTGGTCATTCAAGATTTGAATGCTGATGCATGTAGCTTGTTTTGCAAATATTTAAACCTTCACAATGCAGAAAATAAATCAAGGTGAGTCAAATCTGCAGCAACTTGCATATAAGTCAATAAGTAAGTTACGAACAGTGTTATTTTGATTATAGCTTGAAGGTAAATTGCGATAAAAATGCCTACTTTTGTACACATATTTTGGGTAGAATTCTGCCGATATTTAGCTACTTCTATTCACTTTGCTTGCATTCATTAAATCTGGATTGCCAGATTCATTACAACAATACGACATTGTTATGTATTCAGATCAAAGCAACTCATGCTCGTACAATTAGCTCAAGTGATTTCCAGTTCTCAAATTTCACCAAGTCACGCCCAAATTAAGACCTCACACAAACAATGAATGGTAGCAAACCACAACTGAAACTGAGATCATTTTGAAAATACGATTAGTAGAAAATAAGGGGCTACTCAAAACTGAAATTAAGAGGATTTGAGCATCCTGTACGTTCATGTTGATCGATTAAGTTTAGTAATGAATGGTCGAAACAAGAAATTAGTCTTCGTCTTGGATTCTCGAGGTGCTGGAGGCTGGAACATATGCATGGGAATATTTTCAGCCAACCAGCCCCTGTCAAAGGCAAATCTTTCATTTCAAAAAAGTTGTGTGCGATGGTTGGCTTATTCGTTACATTAAATAACGGATAATTGATGATCTCGATCTTGGATTGAGCAAATTTGGAAGAAACCATTGTAGGGTTTGGGTGTTCTTTAATAAGGAAAACTTGATCGATTTACAAGCCCACACGCAGCCATCCAACGAATCACAATCATCAATTTATTGGATGGCCGTGTCTCATACTTTTCAGAAATATGATTATGATCACGATAAATATGCAATAATAAAATTTCTAGTCGTATTAATTTCTGAGATAAAATTAATGTAATGCAAGCAACTTATTGAGCGTGATAGGAAACACACTTGAAACATTAGTCTTTAAATTCGTTAAAGTGTCCGACTTGAGGTCATAATGCCGTATATTGCTCATCATTAATCATTCCCGCAATTACGAGTCCCTATTAATCAATCAACCTCTATCTTGAGCATGGGTATATTCTGTCTAGCAGAATTTTCTGTAAAGCGGGGCATCTCCCTCGTTAATGAAGAAATCTAGTAAAACAAAGGTTTACAGATATGCGGCAAGTAATAATTAACAAAAGGTTTCAAGACGTTCATTCCAACCCTTAAAAGACTTGAAAGACTAAAACGAAATAGTGGAAAACGAAGGGAACGATTGAACACCAATCCAAGCAAAAGGAAAGTTGATGGGTATTTATCAAACCTGAAAACTTTGCAAACTTTCAAACGAATTATTATGGGCTTGATAAATGGTGGTTTTTGTCCCTTTACGCCGAGCAGTGTTCTTGCAAAGTGTCATTGAGGTCAACCAACGTAAATTATCAGTAATTGATTTTATTGAGTAACCACGATCGCCCAGTTCACGATCCTGGGCAAATTAGTACTATATTTTGTAGCTCATTGTGCTGTCTAATATCGCTCTAGGCATTCAAATTACTTGCGAATTAGCTTAAAGTAGTCGGTAATAGTGGTTGTAAAAACAAAATTTTAGGCATACACGACTTTTGTTTGTAAGCAATATTTAGTATAAATCTCTTTTTCAAAAGTTCGATTTCTTATAAAAATCATTAACTGAATTATAAAGCACATTTTTATAAATATCCCGTCACTCTAAATTCATCGACGTTATATTATTATTTTATGTACATTAGTCTGTTAGTTTATGTATGTATGTTCAAACTATCAAATTCGCAAGGTTTACAATTGCATAAGAACCCTGTTAAATTATGTACGATTAAATTATCAGGATTAAATAATATAAATAATAATTGCCTTGCCGAGTGTGCTTTAGCTCTCTCAAATTTTCTATGCATTGTAATTGTAACTATTTACTATAAGAATCTGATTAATATTAAACCCACCCAACTTCCACCGACCAAGTTATTCACTTCATCGTCACGTCGTCTCAACAATGCACAGCTAATTGACTAACACTGCATTGTATTGGTGAAAGTTGGCACACGGTTGGGATCGTTGAAATTCCTTAAAATTACAATTACCTTGCGTAAGCAAATTTGGCTGTTGTGCTGACATATCAATTACAGAATAATTAAATCAATTAAAGACTAATTTAACTTTTGAATCTAGCTAACCTAAAGTAACGCAGGTATGTATGCACATAGTAGCCGCTGGTAGATATATGTACACATTTTGATTGTAACTCCACCAACAATTCAA